TAGAAAAATAATGCTTTTAAAGAGCAAATACATGAAGAGAACATTGAAATCAGGTTTAAAAGGTCAAAATATGACTTAAAATTTAAAAATTGGAATATAAAATATAAAAATGACACAAGTCTAAATACTGAGATGAACAAAATCAAAGCATGAAATAAAAAATCTGATCATGTTTGACTCGTAATCTTGAAATGCAAAATTAAAAACATGAAATAAAACACCAAATATTTTTTCCCCCACGTTGTTGTCTATTTATCAAATCTTCCTTACACTTTAATTTCCCTGATTTTCATGGCTTATAAAGGACATTTTAAATAATTGTGGTAAAGTTTTACATTTTAATACTGGAGGAAATTTGCAGACTTCATACTGGTGGGCCAATAATAATACAAATATAATCTCATTTTGTGGGCCAGATATAATTGTTCCACGGGCCTTGAGTTTTACACCTGTGACTTACACATAGAGCTAGTTTTACCAGTATTAAACTAAGGGTCTAACTTGGAATATAATCAATCAACCAATCGGACTTTATTTAGATAGCACTTTTCATACAAGGAGATGTTTTACATAAACAGAAAATCATTAAAATCAGCTAGTGAATAAATTGAACATCACTGTAGAAACAATGCAGACGTGCTGCAGCAGAGCTGGGCTCATCTAATCCAGCTCAAAGACTGTCTCGCTCATACAAAAACACTTTTACTTGTAAAGCATTATGCTCTGTCATTGGCTCTTTGGGGAGCACCTTTGGCTCACAGAATAAATTTTCTCAGTAAAGGCAGAAACATCAACATTTTCAGGGCTGTTGAACCCTACGAGCCTGGGATGACTCTCCCCTTTACCTTCTTGTCAGGTATAATCTGATCATATCCTAGTTTCTTTCTTCTTCTTTTTTTTTTGTCATCTTATCCACCGAACACTCCAGATATTAGTATTGATTAAACACATCCTCAGCTTATACACCATGCTCTCTATGGACAGAAATCTTCATAACTGCCATCCCGGAGATTTCAAAACTATTCTACTTCATTTTTCTGGAAATTAAATCCATGTCTGCACAAAGTGATGTATCCCAAATGGAGATTAAAGATGACAAACTTCAGCTTTGCTTTTGCTACTGTGGCCTTAAACAACCTAATAGAGTTTGAACAAATACAAAGCTCGCCCACTTTGAAGAAGTTGTGTCTGGAATACAAACATAAAAACAGTTTGTAAATTGTTGAATTAAAATGAATCTATATGATCTGTTTGAAAAATAGTGCTGGCATTTCAAGTGGCGCATAACTCTGGTCCTTATGAACAAAGTTCAGGTGGGCTTTGCTTTTTCAAATCCCTGGCTGCAAAGTATCAATGGTAAGAAAAATGGAAAAAAGAATTTAAGAAGCTTAAGTCCTAATATCTGTCACAGGATAGTTGTGATGTTTGGGATTAGTATCCATGACTGCTACAAAAGCTGACCAAAAGACGACAACAGCAGGCTCAGACAGGCTCATTAGAGAAGTCAGTGCAGTCACACGGTGTAATCTGTAACCACTGAATCAAAGTCATGACAAATGGTGCCAAAATGAGGCACAAGTTTAGTCAACAAGGTGCTTTTCCCTCCAAAGATATTTCAGACTCAGAATAAGTGTGCAGTTAAAAAAAAAGTAGAGCTTTTGTCAGTTTTTATTAAAGTGAATTTCATTTGTTTGCTTGAATCCTCTTTCAGTCTGAATTTGATTCAGTGAAGTGTTACACAAATACACAGACAGATGGAAACAGGATGTGAATGGTTGGATTGGTTAATGGCTGAGACAGGGAATGGCCAGCAAGAATACAGACTGAATCAATGAAATAGCAAGCTCAATACACAGTAGATATGATAAAAGTCATGTTTAATTGAAGCGAGTGCAGAGCCTTCAACTAAGACTACAATCAATCGATCTATTTCACAGTTGCTTCTCTACTGTGCTGAAACCCACTTTCACTTGCCCTGCTCCTGTTTCTTTCACTGAAACCACAATGGGGACAAACCTGATGAATGCAATAATCCAATAAAATGATTTTTTTTTAATACTTACAAAGAAATTACAAGGGAAGCTGCTGCATGGTTGCTCCAGAGGTCACATAGCTTAAGTACTTGGACATGGATACTAGTTTCTGGAGAATGGATGTCAAGATGATGGGTTTTGTAAACCAAATCAAAGCTGACATTTAGAAGAAGAACAACAACAACAACTTTATTGATCCCTGAACAGAAATGTAATAATCTTTATGGTACTTTTCCATACACATTAGAGTATTTATTTATCTGAACTGGATACGATATTGGATATGACCTGTTAAAAACGGTGGCACCTTTGAGGTCAAATCCCACTATGTTCTGTGCATTTGCATTATTGGTATTGATCACTATGAATATTGCATCATTTGTTGTTTTCAGATTGAAGGGAATCCCCCACAGCAAGATCAGCAAAGTAATAATGACACTCATGCAACATTACAGCCAGCAATAATCGCGGCCACTGTGGTTATCAAAGCATGTTTGTGACGAGGCTTTCCTTAGCAATCGGCAGGGATCAGAGGATTAACATGCCTCCCACTGTTTGTGGTCATCTCTGTGTCTCCCTTGCATGGCGGATTAGATTTATCTACAAGGTAATCAGGGATTTACCCTCGTCTGGCAGGACTACAACTCCCATAGTTACACACAGGATATATCAACAGTACACAGCCCTGTACAGTGTACTGTGGTGTTGACTCAAAGACTTAAAACAAACAACGAGGGAGGTGGGAGAGATAAGGCAGACAGAAACTGGATTTCCACAGAAACATTTTTCTACAAATTCCCTTATCACTGCAGAAAAAAAATAATCTGAAACCTCCTGAATGAGATTTTCTGCTCTGACCTTGTATCTGTTCCCAATAACGGGTGCTTTGTAAGGATATCTTTCAAAAGTGAATAAAGATAAAAGTATTCTAGTACATTAAGGTAAATCTAATACATTTCTAAGACAGTGATCAATGAAAGGTTAAAGTCAAAGGGACGTGTTGCTGAGACTGAGATTAAATGAGATTAGTTTCCCTCCCTCTCTAATCATTTGGGTTGTGTGGAAATATTAAAATTTGTAGCTGCAGCTGCAACTAAGGAAAGCAAGGTCAGGTCCTTTGCAGTATCTATAGCAATAGGGTGGGCTGATGAACAAGATGAAATGTAATATAAAACATTTAATATCCTTCAAAAGGGTTTTAGAAGCTGTGAATAAGGACGTGTTGAGACTATTCTGACTATGGTGGCCCAGCTGGGGCACTAACTTTTACAGGGGTGGCATGTATATACACTAGATAAGCATTTATTTACTCTATTTCTACTTAGGTCTATTTTGACTGCTTAACTTACTGGTATTTCAAAAATGTTTAATCATTTCTGTGTTTATTTTTGAACTTAATTTAGCGGCATTTAACTTTATTACTGCAATTACTTCAGGACCTAACGAGAAGCCAGTCATGATTAGAGAACTCGCAAAGGTAAATTCATCACAGCTGAGTGAGAAGAAAGCTTCTTGTAGCCTGTTGCAACACAACCTAGATATCTGGTGTTAACATAGTCTAGTAGTTCTAAAGTCCAGTCCTCGAGGCCCACTGTCCTGCATGTTTTGGATGTTTCCCTGCTCCAACACACCTGATTCAAATGATCAGCTCGTTATCAAGCTCTGTAATGGCTTAATAACGAGCTGATCATTTGAATCAGGTGTGTTGGAGCAGGGAAACATTCAAAACATGCAGGACAGGGGGGGCTGGATTCTCTTGTGTGCCAACAAGAGAACAGCACCCTCTGGTGACGGGCTGCAGTATAGGTCCTAAATCCCACCTCTTCCAGCAATCCCTATGGAGCTAAGAGTCCAAACCATAAAACACTCACTTCCCTTTCATGTCCTGCCAGCACTAGTACAAAACCTGGTCATTGGTGAATTTATAATTTATCGCATTATTCCCAGAATCTAAACCACCTTAAGGCGATTTTCAATTTGACAACTATTATTGTTTTATCTTTTAAGTTTTAAAGTATTAGTAATATTTAAAGCAGTTTTTACAGTCTGGCATACTTTCATCAGTCAAAACTGACCTGCTGACATGATTTAAGACATTAGCTTTGAAACAAATGGGCCTGTCTGGTGTGGTTGTAATAGTCTGTGATCATTAGTTCACAGGAAAGAAATTCAGACTGAAAAAACCCTAATCTAGAAACATATTGTACCCAGGCAGGTAACAGATTGACGACACAGAATTGTGAAATGTGTGAAAAGATGAGGTCCATTTAGCACAATTTTGCAAGCTGCTTTACTGGACAAAGTGTTTTTTAAGAAGCCAAGGGACGATAAGAAACTGTGATGTTTCATGAGTTCTGCTTTACTCTCTTCTCGGATAAAAGAATAAAAGCAGCAGTCTGACTTAACCGTCTGACTAAACCTCACATCTTCATAAATAATGTCATAAACATTATGTCACATGCGAGATATTAATATGTCTTCACTGACACTGTCATCTATCGTCAGCTGTGGCATTATATGGCTCTCCATAAATGTGTCTATAACTGAGAATTCATGGGGTCATGCTGTAGTGTTTAATGTTACCCTGCAAATCAAAGAAAACCAACATTTATATTGACCTTTCTATTTGTGTTTACTCGTGGAAGCTGAAAACATCTGATCATTCCCAGTGTACTTAAATATCATTGTGTGCTTCTCACTCACTAACTGTATACAAGGGTTTAGCAGGTCTTTTTGTTATGCTCCGTTTGACCACTAGGTGTCACTACAGCTCTGTATCTCTGTCTTTTTCACTCAACTGTCTCTCATTTAAAAAAAATGACTGCGCAGTAGTAACAGTATAACTACACATTATGACGAAAGCGTTTGACTTCTTTCTAAAACATTAACATATCTTTTTTTTTTTTTTATTTAACCACATCATTTTTTTAAATCTTTGTGAGCATCTTTGTCTGAGAACCTTGTACCTTGAATCTCAACAGGTTTTATTAATCCAGTTCATGTTACAGAACTCTGCAAATATTTCCTTAACAAGAATTTTGGCACTTCAACTTTAAAGTTTCTTTATTGTTTTTCACAGGAAAGCAAAGTCAAACAGTACAAAAGTGTTCTATTTCTATTCCTAACAGAAAGGCAGTCTTATTTCATGTGATATAATGATATAAAGGTTGAAGCAATTAAGGCAAATTTTCCTTTTTTGAGAGAACAACTGGCACTCCTGAAGGCAAAGTCAAAACAGAGTAAAGAGAAGGGATACGAAAGCAGCAACAAATGCTTTTTTCAAAGATGATGCCTGGAATTCTAAGTTATTACAGTTTGTAAGTCATTCACTGATTGATTTGGGTGTGATAGTACAAATAAGTGTAAGCCAGTAACTTCTGTATTAAAAAGGTAGTACATTGCTTGATAATGGGTCGTAGTATTTTAAGTTTTTCAGATTTTGTGATTCTGTGTTTTTAACAGAATATCATGTTTGTACATTTTGGTCACTTTAGTGTTTGAATGGAGACATTAATGCTAAAAAAACCTTTTGCCTTTTTCACCACGTCTGAACTGTTTTGTCTGACACAAACTTTCCATGAGGTTCTGTGGCTCCAGGAGGCAGCAGTGCCAGGTACACCGGAGTAACAGCACCCTCCTCTGGTGATTTGGTGGCTTTTGGGCCCGCCATGTCAGTGCGCACCCAGCCTGGACAGCAGGCGTTCAGTAAAATCTAGGTGAGGAAAAAAAACATAAATTCATCAGAAATATGCTTTGCAACAAACGCTTTCACTAAAACTAAATTACTAAGACTTTTATTTTGATATAACTGTGATTACCCCATCATTTGGCCTTTCCTTGGACAGGCGACGAGCCAGGATCATTGACAGAGTCTGGAGAGAGAAAAAAATCGAGCATACATATAGTAAGTGTTTTTTATCAGTCTCTAAAACTTTTAGTGCCCAAATTTTAAGACTGAAGACAATAATTTCCCCAGATTCACTGAACTATTTTACATTTTAAGACCTTCAAACTTCCAACCTTTGTTAACTTAAGTTTTTAAAACAGAGTAATGGGTCATACCGTCAGCCCAGTTTTGGATATTCCATATGCCGTGTCAGGCCAGCCGCCCTTCTTGTGTTCGCCTGCCTTTGCCTCCTCAACAAATCTCTGCATCAGCGCCGACAGCTCCTCCTCAGTGATGTCCTCACTGCGGAAACGCTGCTGCAGAGCCGGGCTGCACTTGTTCAGAGCGAGCACGCTGACGAAGCTAGAGACATTCACCACACGGCCTAAAATACACACACCCACACAAGTTGATTCAATCTGGTATCTGCCAACTAGACCTATTCATGTGTTTCTCTAACAGCATGCCAAACCGATCTGCCCTGATTTAGAAATGCTGCAGAAATCACAAGTGATTTGATTGTGTGTTGTGTTTGTCTAAGCCCACATATTGTTAAAAACATGACAGGAACGGGCTCATTTTATCTCCTCTTCTAATTAGGTATAATTTCATTATGTACCAGCTTTGGTTCAGACAAAACCTCAAGAGCTATGAAATGCCAACAAGTTATCAAAAACATTTTTTTTTAGTTTAGTTATTCTGAATTCAGCCCAAAAAACTCTAAAATTGGAATGGTGAGTAGAACAGCCACTGGTGTAGTCTGCCAATTTTTAAAGCTGTAAATTAGGTTGTGCGCTGATCTGTGTATAAAAAAAACCCTGTCTGGTCTGAGTCCATACCTCCAGCTTTGATGATTGGCAGGAAGTGAGTCAGCATATCTTTGGTGGCAAAGTAGTTTGTTTTGAGTGTCACCTCAGCCTGGACACTGAATGGAGCTGGGTCTGCCACTGAAGAGAGAGCACAAGAGAGAGATGTTTGATTGCATTCAATTCATAGCTGTCATTTCTTGTCTCAGTGAGTGGAGTAGTCATAAAGGAGTGCAAATTGACACAATAAATTTATGGTTGTGTTTTAATACATGTAAAAAGTCGAGTTTCTGCCATACAATTATCTGCACCAAAGCTGTAAATGCAACCTGTCAGCTGAAAAGATATCCAGATCATTGATATTCAAGTTCACTTTGACCCCCAGCTGGAGCTCAGAGTCAACACTGAAAACACCTGACCGGAAAGTTAAACTCTTTTGATGTCACTTTGAATATTTTATGTAAGTTCTGTCATTCTTTCATTAAAAGTCTTTGAACATTTTCTCATATTTCCTAGTTTAACTTCTCTTTAATGCAAACAGGAGCCACCCCTGATGAAAAGTAACACTTATTCAAACTTTTTTGTTCCTTCTGCTGCTGAATGCTGATAGAGGTAACTGAGATTTAGACCTGTCCTCATAAACTTGTACTTAAGTTGTCTGAATTTGGCGCTTTAAAAGTTATTTTTATGACATGCCCCCAAACAACGGATTAGTAGTCACCTCGATTTCTGAGTACTGCTGTTGACTGTGTTGCCTGAATTACCCCTCTGAGAAAAATAAAGTTACTTGAATCTCTACCCTTCAGTTTATTTTTGTGTTGAAGCTGACAGACATTGACACAGCTTGTGTTAGACTTTATCATTTGTGAACAGTTTTGCAAAAGCAAGAACCTTTCAGGACTTGAGGAACTAACTCAGCTTTCTTAACTCGTCTTATTTGTTTTAATTTCCTTAGTGACCTTTATAATATGAGTACAATTTAGAACATTATGTTTATTCTGAACTTCTCTCAATAAGGACGCTGATTTAATGTGAAAAGTGCATTTTGATATTAATACTCTTACTGGTTTGAGGCAATAATGACGGAGTACAAAGGCAAGGTTGTTAAGACGTTATAAGTAAGTTAAAATTATATTTAAAAATACAAATTGTAAGTCAAATAACACCTCAGTGTCATTTATTTTTCCATAATGATACAAGAATGACGCTGCTCTCTAAGCTGCAGTGTAAGTAGTTCTTTCAATGTCTGTAACACAGTAGTGAGGTTGTTTTAAATGAGCATATATGATTGTCATCTTACTTTTAAATGCTATCCCAGCATTATTAACAAGGACGTCCACTCCCCCATACTTCTCTTTGAAGTATGTTGCTGCAGTCTTGATACTGTCCAAGTTGTCAATGTCCAGCTGGTGGAAATTGACCTTTAACCCCTCAGAGGCCAGAGACTGCACAGCTGCCTGACCACGACCACTGCACAAACAGAATTTAAGGTGATTTTAATTTTACTAGGACTTTATTCCCATTAGTTACCTTGATGCAGAAGCAATGGCTTTGAGTGCTTCTTCAATTTACAAATCACAAGTTAAATTTGTCTTTATGAACTTTAGCAATGCAGCATTCAAGTCATAACTACATCAATACAGACACACAAAAGATCCTTGTTGGTGACATTTTGGTGTAGAAAGATGGGAAGGCTTTATGCAGTACATCAGCCTGGTCCAGCTGAGATACTTACTTGTCTCTGGCAGTGAGGTAAATCTCTCCTTGATACTGCTTGCAGAGTGCTTGGACTATGGCAAGACCAATGCCCTTGTTACTGCCTGTTACCACGGCAACCTTGGAGGACATGTCTGCCAAAACATAAGAGATATATCAAATAAAATACAAAATCACACACAGTAGACAAAAATCATAATACATGTTTTGAAACATGAAAAAAAAAAGATGTACAACAATTATTATTGAAAAGTACTTTTTAACAATGGGAGTTAAGAATGCAGTCAGTCAGGTCCAAAGATAAGATAAAAAATAAAAATAAAAAACACAAAATTTTGCTGAGTCATGGTGACTCTTTTTTTTTTGTGTGTGCCAATTTTCTTGACATCTACAACACTGGAGATGACAGTCAAACGAGCATTATTTAAATGATCAGACATCCAACATGTTAAGATCATATCTCATATCCCACTGTGTTTTATGGTACACACAGTTCACACCTTAGAGTGTTCATTTGGTTTAAAAGTCCATGTTTTCAACTTTAAACTTAGATAAAATGAAAAGATCCCGAAAAACAGAAGTCAGGATAAAGTGCAAAGTCATGTTATCAGCATGTGAATCACTGTTTTGACCTTTATCCTGATATAAACGTCTTACCTGTTCAGTGTAAACTGGTTTTACAAGAATATTCACTGTCCTCAAATCGAAACTTTGACTTGAACTTGAAGGGTTTGGTCTGACCACAAAACATACATCTTACAATTCAAGGCACGGTTATATAATAAGCTAGATGATCATTTTCATAATGCACGTAAAACATAAAAAGAGAACCTTTTGCCTGGTTTCACATCACTGTTTTTGTGTTACATAAGCCTGATGTGATAAAAGAAGTGTATTTCGTTAATTAGACTTAGCCCAACTTCAAACAAATGTAAAACACGATACACCCTTTACTTGTAGCAAATGATGAAAACTCAAATGTGCAGTAGAAACGCCTTACTTGCAGTTTATCTGGTACAGCTGAGCTGAGTGAACCTGGGCTGCTGCACGCTGCAGAGACGAGAGAGGAAAGAGCTGGACGTTTCTCTGCGCAGTGCTAATGCGCGTACCCGGAAAAACAAGGTAACCACGTGGGTCAAGCTAGCTTTGAAACAGCAGCGCGGATCAAGATACGTTTCGAATGAGATACAGTTTAATGTTTACCGCATCTGGACTTAAACATGCCATGTATGTAGACTATATGATTAAGTCGATTATTACATTAGTGTCTTATTATGCACGCTGAAAATGATATGCGCCGGTTAAACTCTGAATGCAGGGGAGATGAAGTTGATGTTAGAGACTAAACAGCAACCTGCTCTCTTTAATGACAAACTTAGGAATTCAATGTACAGCTATTTTTGTACAGCTATATCTTTTAATGTAAAGGTTCACTGGAGATCACTGAAGAAAAAATGGTTGAACTGTTTGTTGTTTTAGTCAATATACATTCAATGAAATACAGCTTTGGTGACTCTTCAGATGTTTAGGTTTCTAAAAAAAAGTTATTTTTAATCTACGAGATAAGATCATGGATTACAGATAGGTCTTTGTTTAGTGTCTTACCCTACATTTAGCTTTTTTTTCCTCTGCTCTTATTGATATAATGTGTTGACACCGAGATTCACTTTGACCCCTATCAGTGAGGTTATTCTGCCAATTAGCTGTAAAAAACAAATCAATTCTTTTCTATTACAGGCTCACATTTAAAGCTCTTTGATAGAAGTGCTTTTGCAGGGATGGTCTAATAGACTATTGATTTTTTGGTAAACGTAACACATAACCATTTTAAATAGAAAAAGCATACATTATTCTGAGGATACTTCAGCAAAAAAAAGAAAAAAAAAGGGAGTAGGTCCTCTGAAAATTTGAGGATTTTTAATTTTTTTTAATAACATTTAAAGTTAAGACGATTATCTAGGTGAGAAAATAATTTTAGCTCTTCATCTCAAAAAAGTGACCAAAAGTTGAGTACTAAAGGAGGCCCGTTTGCCAACTACAGATCATGTTTTTTTAATACTTTAGGTAGTGGGAAGCTGTGTTTATTTGTGTTTGTTCACCAAATAGTGTGACAGGTTAAGTTTTGGTCATGAGGGGTCGACACTGTCGATCAGGACGAACTGGAAGGAAGAGGAGGCAGAAACAACAGAGTCATGTTGATTCAGGTATAGATTTAATTTACAGTTTTATCAATGCTTTTTGAGCACATTCAGGCGTCTTCTGGTCAGCCTAATCAACACTTTTATTTCTCTTTCTGTCTCTTCAGTGTCTCTGTGCCATCAGCCGCAGTATGTGAGGCTCATGAGGTTTCTTCACAAACAAGGTTTCGTGTCGACACTCCTTCAGCCAGCACTCTTCTCAGGTACGAGTCTACCTCTCAACCTTAGGGCTCATTTGTTATATAGGAAGAAAATTTTAAATCTGTTAACTTAACAGCATGTAGCAATAAGATAATAGCAGTATGTGTAAAATAGTCTGCTACCATAAATCAACATGAAAACTTTTCTGTGGCAAAAATTAGTTATAGTGTCCAATGACTAATGAATATAGCAGCCAGTCTGCTCTTCCAGGTCAGTTGTTTGATCAGGAATAAACCTATCACCGCACTCACTGTATGAAATTAACAATCAAACTGATGGACTGAAGGATACACTCTAAAGATCTTTTGTGCCTGTTTTGTTCATTCTCAATCCAGACACAGGCAGAGGACTGCAAACTCTAAAGACCATAAAGGTAAGTATCATAAAATGCAACATGGTATTTAACTGAATAAAACAATTATTCATTGTGTAAATACTTGTACAACAATTATTATTGAAAAGTTGAATACTTTTTAACAATGGGAGTCAAGAATGCAGTCAGTCAGGTCTGAGGATAAGATAAAAAAAAATAAAAAACACCAAATTTTGCTGAGTCATGGTGACTCTTTTTTTTCTGTGTGTGCCAATTTTCTTGACATCTACAACACTGGAGATGACAGTCAAACGAGCATTATTCAAATGATCAGACATCCAACATGTTAAGATCATATCTCATATCCCACTGTGTTTTATGATACACACAGTTTATAGCTTTAGAGTGTTCATTTGGTTTAAAAGTCCATGTTTTCAACTTTAAACTTAGATAAAATGAAAAGATCCCGAAAAACAGAAGTCAGGATAAAGTGCAAAGTCATGTTATCAGCATGTGAATCACTGTTTTGACCTTTATCCTGATATAAACGTCTTACCTGTTCAGTGTAAACTGGTTTTACAAGAATATTCACTGTCCTCAAATTGAAACTTTAACTTGAACTGAGGGTTTGATCTGACTGACCACAAAACATACATCTTGCAATTCAAGGCATGGTTATATAATAAGATAGATGATCATTTTCAAGGCAAGACAATGCACTTTTTTTCTTTTCTTACATTATATAAAACAGTTTTTGAGTTTTTAAAATCATAGTCTCCATCTGTTTCTGTTCATCTCTTAGCCTGGTCAGCTGCTAATATCTCTGCCAGAATCTTGCCTCCTCACGACTGCGACTGTCCTGAGCAGCAACCTTGGACATTACATCAAGAGGTAAACCCACATACAGGTTTTTCTTTGAAGGAGACAGCAGTAAATGTAAAAATACAAAGTATAAATTTGAAAAAAAATGTATACAGATACAGATGTGGATTGCAACACAAACCATAACATCTAGAGCAACCTGAAGGCCTATTCTCTAGAGCTTCACAGTTATAGGAATGTTTCTTTGGCTTTAAAACTTATAAGAGGTGTCAATTTGGAATTTTTTCGTATATATTTACACGTTAGGGTCGACTGACACTGTCATTATTTTTGTCCACGTAGTTGGAGACCCCGCCTCTCTCCTCTTCTTGCACTTTGTGTCTTCCTGGTGTGTGAGCGGCATCGAGGGGAGGCCTCAGATTGGTTCCCCTACATCAGTGTGCTCCCCACTTCTTACACCTGCCCCGCCTACTTTACAGATGACGTCATGGCTGTTCTGCCTGCAAGCGTCAGGAGGCGGGCTTTAGATCAGAGGGAGGCAGTGCAAGAAATCCACTCCTCAAACCTGGACTTTTTCAGGTGAGTCCAGCACACAGAGCACTGGAGGAGGATGAAGGAAAAACATCATTAACATTGAAATTGATTTCTACGGTCTTCTCTCTAGTTGTGAGCAATTCACTGAACGTCCTAGGTGACTTATTCTGTATTCAGATCCCTGCAGCTAATCCTGTCTCTGCCTGTTGAGGATGTGCTGACATATGAAGCACTGAGGTAAATACATGTTCAAGTTTTATTTGTCAGTCCGTCTCAAATCTTGACAAGTGTGCAGATATTTTATAGTTAAAACTTTAGTCAAATACAAAAAAAAGGCCTTTTTTGTTTTGGTGATGAACAGATAAAAGTAATCGAACATGAATCAATATACTGGAATTGTGTTTGTAAGTTTATTGACCTGTTGATCCCCCTTCCTCCAGGTGGGCATGGTGTAGTGTCAACACGCGCTCTGTCTTCATGTCCCATCCATCGAATGACTTCCTGTCCGGACAGGATGTGTATGCTTTAGCTCCTTTTCTGGACCTGCTTAACCATCGCCCTGATGTGCAGGTAAACTAGATTTAGAGCACTACAGTTTTTCAATATGTATATATAAAATATGTATAATAAATATGTATTTATTTATCTTTTTGCTAATTTCATTAAAGAAATCATTTTGTCTGCAGGTAAAAGCAAGTTTCAACAACACGACAAGATGTTATGACATCAGAAGTGTTTCTGGGACTCCCCACTTTCAGCAGGCCTTTATTAACTACGGCTCCCACGACAATCAGCGCCTAATGCTGGAGTATGGATTTGTTGCACAAGGAAACCCCCACAGTGTGGTTTATGTGGATACAGGTAACCCTAAAAGTTGCAAGAAACTGAAAAATCTGTTTTACCTAAGCAGCGATTCTTGGCGCTGATAAATGAGACTGAAGCAGAAGTGTAGAAAAACTGCAATTCCTCAAGTGCACGAGGCTGGAATTCCTGTTAATGCACATGTCAAAAGTAATCATTTTTACTGCAGAGGTAATTATTTTTACAGCCTGGCAGAGAGGGCTCAGGGTTTGTTTATAGGTGGCTCATTCCTTTATTTCTACATATCCATTTCATGATATGAAGTCTAAAAGCTATAGACTTGGCGTGATTGACAGGTATGCATGATGTAACTAACAATAATTATAATAATATATTTTTACGGGTGCTCAAAGATGTCTTACAAAGAAAAAGAAGAAAATAAAATAAAAAGAGACACAATTTAAAATACAGAAAATTTTGAGAAATAAAACCAATGATGTAAAAGGTTAAAAAAAAAGATAGCATGAGAAGACAATAAAAGAACAGTTCACAGGTTAAAAGCCAATTTAAAAAGGTGTGTTTTTAGGAGTGATTTAAAAGTATGGGGGTCTCTACAGTCTCGGATGGGTTTGGGGAGTGAATTCCAGAGGGTGGGGGTGGCAGCGGAGGAGTCTCTGTCCCCCCGAGTTTGGTGCTTGGTCCGGGGGGGTAAGGCAAGGAGATTTCCCTCTGAGGATTGGAAGGCACGGGAGGGGGAGTAGTGGTGGAGCAGGTCTGTGAGGTAGGTGGGGGCCAGGTTGTTAAGTGATTTGTGGGTGAGCAGGAGGACTTTGAATTGTGTGCAGTATGAGATGGGGAGCCAGTGCAGTTTTTGGAGGACAGGGGTGATGTGTTCTCGGGAGTTGGTGCGGGTGAGCAGGCGGGCAGCAGAGTTCTGAATGTATTGGAGTTTATCGTATTGGATGATGAGCCATGTAGTATGCTGTTGCAGTAATCTAGTCTGGATGCTTCCTAAAGCTTATGGCTTGCAGCAGTTGTACGCTTTTGACTGTTTCTCAGGTGAACGAAGTAAGAATGAGGCAGCATTTCTTATATGCTGAGCCCTACAGCTTCATAAATACATTTCTAGGCTTCACAACAGCTATTGTGTTTCTTGATACAGTCTAGGCTGTATGAAAACTTGATAACACTGTAAAATAGCAGGTCCTGTTTGATAAAATTAAGTTTACCATGAGACACATTTTGTGTTTTTGATCAAACCCAAAGTGTTTCATCTTCAGCATAATTACCCCTTAATTTCTGTTGTTTTACATTTGAAACTGTTAGCTTTAATCGATTGGTTTGCATTTCAAGTTTCCTTCGTATGATTATCATCCCTCAGATCTCCTTTGTGACGCTCTAAAACGCGACAGAAGTTTGGATCAGAAGATCAAGTTTCTCAGGGAGAATGACTTCCTCAAGTAAGTAGGGGTTCACTAGTTGACATGTTTCTCAAAATATTAGTTGACTACTCAATTACTCCTTAGAAAGACATAAAAAGAGTGGTACTAGTGCACATTGTACATCATACTCTGTGATGCAAATATCTCAAGCATCACACAATGATTTATCACGGCATTCAAAATCACATTTTATATGCATGAAAAGGAAAATAACAGGTTGTTTTTTTTTCTAAACAAAACACATCTTTAGCTGCAAGTCAGAGCCAGTGTCTGCCCCCTTCCTGTGGTATTGATGATTCAACTAGCTGACATTTAACCACAGTGCTGACAGGTTGTATAAGTAGTCAGCGAGTTGATTAGTTGTGAAACTTCTGCCAGAAAGACAACCCACGGTTGACATCAGGTGTAACTATTAAGTGTTATACATTTAAACCCTTATTGCTCTACTAGATATGCAGTATTTTTATTGCAGTGCTCAAGATTATTTTTTATTGTCATTGTTTTATTGTCATTGATTAAAAACCCAAACAAGCAGATAGAAGATAACCAGTGTACAGTCAGATAAGTTACATGTCTGAGGTTTGCTCTGAGTTTATTTAAAATTAAAACTGGTCAAAAGTTTTGATGTTTAAAGTCATTCAGCTTTTTTCTTTTTCTCTATAACCCCGTCAGTAATCTCACGGTGTCCAGTGAGGGACCCAGTTGGAGGCTGATGACTGCTCTCAGACTGCTGTCTCTGCCACAAACACTGTAGTAAGATCACACGCAAACACAAACACACACATTCGTTGATGTCAGTGCATGTGAGTCAAAGAAAAAAATAGCTTTACTAAGCACTTCTGGATGGATGCAAACTGCATTTCATTGCTTTGTACTTAGGACATGTGCAATGACAATGAAGTTGAATTCTATTCTATTCTAAAGGTTTGCTCAGTCTTGTATGATTGTTTCTGTAGTCACCAGTGGAAGGCAGTACTGCTCGGCCAGGCGGTGTCTGAAGAGAGAGAGGAATGGAGCTTACAGACAGCTAGAACTCTCTGTCAGTGTCTGCTACAAGACACATGCAAGGCTCTGGACAAGGTGTGTGAACACACACAAACTCACTTTGTATCACAAGATGTACAATGTCACAATTTTTCCCCTGTTTTCACATGTGTGTGTTCAGATCTTCTTCCTCCTTCAACATTGTGACCAACTGACCAGAGAGCAGCTGGAGGTGGTTCAGGCTCTAAGACAGGAGGAGAAGTGCATCCTGGGAAGCTGTCTCGAAGCACTTGATGGCATGTGGGGACAAAGAGATGGACTGTTGTCATGCCAACCTGATGTTGGCAGTGTGAGCTGACATCTGATTGGTGATATAATCTGCCAGTTGCTAGAAGCAAGGTTACTGGCCGGACAGCGTCGATGTTTCTGGTCTGTGTGTCAGCAATATGACTGACAGAAAGGTGAAAACAGATCAGAGAACAACAACAAACACTGTAAACACATCTGTCTCTGAGGACTGACATACCACTGCTATTAACCAGTTTACTTTTTGTTTAAAAGTAACAACAAGCCTATAACTGACATAAAACATTCAGATTTTTGAGTTCAAACACTTCCAGGTACTGAAAGAAAATTGTGCTGTTTTAATCACATGTACAAAAAAGAAAACACAAATATGCACAAAATTCGCATGTTTATGACTCACTATTCGAAACTGATCAGTTGCTTCTCAGAGAAATTGTCAACTCTTCACATCTTATGAGCATTCTTTCATCTTTTCAGCATCACATCCAAAATGATCCACTCCATTACTTAAAGCTGTCAGACATACAGATATATATGTTACAAATATTTATGACATGGACTGTCTGTGATGTCTTCCAAAGTAAAATGGTGAGAGACTTATCACATTAGAGAAGTGGATTTGGAGTCACAATCAAACAACCACAGGTAAGTTTGGAAGAGTACACATGGAGTTTACCCACAGCACAATCACTTGTTGTGGAGGAGGATCCTGGACATGAAACCAAGATGTTGAAATGGTTTTTTCCTCTTTTTTTAATGAATGAATGATAACAGGCCTTTTCATTACTATCTTCAAACCGCCATGAGCATGGCTCATCCATAAATAAAATTACATCCAGTTTGGTGGCAAACTCAAAAACTAGGTTTTGAACCATTGATAAAAATGTTGGGTGTCTTCTGACCTTTAGCAAACATACTGTAGAGTTTTGATGCTCTGTGAAACTGTTGTGACTGTTTTACTTGAAGAGATGAATGTTGCTGACTGCTTGCTTCTCCAATTATACCAACTTTAGTAACAACCACACGATAGCAATACACAGCAGTCTTCGTCTCCATGTGCAAACCTCAACCAAAAAGCCACTCTATAGAAAACAAATAATGCTCAGAACAGCACCTAACTTCACCAACAGTGCAAATAGGCTCCCAGCCATAGTACTAGCCACCAAACATCCTTTTAGCTTTGCCAAGTCTCTGCCTAGCAAAGAGACTAAACACAACTCGCCTACTCTCTTCCAGCAGCCACTTGTTTGTAGGGAAGCCCTGAGTTCTGCAGCTCCAGGACGAACATTTCAATGAACATTTGCTATCATCTGGTCGTTACTGAAGTTGGTATAACTAGAGAAGCAAGCAGTTGGCAACATTCATCTCTCGACGGGGTGTCTAACTCGGTGTTACGGCTTGACCATAACTTTTATTTATGCTGGAACTTCTCTTTAAAGAATGTAGACTGTTTAAGTGAACCAAATCAATTTCAAAAAAGAAAAACCAGAAAAGAAACTTGATTTCAAAGTGAATGAATGCATCTACCTCCATCACTCATTTCCTGTTAGATTTCTAATTTCATTTCCCTTTACAGACACACAGAGTTGTAAAGGAGTGTTAATCTTCACAACTGTTTACCTCAAAAAATCTGCTAAAGTGCCTTTACAAACGTGTCTGTATTGGAACAAACTTGCCTTTGTGGAAATGGAATAAAATACTTTTAATGTATTATCACAGAAAGTTATTTTGTTTTGGGGAACTTAGAATAAGCCTTCCAGTGCCTGCCAAGCAAACATTCCTGGTACAAAGAAAAGGTTGGCTTTTGACGATTAATTTAAAAAAAAAAAGTAAGCTGGAGACTTCAGTTGTGATTTCTCAATCTTAAACCTGCAGCATCAACGTGTTAAAATGATATATAGTATGTGCTCTGGGTATGCATGCTACTGATATTAGGATTCTTACAGACAATAAACAAGCTGAAATATCCACTGTTTGTTATACTCTACTTGCGGTCATGAACTGTGATCTGCAGAGAGAAGTGAGTCCAGTGAACAGTTTATGTTGTCTCATAGATCAGATGTACTTTGTGTTTCAGTGTTTTAGTTAGAGTTGAACAACAGCTTTTTTCTTCTGCTGACGCTGGACAGTCTCCATGGCGACTGTGGCCTCATAGAGAGGAACTGCTTCTTCAGGCTGAGGTCTGGAGGGACAGATTGAAACCAAATAAATTCTGTCAATTGACTTCTATGACAACATGTATTGTTAAAAACAGCAGACTGCAACTTCTGTTTTATGCCTGAAATTATAGTAAGAAAAAATGTCTCTATATAAAAGTTACCTTTTGCAGGATTAATACAAAATTTGGAAACTTTGGGATAAAATGAATACTTGTGGTTTGATTAAAACCCATAAAAATGTCTTTTAATTGAGTTATTTCAATCTGAATCTAAATTTCTGTAAGGCAGAAAGACCTGATATTTAAAGAAACTACTTTTCAGACAGCTACAAGATGGTGGGAGATGACATATTTCATTTGTAGTTTCCTACCTTACATGTTATTAAAGCTATAATTGGGTGGCTAAAAGAGATCTTATGGATCAAGGAAAGAGCCTTGAATCACATAGGATAACACGCTTACATTGAAAATTCTAAATAACACAAGAGATGGAAAGGTTCTGTTTTTTAAAATAATCAAACCTTGAAAAAATGGGAGGATTTAAATCAATCAGGAAACTTGAATTTCTAGAGTTTAATTTCCTGAAGTCCACAATTTTTTGACAGCACATCTCATATTTGTGCTGTGTTGAATTTATTATTTGTGAGCAGTATCTATGCATGGACAAACAGATTTAATATGGCTGGCATGTACAGCATCACTGAGAGGCTATTGTGTAATATTTAAGTTACCTGAGTACTCCAACTGACATCTTCTCCACAATGTCCTTCAAAATATCTGAGACGAGGCTGTTAAGGAAGAGGTGAGTGCCTGCAATTATGCGTATATACAAGCTTTCACTGTAGGAACAGGATACGCAGGTATCGTCCTTGCTGAGCTGATGAAGCTGTCCACACTTCATGATTCAAGAAAGTCATGGAGGCTGATTTTAAAAACAGTAATCTACAATCTGGAGGATCCAGCTGTTCAAAAATGTGAAAAAGAAAAGAGCACAGAAGTGATTAATTTCCCTTACGGGACATGCATTGCAGACTGAGTAGGTTTACCTTTAGGGTTCAAGGTTCACTGTATTGTCATTCAGGATGAAAACTGTTACCCAGGTCCAGCATTAAAATAAATAAATTGTATAGATAATAAGTTAAAAACCAATAAGACTAAGAGCCTAAAAAGCATAGTCAGTGAAACAGTTGAAAAAAGCAGCATATTAAGGAAGGTGATAATTCTATTGGACAGTCTTAGGACAGGAATTCACTGGGTTCACTTTAAACACTTGAACTGAACCTACTAAACCACCACAGCATACTTATGGAGAAATATCGATAAAAGAGTGTTCACTGGAGATGAATGACGTGCGCACACCCATGCTCAAGCTCCTGAGATGGACAACGACAAATCATGTTTATGGCTGGTTATGTATCCATCTTTCTTCCTTTATAGGAGTATTTAAGGTACAAATCCAGGCATTGATTAAATCACTTACCAAAATATATACAAATCAGTCTTAACAAAGCAGACACAAGGTAGGCTACTGTAGGGTGACTATATTCTGAATCGCACGTAGTAAACTTTGAGTTTTTCGGGTCGAGTGTTTTAAACTCCCCTAGACAAGGCCAGACAGCCCCCAAAAAAGAGGACATGTCTGAGTATAAAAGGACACATGGGCACCCTAGCTACTGTAAACTGTATATGTAGACACTGAAAAAAGGTCTTAAAAAGTTATAATACAAACTTATATGAATGTTGGTCATTATGCACAAGCCCTAGGATTGAAAGGCAAACTACATGCTGTAAGATTTGTGGATGTGTTCGTCTCATCAATTTTAAAATGATGTACTCTGTGTATGATGAAGCTTCTATTTCTGACACTGACTCACCTGCAGATTTTTGTGGGATGTTACCCAGTGCCCCCCCACTCCCAGCACGCTGATGATGTCATGCTTGTGCGGAAGGAGCATCATGTCCTCTGAGGACTCCTCTTGAAGACGGACTGCAGACAAGCAAACGGTGAAATAATATGTAATGAGATATAATAATGACATTTCAGTTGCATTGTATTTTATCTGCAGTTCCACACAGGTTAATTGATTATAGAGAGCATATATGTTCAACATTAGGTAAGTGTTAGCAGCAAACATGTTTACCTCCAGAGTCTATGACTATATCCACTCCCAGTCCTCCTGTCTCCTCCAAAACCACCGAAACCAGGTCTGAGGAGTCCTTATACACTGGGATGACCCTGGCTTTACACACAAAAACTCAATATCATGGGCCAATTCAGTAAATAATTCATAAAACCACTGAAAAGTCCACGCATAAGTACACATCTAAACACACATGTACTCTTGTCTGCATTACACATTGAAACTCACTGGAGTCACAGTGATTGCAATGTGGACATTATCCACATGGTGGCAGCAAGTGTTTGGTCAACCACACAAATTATTTGTTCACATACGGCAGTGGTTCTCAAAGTCGAGACCCACTGTCCTGCATGTTTTGGATGTTTCCTGCTCCAACACACCTGATTCAAATGATCAGCTCGTTATTAAGCCGTTACAGAGTTTGATAACGAGCTGATCATTTGAATCAGGTGTGTTTGGAGCAGGGGAACATCCAAAACATGCAGGACAGTGGGCCTCGAGGAATATCACAAGGAAGAAATCTGTCTGTTCCAACAGCTATTTACTCCAGGAATGAAAGGAAAGCAAAATAGGAAAGAGAGTAAGTTCGTTACGGACTCAGAAAGAAAAGATCTCACCTACTAGAGGGTCCTGCACACCTGAGGACAATGTGAAAAGAGAAGAAAGAAAGGGAAAGGAAGAAGAAAAAGGAAAAAGCAAGGCAAGAGGTGAAAGAGGCTCAAAAGTATTAAATGATTTTGATCTATAAATACTGTAGATGATTCTGAAAAAGCTTATGCTACCAAACTCCACACATCCAAACTTGTACGTACCTACACTTGGACGAAGCTGCTCCAAGAATGTGTGTGTTTGCGGGGTGTGTGACGTTGTAAGAACTTTAACTCCATGGTAACAAGCCAGCTGGATGCACATGAGGCCAAAAGACTGAGGTAGGAGAGGAGAAGGCAACGTTACAGAGGTATGATCTGAACTGAAATACATCTTTGTATACATCAAAAGAAGCGTATTATTTTAACATACACTGGCCCCATCCATGACCAGGAGCGTGTGTCCAGCTGCCATGTGAACATGTGTGTGTAGAGCGGTGTAAGCACAGAGGCCATCCCGCAGCGCTCCTGCTACACACACTGAGCTGAGTTTTTCAGGCTTCTGGACTAAGAGAATAAAACACCAAAACACACACATGCATGTTTAATGGATGCATTTGCAATTTTTTTGTGAGGGGTCTAACCTTTCTGCTTCAAATGATTTGCTATGAAACCACAAGGATGACCATGACTCTTTTTTTCTCATTTTTTAAAGTATAGCAGTTGAAGATGAAAAGCATGGATTGAATAGTCAGTTCAGAAACCTGCTGTGTCTGCTATCCCTTTGGGCAGAGTGGAGAATAGTTTGATCTTTTAGATGTGACCTAGTCTGGCTTTTCTGTGAGCTGGAGCTTCTCAAAGACAAACACGGCATTCTAACAGGAAAATTTTATCTGTGTAAACTGAGTGTGAAGAGAGCATTTGTGTCTGAACAAAATAATTTGACATCAAATGTGGGATGTGTTTGGGTTTGTACATTACCTAATAAATGTTCATCAATATCAATGGTATCACAGAGTCCAGAACAAGGGGAGTCCAGAGGCAAGATCCCTGAGAAGAGAAGCTTGATTTAAGATGGAGCTTTTTAGATAAAGAGTGTGTTATGACTACACCATGAGTACTATTGTTATTATATAAAACAAACAAAATAAGGATGTAGGAATTCATGTTTATTTCATTCAGCCAAAGAATTTTCTTTTTTTTACTAAAACAGAGTTGAAAAGTGTAGCAAATATCTACAAATTTTCTGCAGATACTTTACAAGTCTCTTATTGACTTAAATATGATGTGGATTTTGTGGCATAAATAAGAAGAGTCAAATACTGACTTAGGGATATACATCATTACATTTTGACTATAGCTACTCTCTAATCCCATCATATTGTGTCTCTGATGATGCTCGTGCTATGCATTCCTCTGGTATTCTATTTTTTACTTTTGTGTCCTTTATTCAATCATGATCAAAGCTTAATCAAGATGAAACAAGTTTAAACAACAATAGAACACGAAACAAGATTTATTGGAGAGGTCACATAATAGAAACAATTCTTACCTACCACCTCGTCATCAGGCTGGAAGAATGAAACCTTGTTGCCCACTGCAGAAAAAAAAACAGCAGTTAAGACTGGTGTAGATAAAGTCTATGATGGCTCTTAATCTTAATATAAAAGAATATATTTTTAAACAGTCATGTATCGACATAAAAAAACAAAAACTGTTTTTTCAAAACCTTGCAAGACAACTCCGGCCACCTCTCTGCCGACTGGAATCAAATCTCTCTGAATTCCCAGATCCTCAATCAGCTGGTGTAGAAGAGAGAGGTAATTACAGCAGTCACACAATGAAGAAACATATTTTCAATCATGTACAATATGAATTGTAAGTAATGTTACCATTATGGGACACTATGCATTAGTTACATACATAATTTCTTATATTTTTGATACTGATCTGTTACTGTTGGATGACATGTCATGCCAAAAAAAAATAGTTTTAAACAAACGGAAATGCAGTGTTTTAATCAATGTGTTTTCACTCGTAGTAATAGTTTTATCATCAAACTTTTACATTTATAATTTCAATTAATCTTTCAAACTCTTCACATCCTGTTGTGATGTCTTAACAATGCTGGTTTGATGGTATTTTTGATGCTATTTTTTTCATAAAGCTTTGTGGTATATTTCTGTTTTTTTTTGTTATGTAATTGCAAATTTAATATTTTTTTATCAATTCAAAATAATTTTCACAGCTCCCTTTGCATCTTCAACATAACTTGATGGGTCAAAAAATATGTTTTTAAAATTTTAATAAAAGGAGAAAACTCTGGTTTTATTATTGTCAGATAACTTTCTAATCAAGAAACCATATCAGTTTCAAATCGATTCATTTTTCAGTACCTTGAGATCTAGTGGGCTGAGTCCACATGCTTTTACTTGAACTCTGACCTGATGGCTGCCTAAAGTTGCTGGAAGGCTCTAGAGAAAAACAGTAGACATAAACCATCACACAAAGAGAAAATTGTTTTTAAAATTGTTCTGGTGGCTTTAGAGACACAGACAGTCATCATTACCCGCACAGACAAAGACATTGGAGACAAAAAATTGCTGGGTGTACAGAAAGATGGATTGTAAGGTATAAAATGTGGGTGCAATTGCAGCCTGAAGTCTGTCATCAATGTCATCACCATCAAACACGATACACTATCATGCACTTTGTTATGCGTCAAAACAGGGTTTTAAACTCATCAGTGTTTTTGAAGTTGTGGAAAAATGTCCTGTGATACAAAAACAGATGTCTGTGAATGGAGACAGAGCTTGACACATGCAGATAAGTATGTCCTGAATTTGTTTAAATGGTTTAATATGGAGTCTTTAATGACAGACGTCAATAATTCATTCATTGTTTTCAGCCTGTAAGACCCTGAATCATAAAACATTAGACACATACTTACCGTTTCCTGAATAACGAACTTGGGCTCAGCATCATTCACACTAGCTCGGTAGTACAATCCTTTCATACTGTAACACCTTTAATCTCTACTAGAAGGTAGCTTGAATGTCTCAAATATTGAAGGCTTTACGGTTATTCTGTTTACGGATAAGTTATTTACTTTCTCCTGTACCAGAAAAGATGTATTATTGCTCTGTCCCTGGCTGGAATCAGCTGACCTCTTCTTCTTCTTCGCTGTTTACAAATGTGATTGGTGGTATTGGAGTTTCATAACAGCGCCCCTACCGGATCTTTTAGATCCCTACATGCACAGAACAGATTCATGTTTATGTGCAAAATAAAAGTTTTTAACGCCAAACCCCGACTCCCGATAAAACGATTTTGGGTACAACTTTCGCGTTTGATAAACTCTGAAAATTCTGGGCTGTAACCCCTCTCAAAATGTAAAACGATATACTTTTTAAGACATCTTTCTCTCACATGATCAAATTACTTGTAGTCAGCTCAGCTTCCAATACATCTTTTATGTTTTATTGTGCAAAAATGAATTTGTGTCTCTCTTGTAGGTAACATCTTTCTTATTTGTTTGTTTTGTTCATTTAAGAATAAATTGTTGCCTTGTTATTTTACTTTTTTTTTTTTTACTTCGATTCTTTGATGGATGGATGTAATTTGATCCTTAGTACACCCCCATCCATTTGAGAGGGACCCTGGCTGCAGCTGGGTACTCTTGATCCATTTCCACAAATTAACAAAAGCATTTCATTTCCAAGTTTTAATTTTTTTTTTTTTGGTAAATATTTTTTTCATTTTCTTTTAATAATTGGTCTAATTTTGCTGTCAGATGGCATGCTTTGAGCACGTTTAGACTGGCAATTTTTTTCAAAAAGATTGTAAAACTGTTTTTTTTTTAATCCTTATTTTTTCACTGGTTTGTCTTTTTAGTGACTTTTTTGTAGATCAGGAAAAAAACATATGCAGTTTTACTTTGCGAACTTGCTACAAGACTTATGTGCAAAAAAATATAACCGATATTTGGTCTTCTTCTAATAAACAGTAGTCGTTGGGGACGCAACTCTCGAAACCTTTAACCTCGCAGCATCCCTGCCGTTTCTGGGCGAAAAGCTTACAAAATCTCGCGATATTGCACTGTTTTGAACCTAAACTTACGGTGATATCTCGCGATACCTCTGAAGCGTTACCCCATTTTCCAGCTGTCCCTCAGTCGGTCGGGATTTCAGAACCACGGGAGAATCGCCGGAAAGGGCTTCGGTGATAAAACAACACCTCGTGGGGGAATATACAACATTCAATGTCCATATAAGCGCCTAAAGAGCTACTCTACCCAGTATTTCACAATGGAAACTGAACTATGAGGTAAGAGCGGAGTATAGTATGTATGGTGTGAAAGAATGTCCCTGAGCGGGCAGACGTTAGCTTCTCATTGGTTAGCCAGCCTGCTAGCCGCTTTGATAGATGCATTAATGCGGTTTGGTTGTCATTTTAACTTTATGGAGCTTGTTTATATCAGAATGTAATTATGATATTCACATGTTAAGGATGCGTATGAAGGTGGTCTGAGTAACAAGAGCGGGGTGGTACGAAACTGGAAGAAGATGCAATCCAGCGCAGAGCAGCAGTTAGCCACTATGCTAATATGAAATCACTGCATCTGCCCTGCCTGCCTGTGACCTGACGCTAACATTGACGGCTGCTGCTGCTTGTGGTTAACCTTGCCTGGTCGGTTGGTGGTACGATGATGAAGGTTGATACAAGTGTTGCGACTTACTGGGTGGAGTTCTTCATGACAAGCCTGTCGTTTGCTGACATTCATCCTGATGTTAGTCACAGCTGCTCACCTGGCCAACCTGTCCAGTCAAAACAAACCTGAGTGTCTCAACATCTGCCCGAAACCTTAACAAGCTTGTGGGTGTTGCGAAACTCTTCACTCCAAGTTCATTTAAATATTTCAGGAAGTGATGCTGAATCAACAAACAGATATTTCCTGTTGCTGTAGTCTTTCGTTCTGGGAAAAAAGCACACTAAGTTTGTAAAGGAGGTATTCTTAACTTTCCTCTTGAATGACAAGACCTGCCAAGCTCCACCAGTGAGGGCTAGTTCCCATGGTAACGTAGATACTGAAAGGCCTGGAGAGTTTGTTTGTTAGTCACGTCTATAAACGCTGCTTACCATGCTGATAAAATACCAAAATCAGCCTTTTCATCAGCATTGTTATTGACCTACTTTGAATATTCCACGAAATTTGTTCCACGGTTTGTTCATAGACTCTTCCAGTGTATGAAGACTACTTGTATGTGACATAGTAGCTGTTTTCCATGACTGGCAAACTGTGGGGTTTGTTAAGAGGGATTATCTTGATAAGGGCTGGAATAATGTATTGATAATTGCTCATTGGTGGAATATCCATTTTGAAAATTGACCAAATGTTATCAAGCAATATTGAGATCTTAATTTTCAGTAACGAAAGCCAAACAATTCTCTTAATTTTTCTCTCCATTTTCTTCTCTTTATTTGTCTTAAATACCTGTCTTTGAAGACAGTTACCCACCAACTCTCAGTGATGCTAGTGTCCACTTTACTGTCCACTTTAGACCAACATTTTGTTCTGTTACTGAGCTTACTCTTGAGCAGAACAATGGACCCAGTACTAGAATTTAACCGAATTAGTGGTTCAAAGGCCAAATATTCTCTGATCCCTCCTGAAATACAAGCTTGTTTATCAATACAATGCAATTAAAACAATGTAAAGTACCTACATTTGAGAAGCCTAAAATAATGTTATGAATCTCAGTATTTTGATGAATATTGTTATCAAGCTTTTGGCATCTTTGGCAGTGAAAATCCACAATGAATGCCTAATGCAGTGGTTCTCAAGTCCAGTCTTGGAGGCCCACTGTCCTTCATGTTTTGGATGTTTCCCTGCTTCAACACACCTGATTCAAATAATAAGCTTGTTATCAAGCTCTGTAATGGCTTAATAACGAGCTGATCATTTGAATCAGGTGTGCATGTGTAAATCATACCTTAGGACACTAGTATTATGCCACTGCAGGGTCTAATGTGTGGATTCAAAAGCATAGTGATAGCAGAATGTCCTCATGATCCTGTCAGGGAATAGCTGTATATTAGGGAATCACATCTAGTCAGGTGTGGGAGCATCCTTTCATGTCAGTGAACCATCTGAAGGGCATTTGTTTTTTTCAAAAGCTAAGCTGTTCAAGATGAGGCTCAATCTGTGAGTAGATGCTGTGTCCAGCACTCCTTTTCTGATTACCAGTATCACTGGGATTCAGCTGTCAAGCTTCAAGTCGACAAAACCCAATGACACTGTCTGAGAAGAGTGAATCAAAGCCGGTCTACAGTAAGCCTCTGGAAACAAAAGCTCATGAGAAAATTCACAGTAATGCCACAGAGGCCCTGAAGCGCCACTTCTGTTGAGCAAAGGAAGATGTATCTGCTGAGAAAAGGCACCACTGTGAGATCTCTAAGGGTAGCAAAAGAAAACCAAACATACACTCTACATAAAGAAAGAGGGGGATATCATCTTAGAAGAAAAATACATGAAGTTGCATAGCACCTATGAAGGGGGCCGATTTCCTGTGAACCAGGTCAGGTCACAAGAAAGGGAGGAGAGGAAAGGACCTCAAAGTCAGTGATCCCTGAACCTCAGTCAGCACACCACAGGAGAGCAAAGGGAAGAGGGAAAGCAGGGAAGCTAAACCATAAATAGGATCTGGATCACTGGGTTTTTGTGACTTCTAAGAAAGGTAGCAGGCAGCATGTGCAAAGTTTAGTGAGATAAGGGACTCCTGAGTGGATTTCAGTGGTGTGGCAGAGAAGGCATGCTCTGGAGAGGGGTCCTGAGTCATCATCCTATATAGAAACTCATTTTTGAATTTCACTACGTGGGATGAATAAAAGTTTATCTCATCTTATTTGATCTTATCTTAAATGAAGGCTTGTAAATTTGTTCCTTCAGGGGATAAATTAAGTTTTTGTCTAGTTGTGTTGTATGTTTACAAAAGAGTTTAGGCTGATGGGTCTGGTAACTCCAGACTAACAACATCACATTATGAAAAGATTTTTCAAACTGCAGTGCCAAACATATTTAAATCATGTTCAATAAATAGTTCTAAAACGTATATCTGCACGTCTACTCCAACTGTTTTAAAATGACCAAGATTAGATACACATTCACATACATATAAAATAATAATAATAATAATAATAATAATGATAATAAAATGTGCTTCAATTTTAATTTAATGCAATCTTAAATTACTTGTTGTGATACTGATTTGAGCCCTTATCACCCAGAATTAGTTCTGTCCTGTTTCCATAGAGATGCCCACAGCAGATCCTCCAGACATTGCGGTTGTCCATGCCTGTGACAAATATCTGAGACGGATATCTGCTGAGTAACTTTCATTCATTATGAAGAAGGTCACGATGAAGCTCCACGCTGTTTCCTTAAGCGATAGTTAGATATTTCTGCTTCAATGAGCAGCAGGTCTGGAGACGCTGACGCCCATGGAAAATCAACAACAATAGAAAGACTGCCAACGCATGCTTGAGAAAGGCTGTGGCTAACATTGGCAGAAACGTTATTGAACATCCCTCCCTGAGAGACCATGACACCAAAACATCTTGTGCAGATAGAGTGAAAATCGCAGAAGGATATCAAATGTTTGAGCCCTGAGCAGATCCTTCAGAAGCACAGAGGGTGAACTTAGTTGTTGTGTGATTAATTGTTTAGTGTGCCAGCTCAGGAAAAAAAAAATTAGTATAAATGTTTTCAAAGATAAACTGAACACTGGACATCAAACTGGTGCCATTTTCTAACCTTTTATGTTTTTGAAAATGTTCGTTTTTCATATGTTAGTTCTGTTGGGTCATGTAGTGCAGTTGGGACACGCTGATTATCACTAAGTAATACAGTGAGGGGTCTTTTTATCTGCACAAACTTGACACTTCGAATTGGCACTATGAGACAAATCAATTATGATTGTGTTTTCATGATGAACATACAATAACAATTAGAGAGATAAAGATTTGAACTACACAAGCATGAGGAAGATTTTAATGAGAGAAAAAAAGGTGCAAAATAAAATTTGTTAAAACAAAAAACAAGAGATGGCAGCATGTAATGTGAGAAAAAGTGAACAAGTTACCAGGAAAAGTATGAGAGAAAGCTTAGTGACCAATAGTCTGTATCACAACAGTACAAATTTAAAAAAAGGTATGTTGTTGTATCTTGCATGCTGTGTTTTATTTGTGGGTTTGGTTTGCTATTAGGGCCTGCATTAACAAACCATAGAGACTAGCAAGTATGTTGTTATGAAGGAATGGGAGGGATGGTGTGATGATAACAGGAGCTGATGGAGAGACCGCAGTAATAATCCTGCGTATGTGTGTGTGTGTATGTGTGTCAGGTGAGTGGGTGGGTGTCCTGTCAACTCTCAGGCCTCACCTTTTGGCATCAGTGTGATAAGAATGTGTTTGAAGAGAGACGGAGAGGGAAAGACAGAGCTCAGGGTCAGTGTCAGGGAGTGTGCTAAGAGCCAGTGATTCTTCAGTGAGTGAGCGAGAAGGCAAGAAGAGACTGTGAAAGTGTGTGTGAGTGTGTGTGGTCAAAGTCGAAGTTGTGTGTTAAATGCAAATGTGTTTTGAGTGTGTGGGAGTGTTTTTGTGTAAGAAAGCTGATGAGGAGAAACAGAAGTTATGAACAAGGTCATTAAGATTTCTGAAGCATCTACAAAACATTCAGTTATCAAAAAATAATCTTTTCAAAAGGCATGAATTAAACTATCAGTCAAACCTTGGGTTATTAATTTTGGTCTTTGAGTAATCTTCCTTATAATGACTGTGACTAAGAAAACTGGTCAGCCCCTTGGTTGGCCCTCATTTCACGGCAACACTCGTTTGTGTTGGGTTAATAGGGTTACAGTTAGCCATTATGAGGTGTGATGAGACTTGCTCATTGACATAAAAGTGCTACTTCCCTTGAAGGCCAGAAAGTAGTGTCTGTTTGAGAGCTGCTTTTACCAAACCAAGCTAAGCTGAGCCTAATTCAGCTATGAGAGGTGATCAAACTTGATTATCAAGTTTAATTTTATTAAAAAAAGAGAGCCCTGTTTAATGTAGCATCCAAGTAAAGAATCTACGCACACATGAAGAATTAGCAGTGCTGGGTAATAAACTGAGCTGTGTGTTTAGTTTGCTGACAAGACAGCCTTTGGTTTATTGACATATCTGGAAGTGCAAACAAGGAAGTAACTAGTCAAAACAACATAAATAAGCTAAAATATTTCCGTCAGAGTTGCGCAAGTAACCCAAGGTGAGTATTTCCAAACCATTTAGCCTCTAAGGCACCCTGATGGTGTACTATCTCATCAACGGGTATATAAAGGGATTATTACATTAGTGGTAAAGCTGAGATATTTATCCTCACATGTGTTTGCTATTATCACTCCTTTTTTACCTTCTACATATCAGTATTAAGTGCAACCATAGACTGTAGATAGACTGTTTATTGACAGCATCTGCCTGCTTGCTGGGTGAAGCCACCCTGAGAACAGCACCCTCTGTTGATGGGCTGCAGTATAGGTCATAAATCCCGCCTCCTCCAGCAATCCCTATGGAGCTGTGGACAAACTTTAGAAATTTATTACACAAATGATACATTTTTCTCCTCCCTTGTTGCTATTTCGACATGTAGTTATTGTAAGACTGGCTTGTGCTCAAGTCCTCTTTTTTTCTTTACAGCTCAGTTTTTAAAAGTTATTAGAGGGTTCGTGTTTTCTAGGATTGACACTTCATACAGCCTATGGGTGTGCAAAGATTGCGTAGCTCACCTGGGGGATACGCTGTTTGTGCAGAGTGTCATCACAGCGACTCTCCCGCCGAATGCGTACAACGTTACTGCGCAAGTGGTGGTTCGAGAGCTATTCGGCTTCAAATTCGTATTATAATTGAAGGCGAAGCCAAGTTTTCCATGGTATATACAGTCTATGAGTTCAACACACTGATATCAACAACTGAGACGAAAAAAGACAAATACCCGGGGGAAAATTGAGAGCGATCAATCAGAAATTGTAAGACTTTTATTACAGTATATGTTGCATTAATGAAAAATGATGCATCGTATTTTCAGAATATTAGATCAGTTTATCTTCAGATGGCATTTTGACAAATTGACAGCGCAGCAGTTGTTGTTTAGTGTTTTAAACTGATGCGTGTGAGAAGGAAAGGGGATATTAGAGGGGTCAACATGAGGATGAGGGGGAGGGAGACAGAGTAGTGAGTGTGAACCCCAATCTTTAACATGCTCTAGTCTGAGGCTACCCCAGAGTGTGTTTGTGTGCGAGGGGCTTAAAGTGGCATCTGCCACCAGCCTTGACATCAGACCACTCTAGTGACATCCCAGTGCTCCAATTATTAGGACTAATCCCTCAAACACAATACATGAACACAGGGAGATAAGAGCATAAGGTACACAGTCACCGACTCCAAAGAAAATATCAGTGTTATTGAACTCAGGAAGAAGGTATAGAGTCCCTCTATGTAAACACAACAGATACAAGCACTCATTCATCCCACTGTCAGTGAAACTCATAAATGATCGGATAGTACAGGACAGACGGAGACGATGATAAGAGGTTAAAGGATGTAATGCTGACTTTACACAGATGTATTGCACTATTGTGACTTTTGAGTATATCTCCGCGTTTTTAGCATTACCATAAATTGTATATATTGTCTATCTACCCTAATTATCTATTTATTAACTTTTGCATCTCTATTGATTATGTAATTGCTTTGTATTTTATCCACTGCTTGTATATTTATTAATTGATTTTTTTATGGAAGTGTTGTCATGTGAGTGTGTGGTGAAATGTGTGGGTTGTCTGGTCTGCAGCAGACCCCTCTATCCAAGATAAATTTCTCCCATGGGAGACAAATAAAGGCGCTTTGATCAAGACTGCTACAACAACAAACCACTCAATATCTGCTGTAAGCAACTTTTAATTGAATTTACATTTTTGTTCAATTAATCATTTGTTTGAACATTCTCTGTTTGCTCATAGACAAACATTTGCTGCAAACTGAGGTACATGTGCCAATTTAGACCCAAATGCATGTCCAAATACATGACCACAGAATACTCCTCACAGCTGGTAACATCAGCCCATACCCCCATTGGAATAATTGGAAATGCTGCTTTCTAAACAAGGACTACTTTGAACAAATAAACTCTGTTTCTCAAGATGATAAATGAATACTGCAGGCTTAATGTATGCAGTGATAAATGAAAAGGCAAAAAAAGCTAGGTGTGACTCTGTAATTCCTGTTTATAATCCTGGGTGTTGTTATTTTTGCTGTCTTTGTAGTTGGAGGTTGAATGTTGATCCTAGGCAAATGTCACTTTGATTCACAAGCACAAGCAGCTCATTTACTGGACAGAGCTTTGGCAACCTGACATGATCTCACCAGACTTTGGCAGCATGACAAGTAGTAGTCCTGGTTTGCTTTATATAACCATCACCTAAGGATAAGACTGTACTCTGTTTCATTTATCTCCCAGTGTACTGATGTGCTGTACTTCTGAATTAGTCAAAAATGGAGCTGAATATATGAGCCTTTTACACTCTTGATTTTGAGTGTTACTGTGAACGCCACCGTGGAGCCAGCTCAGAGCTTTATCGGTCAATGCTTTTCTATATACTAAATTTTTCTGAAGTATTACACTGAGACACATCACATGTTCCTGTGCATACAGCTTCTAGGGTTAAATGTAGATATGTCTACAGCTTGCTAAAATCTCAGCAACAACTTTGCACTTAGTAGGAGTGGGAATCACTAGTGGCCCCACGATACGATATTATTATGATACTTGGACCACGATACAATGTTATCGCAATTCTAAAGTTCCTTTCACACCGGGACCGTTTTTGTCGTGCGATTATTTCGGACATCAATTTTTTTTTTTCGAACCCATATCCTGTCAATACAAGCGTTCACATCAGTGACGTTTTCCCATCCTGCGATATTGCAGCATTTATTTTTTCGAATCATGGTCGATTTTTCTAAAGTTTCGCAGACTGTGTGTCCACTTCTGACCAATCAGATTGCGTGTTGTTGCAATGTCAGATTCACCGGTATATCCAACATATCCGACCAGCTGATTGTTTACGTGTCGTAAACTGAGTGTATTTTGAAAAAATAAAAAGTAATCAGAACTGAAAACAATCGGCGACCATGGTCCAGTTTCAGCTCCTGAACCCAGCAGTGTTCTCTTCTTTTTTTGTAATATTGGATGCACCCATGTGCTACGTTTCTTTTTCTTTTGAGAAAGCAAAAGAAATACCAATTCGCCATCACTTGAAGTTAAAGTAGACTCCATTTTTGTCTTCTCGCTTCCACCCGGGACATTGTAGGATGGTAAGGGAAGGTCCCGCCCTCCTATGCCTCTGATTGGCTCAAAGTGCTGACTGTTTGGCTTGAGCGTGTGATGACATATCCAGCTATTTTAGCCGATCAGAGGTGAAGGAGGCGGGACTTTACCCCGGAAAAGTCTTCCCCGGGATGTGTCTTTTTTCCCCCTGGAAAGTCGCAAAATCGCATCAGGCTTGATGTGTATAGTCAGGCACATCAAACTTTGCCTCTGAATATTTTGTGATTTCGTGTTCTATATTCGTGTCGGCCCTGGTGTGTAAGGACCTTTGGCATTTTGCAATACAGTGACTACTGCGATACAATTTATTGCGGTTTATACAATTTTTTCAACTGTTTAGCTAATTAGCATTTGTCTTTCCTTTATGTTTGTCTTCTTTACGCAGTATTTTATTTTGATGTAGCACATCTTGCAAACCTTATATGTTTGTATTTGTTGTATTAACTTTCTCCTGCTCTATGATGTCACCTCTGCCAACCTCACTGGACAAACAGTTGTTCTTATTATTACAATATCATGGATTTGACTTCATATTAGCAATTAATTTGAAAAAATCAATACCAGGTAAATGAGACGATACAGTATATCACCAGACAAAATATCGCAATACTATGCTGTATCGATTTTTTTTTTTTCTTTTTTTTTTTTTTTTTCTGGGTCTGCCACAGCTGGTGACCTCTGCAGGTGATTCAGCTCTGAGGGACACACAGATCATTTTGAGACCTGTGTTTTTAGTAAACATCCTGGCATGTTTTGCACCACTGTGAGTACAGTGACGCAGCAGGAGAGCAAACCAGGGTCATCATCGTGATTCATGGCCCATAATGTCACCTTTAGAGGACAGCACTAATCGTTTTTCTGGAATAGGTCAAACCGTTTTCTTGGAAACTTAAGTGACGTTACCAAACAGTCATGGTCAAGTTGGTGGCCCCCTGTCTTTAAATATGCAATCTGCAAAAACATGAAAGGATATTCTTCTTTTTGTGTTATTTGATAAAGTGATAACAAATAAAAGTTTGTCGTTGTTCTCCTGCAGTATAATGGTTAAAACCAGATGAAACATCTACTGTTGAACCGCCTCAGTGTTTTCCCGGTGGCAGCCGTGAAAGTGTGTTTCTGTCTGTGAGTGTGTTTGTGTAGGGTGGGCTTTGTTCGTCTGACCTAGTTAAGCTGGTTACTTTGTCCTCCTGCTCTGATGATAATGAGACACACACACACACACACACACACACACACACACACACACACACACACACACACACACACACACTAAAACCCTTCAATAGGCCAAAGACAGCTCTCCACTAAAGAAATGCTAACAGTGAAACTGTATGTAGGAATGACAATAGAGACGGGGATTTTGGTGCTTTGAACTCTTTGGACTTCATCTCATTTCTCTTCACTGTTAAGATTTGGGGGCCTGAGACTCAGAAATCAGAATGTTCATTGAATATCATAACCAACCCTGCATGAGAAGAAACCCATCAACCCCTGTTAGACTGAGTGAACTGACCCTTCATCTGCTGTTCCTTTAATCGCTCACTAAGAGAACCAGATTTCTGTTTACATCACACCAGGATAAGAGTCACCAACCCACACATGTGCTCACACACCCTCACTAAGTCCTCGTCTGTCACAATGTGTGTCGGATTATAATTATTATGGGTTGTCTGCCGGCCAAAGTGATACAAAGGAGGGAGGCAGGTCTGGATCTGATTAACATACCTCGAGGACAACAGTATGTTACACACATATGTGGATGTGTTATTGTATGTAGGACGCTGCTTAAAACAGATTATACAAAGGTCAGACCTAAACCTTGATGACATTTGGATATTGTGAGCTTCTCAAGACATAACATCTGACTGCTATATGTTTTTAATCACAAGGGTTAGGGTCCAATGAGGATATCAGGTTTTTGACTTTTCTAGTTACATTGCTGAGTTTGAGATTACTCATACACTTTATAAAGAGCGGTCCGTTTTTCTGTGTTTCTGCCGATGAAATTGTACAATTTCAGAGAAATCCAACTTCTTTATGACCACTTGTCCTTGTTGTCTTTTAGTTTCCAGTTTGTAGCCTGCAAAAAATGGACTTTACAACAACACCAGTGGAGCCACAAGAAAGAAAACTGGTGTACACTTTATTCAGCTCCCAAGTGAGAATGTGTGTAAATGAGTGAGTGTGAAGCAGAAGGGGGCAGAAATCAGGCGAGTATGCTCAAGCAGCCTGCATAAATAAATGTCTCCTGCCCAGTTGACATGCACCAGCATGGCTGACATGGCCCAGCCCCCAGTGGGCTGGCACTGGTCCTTAACAGCAGGTTGAGACAGTGTACATTTGGCATTTAAAAACTCCCTTATTAAGAACCACTGTGGGTATTTGTGTTATTTCTGCTTTGGTGTGTGACTCTTATATCAAAACAAGCCTGTCACAGGGAGCTGCAGTGGTCTAATAGGCTAGAGACCAAACAGAAATTTTACAACATCAGAGCAAAGGACAGCAGACAGACAAATCAAGCCCAGACTCTTTTCCTTGTTCACTGTATCCGCACTAGGGATGGGCGATACATTATCATTAATGATGTATCGTCAGAAAAATCCTCCATGATAAATATTTGCCATCTCATGATAAATACAATAAATGCAAGTTAATGACGCAAGCACGAGCGGCGGACTCACAGCCATAGCCCACACAGAGCAGAATAACAAACAAACATGGCTGAAGGTAATGAAGAAGACGTTTCTGAGCAGCTCATTTCTGAACGAGACTCCACATGAGGGATTTCCTTCAAGATTGGGGCTTTGATGAGTGCAATCAGGTATGCCTGAAATCGGACAGAGGATCTGCTGTTGTTCACTCTGTGCAATAAGAGTTTCCAACAAATGTTGAAAATGTTTTCACATTTGAGACTTGTTTGATGTCATTAGTTTTCTCCATAACCTACCACTCATGGTTAAGTGTCTTATTTGACTACTCCAACTGGTGTTCTCAAGACAAAATGAGTCAAAAAAATATTGGGAATCACAATGTTTTTACTGGGACTTTAATTGTTATTGCGAGAATGGCAAATCTTATTGTGATAATTTTTTTTAGCCCATATCGCCCATATTATCCCTAATCAGCACCTAATGCAGGTGACTTGACATCATTTGTTGATAGTTCTCTTTGAAATGCTATCAAAAATCTAGTTTCTATGTTGACCGTAGTGACATGAAAGCCTTTTTGTTGGCCACCGGTGAAATGCTTTAATGTGGGGTGAAAAATGACTAAATAATTTGTGAAATCGTTGCATTATTGAGCAGGGCAGAATGGGGTGAGGTTGAGATTGATAAGACTATATTCTCATCTGTTTCAGGTGTTGTGCAGTGCAGAAGACTGAGTGAACCATGGCACAGTTCCCCACCACATTCACAGGTCAGTATATATATGTGTTGCTTGTACATGCCATGTCAATGTTGAAGCAAGTCTTTCCCCCTCAGAGTCGGAGTCCTGTGAGTAGGTGGAAAGCTTCTGAAGACTTCCGACAAGTCTGTTTCTTCATCGATCAGATCTCTAAGACAGAAGGTTTGCATGGTTAGTTTTCAGTAATCAGATCAAATCTGTGCGTCCAGACTCCAGACATCAACAGCCTACAGTTTCTGCATGGGTTGCTGTGGTAACTATGTAGGCGTCAGTAACTACGTAAGCAAGCTGCTGCAGTCGAACGGAAACATGAGGGATGGAGATCTATCATCTGACTTCAAGTTACAGCTCAGACTTTATCCTTTAAAGCAGACAGACCTGGCATCAGTAGTACTCATACGATCAGATGTGTCGACTTCTTATTTTCTTTGACTTTTTGTTTGTTTTGCCGGTTTATTTATTTATTTATTTATTTGTTTGTTTGATAGGTTATTATTTACAAAAGACACTCCAATCTGGTTTGAGAGTCCAGGGTGTGTTGAGAAACGTGATATGGAACAAATCCTGACCGATTTACAGGAAATCACTTTCATGTAAATAACTGCCCCATAAATGTTTTATAAACACTCTGATTAGGCTAAAAACAGGTTTTGGTTGTCAGCCTGAATAAAGGTTCCTTACACACCGGGGCCAACGCGAATATAGAATGCGAAATTACGAAATATTCTGAGGCGAATTTTGACGCACCAGACGATACACATCAAGCCCAATGTGATTTTGTGACTTTCCGGGGGAAAAAAAGACGCATCCCGGGTGGAAGCGAGAAGACTGACACAACAGCAGCCTGACTGTTTTTCAGTTCTGATTTGACACTAGTGTTGAGATGGCTGTCCTTCATGATAGCATGTACTGAGTCGGGGCCAGTACCAGATAAGCACATTAAACTATAATCCATAAACATAAGGTAACAACCGAGACCTAATGGTGCTATGACATCAACGCGATTGAGTTTGAGACAGTGAAAATACATGGTATGTTGTTTCTGAACAGGTTAGCTTACAAGCTAAAGTTACTTAGCACAGATGAAAGTTAAAACAAAGACATTTAGCAAACTATTAAATAAGGCTGCACGATATTGGAAAAAAATAATATTGCGATTTTTTCAACCCTGCGATATATATTGCGATATTAAAAATTCAGTATTTTCACCAGATGACCTGAATAGCACTTAATGTTATGCTGCACTGCTGAAATCTTGAGGACAGTTAATCTGCTCTGATCTTACCTCTTTTTGTGAATGTTAGTAGAACGGCTTCTGTCTGTCTCAGAGATATTTTTAGCTTTTATTGTGCTGGGGCGTTATTGTGGCAACAGATGAACACAGAAGACGTGTTTTGGTCGACATCATCCTTCTTTTAACCGAAATAATTCCAGATAACTGACTTTCCTTTTCTTTTTGGCAACAAATCTTCATTTTCGGTGGTTTTCGCTTGTTCGTTGTTCATTTTGCGATCGTTGTTGTTGTTGTTAGCGGTGTCGTGCCGAGAAACGCATGTCCTCCGAGAATTGCATGCACCTCGCAAAACGCGCACTGCTTATAGTAGAGTGGTCCACGGAAATGTACAATTTAAAACCCATACAGTTCTTATTTGTTGGGCTTAATAGTCATGAGTAAAGTTCCGAAAGTAATTCTCAGCAGACACACGTCTCCCTCCATGTGCAGAACATGTGCAGGGGTGGGTTTTCTCCTCCCTGATTTTGATTGACAGCTGGCAGGGTAGTCTGATTGGCAACTGAGAAGTGAGTCTGATTGGCACTGAGTTAAGGACGAAGGCGATTGGTGGATCGCTGCACAGCACATGCAGAGTCACATGGAGTGTATCTCAGTCGGTTACCCTTGAAATTAAATGAGTTCATTCACCTCCAATATCGCAGGCTCTGCGATGTGACTATCGCACACACGTACATCGCGATGACGATAGTCAAACGATATATCGTTCAGGCCTACTGTTAAAGCACACAAACTATCGTCATATGAGAAATCCGACGCTATGACTCTCCACAAGTTGTCCTTCAGGTCGTTATCTTTGTTTTGTTTGTGTCTTTTATCAAAAAGCACTCTGTTCTCCGACACATAAACAATCAGCCGGTCGGCCATGTTGGATTTACCGGTGAATCTGATGTTCCAACAACACGCAATCTGATTGGTCAGAAGTGGACACACAGTATGCAAAACTTTAGAAAAATCGACCGTGATCTGAAAAAATAAATGCCTCAATATTGCAGGACGGGAAAACGTCGCTGATGTGAACGCTTTTATTGACAGGATACGGGTTGGAAAAAAAATATTGATCTCTGAAATAATCGCACGACAAAAACGGTCCCGGTGTGTAAGGACCTAAAGGCCTAGAGGTTTTTTTTAAAGTAATTTGTTAAATAAAATGTCAACAGAGAGCAAGTCTTGTAGGGGTGTCCTGATACAACTCTTTTACTTCTGATACGATACCGATATTGTAGCTTTCAGTAATGACCGATACTGATATTGATCCGATATTGGCACAGAACTGTGCATGACAAGTTTTGCACTGAGCTGCAACGTCTTTTTCGGACTCCAAGAAAAAATAATGCCACAGGGCTTACATCACTCCTACTCTTTGCTACTTTGTGAGTAACCTAGTACACACTGTTGTGTGATTACGTGGGCTCTGCATGCTGGATCTGGGCGCTGCTGGATGGAGGTGCCGTAGAGGAGTCTGGAGTGGACTGCTTGTATCAAAGTGCAGATATTAAATGTAGGCCAATATAATCACATATTTTATTTATTTATTTTATTATTATTATTATTATTATTATTATTATTATTTTTTTTTTTTTAATTTAATTTTATTTTTTGTTTTGTTTTGCTGATAATAGACCAATATCAATATTGGATCGGGACATCCCTTAAGTCTTGTTTATTGGTCATGTTTTATATCCCTTGTACAGGGGCTATAGTTTTTCATATTTTGATAATAATAATAATATTAACAGATTTGGAATGTCTGCTTCCATAAATAAGAACCAATAAAACTATTGATTGTCAGAGAAGTAGCTCTTTTTAACTAAATGAAATAAAGCTAACTGATGGTTAAGAAAATCCCAGACCAAACTTTGCATCATATGTATTTGAGTATTGCAAATGTTTGATATTATACAGGAATTTAAAAAAAAAAAAAAAAAATAGGACAGTTGCTGTTTCAATTACGCTAAAATACAGTTTTAAAAATTCTTGGCTAAAGCAGTTTGTATATAACTTTTAGCATTATCTTCGGACTTAAAGCAGCAGACCAGCTGGGCTTGAACAGGCACCTTCTCTAACAATAGTAAACACAGGAGTTAATAAAGAAAGAGAAAAGGAAACTGGGTTTTCTCTGTAACTGTTGTTCTCGTACTTCCAGTGAGTCGGAATGACTCACTGAAACTGCCAGTAAATGATACAGGGAAGAGCTGAAATGGAAGGGAGTTACTTCTGTCATTGTCACATTTTTGGCTAACGCTGATGTTGAACTTTAACTGGTCAAGAAAAACACCCGCAAGTAGAGGTTACCCCTGTTTCATTAAAATGAGCTAAGGCAGTGGTTCTCAAGTCCAGTCCTCGAGGCCCACTGTCCTGCATGTTTTGGATGTTTCCTTGCTCCAACACACCTGATTCAAATGATCAGCTCGTTATCAAGCTCTGTAATGGCTTAATAACGAGCTGATCATTTGAATCAGGTGTGTTGGAGCAGGGAAACATCCAAAAACAAGTGGGCCTCGAGGACTGGACTTGAGAACCATTGAGCTAAGGCATATTTACAATCCCTCTGATTTGTAGTGAGAGGAACAAACCATTTGAAGTTGACAGGGTTCACATCATTGAATTCCACATTTAGGACTAACTAAATAAACAACCAAGATGGTTATGTAGATGAAATTGGGACAAAAAGAGTTATTTTTTCATTGTAAAGCTGACCGGATTAATGTGAGATTGATTTGTAGGATTTTCTTATTATCACACTCAAATCAAGAAGTGCAAAGAAATTAAGATTCTCACTGTGGTTCTCCTAGAAAAGCCCAAATAATCCCAAATGTAAAATGTAGGTGCTGAGAGCAGAGGTTACTCAGGAGAGTATTTTCAGGCTTTCAAAGTTACAGCAGATTAAGTCTGACAGGTTCTCAGAAGTACCCCCTGCCCAGTTTACAGCCTTATTCTTTCCCTCGATTTCTGCCCCAATCAAACAAACTCTTTGAAAAAAAAAGGCACAATATCTGCCTGTTCTCTTGTTTTTACAGCCTGAACCCAGTGTACTGAATCAAAGGCTGAACGTTTATTTGCTCATCAGTTCTTCATTGTCACTTAATAAGAATCGTCAGACAGGAACTGAAACTCATGACTAACACATTCTTCTCATGCCTCCTCTTTTGTCTTCCACAGTTTGTGTCCAACTTGGTCTTGGCCTTCTGGTTTGGTTTGTAATCTCAAGCTTTGTGTGTGCGTGTGTGTGTGTGTTTATTTCTCTTGCGGGTTAGGTCCAGATGTTTTCCTGATCTCAGTGGATGAGAGAGCCAAACATGATCAGCAGTTTCACAGCCTCTCTCCCACTGCCGGGGGTTACATCACAGGTAACAGCCTCTCCCTCTCAGTGTCTCTGGTCCACACACTACACAAGTATAGAGTAGGGCTACACGATTAATCGATTTTAAATCATAATCAGATTATTTAATTATGACGTTGTTAAAAAAATTAAAATCGTCAAACCAATTTTCCTCTCTATCATGTCTCGTGCCTCCAGGCCACTGTAGGCTCCCCCGTCCTACGGAAGCGCTTTCCAGTTCCCATACACACCAATGTAAACAAACATGGCTTCTGCAAAAGAAGGCGATAATTTCGTAGCTAAATAGGGCAAAGGCGAGTCACTCGTGTGCAATTGGTGCGGCCTCGCAGTTTCAGATGAAGAGCAAACCACTCCCCACTGCAAAGTCTGTCTGAAGTCTGTATCAACCCGTCCACACAGAAACAAGTTCAAGTGTAAATGCTCAAGTTTTTTGTTGTATCGGCGTTTCATCCACAGAGAACTCTTTTATGGCGCCTGCGCATGTTCAGCCAAAACAACCTTTATACTCACGCTTTGTACTCTTCTTCTGACTTTGGTGCATTTCTTTGGCAACGTTTGGCATATGCGCTACATCATTTTCAGTGGTTTCGTTTTGAGAGATAATAAAAAAAAACGTATTATTAAAGTGAAGTTTGGTGAAGTTGTCACTGAATAAAAAATCGAGTTTTCAGAGAATAAAAATCAGGATTTTATTTTTGGCCAAAATCGTGCAGCCCTAGTACAGAGTGAAGGTTGCAGGTTGGGTCATGTTCACACCTAAAGGTCCGTTTCCTGATTCGAATCCAAGGCAAGACGATACATCTGTTTTGATTGTGTAACTGGTCCGGTTTGCGTTCATAAAGGACAAACTCAATCGCTCCAAAAAATGGAACCGGAGGTCTCGTGACCTCTGCTATCTTCGTCTGTCATGGAGCATCGTAGGCTGATTTTGCTTTTACTACTAATCTGGAGTGCGTATCAAAAGACGCTAGTCGATCGCGCGCATGAGCGGCTCGTTAGCCAGCGAGCGCGAACTGCGGCATTAATTAATACATTCCGGAGTAGACGCGCTGCAAACAACAGACGGATAAAGGCAAGACGGCAACAGGCAATAATAACGTGTGTGGTGCGTTTCCTGTGATTGGTGTGGATGACACTCACACCAGAGATGAACCGCTCCAGAGTTCACTTGATAGCAGTCTGAGACCACCTCTTCAGGGGGACCAGAGTTCGTTTATTTGGTCCGCACCAGAGTTCTAGGTCAGCCTTCACACCGACTCAAACGAACCGCACCAAGGGGTTAAACGCTCCAGGGTTCGGTTCACCTGGACTAAACAAGGGTGGTGTGAACGTGCCCTTAGATGCTCAGTGCTTTCACCTGTGGTAGAGAAACAAAAACAGACCTCTAGTAAAAATAACTTTTTCAGGAAAACATTTAAAAATTTCAGGGGATTTGACTTTTCCCCATGTGGTCTTTAGCAGCCTCCTTATAAGGATCTGACATAATCCTATTTCTATGTTTCTATCAAGGTGACCAAGCCAGAAACTTCTTCCTTCAGTCAGGACTCCCCCCTCCCATCCTGGCCCAAATCTGGTGAGTCACATAGTCAGGAAGTTACTTCAAGCTCCCAGACAATTACATCACTTGCGTTGAAAATCACATGACGATGTTAAACCCAGCGTTGTTTTAGATTCTGTTGATGCCAGCATTTGACGGTTGACTTGATGTGATGTCTCTCTCTCTCTCTCTGTGTCAGGGCTCTGGCTGACATGAACAGTGACGGCCGTATGGACATCCACGAGTTCTCCATCGCCATGAAACTCATCAAACTGAAACTCCAAGGTCACCCTCTTCCCCCCGCGCTTCCTCCCAGTATGAAACAACCCCCACTGCCTTTGCCCCCACAGACCAGTTTCGGTAAGACACCACCAGCACAAGCACAGTGTCTGATTAGTATGTGTGAAATTTATGTGTTTCAGGGTGCGGCACGCACTCTAGGGAACTGTTCAGATTTGTTTGCATCAGCAATAAAAAACAACTTTTACTCCTTTCGTATTTCAGCTCGTCGAGATAATGACAGTTTACGCCTTGACTGGTTTCAGTTCCTCTTTATTGTTACACACTGCTGCTCTGCTGATAAGACCCTGCACATACTCTAAAGTCATATTCTAGATGTGATCTTTTGTTTTCAGCTAACTTGTTGTCTGCTTTTCCTCAAGGTCGCTTCATTTCTTCTTGGCCCTGAAAAGGTGTTAGTAAAAACTCTGTGTTCTGTTCAAACTATCAAGGACAAATCTTTTCCAAGGTTCATTTAGGGGGATGGTTGCTCACTCTCTTTCAGTCTATTACACCCTCAAATGTCGTGAGTAAAGGTGTAATGTAAACACAGTAGGGAGTCATACGGCTCCTCTTCTTCGGTCTACACTGCGTCTCTTGTGCCTGATTAACTTGTACTAATATCTGATGTCTAGAGACCTCGTTTCAAAGCAGTATTCTCTGATCTGCGTGTCTCTCAGGCATTGCACAGCTTGTGTATGCAAAAGAAGTACCTCGCATGATAATAATGTCTGTATTGTTTATCTGTCTGTCTGCAGGCTTGCCCCCCATGGCTTCCATCACAGCTCCCCTCTCAGGCGTGCCTCCGCTCCCCCTCCCATCTCTCCCTGTAGGGGTGTCCCCCCCACTTGTCTCATCGGCCCCGCCTCCACTCCCCCAGCCCATTGCCAACGGAGCTCCTCCCACAGGCATTATGCAGCCCATCTCAGGCTTCTCCCACACAGGTAACATACTGTCAACGGCACAGGGGGGGGAGGCGATGTGTTGAAATGTTTGCTTTGTGTCAGTAGCTCTTGTGGATGTGAGCAAAGGTCCAAGTATCGAGGCTTCTGTTTACTCATCATAAACATTACAAGTTACATTGTCGACAGTAAGGTGCCAGGACTTTTTACGATATAGTTACTTGGGTCACCTTTTAAAGGATTTAATAAATACCTCACTGCAGTTCATGTACAGCTTTGAGAAAATAATGTCACTCTATAAAAGAATTATTTGATATGACAGGAAATGAAGACTTCACGAAGGTACAGTGGCGAGCGCTGTTACCTCACCAGTTCCTCGAGTAAAATGAGAGCTGGGGTTGGCTCAGGCCTTCTTTGACCCTGAAATGGGATAAGCAGAGGAGAAAGTGGATGGATGAACATAAAAAAGAGCACTTGTGTGTGTGTGTGTGTGTGTGTGTGTGTGTGTGTGTGTGTGTGTGTGTGTGTGTGTGTGTGTGTGTGTGTGTGTGTGTGTGTGTGTGTGTGTGTGATCAATTTTTTTTTTGTTTTATTTCATTACATCTCCATTTATCCACACCCCTGGCCCTGGCCCTCACCCTTGTCCCGGGTTAACATTGAATTTAGGCCATTAAAGGGAAGAAAATAAGTAATTATCATGATAATTGATGAATAATAAGTAATTAGATAAATAAATAAATTAAAGGTGGGGTAGGCAGGAATCCATTAAAGAAGCATCTTTTTTGTGGTGTATATACAAAAAAAGCTTTGAATATCAGTCAATAGCTATTAGTCATTGATGACATTTGGTAATATAATGATATCGCTGTGTTTCGTGATGTCTATGTCGTCAACATTTTAAAATTTAAGAGCGCTCTGCTCTTTCTGACTGTAAACAAAACCATTCCCTGTCTCCACCATCCTGATTGCTTGTGAGGCAGACGCTGCTCCCCGTGTCGTTCAGGAGCCCAAACAAAGTTAGCGTGCTACAATATCAGACAGTAGAAACCAACCAGAAAGTACAGAAAATTGTCTGGATCCTCCTTTGGCCATGACTGCCAACACAAGCAAGAAAACGAAGTAAATACCGAAGACCAAGTGTCTGTAACAGAAGTGTTTCTTGTCAAGGGGGACCTGCTGCGTGTCGTAGCGCCACTAAGCTGTTAATCTCGGGTCCTAGAGTATGTCACTTTATCCTAGTTGTAGAAGTCCTGCAAACATTGTGTTTGCTGGTAGTCTGTTGGTATCTACAGGAGCACCAATGCTTTTTACTTTCACGTTGACTTGGCCCCATTTGTAATCATATGAAGTATTTATCTGCATTATATCTGAATTTAATTGAAACAATACGAGCGAGCGAGGAGCGTCTGTTTGTAGGCAGAGCTTCCTGGAGCAGAGAGGAGGGGAAGAGGAGGAGCTGAGAGGAAAACTGGTTGGGAGGGGTAGTGTTAACATTAAAGATTTCTCCCCAAAACTGGCACTTCCTCAGATCCTGCCTACACCACCTTTTAACAGAAGCGTCATCAGTACATAGTTAACATAATCATGAGATAAATGGATAAAATGCAAAATAAAGGAAGAAAAAAAAAGAAAAAGAACACTTGATCAAATGTAAACACTAAAGCTAATTAACCCTTACAAAATAACTCAAGCCTCTGCCTAAAATGTCCTTTTTTCTTTCTGTCTCTCAGCACCCTCTGTCAACAAGTCATCTTCATTTAATCGTTCCAGTATCAAGCTGCAGAAGGGGTCCTCCTTTGAAGCTGCTAGGTAAGTCACATGACCACATTTATCTAAAGCCCTTTGATACAGATCACCTGTAATGTGCAAATGTGTGGTTTAAAAAAAGAGTCAGATATTTTGGGTCTCATTTATAAACAATCTGTATTCACAAAACAGAGCCTGCCACATGATTACACGATTACAGACTTAGTGATCTATAAAGACGTATAAAACCAACTTTACAGCTAAATGTGAACACTAGTAGTTAAAACCAGATCCACGTGCATGTTTAGAGGCATGAGACTAATCAGCAAAAGGGGCGGTGAGAGGGTGAGCTGAAGCCAGATTGTATTTAACTGCCTTTTACACATTTAATGCCATTAGATATTAAACACGTTTGTTTCCAAAGTAATATCGAAAGTTGCAAACCAATTGTGGAGCACGGTGACTGCAATGAAATCAAGATCTTTTCACACTGTGCTGTATAAACAAGTGTGTTTTTCAGTTTTAATCTTGCATAGGTTCCAGAGACACAACCTCTTACTCATGTTACATCTTCATCGTTTGTATAGATTTACTGTGTTTCTCAGTGGAGTGTGGAATTTAAGCTACAGGTGGCTCTCACTCAATTATTACACATCCCCACGATCTGCCACAGTGCAGGCCAGACTGCCCATTATAAAACCATCACATCAACACTAATATTCATGAATCAAATGTCTGTCAAAGAACATCAGGGGTGTTGCTGATTGATGTGAACGCTGTCATAATGTGGAAAACATCCTGTGGACATAGAAACACTACATAATGATGGATGCACTGGCTCAGCTGAAGGACGTGCAAGTGCTGTAGCAATGTGGCGTCACAGGCTTATTTTTATTTTTTTTAACTTCCTGATGTTAGAGACAAACAAAATGTGCTCTCTGATTGATATTGATATTTTTTCTGTTCAGGTTTCATTGTCAAAAACGATGGTTTCTTTGCATCGACCATAAAAGGACTAATGTGGGCGCTTACAGGGCTGAATACAGGACTGATGTACATGTGCATATTTCTAGATTAATTATGATTTATGAAAGAAAGATTGCATGTAGGTCTGGCTGGGTTTTACACACAGTTTTATGAATGAGACCCTAGTTCTGTACTCTGAACATACAGAAATAGTTATTTAACCTCGAAGTACAAACAGATTTTAATTTAGATGCTACACTCAAGACTTCCTAAAGGGCCGATGTGCAGTCTACATTTTATTAGCTTGGTGTCTTTTCACATTCCTCTGTTTTCTCAGTGCTCAGCCGCCCTCTGACTGGGCCGTTCCTCAGTCCTCCAGGCTGAAGTATAGACAACTTTTTAACTCCCATGACAAAATGATGAGCGGACACCTCACAGGTACCCAACATACACACACACACAATGACAATTTCAGTAATTTTTTTAAGTGTGCACATGTAACACGTCTGATGTGTGTCTGTGACGCAGGTCCACAGGCCCGTACTATCTTGATGCAGTCCAGTCTTCCTCAGACCCAGCTGGCCACGATATGGTCAGTGCAAAACTCTGATTTAAATGGGAGTGCATACATACTTGGCATTTCTCAATGATTACTGAACATGTATCCTGTCCTCTCCTTTCTGTAGGAGTCTATCCGATATTGACCAGGATGGAAAACTGACAGCCGAGGAGTTCATTTTAGCCATGCACCTCATAGATATGGCCATGTCAGGGTTACCGTTACCACCTGTATTACCGCCAGATTACCTCCCTCCAACATTCAGGTACATTCTCTAACCAAATACTCAAGTAGGGATGGGAATTGATAAGATTTTATTAATATCGATGCCACTATCAATTCTGCTTATCGATTCAAGTCTTTAACGATTCCCTTATCAATGCTTTTCTTTGATAAAAAGAAAAAAAAAAAACTATGGGTTTTCACCGATAATTCAAAATGCTATTGAGTCTCTGATAACAGATAAAGATGTATGCCACCTTTTGTGAGAGTCAAAAAATAATCAAACGACAAACTATTTGTACAGCATTTACTTCGGTCGGTATTAAGTCAAATACATAATACATTGTTAAGTCTGGCATGCATTGTGCTTATGTTAACACAGGACATACGCACCTTCCATGCCGTGCTGAGATGGAGCAGCAGCATCTGACAACCGGCAGAGAGCATCGAATACATGCAACTCCTTATATTTGATGCAAATGTTTAAGCATGTTGCTGGTGTTTCCACCTTTGCATGTTATCATTACTTGACAAACGTTGAGCGTCGCGCTGTTGTCGTCTTTCTTAGTAAAATGAACCCATGCCCTGATGGTTTCTGCCGACTTTTCGTACCGTCCACCATGTTTCTTTCCTCAAAGTCTCTGCTCTCGTTCGCGTAAACTGGCTCTCATGAGACCGTTTTTCAAGGCACCCGGAAGAAAGGAACCGTTTAGAGAATTATTCAGATAAAATGTAAACGATGTCGATGGATTGAACCATTTGGAACCGGTTCTCGATTCCCATCCCTATACTCAAGTGACCAACTAACCCACAGAAACATGGTAGTTCTGTGCATCGCAACACATTTGATGTATAAATTAATTAAGCGTGACTATAACAACAGTGTGTGCATTAATAAATTGTGTTTTTTGTCATGAAGGCGGGTGCGAAGTGACAGTGTTCAGTCAGACCAGAAAAGTGTCCAAGAGGAGGTAGAGGAGGAGACGGAGAGCAGCCAGGACAAGAAACTACCAGGTGATTGGTTCTGTACTTTGAATCATTGTTACCTGATTACAGTACAAAGAGATGAACACGTCCAACTCAACAATACAAATGAAATTGATTAAAGCCCATGAAGTCTGTACCTGAAGATGCATCTCATCTCATTACATCCAAGCAAAGCCTTGAAAAGGATGACACTTTTTTTTACCTCGTATGATTTTCCAAATATAGAAAAATATCTAATTTTGATATGAATTGTTTTTGTATTACTGCAGTGACATTTGAGGATAAGAAGAGGGAGAACTTTGAGCGAGGAAACCTGGAGTTGGAGAAGAGACGCCAGGCTCTGCAGGAGCAGCAGAGAAAAGAGCAGGAGAGGCTGGCTGCGCTAGAGAGAGAGGAGCAGGAGAGAAAGGTAGACTGTACTGACTACATTAGTGTCTCATGACCATCGTGCCGGTATTCAGAATTTGCATTGGTCATGGTTTATGGCTTTTAAGTGGGTCAGTTACATATTTGCATTTATATCAGCCATACTTCAACTTCACTACCCAAGTCAATGTCTTTGAAATGAATCAGTATGCAATTCAAGTCTTGAAACACAGAGTAAATGAAAACGCACTGGGGTGACCCATAACAAATACTAGAGCTGTTTCCCCTTGCTTGCTTATCTCGGCATGCTTTTGTTCCAGGAGCGTGAGCGTCTGGAGCTGGAGAGGAAACGACAACAAGAACTCGAAAAACAACTGGAGAAGCAGAGAGAGCTGGAGAGGCAGAAAGAAGAGGAGAGACGCAAAGAGATAGAGAGGAGAGAGGTATGAAGGAGAGAGCCAAGGAGGAGGAAATATGATTGTATGTGGGCTTTTTTTAATTGAAGAGTTCTGGTTGAACTGCTGCAGACTAATCACAACCTCTGCACACGCTGAGAGGTCTTTGACTGCACCCCAACAACAGCTCTTTAAATCTTCACTTGACAGTCAAGAGCCAAACTGACTCTACAGCACAAACACACAATGATGGCTTTTAGTGTGTAATGAAGTGTGTAATGTATGATTAGAATAGACCTTGTGTAATATCACCTTAAAAACTAAGGTAGCCTAATAACACGTGTGTGTGTTTCATCCATTCAGGCTGCTAAGCGTGAACTGGAGCGCCAGCGTCAGCTAGAATGGGAACGCCAACGCCGCCAGGAGCTCCTGACTCAAAGAAACCGCGAGCAGGAGAGCATAGTGCTGCTCAAAGCCAGGAAAAAGACCCTGGAGTTTGAACTTGAGGCTCTGGTAATCAAACACATCCACCCATAAATCCACAGATGAGAGAAGCAAGCACAGTGTTTGTCAGTCCGATGGGTCACATTGGGAAAACAGAGGACAGGGCAGTTGTTTAGAGTCAGCAGTATTCAGCAAGGTGCAAACAGATGCACAAGCTCATAATGTCCACGCAGGTCACTGTGTTAAAAAAAAGTTAACATAGTTGACCTTCAGACTAAACCGGTTTAGAAAGACAAACCAAAAGAAGGAAACAGCTCTCAACTCTCTGCAACTGAATAATTTTCACAACCTCTGAAATGTAGTAATATTTTCCCTCCAATCGTTTCTCCCCTGACCTCTAGAATGATAAGAAGTCCCAGTTAGAGGGCAAACTCAAGGATGTTCGATTTCGTCTGTCGGCTCAGCGGAGAGAGGTGGAGCAGACCAATCAGACGAGAGAAACACGCATTGCTGAAATCACTCTCCTGCAACAGCAGCTGCAGGTAAACAAAACACAAACCATCACCAGCACGTCTTAGAAACTGTTTCCTGCTTAATCCAAGAGTTTGACCAAGTATTCTGTGCTTCATGTTTGTCTGCAGGACTCCCAGCAGTGGTTGGGAAGGCTGATCCCTGATAAACAGAGCCTCAATGATCAGCTGAAACAGGTTCAACAGAACAGCCTGCATCGTGAGTTCTACTTTAACTGCACTATATCTCCCTGTGCTGCTCCTTACTACAATATTTCAGAGCTTCCTTGATTGGATTTGTAGAGTCTTTTGATTTCCATCATGCTTATGAATTGTCATGCAGTTTATTCTTTAATACCTGGATGCAGATCAGCCAATCCTAGTTGGTCAGTCAGAGGTTTCTATAATCAACCCACAGGAAGATGTCCCATCAATTCAAGTTTCTGAATCAGTATCATGTGTAATAATGGATTACCTTAATCAGCAGCTTTGTTATAAGTGTGACAATGAAGAGTAATCAGGTCATTAATTCTGAGATACACCCTGAGGTGTCATGTCTGGGTCTTGTTTTACTTTGAGTAATCCCCAACAGACAGTGTGATTAACTCCTGCTTCAATATTTAACAAATGTCTTGTAGAATGGGGTGTTGGTAGGACACGTTACAGACTCCTAATATATTCTTATTTCCTAAATACGCCCCCACTGGTTCTGATGTCTTTTGCACGCACAGGTTTTGGACCTAATGGCTACAGCAGTGTAATGAAGCCTCACCTCATACTCTCTTCTTTTTGTTTGTGTTTAGGTGATAGCCTGTCATCTCTTCAAAAGGCTGTGGAGCAGAAGGAGACCAGCAGACAGCAGCTTAGAGAACAACTAGATGCTGTGGAGAGGGAAACAAGGGCCAAACTTCTGGAAATAGATGCTTTCAACACACAGCTCAAGGTAAAAAGCAAGTTCACCAGCATGTTATTGCAGGACAGGGGGCCAGAGGGTCTCAACTTGAAAATACTCACAATGATATTTCCTAATGAACTAAATTGTTAACTAACTCACATAGCAGGGCACAGTGGTTTGTTTACTGTTGAGTACCAGAGATTCATGTAAAAATAGCTCAGCAATTTCAGCGTTAGAGCACAATAAAAAATATTCAAGGTGTAAAAAATATCTTTCATGCACTAGTCATGAGTCAGCTGTTGTTTATTTCCATAAAGGGTTTTTTCGAAGGCTTAGACAGACCCTCTCAATTAATGAACCATCTCATTATGTTGTGTTTTCACTAGCTGCATCCCACACCTATTTTACCTAGACTGAAACAGAAAAATCCATCTAAAGACCTCAAAAAGAAACCCTTTTGGATTGTTGATGTTTGTGGAGCATAAGAGTGGAATGTTGGTTCCATTTGATTAGTTTAACGAAGCCGATTTGCTTTCAGATTTGCTAAAGTTCTTAATGCTAGTGAGCCAAATAAATACATTTGATGTAAAGGGATACGCCGGCATTTATTTAAGTCATGGTCAAACACAACGTAACACCAAGTCAGACACCCCCTCGAGATGAAAGTTGCAGACTGCTTGCTTCTCTAGTTATACCAACTTCAGCAATGACCACATGATAGCGATACACAGCGGTCTACGTCTCCAAGTGCAAACCTTAACCAAAAAGCCACTCTATAGCCACAAATAATGCTCAGAACAGCACTTAACTTCATCAACAGAACATATAGGGTCCCAGCCATAGTACTAGCCACCAAACATCTTTTTAGCTTTGCCTGGTTTCTTTAGCAAAGAGACTAAACACAACTCACCTACTCTCCTCCAGCAGCCGCTTGTTTGTGGGGGAGCCCTGAAAAGTCGATCACTTCGAGCAGCGGAGTTTCGCAGCCCAAGGAAGAACATTTATGATCATTACTTCATGGAAATGCAATCAGACCGAGACGCTAAGGCAGAAGAACTACCGTGTCTGCAGTGCAAAATGATTGTTTTGATGATTATTACGTCATGGAAATGATTTGCTGCACTCTGTGATCGACTCGACAAGGGCTTCCCCCACAAACAAGCGGCTGCTGGAGGAGAGTAGATGAGTTGTGTTTAGTCTTTTTGCTATAGAAACCAGGCAAAGCTAAAAAGATGTTTGGTGGCTAGTACTATGGCTGGGATGCTATATGTACTGTTGATGAAGTTAGGTGCTGTTCTGAGCATTATTTGTGGCTATAGAGTGGCTTTTTGGTTGAGGTTTACATGTGAAGACATAGACCACTGTGTATTGCTCTTGTGCGGTAGTTACTAAAGTTGGTATAACTAGAGAAGCAAGCAGTCGGCAACATTCGTCTCTCCAGGGGGTGTCCAACTCAGTGTTACGGTGTGTTTGACACTTAATTTTACTCCAGAGTATCCCTTTAAAGCCAATTAAGCCACTGACTCGTTGACTAACCCACTATCTAATAGGATACCTGTCAATGTTCAATAGATTGGATTGTTTTTATGACTTTAGTTTGATATTCTGTCTTGTGTATCCCCATCCTCACACTGGTTTAATGTCTGCTGAGATGTTGAAACATTCCATATACCTGACCTCTGTATCTGTGTTTGTATTGGTGTTGATGTGCTGTTGATTACCGTGCTTTGAAGAGAGCTAGCTGTGCACAGGAACACGGAGTAGTTCCCCCGACAACCGCGTCATACCGCTTTAACAACGCAATGGTTCATACAACGGAGAGAGGAAGATGGAGGGGAGAGTCAGAGCGCAGCAGTCGGTTTATGATTTCTGGACAACTTTATGTCCATTTTCTTTTCCTTATTTTCTCATTGTTTCCTCAGAGCACAGAGCCAGGTCAGAGTGAGGAGAATAAGTCCACCAAGGAGAAGAAAATGAGAAAGACGAGGGGGGTGGGAGGAAAACAGAGACAAAACAGACCCCGATAAATAGATTTTCTAATGGCTAATTGAGTGAAGTTGATCACCAGTCTTTCTGTGTAGTCAACATAACACTGGTTTGAGAGAGGGGTTTGTAAAGCTTATATGAAAAATAAAAGCAGCCAGCAGTATTGAAAACAGGTTTTCTCATGACTCAGGAGGTGAGATTCCTTCCTCATCAGAGGTTTATAACACTGAGATATAAACAATATTTGACAGTACTTCCCTCCGCCTTCCTTTCTACACCACTTCCTCTCTCTCTCTTCTGCCACACCTCCTCTGTCCTCTTTCTCAATGCTTGCTGTCCTCCTCCTGCCTCTTTGAAACCTTGTATTTGTTGCCTTCATTTTTCATCTTATTCTTTGTCAAATCAACATAATAAACCCTTCCTTCTATATTTTCTACTCCTTTATTTATCTCCTACACTGGCCTTTTGCTCCCTTGCCCTTGCCAGTCTCTGTGTGAGTTCTATGCCAACCACTGTGCCAGGATAGAAGCCCTGCGACGCCAGCTTCAGGACGAACAGAGGGGGAGACAGGTAGAGCACACTGCCACTACTGGACTGGGGTGGTATTGCAGCAGAGATGTTCTTTTAGATATCAAACAATATCAAATCATCTGTTAAACACACCACCTATTGTGGCAGACCTGGAGAAAAGGGCAGATATTTTAGGCTCATGGACCTGCGAAGTCCCACACAGCAGACTCTATAAGAAGGGATTACAAGTCATCTTCTGTCAGACTACTAACTTGCAAGTTTTGGTTGGAAAGGCTTCACTGTCTTTAACACATGCAAACCAGCCTTTAAAAGTGTCTGGTTTGATGCACCCTTTAGGCAGCTGGATGTATTTCAAACTGCTGAAGATTCACATCATTAGTAGAGCTGCAAATTAGACCACTCAAAAGACTCAGACTCACATCATCATTCTTTTAACCCCACAATTCACACCTCTGTCAAGAAAGCACGCAACCCACTAATTTAGAGAAAATAAAATTTGTTGTTAGAGTTTGTAACTAATGAAAAAGAACAATTGATAGTAGAGGATAAATAGATATTCTGACTTGTTTAATTTATTTTGGAAAATGGAAGCTATAAACACAAAATATGTTGGTAAATAGAGCAAGTATTAGCACCATCTTCAATTAGAGTCTTTCCACTATTTTCAGTAGATAACAGTGTGTCCCCGAGGAGCCTTTTCAACTCATGGGCCCAAGTTTTTATCTTGCACACAAAAGTTTCTCCTTCGTGTGCTTAAAATAACTACCATGGTCATTGTCTTGCACCCCGCAATATGTTCATGCTGCCAGCAATGAAGTTAGCTCAGCTGTGCAGTCAGTTCCACTCAAGTCAGTTAGGCCCATGTTTGTTATTCATATAATGTAATGTAATCTGTTTACTAGCTTCTTAATTCATTTCTGTGGTGTAGCAATGTTATCTTACTCATAGATTAGTGATTCCTTTTTGTGTTGAAACATTGTCTTCAGTTACCAGCTAAAGGATTGCTCTGAAACAGGTATTATGCTCCTGCTATTAGACTTAGTAGTATGTTGGAACCAAAAGGAGTAAATTCCAAACAAAGTATTTTTTTGTTGATAACTATTGTGGGCACAGAAGACAGTTGTCTGATGTGTAAAAGATGAAAAGCTATCACCTCTGGAGGACTTAAAAGTTCTGTATGTCACAGGCAAACCTGTTCTGTCTTATTTTGTTATAGAAGGTGAAAACTGAAACTGAACTTACAGGGCTAGAAACAAGACTTTTTGGAATTTTGGAATTTTAACAATACTAATTTTGTTTAGTAGAGTCCAAACATAAATGAATGTTCTTAAAATTGTCTGCCTTCAAATGGGGATAAGAATCTCGGACTAGCAGTAAGAATTGATGTTAAAAAAGGGTATTGTTTTTAACAAGAGGTCTTATATGTTTAAGGAAGCACAGTACCTTTATACAATCCAAAAAATCACCTGTCACATTGGTAATTTGTGGATCAGATTAGCACTAACATAAGTCTAATTAATGCTTTATAAATAGAGCGCTTCTATAAAACATTTACTTCTATTTTAAAAAAAAAAATACCATTATCTTTTTCAGTGAAGATATTTCAGTTCAGTGTAAAAGTTTTTCAGGCTTTTTACAATCTACGCTCTATTAGCTGACAAACGGGCTGACACCAACTTCTGTAACACAGTTTTTCTAACTCTGGCTACTTGTACATTACTCATCACTGTGCGCCACCAGAGCCTCTCCTTGCATGAATCAATGCTGTGTGCTCTCTTTCTCGGTTTTCTAACAGTTTAAATTCCACTGAAGGAATATTACTGAACTTACATAAGGGATTCAAATGTTTTTCAGGCCCTTAATAACATGTTAAAATAAAATAAAAATAAATGTCAAATTGTAAAAAAAAGAGTGTTGCTCCTTGGTGTTTTAGAAGTCCAATCCACTGAAAGTTATGACAATTGTTAAAAAAACAATCAAACCCACCCAACTTCGACTGTCAGTTTCCAAGGTTTTGTTTTGATTTATTAGCTAGATTTAGACAGTGCAGACATACAACCTAATAGATGGCATTGGCAAGCCTACCTCTATTAAGCCTTGAGTGTCCAGTGTTACTGTTTTCTTTATTTCACAGAGCTCTGAGTAGTTTTCTGCCATGAAAAAAGTTTGTACATAAAAGCATTACCTGTCTGAGTGTGTGTCTGTGTTTCTACAGAATGGTTGACCTTCAGTGTGTGTCTGTACTACTGTGTGTATATATGTGTGTTTCAGTGCCAGGAGCAGGGACAGCTACAAGAGTGTGTGTCAGCCGTCAGGGTGTGTCTGGCTCGGCTAGACTACGTTATACAGGTCTACATACCAACTTAGTCCCCCTCCCCTCCACTGCCCCCACCTCTCTCTAGTTCTCCCCTATTTATCTCTTTAAACCTCTCTTCCTTATTTCTTCTTCTTTCCCATGACTTCAAATCTTTTCTTCAATCTCTTTCTCTTTTTCTCTCTTTCCCCTTTTATAGTCCCTCAGCAAAGCTGGTGTTAGCTCACTACTTAGCCAGCTGGGTAACTATGCTCCCATAGTTATCTAGGTTTTATGCATTGTTAGCAGTCATGCTAGTTGAGCAGGTGTACTTTATGCTGTTGCCATGCTAGGCCACTTTACTAAAATACTGTACAGTAGTATAATGCTACTTCCTGTATGCTACCAGGAGATGTTTCAGCCAGACAAATGGGAGCTTTAGACCTTTGTCAGGCTACATGAGTGTGGACGCTTCACTTGATGTGGTTGGGTGTGTGCATGTGTGTGCCCAGTCAGTGTGTGACGGAGTGTTAACTTGGCCTGCTGTGTTGTCTCATGTCCTCCACTTCCTCTTTCAGGTAACTTGGAGTCTTCTCATTCCAGAATTGTAGTTTTCTCTCTTCTGTCATCTCTTCAATTGGTTTGCTTGTTTCTGACGGTTACGTCACGTTGGTTGTTTGGCTGAAACACGACAGCTGCCTTGTTGTTATAGTAACAGAGTGTGTTCTAATGGCACAGCTGGTTGTCATGACTACACAGAACTGCCACCACTGCATCCCCAAACCCTCCCTCTTTTTTTGTTCATATCTAATCCCTCCCTCAAGCATAGTGTGCCTTGTGCAAGCTCCGCCTCATTGTCATAGCTGAGAAGCTGTACCTTGGGCTGAACCACTGCTGACCCCCAACAATGAAAAGAAAATTCCCTTTACTTGACCGAACAATCTTTACTTCATCTGAAAAAAACATGCCAAGATTAGTTAGGAATTACATTCTTTTTTTGTTTTAATTGTTAGCTCATAATTTTCTGCAGGCATTGATGTGTCATCACTCAGCATCAGCAAAACAGCAAGTTAAATGGGTTGTGTTGTTCCATGATTTTCAGAGTATTAAGTATTATACTCAACAAAGTCAACACACTGACCAGAAGGATATTTGTCGAACAAGTGAAAGGAACATTGGAACATTTTCAATTTTGCAGATTAAGTATTGAATTGGCAAACCTATTATTATCTGGATAAATTAGACTTTGATTTTTAGGCTCAGTCAAATCTTCACCCAAGAGCTGAAACACGTATTACATTGGTAAAGTTTGAAACTGGCTCCTCACAATAACAGAGAGTGTTAAGAGACACTTCCGATCTTGCTTCCTGCGAAGTAAAAATTCGTTTGGCTTCCCTGTAGTCTTTTTCTCTGTCTGGTGTTTCACTCCAGTTCAGCTGTTGGCACTGTACATCTCTATCCTGTCTCTAATTACAGCTAACCGATTTAAAAGATACTGTACATCAACAAAGTTATTGACGTTATCTGTTCTCAAAGTTGCAGTATTATTGTTCTATTTATTCTTTTGTCTTTCATCAGACAAAAGTTTAGCCAAAATACCACCTGCTGACTTACTGCAATAGAGATCAGTTGATGGAGTCGTGGTGGTATTTACTTTTGCGGGTGTTCAGCTAACGGACTCACACACTTGCAGTTCTGAAGAGTTCAGAAACTCTAGTGTTAGTGTTTCTTATGTCTATGTTCTGCTAACCCAATGAGCAGCATCCCATAGCTGCATTGGTCACCAGAATTGTCAACTGTTGCATTATACTTCTTTAAATCGCATTAAATAACTAGTCAAAACAAAACTTTACACACAAATCGTCATGATACAAACTATTATGGCAGGAACTGTGAATGACAAACAGGTGTTTGACTTTTAGTTCAATTTTAAAGTTTGGCTCTCTGTCCTATCTGTTAACATGGAGGAGCCTTCACTGTAGCCAGTCTGTAAGGGAAGTCCAAAATGTTCTGGCTTTCTTTGAGGGCACAGCCATATCTATCTTTTTATACAGTGTTTTGAATACTGCTATAAATTCTGGTCTCCCGAAAAGAGTTATAACAGGACTGGGCGATAAACCGAAAATTTACCGATAACGAAATTTACGACAATAACCGACGTCATTTTGCCCATATTGGTATATTCGGAGTCAAAAATAATAATAAAAGTTGTTTTTGGATGTATGTAGGTAGGCTATGGTCTCATGTCCCTTTAAGACACTATCGTAACTCCACCCCATCCAGTTTGTAACAAAGAGGGAAAGACAGATGAGGAGATGAAGGACGGTTGTAGCAGCTGGAGCGGTGCCTGAAGTAGACAAAGTTAATGTGGGAGGGGGTGAGCAGCTTGTGGAATGGTTATCATCCATTTATTGGTATTGAGGTGAACTGCTCAATATATCGTGATATTGATTTGAGGCCACATTGCCCAGCCCTAAGTCATAAACTCCATTTTTATAGGTTGTGTTAACTCTTTTCCATAACCTCAATCAGGAACCTTTAGAACCTCAAATTGGATGTTAGCACTGCCAAAAATATACCTTGATTGTGTGAACATGAATAGAAAAATCTGTCCTGAGCACACAAAAATGACCGGTTTCCTGTCTTACCTTTCAAAGTAGTCCGAATACTTCAGGACAGATATGTTGGCTCTGATGTTCTATCACTTCCTGCGGAGCATCAACTTGTTATCCCATCCCCGCACAAGCAGCAACAGTTTTCCCATCAGCCCCTGTAAGAATTGAAACCCAGTTAATTGGCATAGTTCTCAGCAGGTATGTCTAATTATCACCTCTGTGACACAGCTAAAGAGGCGGAGCTTGCCTTGATCACCTGACTAATACATATCACTGCTACTACTGCTGCTGCTGCTACTGCTGCCGCTGCCGCTGTTGTTATTCTTGTTCTTGTTTGATGTCGATGGCAACCCGTAGCAACCAACCCTCTGGTCCCACTTCCTCCTCACCTCTGTTCCTTCCTGTATCCCATGATGCCTTGCAGGAGCTGAGGGAGATCCACAGCCGGCAGCAGAGGCAGAAGCAGAAGGACCTGGAAGGAGACACACTCACACTGACACACACACACTCTCACATGCACACGCCTACCGAGAGAAAGTCTGCTGAACTGCAGGAGAGCAGGTACAAATGAAATGGAGATGATCGTACAGGTCGTTAATTATTTCTATGATGCTACGATAAAATAGGGCATTTTTGTGTGACACCATGAAAAATTAATTGTTTTAATCATCCGATGTGCCTCTTCCTCTCATCTCCTAGATTGTCATCAGAAGAGGGCGCAGCCTGGAGGGATGAAACAGCAGGCTCTGCTCCTCGAGCCTCTAGCCCTGCCTCCATCTCTGCACCCCATGCCTGGCTGAACCGAGTGACTCAGGAAGAGGAGGAGAGAAAAAGGAGAGGACTAGAAGAGGAGGAAGAGGGCCGAAAAGGAGCAGGATCAGGAGAAGAGAAGGAGGACGAGGGAAGAGGAAAGAAGGACATGCAGGAGAAACTGAACAAGCTGTTCAGCCAGCCCGCTGACCCCTGGGCATCAACAGGTTTGTACGGTCATGTTATAAATGCACAAATGGAAGAGTAAGGCCGATTCCATTACACAGTGGATGTGAGGCTTGGGTATTAAAAATAATCAACATTATTTTCTGTGAATTTTCAGTGGAAAAGGCTCCAGGACCAAGTCTGTTTGACCAGAAGGCGCCAGTCAGTAGTTTTGACCAGCAGCAGTCAGTGAAGGTGGTTTACTACAGAGCCTTGTATCCATTCGATGCTCGCAGCCATGATGAGATCAGTATCACTCCCGGAGACGTAATCATGGTATGAACCATTTTAAGCACATTTTCACTGTTAAGGGTCTGTGGAATATCAAAACTGTGTATCTGCTAATTTTGCGTCAGTAACGACTCTTGAATACTGCGTGTGTTTCGATTAAAGCCATTTGTGTCAATGCGTGTCTGTTTCTCTTGGACTCTGCCCTCTCTGCCCTGAGTCTGACTGTAGGCTGTGTGAATTAACTGTGTCCTTTCTCCTCTGCTGTGCAAACTGAAGGTGAAGGGGGAATGGGTAAGTTCCTGCCCCCGTCTAGTGTTGTGCCTCCACCAATTCCAAGCCAGCACCCACGTGTGAACTCGTGCTGTCATTGGTTCATCTCATGTCATCATGGTGTCATTCATTTACCAGTGAATGAATGTCTTTAAATCAGTCATTTTTACCACAAAGACCTACCTTGTTTTTTTTTACACCTTTTGTTTTTATAAGGAAAATAATTATTTGTTTTACAATAACCAACACAGAAGCCTTTCTCAGCTGAGGCTACAGCTACATGTAATAAAACCACTTTTTTTAAAGCATTGTTGGATGACTGGATCTTTTCATCCAGCATGTCTTTCTTTGAATTCTGTGACATTATTCCTTATCCAGAGAAAACAAACAACATTAACTTGACCGCTCGCAGTTAAGTTAAATCAAATTCGATAACCGAATTTGCTTGTTTCTTGTCTGTGCTTGCAGCTGCTGTGCTTCCAAGTTTTGCAGCTTTGTACTGCAGCCACTGCCTCTCTGCACTCCCGTGGGCAACTTTTTGTATTTGCACCAGCATGCACAGATCTGGTGTTCATGATGAGAAGGTGTTAAACACTCTCAAAACTGCTATCGTGATTGGAGATCACGTCAGTGTTTAAATGAATAGATCGAATGATTGAGTTTGACAGTTGATTGAGAAGGTCTTAAAGCATTTGATTTTACAATATTTATAATAAAAGAAGTGAGAGGGGTCTGGCTGCAGACCTCCACTGAGAGAACCTGAGGCGACATTTTTTCTCACGCACTCCAGTTTGTTTTAAGTGGTCGTCCCGTTTTGTATTTTGTCTTTGTTGAACATGAAAACACAGAAAATCATATTTACATTATACAGTGCTCAGCATAAATGAGCACACCCCTTCAGAGTTGTCAGAAAACCTTTAGTTTCCATTCAAAATCAACATTTTCTATGTCAAACTATACAACAAAATACCCCCCTCCCAAATGTAGGCTATTGAATGCAAACAAGAGTTTTTAAGTTGCATAAAAAAAGTTTTTTTTTTTTTTTCCATTTGAAATCAGGATACAAAAGTGAGTACACTCCAATCAAAGTTCTGGGAGCGAAGCTAAATTTTAGTTACCACACCACCCTTATTTTCATCTTATGGTAAATAAAATGTTATATTAAACTCAAAACTTTGAGAATTGTACTTTTGCTCATATGTAGAAATTGAGTAATGCGTAACTTTTATTAGGGGATGTACTGACTTATTCTGGGCATTGTATACATAGAATAAAGCCTCAAGGTAAATAATTATATTCACACAAAACAAAAATACATTCTTCCTGGTGCAATCGCTTTTCATTTGAAAGGCTTCGAATCAACTTAGGAGGTACAAAAAAAAAAAAACGTACTCCAGGTTTGTTTGCTTTTATTTTGTAAGGTTTCAAACAACTTCTAGTCCTCTCAGTGGAGGTGGGTCCTCTCAGTAGAGGTCTGCAGCTAGACTGTCTTGGAAAAAGCAAATAACTACAACCAGACTGAAGAAATAAGAGTGTGAAGTTTACATTTACTTTGTCACAGGACCATCTACTTATTTGTTAAACATACCCACTGAGTTCCAACTCTGAACGTCTGCTGCTGCTGCTGCTGGTGTAGCCATTATTTTTTCCACCACTGCATTGTTCTGCCATGGGTCTGAACTCAATCTCATTTTCCATCAGTTTAAGCCTTCAGTGCGTTTTAGCATTGACTTTCTTTAATCCCCTCTCACCTCTCTACAGGTGGACGAATCTCAAACAGGGGAACCCGGTTGGTTGGGAGGAGAGCTCAGAGGGCGAACCGGTTGGTTTCCAGCCAATTACGCTGAACGGATATCCGAAAGTGAAGCGCCAATCAGTCTGCGTGCAGCCACTTCAGTTACACCCACCTCAGCCCAGCAGCCAATGACCACACCTCCCCCAGCTCCTGGACACAACACTTCCTCCACATCCTCCGCCAACAGTAACTGGGCTGATTTTAGCACCAAGTAAGTCATGCTGGGGCTTTAGTCGTCCAAGTAGAGACAAAATTTTACAAATCTGATGCTAATCTATCCTTCAATCAGTGAAGATGAATGAATTTACATGTAAATCCTCAACAGCAAAAAGATGTTCAAACACGAACTAACAAACAGCTTCATTTCTGCTGTGATTTATTTGCACTCCAGTTCCAATGTGACTATTTAAATCATGTATAATCTCCGTGTTGAAGAGCATAGTATTCAGCGGACTTACTGCAGTACTCCTAATATTTGTGTGTCATCTGTATTTCCAGTTGGCCCTCCAACACAGCCAGTCAGTCCGACAGTGAAGGATGGGACGCATGGCCGACTTCTTCAGCCAGTCAGAACCCTTCACTCAGCGTTCCTTCAGCACAGCTACGGCAACGCTCAGCCTTCACACCTGCTACCATGACAACGGGCTCTTCTCCCTCTCCTGTGCTTGGACAGGTATTGGCATAATTGAACATGTTCATGACAGTCTTAGCTTATCATAACAATGGTAGATTCTTGATCCTCAAACGTGATCCCTAAATAAACCAATGTTCTATTAATCTTGAAAAATCTCCCTTTGTATGTGCACATTTGACTAAAAATGATATGTGCTGTCACTGTCTGTCAGGGAGAAAAGGTAGAAGGTCTGCAGGCTCAGGCTTTGTATCCATGGAGAGCAAAGAAGGATAACCACCTCAACTTTAACAAAAATGAGGTAAATAATCGTCCCTGCATATTAATTTACAGTGAATTATTAGCTTTGGATTGCTGACTCTTGCATCAATCAGTCTACACGTCTGATATGGTGAGGAGAACTTAAAGTCATTGTTTTTAATTGTATGCAGATAATAACAGTGCTGGAGCAGCAGGACATGTGGTGGTTAGGTGAGCTGCAAACCGGACAGAGAGGCTGGTTCCCCAAAAGTTACGTGAAGCTCATCTCTGCCACCATGGGGGCACCTGTTAGTGTCGCATCACGCAGTAAAAACTCAAGGTAGGTTCAAAGTACATCCAAAATAATTGGGTCTGTGAACATTGAGCTTTTTATGGTCCATTTCCAACATTTTTTTTGAGTTTACAGTTTGATGTTACAGGATGTACCTGTAGATCTTTAGACAGTCATCAGTTTGTCAGAAATGTTTAGCTAGCAAAACTCAACAAAGTCACTGAAAAAAACTTATTCAGTAAGTTTAAGAGCAGCTATATTTTATGTTACTTCCATGGAGATTAAATGTTGTGTCACAGTTGAAAGATGGTTGTTTTTGTCCTTTCTAGTGAATCTGGAATATCAGAAAGCCCACCAAATGGGAAGCGCCCCTCCCCCTCCCCAACAAAACCCTCTGAATCTGGAGAAGGTAACACACACAAACATGCGATGGCATAATCACATTGTAAAGGTTGAGAAAGCTGCTGTTAACCACCATGTCTTTGTACATCTGCACAGAGTATGTGGCCATGTATACATATGAGAGCAGTGAACAAGGGGATCTCAGTTTCCAGCAAGGAGATGTCGTCGTGGTGACCAGGAAAGAAGGCGACTGGTGGACAGGCATGGTTGGAGGAAAGACAGGAGTCTTTCCCTCCAACTATGTCAAGCCCCGAGACTCAGCCTCTGAGGTAAGGTTAAGTTGGACCAAAACCAGGGATGTTTTCTAAGTCTATCTCACTGAAGGTTTTTTGTTTTTTTTTTAAATCTTGTTCCTTTTCTTTCTAGTCTCTGGGACCAGCAGGAAAGACAGGGAGCCTAGGAAAGAAACCAGGTGAGATTTTACTTACTCTATGAAGCTGATTTATAACAGGTAATGAGAGTTCTCTGCTTATTCTCCCTGTTTTTCCACATTTTATGTTTAATTTTGTGGTATAAAAAGTTCTTTCTTAAATCATCAATTGTTTCACTTTGAGCCAGATTTTAACACCCTTTTTATATTCCATAATCCCCGCAAAATTAAGGAATCAGTAATTAAGACTCACAAATTTACCAGAACACATAGATTCCAGGAGCGGAATAGCACATCTACAGCATCATCTTTCTTTTCTTCATCTCTCTGTCTGTCTCTTCATCAGAAATCGCTCAGGTGATCGCCCCCTACAGCGCTACAGGAGCCGAGCAGCTGACGTTGGCTCCAGGACAGCTCATCCTCATCAGGAAAAAGAACCCAGGGGGCTGGTGGGAAGGCGAGCTACAGGTAAACAAAAGAATCATAATATGAAAACTCTCTTCCTGTTCTAAGTGTTTTTCTTTTGTATTTCTGAAAGTGAAACAAAAGTTACATTTACATAATATAGATTTACTAAGGTGACCCTTGTATTCTATTTCATATATACGTACAGACTAAATGGAGGTAAATGTGAGGCAGTCAGCATAATAATGGAACATGCAGGCTTATTTTGCACATATTTTGACTGAATTCATTATATGCCATGATATTTCCAGGCTCGGGGGAAAAAGCGACAGATAGGTTGGTTCCCAGCCAACTACGTGAAGCTGCTCAGTCCCAGCACCAGCAAGACAACACCAACAGAGCCCACCCCTCCTAAACTGGCTCCTGCCAGCACAGGTACACTCACATTTACACATACGCAAATAAAAGACTTCAAAGCAGAAAAGAAAACTAAACCTTTGGGTTCATTTTGTTGTTCGGTGCTTATTGCCTGAGCTCTTGTGCTCTGCTATGTCATGTATTTTTTATTTTGTAAACAGTGATTGTAGTTGTATGCATCTATGTATGACTGTTCTCTATAAACTGTATTGCTGCCTGTCTTGTCCAGGATACTCTTGTAAAAGAGATTTTTAATCTTGCGTTATTCTCCTGGTTGGATTCAGGTAAAAGGAAAATTTAAAAAGTAAATTAATACATTTTAAACCCTCTGTACCATATTTGAGTACACCTCAACACAAGTCACCATTGCACCGCTGCAGCTTGCTGTACAGTATCCATAATATCCAATGACAATGTCTAAAGTATCCTAGAAACTAAATGTTTTGTACTAACATTCAACCCTTAACACAAGCTCACTTTGTGGGAAAGCAGTTTTACACTCTGTATTGCTTAAATAATGGTTAAAGCTTAGATTTACTCAAACTGCAGGAGGAACCAGAACCAGGCCTTTAGTGGAAGCAGGCTTTTATTGAAAGCTGAACTTGATATCCAATTCCCCTTGTTTGATAATTGTAATTGTAGCACTGAGGTCTCCGAGTCACTCTTTGACCACTCTGACCTTTTTTACGTTTAAGGGAACTCAGTAGTTCTCCCGTCTATTTCAAATTAAAAGCCCTGCAGTGTTTAGATAAATATATAAATCTGTTCATGTCTTTCCAAAACTTTTAACACATGTTGAGATGAATCCTCAAACAATCAGCTACTTCCACTCCCAAGACCCTTGTGGTATTTTTCACATGGCTGCTGCCCATTTGAAGATGAGATAAGAAGAACTTTATTGATCCCCAAAGGAAAGTTCAGATTTTATGTATCTGTTCTGTATTTTCAGGCTCACAAAAATAATTCACTGACATGAGCTACCTGGCTTTTATCAGCCACCACTTTTTACAGTGCAACAGTGTATTCATATAGTTTTTTTAAAGCCTTGTATTTGAAAATCTCATATCTCTGTCAGCTTTGTATTCGACATAAACCTTTAAACTGTCTTTTTGTCATTTCTGTTTCTGGTGGTGAAGCTGTGTGTCAGGTGATTGGCATGTACGACTATGTGGCCCAAAATGACGACGAGCTGGCCTTCCAGAAAGGTCAGGTGATCACAGTGCTCAACAAGGACGACTGTGATTGGTGGAAAGGAGAGCTCAATGGGAGAGAGGGTCTGTTTCCTAGCAACTACGTCAAGCTTACCACAGATACCGACCCGAGCACGCAGTGTGAGTACTCACAAACACACACGCAATCTCACGTGATTTACAGAACACAGTTGACTGAAATTAACATATTAACATATTCTCAATGTCAATACAAAGTTTTGTAACACTCACAGGCACACACAGTGAAACACTCTCTCTTTCTGCACACAAACACACACACACACACACACACCCCAGAGCCAGGTGTGGAGATGCTGTCCCTCTCTCAGTGTTTGACCCTGAATTGGTTTGACCTCTGACCTTTCACTTTGACACTCCTTTGGGCCTCTTTGATAACCTCCCAGTCATGCAACACCTCTGGGTGGTGTTTGTGTGTATCTGTATGCCCATGCATGTGTGTGTGTGTGTGTGTGTGTGTGTGTGTGTGTGTGTGTGTGTGTGTGTGTGTGTGTGTGTGTGTGTGTGTGTGTGTGTGTGTGTGTGTGTGTATATTTGCGCACATTAGTGTAAATGTGTTTCCCTCTTTTTCCTGCATGTTTCCCTTCAGCATGATCCACCATAGACTCAGAGTTTATAGAGCTGAGCAAAGAGACACAGGCAGTAAATCTCAACTCATAATTGTACATCAAGACAGCCAAAATGTGTGTATCAAAAAACACTCTAATGTAGACCCATGGGGTTGATGGATGTGGTAAATATTTATGTCAGTATTTTAGTGGAATTACCATGGTGTAAAGTGCTAAATGAAATTTATTTAAATTAACTATTAAAAGTTCATTCAGCCATTTAAGATATTGTCCTGTACATTCAAAAAGTTTGATATTGTGTGACGCCACAATAAAGGGACAAATAAAGGAACAAGGTCTTTAGTAAGTAATCACACTAGAATAGACAGTACGAAGTCCTTGCAGATGAACTGTTGAGTATAGATTCCTTTTTTTCAAGAGCGAAAGCAATCTCTAAAAGTTTATGACCACTACACTTATGTGTCCAAACATCTGTTTACACCCTCTGCGGGTATTTCTTGAATTAGTAGATTTTTTTAATGTAATTATAAAAATACCTTTGCTAAAATAGTCAACCTCTCACTAAACAAACCAGTGCAATGCAGAAACAGAAACATGCACCGGGTTTTCTGTTGGTATTTCATTAATTAATATGCTAAGATAAGAACAGCTGGTAGGATGAAATGAGAGGAAAAAGAGCTGCATTTGGGTTTATTTTTATAAACGGGACAAAATTCAAGTATTTTCTGAAATTTGCTGGAATTCTGAAGCAGTTAAACATGGCGCATCAAATTAATAGTAATATTTTGTTTGAAAAGAATAAATTGCAACATAAACTTTGTTTGCAATTTGAAATAAGCGTATTTTAAATACAACAGAATTCTATTAGGTTTAGTTTAACAATAAACTGTTATTTCCTCAACATCTTTCCTGTAAGAAAGTTTTGGTGTCAAGGAAGAGCTTGTTTCTAAACTATTCGGTGTTGCTACCCTTGCTATTTGGCACCAGAATTTTAAAAACAATTCATGAATATTTTTATTAAAGTGGGTCTGAAATGCCGGTCACGTGTTGTTTCAGCGCTATAGTGCTGTCACCTGCTAGCTGGGGCTGTAGCGCCATCTAGTTCAGTGGTTCTCAAGTCCAGTCCTCAAGCCCCCCTTGTCCCGCATATTTACGATGTTTCCCTGCTCCAACACACCTGATTCAAATGATTAGCTCATTATTAAGCCATTACAGAGCTTGCTAACGAGCTGATCATTTGAATCAGGCGTGTTGGAGCAGGGAAACATCCAAAACATGCGGGACAGTGGGCCTTGAGAACTGGACTGGAGAACCACTGATCTAGTCAGTTCCCCCCTTCATGTTAATGTGAAGGGAGGAACTAAAGCTTGTGGCTCTAGCTCTGCTACTGCTAGCCAGACTCAGTAAGCCAGTTAAACACTGATTTCCAAAAGACACTGTAATCATTTTTTAGTCATGCTCAGTTATTAATAATCTCTGTCATAGTCTCAGCTGAAGTTTTCTCCCTGTATTAAACATTATAAGCAGTCGGACACTCAATCATACTGCCTGTTGTCGAGTTGCTCCCTCTACATCCTCTATTTCTATGCTAGATTAGACCACACCTCCACACTCTCTGTCTTGCTGCACGCTTCACCCACCTAGCACCCGATTGGTTGTTGTTGTTGTTGTTTTGTTTAGTTGTTTTTGTTGATGTTGTTGTTGTCGTCCTCTCTCTAGGATCATATCATTACCCAGAACCCCCCTCTCCTCAAAGCCCTCAAAGAGACCCACTAGGCCACTCAACCAATGGGACAGCAGCAAGAGGTCACATGACCCGGAAATGGCGACTCTCCACCAATAGAAGCCAGAGAAAGAGAGAGAGAGAGTGACAGACAGACAGACTGTAACGTTTTAATGCCCAGTGGTGGCGAGAACTCTGTCCATGCATGGCTCTGACTCTCCAAACAGCACTGTTCAGCAGGAGGGAGGTCACTAGTCAGGGCTCTCCTTTTCTCCTCCTCCTCCTTCTTTTTCTCTTCTCTTTTTGTTTGTATCGGTCAGAAAGGTCTTTAGACAGGGAGGAAAGGAAGAAAGGAGGAGTTTGAAGGAGAGCAAAAGAGGAGACGAGACTATTGAGCTCCTTTCTCCCACATTGGACTGATGAACATGTTTTGACTGGATCACAGAGAAACACACACTCTCATACACACACACATACACACACACACACAGACATACACAGCCCTATCGTAGCGTGGTGAAAGTGGATAGTGGGTCATTTTGTGGCTTTATGGGAGACTCTGTCATTAGAAGCAGTAGCTGAGCTCATCCCCGCTACTTCCTGTTTTATTCTAATTTTATTTTTTTTTACCCGGCTCCCATTGGTTCAACAGCTTCATTCACCTGTCAGTCAAAAGCGCTGGCTCCACCCCCCTCTCCCCCTCACTAACCTACTCCCCTCCTACAGCTTCACAGAAAAGACCCACTATCTGCTGGAGGACAAGTCTCAAAGTTAAAAGTCTCCTCTCTTCACCTCTCTTCTCCTCAATACCAAAGATTCCACCCCCTTCCCCTCTTCCTCTTTTCCCCCCTCTCCGCTTCAAAAGGAGGCAAATTAACAGAGAGGTGAGGAGGCGTTATTGAGATGCGTCCCAGAGCAGTTCAGTGCTGAGTTCCAACCCAGGAGGACGCTCCCCTCTATGTTTTAACAGTTTAGTTCCTCCTCCTTCTGTATCTTTCTTTGCTAGAGAAGGAAACAAGGAGGCATAGAAGTGAGCGAACAGCTGACATTGGGACTCAGCCTGTAGCTCAGGGCAAAAAAAACAAAAACAAAAGCCATGCTGTGTATGCCTAGCTTACATGCTAACCAAATTATAAGCATACACACACAGACACACACACACAATGTAACATGGTACAGAGAGCTGGGAGTATGCACATGACTTTTAACAGTGTGAACAAACTGCACACATAAACACACACAAATACACACATCTATATGTATATCTCACAATCAGACACAGTAACAGTGTTTTTATTGGTAGAAGTTTAACATACTGAATATGTATTAACTTTAAATGATCTGTTTTACGTTCTGTTGTTATTTTTGTTTACATGTGTATTTTTTTTGTCTGTTGCTATGATGGTGGTGAGAGACTGTCACACTTCTGAGGGCTAAAACCAAGATGATTGAAATATGACTTGGACCGTTTGGTACCCATCATTTAGGGGTGAAATGATTTTTTTTCTTGTTTTCAGGAGAAAAAATGTCTAAATCTACAATTGATCATTCCAGTCTGATCATTTTAGATTCTGTCTTGGTGAGAGTGAAACAAAAGGAACGATTACATTTTCATGGATATCATTTGAATTTGAGAGAAAGCCAAGATGGGGGCGCACAGCTTAGTATTAAAATATAAGCGCAGTGTTGAAATGGTTAACCCAAAAAAGACACTGAAGTTTGTACATTTATTAACTATCTGCAGTAACACGTCAAACACGATTTGTTGTTTGCAGTTGAATTAAGTTTCAGTTTTTATACCAAAGTAAATGAATTCAGTTTTAACTGTAGCTCCACAAGAATGAACTGTCTCATCACATAAAAAATAGGTCTAGTATATGCACCAAAACGACAAACTCTACCCTCGAAAAAAGCTCAGCTGTTGTCAGTGTTACGACATTTCTGAAACGAGTTATATTTCTCATTTCACTTGAGCTTAACTTTCATTGTGTGTTATTCCAGTCTAAGGAGTAGTTTGTCTCTTTAGTAAATTTGCTTTTAGGCTCGAGTCAAATAAGGAAACTAAAAGTGTTCACATCTGTTAGCTGAAGAAGACTCTGGAGCAGGGAGGCATCTAGCTTTGCTTAGTCTAACATAGCTCTGCTCAGAGCTCAAACACATATAAGATGGTTGACATGCTCACATAAATGTACTTCTTGCCAGATGATATAATCAAATTGTTGCTCAAATTTCAAGTGTTATTCATCGACAGTGTTATTAACTTTTTTAACTATTTAATCAGTAAAAGAAATCAATTTGGCTGTACCTTTAATTTATCTGTTTTTAGAACAGTTTTAGCAAATGAAAAAAAAAAGATGATTTTAAGTTTTTACTCTCCCTGCACTCTTGAGCGGCTCCATTGAACTTAAAGAAAATCATTTCACCCCTAAATGATGTAAAGACAGTGATCTGTAGCTGACAGTATCAAGGATCCTGCTGGGTTTAATGCTGCAGCATTCAAACTATCCGTTTTACTTTTCATGAATTTAAATAACCAAGTACACGGACCATACTCAGAATCCATTAACCTTATTTTAACATGTCATATTACGGGTTTTCAGAGCTGTATTTAGAGACCAACAAAATGGTTCATAGACAAACATGCTTTCAAAACTATACAATAATAAAAATTTCTTCAAATTTCATTGATTCGCTTGGCAAATATTTTCCTTTGAAAGCCATGCAGTGAGGAAGTTCAAATGCTGTTGTAATATTTACATCAAATTAACATCTTATTTCGTTTGACAACAACATCTTTTTAACTGGTAGACCAGAAAAAGCACTGTTTTTTTGTCAACAACAGTGAATTAATCTTTTTAGCAAAACTTAATGTATGCTAGCTCGTGGTACCCTTAGCCCCAATATTTGCCTGACTGCTAGCATAGCCTGATTATTATTTTTTTTTTATCTAGATGAAGGTTCTTGAGTTATCTAAAGAGCTCCAGATTGACCATACAATGTCTTAGTTGTTGCTTAATAATCTTTAAAAAAAAGTTAAAGACATTGAGGTTCCAGTTTCTATGTAATTTACTTGGATGACATTAGTAGAACATGACAGCAGCATATCAGCTTCCTTAGCCAAGCATGACATCAGCGAAAAATGGCTGCCATGTGAATAGAATGAACTTCCAGCATTAACAAAACCGCCCTTACATTTGTTCCCATAGCAACAGACGAGTATTATAGTGGTTGCCATATCAGATTTGTATTTTTGTTTTTGTTTTGTTCATCCAGATGACAGTATTGTGATTTTAATGTTTACCCGCAAACACAAAGGATGATTAAAATGATGATTGAAACTACGCAACCTTTTTTATACAACAAGCAATAGAGTTGTTGCTATTATAATTATAATTATGAACGTCATTGGATCCCATTGGCTCCTCAAGTGTGTCAGTTGTTGGAGGTGAAAGTCTCTGCTAAGTGTGTTGAACACCATCTGTGCTTAAACAAACTGAGGCTGGAGGCCTTCATGTTGGTCACTGGTCAGCTTGTTAAGGGTCCCCGTGGGACTGAAAGACGGGCGGGTTTTTAGAACAGCTTTACTCAGTTTGTTAGCAGATGGTGGAAACTTCACACAGTCAGAGGGAGTATTTTGGGTTGGAACAAAGACCGGTCTAGACCAGAGCCATGCTCCACACTACTCAGATCAGTGTCTTCTACCTGATCACACCTGTTACAACATGCAAACCCTATCATCTGTAGCAAGATACTCGTCATATATACTGTATCAGAGGAACTCCTGTGACGGTTTTGAACAGAACATACACTTTCTCTGAAGCATGGCTCTGCCCTAGTCCGGTTCATAAAATAAAAACAAAAGCTGTGTATGACTTATAGTTAATCTAATGAATGGTAATGGTTGGTGCTTCATGTGATTATAAAATGCAACTCTAATGAATGAGCGAATGGATTAACAGCCAGGCCAAATGTAACCAGACTGCACTTGGTGTCAATGCATGCATGAATGAATGAGTGAGTGGGTTTTGTGGATATGAATGTTTAGGTGGATACACAAAGGAATGAAAAGAGTTTACTTGAATGAATGAATGAAATGTACAGAATATTAGCCTAGCTTTGGTAGTAAAAATGTCCCGAGGTTTTTATTGGTGGAGATTCTGACTCGTTCTGATGATTAAACGCTCTGAGACAGACTGCAGTTGACTGGCCTCCTTACTCCTGCACATACTCACACAAACACACACTCGCTTCTCATCAGACCTGATTTTAAGGTGTCTCATCTTTTTCAAAGGTCGTTGGCCTGTTTTTCAACCTTTCCATCGAATGTTTTTGAAATCAGAGTTGCACTTCCTCTTCTTTATCTGTTTTTGCTGCCATGTTACAAAATTTGCTGTAAAAGATTCAAGGCACACATTTCTTACCACTGTATGACATTATAACACTTGAAAAAAGTGGCTCTTTGACCAGCAGGAGACATTACTCATGCACACTTAAGTTGATTTGAATATAAAATACAGGTTTGTGTATCACCAATTTAAATTAATGAAAGCCAAGTAATTCCATATCTGTAGATTAAATCAAGTGACTATGTCTAATGTTCAAGTGACGGCTTGATTTAAAGCAATCAGAAAAAGTAACCCACTCGTAGTTTTTTGAAGCTAAAGGTTTGTAGCTTGAAGTCATAGGAAAATTAACAATAATTTTCCATTTATCTTTGCTCCAAACTTAAGCCCAACACCTTACATGCTTAGTAAAACACCCAATTCCAAACTGCACAGTAAGTGACTGTTAAATGAAGGGACTCCTGAGAATTTATTCAGGTAGGATCCTCTGTACAGAGCTTCGATTTCACACTAGGCATCAATTACTCTCACCTTCACCTGACAAATATGTCATTGTAATTGAACAGCCATCTGGGGCTGATTTCCTGTGTCTCCTCTAGGGTGTCATTGCCACTCCCTGCTCTGCTTCACCTCTCCTGCTAGCTTAAGGGGACGTCTGCATATAATTCAAACTGCACAAAAACAAACAACAATCTGCTGCTAGTAAAATATTTGGGAGAAATCACAACCATTGTCAAAAAGAAAAAACCTTTATCATTGAAAAATAAAACCTGACTAATTCAGAATATTCAGACCAACTCCCCCCTCCTTTTGTCCCACTGCCTGTTTGTTGATTTCAGGTATGTATGTTGTCAGAAATACATTCGTACAGCAAAGAAAGGGTTTTATTTTGCTCTGTCCCTTTGTCAGGATTCTTGACTGAGAGTTGTGTGTGTGTGTCTGTGTGATGTTTGTATTACAGGGTGCGCTGACCTCCACCTTCTTGACATGCTGAGTCCAATGGAGAGGAAAAGACAGGGTTACATCCATGAGTTGATTGTCACTGAAGAGAACTACGTCAACGACCTGCAGCTTGTCACAGAGGTAAAACTTCAAGAGTGTCTCACCCATATGTGACGCACATTGTTGCGCAGCACGTCCCAAAGACCTTGATTTTTGCAAGCCAGCACAAAATAGTTCCTGGAGTTAAAAAGTTGTTACCTCAGTGGCAAATCCCATTGAGCATTTTTTGGTCTAAAAGAGGTCTAATAGATGTCTAAATGTGGCCTAGATGACTGGTCTAAAATCAGGCTACCACAGGTCTAAAAATGAAAGTATTTTTAGATGTCTAAATTTAGACCACGTTTAGACTAAGTCTAAATCTGGGTGATATCTATACTACACTGTATATTACTCAATGGCTATCATAATTATTTCATTAAGTACTTGGAGATTAGTTATGAAACTCACAGTTGCTTTTTGGAGTAAATGGTTATCAAATAATGGGTTAAAGTGCGACGTCTAAATTCCATCTAAAAATCTAGACGGTTGAAATTAGGTCTGAAGAAAACTAGACGTCTAATAGCTGTCTATTGCTCAGTGGGATACTGTGTGTGAAATGCTGTCTCATGAAAGCGTATCAGGGCTGAGAGAATCAAATTATCAATACCATTTTGGCACCAAGAGTCTTTTACTAGAAAGCGGTCTCCCATTGACTCGTTCAGGGTGATGCAAAGGTGATCATATAAAATCCAAATTAGCTTTGGAGAAGAAAAACAACTTTCAAGTCAAATTTCTGACATGTTTAAATACAGTAGTTTTACTGAAAAAAATGTGGTAACTTTTGTGTCTGAGTGTAGATCTTCCACAAGCCTCTGCTGGAGTGTGAGCTGCTGACGGAGAAGGAGGTGGCCATGATTTTTGTCAACTGGAAGGAGCTCATCATGTGCAACATCAAACTGCTCAAGTAAAGACAAACACCGAACACACAAAGTAACCACCACTGTTACTGTGGTTAGGTTACTGTTTCCAACCTAATGTACCAATGTTAATGACTTTATCAAAGTTATGAGACCTTTTTTGATGAATAATTTTTATTTGGAAGTATACAAGCACAGATTTACAAGATGTTTACATTACATATTTCCACTTTTTTTTTTCCTTTTAAATGGATGCACATATATATGGGTTAACATAAATTCAAATAACAAAGCATTTTCAGATGAGGATACGCTATACCTACTTTTGATATATGTAATTACATGTGTAATTTACCTGTAAAGTGTGCCAAATAAAAATAGATATTAAAAAAAATGCTTAGTTACAACACAAGACACATACATACAAAAGCAGTTTTAGCATGTAAAGGTGGACTACAAGTAGGAAAAAGAAAAAGAACACAGGCCAGATTAGTACAAAATAATACAATCGAAGTGAGGGCAAAGGAAAGAAAAAGAAAGTAATAATAAATAGATAAAATAGTGCACAAAATCTTTTGGAAACGGTACTGATATAAAGGAGAGGAAACAGGTAAAAAGGTAAGATGCTGAGATGGACTGGAATTATCACAAGACAGATACTGTTAACAGGAGGAGTCAACTAAATGTCGTCAGGTAGGACACCCAGTCCACCTTCATTAAGTTATGTTACTTATCACAGTTTAAAACTTCATTGTGAGATGTTTTGACAGAGCAGTAAAACATGAGAAGTCCAGATTAGAAAGTTTCACTTAGTTCAACAACGTCAAACCCCCTTTCTGATTCCCAAAGAAATTATTTCTCAATGTGAAGCACATTTTACATGTTTTTGGACACTTCCTGACCCATGATATTGGTAGTAATTCCAGCAAAGGCGACAGAGTAAGTGTCATTATCTTTATTAGAAAAAAAAAGACAAGTTACAAGATTGTCAAACCCAGAAGAAACCTCTCGGATGTGAGCTGAGGAGACTGAAATTCCAGGAATAGCCACTTAATGCTTACCCTAAAAGTGGGTCTTCATGTTACAACACCCATGTGCTAAGTGTGGCACAAAACTGGGTACTTTGAATGGTAGTTACCATAAACACGGCATGCAGCACACTGATGCACATACAGGCAAACCACATGAAGTGATGATTTTGCTTCTCATTTGCAAACCAGGATGAGTTATATACAAACATTTACTTGATTTGAATTTTAGACATCTCATTTGTTTAAAAGTAACAAAGTCCAGTTCAGTTCAATGAGGGCTGTGGTTGTAAAATATACTTTCTTTTTCTATTTCCTCCCTCTCCAGTCTGAAACAGAGCTTTTAGGCCTTGTAAAAGTTCACATTTGGTTTAATTAGGTTTAGTATTTATATCTAAAGTGAAGTAAAATACTGAAGATGTTCGATCAACATGTAAGAATCCATGGATAGCAGGTTTTATCCACTATAATACAGCAGACCATCTTTCCCCCTGTAGAGCTCTAAGGGTGAGGAAGAAGATGTCAGGTGATCGGATGCCCGTAAAGATGATTGGTGACATCCTGACCAACCAGCTGCCTCACATGCAGCCCTACATCAGGTGCTGTCTGACGTCTTTAAATGTCACCTATCGTGCTGTCTGGCTGCTGTTTGACTCAGGCTGAGTTTCATCATGTCGGTGCTTTCATCATTTTTGTGTTCAGGTTCTGTTCATGTCAGCTGAACGGAGCCACGCTGATTCAGCAGAAAACGGATGACAACCCTGAGATCAAAGACTTCCTCAAGGTATAAAACACACACACACGCACACACACACACACACACACACACACACACACACACACACACACACACACACACACACACACGGACACACTGCCCTCCCACTTTCTGTGTTACCTTCCAGCATTTAATCTCAAACCCTCCCACTTCTACATAGCAAAAGCAAACTAGCCCTCTGATGCATGAATTATGAAAGCCCTGATCAAGATTTTTTTCATAAGTGTTTTTATCATTCTCAGGACATAAAAGAACATGTTAAACTGTTTTTTTCCAAAAATGTTATTTTTTCACAAAACTACAGAAGTGTCCATTCAAGTGGACTATATGCGCCTGAGCACTCAACACAAAACATTATGAACTTACAGTAAAATGTACAGTACACCAAAATATGCCAAACTATCTCCAACATTGGAAACAATATTGTAAGTCCCCACAGTACAATAAAGATTCAGGACTGACATTAGCATGCCCTTATACGAGCATGTTGTTTTCAACAACAAAAACTGACATTTTAGTCCCTGCATCTCCAAACATGTCTCTGCTCATCACACCTAGGATGTATGAAAGTTGGCAAAGCATCCAGGGCACAATGGCACACAGGCTTTATATGAGCACAGGATTTGCTCATATCTGTTTACAGACATGGCATTTGCAATCATCCCTAGACGAAGGCCATCCTCACTAGACCAGTACATTTGTGCCCTGGGATAACGAATGTACCCCATGATCATGTTGATCCCTAAAAAAGTCTGCATTTCCTCTCCTGTCACTGCCACATTTTCTTTCCCTTTCTGGGGAGCATACAAGTTTGTGTTTTTTTTATATCATCAATGAGATCTGCTGGAAACAGATGTCTGGAGAAGTCTATAGGCTCTCTTCCCTCCACATTGAATTTCCACTGTCCTAGAAAAGGAGGCAAATCTCTATCAAAGTGATTGTCTTGGACTTTCCAGATATTTTTGCGAGCTTGAGAATGGTCAGGTGTCATGTGCCCATTTTCCACAGCTCCCTGATCATGCTGACCTTCCCCTGCATCCTGCCTCTCATCATCCTGGTCCTCATCCACTTGACTATAGGCACCTACCCTTTCTGCACCCTGACTGTCTGTATCTCCATCATCCTCAGCTCCTACATGTCTATTCTTCTCTGGCAGCCACTCTTGGTCACTGTTACACACTAATTACACTGTATACACTGATTTATAACCAAAACAGCCACAAGTAACAGAGGAGCAATTACATGACTCCTGTTAAAAAAAATACTGGGTGATGCATGATGTCCACTCAGTTGGACACATGGTTAATTGTAATTTTCTACAAATTGGACATGAAATTTTCAATTCCAAATGGATATTATCCTTCCTTAGATGTTACAGGATATCATCATATTTTTTTTACAGCTGGGGTTCTTCTACTATAGAAGTATTGACAGGACATGCCAGCTGTAGTCAGCAGGGGTGGCTGTTTCTCGGCCATCTTGGATTTGTAGGAAATTTACTTGCAGTTACACTGATTACTCACTAAATGTAACTCAATGGAGTAGGGCAGTAGAGAGCACCCTAGAGGCTGATATTCACTTCCACCATAGAAACCATTGCATTTAAGAGAAAAAGAGTTTTTGGTAGCTGTCCACTGTAGTGACCACTATGAACCAGAGGGCTAGACCGTCAGCAGCTTGATTATTTATATGCAGACATTTTTTTTCTGTCTGTTTCTGCTGTCATCAAGTTGGTGATGAGGAAGCAGTTTACAGCACACAGACTGGAGCTGCCTATTTTTGAAAGATTCACAGTCTTTATGTAACAGTTAAAAGACGACACTGGATAATTGTTGGTCAGAAAATACCACCCATCCATGACCATGATTGAAAAAGCACTTTAAAAACACAAACAGAGGTCTTCAGAGGCAGTTTTAGGCAGGATAGTGTCTATATCCAGTCTTTTGTTTGTCTCTGTTGAATCCAGAGTAGGCTGTGTCAAATAAAAAGAAAAAAAATTCCATTTGTTTGAATTTTGTCTTGATTTTTCTCTCTTTCAGAGGTTAGCCATGGATCCCAGATGTAAGGGGATGCCTCTGTCCAGCTTCCTGCTCAAACCCATGCAGAGAGTCACACGCTACCCGCTTATTATCAAGAATGTGTGTAACCACACGTCTTTCATATTCACGTTAAGATGTTTTTAAGAATTTAAGACAACCTCCTTACTTTTTGCTTTCAATTCAACAGATCTTAGAAAACACTCCAGAGTCTCATCCAGACCACAGCCACCTAAAAGCTGCTCTGGAGAAAGCCGAGGAGCTGTGCTCACAGGTGAACTCACATCTCTCAAACACACATATATTTTAAACTGAAGAGTCAGTCAATTACATGTTCAGCTAAATAGCCTCTTAAGACGCACACATCAAACACACGTGGCTGACGGGAAACTGATCAAATATGTGTGTTTGTGTGTGTGTGGTTTTGAAGGTGAATGAGGGCGTCAGAGAAAAGGAGAACTCAGATCGTCTGGAGTGGATTCAGGCTCATGTCCAGTGTGAAGGCCTGTCTGAGGTAACACACAGTCAATTCAACTTATACATCACCTTTCATACAAACATGCAAACACACGTAAAATTATCCGCTCACAAACACAAAACCAACAAGCTTGCTGCTCATTGTTTCTGTTGTGTACATTCGCACTAGTTACAACATTAAAGATTTAAACATGTCTGTTTTTTTTACGTTAAAAGGGTTATAAATATGCAGAGATTACTTGATTTCTTAAAAATCTTCTATTTTTAATTCCTCCCTTTTATTTCTCTCTTCAACACCTGTGGTGACATGTGGTATCATCATGCATGTTTTTATGTTACATAGAACTTGTGCTCTCAAAGTAGGGCTGGGCGATAAAACGATAAAGATATATATCAAAAATTAATTTACCTCAATATCAATATGAAACATGGTCAATATGCTTTTCGATAGTTGGCATTCTGCCATGTTTTGGTAGACTATACAAATACCTAATGAAAAGGGGAGTTGCTCCAAGTCCGCTTTGCGCTAAACCAATCATGTGCTGAATTAGAACCAAGTAGCAAACTAGTACATGCAACCATCGCACTTTAACACGTGAAGCTGACAGCAGCACTGTCGGTGAGAAAAAAAGAAAATGAGTGCTACCCCTGGCAGAAATGCAGATGAAGGCACAACAGATGATATCGTCAACAACACTGGCAAGAAAACGTTGGTGGTGTGGAGGTATTTTGGTTTTGGGTTGGACATGATGCAGAGTAATGTGCACTGCAAATCATGTCGAGTACATGTTCTCGCAAAGTCGGGGAATACCATAAATGTTTTTCACCACCTGAAGCAGTGCCACGTAGCAGAGCATGCACAATGCAAATATCACCCAAATATTTCCTATATCGCCCAGCCCTATATCATATAAAGGCAAGCAAAGACCATAAAATCTCTCCTGGATGTAGAGAATTTACAGAGCTTTGTTAAAATGAAAATCTCTGAGGTTAGATCTTTAGATGGAATAAAATGTAAAATGTCTAACAGCCTCGTTATTTCAGAACTTCATCTTGATAAACCATGAAATTAGGATAACTGGCCTATCCCTTCATTTGTAAGAGTGAACTGGGTCTCGTCCATGCCAGTTTGTTAAAATAACATGAACAAAGAGAATCAGACTACAGATCCATTAGACTATATCATTTTATAATCTAAATTGTTTTAATGTGTTTGACATGTTATAGCCTAAGTTGATCATTTATTCATGGAGATAAATGAATATCTTTCCCTCTCTGCCCTCCAGCAACTGGTGTTTAATTCAGTCACAAACTGTCTGGGTCCCAGGAAGTTTCTCCACAGCGGAAAGTTATTCAAAGCAAAGAGCAGCAAGGAGCTCTACGGCTTCCTCTTCAATGATTTCTTGCTGCTGACACAGGTGAGCCTGAAACCCCCCTGTCTGACCCTGTGGCTGTCAGTGCTGGGACTAAAGAAAGACAAAGGAAGTACAGTTAGAGGGGCTCCAGTCTCAGTTTTTTGGGGTACATGTGTGTCATTTCATGCTGCTTGCTACTTCCACATTGCTGCGTTTGAAGTGAAAGTCTGTATTTAAAATGTAAACAAACACAGGTTCTGCAGAATATCCTTGAAAGACATTTCTCTGTGTTCCTTGAACAGGTTACTAAACCTCTGGGCTCTTCAGGTTCAGACAAAGTCTTCTCCTCAAAAACACATCTACAGTACCGCATGTATAAGACGGTAAGAAGAAAGCTTACGTGCACAGGTTGCTTTTTTATTGTGCCATTTCAGTATTACATCGGGTCATTTTGCAAAAAAATTAAAACAGTTTTGTTAATTGCAATTTTTTTTTTCAGTTTTCTTTGTGTGTCATATAGTATTTAAAGAACTTTCAATGGATTTATTTGATAGAAACTTTGTTGAATGAGATTAGAAAGAAAACAATTTTCTGAGCTGTGGACCTCAGAAAACTGGGTTTGAGTAAATTGTCAATATTTATGCTGTTTTTACATTGAAGTATGTTTTATCTTAACTGTGTTTTCAGCCCTTATGATTGCTGGACTTTTTTGTCTTTTTCTTGTGTCTTCCAGCCTATTTTCCTCAATGAAGTGTTAGTGAAGCTGCCCACAGACCCGTCAGGAGACGAGCCTCTGTTTCACATCTCGCACATAGACAGAGTGTACACGCTCAGAGCTGAGAGCATCAATGAAAGGTAACTTGTAGCTTTGTGCAGAAATGAAGCCTATTCAGATCCTTTCATTCAGCAGAAGCACCAATACCACTCTGTGAGGGTGCTCCATCACATGCAGAAGCCCGGCATAGTCAATAATTTAGTGTTAAAATCTGGAGAATTTTAATCTAACAGTCACAGTCCAAAAATACTTTCATTGAAGTGAAGGATTTTTTGGGTAATTTTCTCCTATTTTTGTCCATGATCATGACATTATATGTTGGCCTGTGGTCTCTCCAATCAAGCAGGATATTAAAAACAATAGAATAAACTAAAATAAATACAAATACTGAACCCCACCCACCCTCCCAACCCTCTTTTAACACAAACAGCCCTGACACACACAGATGCACACACAAAAGACTAGGTGAGGACTCTTCAAGTTGTCGTAGATGACTGAAGAAATGTTATCTTGAGTTAAAAAACAAGGAAACACTGGACCTAGGACTAAAGCAATATTACCATGCTAAAATATAATCAAGGTAACAGAGCGTTTAAAGGTAATTAAACAAAACAGTCTTAAAATCAAGCAATAAAAGAAAGAAAATTAGAAATAGGTAATAAAACTGAAACATATAGAACATTAAAAAGTGCAAAAATTTCATTTCAAAAGTCTTGAGTATGGGGTGCACAGATGGCCAAGTGGGTTGTCCTCCCCCTTCTCTCCACCTCCTCACATTTCACTCTGTACTATCAATAAAACTCAAAATGCCCCCCAAATTTTTTTAAAAAAGTCTTGAGTAATAACCAAGACTAATCTTTGTCAAAGGTCTTTAAAGTCTTCAGTCCTAAAATTTAGAACTTTAGTCCAATCCCAGTCAAGTCATGGGAGTTGAATATCTATTAGTGTAAATGAGTTAGCTATCATTCCTCAAGTGATCAAATGATGAGTTTTTAAATAATAAAAAATAAAATCATAAATTTAAGAACAACTTTTTGCTTGTAAAAATGTGTTTTAACATGCATTCACTACTGCTGATATAAGTCAGATTCATCTTTTTTTCTTTGGCGTTATAAAGTGTGTGTTTTTTGTGTTTGTGTTTGTATTCACACAGGACGGCGTGGGTTCAGAAAATCAAAGCAGCTTCAGAACTCTTCATTGAGACAGAGAAGAAGAAGAGAGAAAAGGCATATCTCGGTATTTTTCTTTTCTCCATCTGACATTTCTAAAAAAGACAGAACTTAATTTATATTATTTAAAAAAAAAAACTAGACACACTCGGTTTCTAAACGGTAACTTTTTGTCTCAGTACGATCTCAGAGGGCGACAGGTATTGGTAGGCTGATGGTCAACATTGTGGAGGGAATCGAGCTCAAACCCTGTCGTTCACACGGTAAGTATGCACTACAACACCGAGGATTGAAAAAAGAGAATAGGTGCACATTGACTTGAAGTCATTCAGTTGGTAGAGTCACTTTATTTAAAAGGAAAAACACCTGAAGACACATTTCTGGTCCAAACAATATTTGCCTTGATACTCAGGGACATGACACAGTTGACAAAGACTGTAGTCAAGAGTCTGTTGATGTCTGGATCCATATTAGACCTCCGTACAAGGTTTAAGACGTTTAATCTGCTTATTTGGTTCAAACTAAACTGACTGTGATCAACTTGAATATGGCCTCTCTTTGCTTTTCTGTATCATATACATGAAGTACAAATGATTGCATGTTTGTCTTTATTTACAGGAAAAAGTAACCCATACTGTGAAGTAACCATGGGTTCACAGTGCCATATCACAAAAACATTACAAGTAAGACTTTGGTTATCACATTTCTCTGTTTCTTTTCTATAATTTTGACAAATGCTTAAAGGAGTTATAAAAGAATAAAAAAGGAAATATTAGGTTGTGTTTAAATCAAGACGTCTGCTAGACCTGCTTTGTTTCTTATCACTGAGATGACTTGAGCTGTGGTTTGGAACTTTTTTAATAACACTGACATGACCTGACATGTAAAAAAAAAAACAATGAAAAGTTTCCTCTTGGTTGCTGCTGTCAGTACTAATAAACCCTTATACTAAGTAATAATTCAGATTGGTGTTTTATCAATAAAGGAGATCACTCAGGTCTAGAAAAAAAGTGGTTTGTATTTCAGAAAAGAGTACCAGACCACTTATTTTGCTTTGTTTCTCTGTGTGTTGTTTCTGTTCAGGATACTTTGAATCCAAAGTGGAACTCCAATTGTCAGTTTTTTATAAAGGACCTGGAACAGGACGTCCTCTGTGTCACTGTGTTTGAACGAGATCAGTTCTCACCTGATGGTCAGTAACACACCACTGGCTCCCCTTATTTTTTATATTTTTACCCACTCTCACAGTTTGTGTCCTCTTTCTCCTTCCAGACTTCCTAGGCAGGACAGAGATCCGGTTGGCTGAAATAAAGAAGGACCAGGGCTCTAAAGGACCAATTACAAAGCGGTTGCTGCTCCATGAGGTTCCAACGGGAGAGATTGTGGTCAGACTGGACCTCCAGCTGTTTGAAGAACCGTAAAAGCTGGACGAGGCCGTACTGGATCGGGTTGGCCCAATAAGGACTTAAAAGATCTGATTTGGACAAGTCAATTGGATTGGATTAGACTGGACTGGTCTTGAGTCACTTAGTCTGGGCTGGTTTGGTTTCTCAGTGCTTTTAAAGTCTTCAAAATAGGTAGCCTAGGTAAATCAGCAATTTTTGTTGCATTTATTGAAAAAAAAAGGCAAATATTTTGAATATTTGGACTATGGAGGCTGTATAGTGACAAAAAGGGTGTTCGCCCAAAAAGCCGTGGAACTCAAAGGCAGCTGCTTTATGGTTGTGTTATGACATGAAAATTGCACTGCTGCTACACAAGACACTCAGATGCAGCTAACAGTCTCTGTCAACTCACCATGGACTATGGAAACAACACAGTTTAATAGTTACTTCATATGTTTAATAACCATTAATACATCTGATCTGTCTGCTCCTGTAATTGTCCAATTTGCAGAGTATGAAGAATACTATGAAATATACACGCTACTCAGATATTTAGAGGGGCTGCAGTATCAAGACAAACAGCAGGGGGCAGTATCACAAAGATGTCCTCTGTGTCTGTTGAAATAAGGAGTTCACAATCAAAGTTTTCATGAACATATCATTTTGAATGATTGAAATTTTACTAGTTTCTACCAGTTTAAATCTATCAAATTCAGGATGATTTTGTTGTTGATTAGTTCAGTTTTGAAAACAGTCACGTGTGAAGATATGTAGCAGTCTTTCTGTCCTTATTCTTATGGAAAAGACAATGAAAATATTTCAGCAAACATTTCCTATGTCAACCTCACCGTTCTTACGGATTAGTTCTTCACCATCAATGATCTTGTGCTACCTAGAAGTTAAAAAAAAACAAATCCTGTTTCCAGCCCAGTCTAGTCTACACCCCTCCTCATTCAGCCTGTTCCAGATCAACATTCCAGTCCAGTCTGGTCCAGTTTAATGAACACTAGTCCTCTTGGAGATCAGAGCCGGATCTTTAGTGTTTCCTCTTCCTTCTGCTTCATCAGGCAGTCTCACAGACACTCCAGTGACAATCCCAGCCCCTCCTTCTTCATCCCAACAAACGCAACCGCCCTGTGTGTACGTGTGTAAATGAATGTGTGTTTGTGAGAGAGTGTGTGAGAGCGTGACAGAGCTGGTATGAATGAACGTGTGAGTATGTGTCAAAGTGGACAGGCTCATTAAAGGTACGGTTCAGTGTATATTTCCTTTGTTTTTCATGTCAAGTCTTACAGAAGTCTTAAAGTTCAGGCATTGAGGTACTGAGCAGGTAAAGGGGCTTTTGAATTTTTGCTGTTTGGACCCTCACTGAACACTTGTCAGGTTATCTCAGAGAGTGCTTAATATGTACAGATTCAATGGAAAACATTAACCATGCTAATAAGCTGAAGATAAAGACAGATTTACTCCAATATATGACAAGTGTTCAGTGTAGATTAAGTGTAGACCTGTCAGGATGTCCCTTTCAGTTGTTTTAATAATAATAATGATAATAAAAATGCTGATAATAATACGGCTGAAACAAAGCCAACCAGGGAACAAGTGTGAATTTAGGCAGCTGGATTCAAAGCTGTGCTGTAAACGGAATGTCTTATTATTTTTGGGGGGAAATCAGACACACTTCTAGTTGTAGTTTCAAGTGATTTTAGCCAAACATCAAACCTCTGTTGTCATGTTGCTGCTGTGCAGAGCCGTCACAGCGGCCATCACTATGCGACAACCCTGAAAAGCCTAGGGGGCCACAGCTGGACCCTCAAATATGTTAGGTACTGCGTAGATGTATTAGACAAGAACAGACTTAGAGTACATTTTCACACTTTGACCCTGAGGAAGCTCAGTGATGAAGCACTTTTTAAAACCACAATGTCGCTAATGTACGAGGCAAGAAGAAGAAGATCTTTATTTATCCCCGAAGGGAAATTTAATAAGGGGGACGCAACTCCACAGATGTGTTGATGAGAGCCATTTTGAATATTTAGGTCTGGTCAGGAACTCTATTAAACATAAAACTGACATAAGTCCTTCATTTCCAAATACTTCAATCTGAGTTTACACATTTGTCGTATCAGTGGTCCTCCGCAGTGAGTGTGGCACTTTCATTTTTCAGGACGTTACTCTGACAGAGAGCATTTTTGGTATTTTTTCTGAATATCACCAGGTTGATCCTTGGAAGCAGAGTTTGCTTTTAAAACTTCAGGTGGATATGATTATTTCCAAGAAATTTGGAGACCAGAAGCTAAAATGACTGATTTGGCTTCCTTAAGATTTGGCAGCTTCCAAATGGTCCAGATGTTGTATGTTTACAAACTGTTTCCCAAGAATGTTAGGGATCCTACGGTTTTCAGATTTGTTTTGGAAGAGGAGAAGTCAAAATACAACAAATGTTTTTTTCATTTTTTCAGCTTTTAAAGCTGCCACTCACTTCTGGTGCCTTCATACTGAGGCTAGCTATGTTACATTTATGATGAACACTGATGTATTTTTTTTAAACATTTTTTTCAACATCCTTTTTTTAAATTATTCATTTCTAAACATATCGTTTTTGGTATTTCTTATCTCATACTCAGGAGTGTTTTTGAAAGCAGCATTAATCTTCTTTCCAAACCTGAGTATTCAAAATGGCTGCTGCGTAGGTCAACAGGACAGATAACCTTGCTGGTTTGTGTAGAAGAGTTGTAGATATGTTAGCAAGTGGGTGAAAAGTAGTTAATTATTTTAATTTGATGCCAAGGTTACTACCATAAAAATAACCAACAGTTACCTTAGTGACCAGCCACTGTCCAATCAAATGTCGGAGAGGCTCAGCCAGGTGCAGCAGCCTGACTGTGGAGGAAGGTGTGAACGAATGTTTGTGACTCTCGACTGAAGCTGATGATAATGAAAATAATAATGAATGATTATGATGACTTTGTCTAAGATCCCCATACTGTTTTCCAGTCCCCACTCCACGCTGTTCTGAAACTAATCCAGTTTGAATCCGCTCTTACTGTTCCAGGATGTGTATAATACTACTGCTATCTGAGAGTTAATATATGAGCGCTACTGGGGCGTTAGAGACAGCCTACTGTTAATTATCACTGTAGAAGATGATGTACGTTGTTGTCTTTCAATGTTCAGAATAAACTTCTGTTGGACCAAGACTGCAGCTGTCGTCTGATTCCATCGGGACCCAACCCAAAAAAAACAACCAAAAAAAAAAATAATTTTTGGCCAGAGGTGACTTTTTTTAAATTAGAGGTCAGACATTTAAGACTTAAAAGTTTAAAGTTTTGTCACACAGGTTAGTTAAAAGGAAATTTAAAAGAAAGCTCATAACAGTGTTATAATTGTGTTTTACTTTGAAAACATTAGATTTGTACTTTTTCACTTAACTCATATAACTCACTGTTTGTTCTCTGTTCACTTCAGACTCAGATTTATACTTTCCTAATAAACTCATGAGCCACAAGGTTCCCTCTACTGTATTCTGTCGGACAGGTTTACTACACTAGAAACACACTTCAAGGTCAACTCACACATATATTTTATTGCACATTTTAGTAAGACCACGTGAACAGTGGTTGGCCTTGTTACTTTGCAGATAACTGGCCATTGAGACACGGTTGTGTGTTAAGTCCAACCTCTGTCCAGGGCAAGATAAATGTGAATTGTACCGAGTGTATGGGCACTCGCTGTGATGGAGATCCTAGGAGCTCTGTCATTGTGAATTCAACGCTGTATTACTTTACCTGTGACCATAATAAAAGATCTACCTGCAGAGTTGCCAACTCCTCATTAAGGAAAGTCATTAGTGGTTGTCTTAGTAGTCACTAGATGACACCATCACCTAACTTGCATATCAGTCCATTTGCATGCAATTGTGATGGACATTGTTGGAGAGAGGAATAGTGTCATTGGAGAGAAATAAAATGACTAAAAAACACTATTAATATTTTTTGACTTACAAATGAACTGCAATTCGTTTTTTCAAATGTCAAAACACCTCCTCCTTCTCCTCCTATCTGGGCTTGGGACCAGCAAAAATGACCCACAGGAGACACCATGGAAGAGTTAATGTTTTTTTGTTTTTTTTTAAGTTTTCTATTTTATTAATTCATTTTGTAGTTCTCTTTGATTTATTGATTTATTTTTACATTACAACAAGTCACATTACAACAAGTCATCTCTGGTCCCTTTCCTGGTCTGGTCTGGTCTTGCCTTGGTTCCTCCTATTAAAAAAAACGTAATTTCCATGAAATGATAGTTAACAAAAACTTTGTGCCAAGAATTATACACACTTTACTTACAGATTATTCTAAAAACAAGTCAGTGTAAAGTATACTTACTTTTATTTCCATAGATAGTTCACTCTGCATGCTGTCTTCTTTTAATCTCTGGGCCCTTTTCTGTTCTGGACTAGTCAGGTCTCACCTTTGTTCTTTTTCATAAAAAAAAAACCAAGTAATTTCCAAAAAATATTAGTTATTATGTTATATATTAGAAAAAATTCATACCAGGCATTATGCTCACTTTATTAAAAATTACTATGAAAATAAATTTGAAATAATATACTCACTTTTTTTTTTTAAAGATGGTTCACAGTGTACGCCGCCTCCTTTCTTATCTCTGGTCAGATTTCTGGTCTAAACTAGTCCCTTTTGATGATGTATCCTTTCCTCTGTAGAAAAGAACTATTTCAAAAAGCAAAATGAAAAAAAACTTGAAAAAAAATCAAGAGAATAATTTTATTGCCCAAAAACATAAAAAAAAAAAAAAGAATAAAGATCTTTTTTTTTTTTTTTTGTGAAGCTTCTCTATCTCCTCTTCGCTGGTCTGGTCTGTCATGGTCTGTTTTTGTCCTGGTGTCTGTAGGGTTTACAATGTATGCTGTCCCCTTAGCTTGTCTCTGGTCTGATCTCTTCTCCCTAAAATTTAAATGATGGATAAATTAAGACATCTCATCTGCTGATAAGAACAAAAACAATTCACATGTTCATAATGTCTGACGCACCTCTCAGACAATCAGAATGTAATGGAAAATGGAATAAATATAGACCTTTTTTTTGATAAAGGTTCACTGGCTCCTCTGTTCTGCGCAGGTCTGGTTTGTTCCAGTCTTGGGGCTCTATTTTCACGGTGGCGGACCCCGTGCAGTGGTTTTTTCATCTGGCGGAGCCCGGTGTACAGCCAGTTTGGTATTTTCATGAACTGAGGCACACCGAGGTCCGCCAAGCTGGGTGTGGTGGCATGGCAGAGGGTCTGGTGGTATTTTGGTAGACTGGCGGCGTATGTATACGTCACTGATGCCTCATCAGCAGGTTTTTCACAGTTTCAGGCACATTTCAGTGCAATAAATAATCAACAACAACTGATAATCTGAGTCGGCACATACATTTAGATCTATATCGATATATTCTGATCTATATCTGATCTGATGAGCGCGTTTGGCACGCGTTTGGACACTCAACCTGTCCGAAATACCACAGCTGAAAATTAAATTAAATATCTAGTAAATAGACACACATGATGAAGTTAACAAGATATGTAATTCGTCTCCCCCCTTTTCTTTCTGACTTTGAAAAGATGCATTTAAAGGGGGCTATGATAGTGACTGCTCAGATTGAAAGTATCTAGGTGAAACAGGCCATTTGCTTGCTAGACCTGCTCAAAGGTGAAGTGAATCTGATCCATCTGGAAGATGAGGAAGATTTTAACTTGACAGTCCAGACCTACTTCCAGACCCTCTCTGTCCCCCTCAATGGCCCTACTCTATCACCTCTCACTCCTGCAGCATTTAATGATGAAAGAAAACCCATCACCATGACTTGGCGAGTCTCCCAGGATGTCCAGCCAGAATGCCCTAAGGAAAATGAGACCCTAAAATGCCATAAAAAAACAGAAAAATCCCTTGATGCTGGTGAGTCTCCCACAGGACCAAGCCATAGAAGAAGCTGCCCAGAGGTTACTGATACCCTGAAACACAATAAAAATCAGAAAAGTCCTTCCAAAATAAACAATACAGGTGCAGGGCTTTTGAAAGATCACAACAACCAGCCATATCCAATATACCAGATTTTGTGACCTATGGCCCAACTGCAGCAAGTTGCAACATACAACCAATAAATGGGCTGCATAGATCTCCACGTTCTTCAGGTGTCAAGATACAGATCTGCAGTAAGGTCAAAAAGTGGTGGTGGCCAGTCCTGACTTGGTCTTTTCCTGGTGTTATGGTAAACAGCAGGCTGTTCTTCAGAGATGTTGTTGGCAGAGACTATGGCCTCCTGACCTTTCAGTGGGTTTTGTTGAAGAAATTGTGTAGATTTCGACTATAGTGGCAACAATTGTTGCCGAGTATATAACATAATTTTTCACTAACATAACCAACTTGAAATGAAGGGAGGTCTAAGAAATAAAATGCACTTTTTTTCCAGGGAAAAATTTGGGATTAAACTATTTTGCATTCAGCCTTAAAGGTTGTAAAAATTCAGCAACAACATGCACCTGAAGAGCATGCTCAAACATGCTCTTTTGGTATATTCACTCTGGAACTTGTTAAAACCCTGCTGAAAGTAGGGAAAAATAGTCAATTAACCAACTCCATGTCTAATGCCATCTAACTAAAACCTTGATGGCTAGCTTTCTAGACTAGGACTAGGACTTAATTTTTTACGGTATTTTGTGGTTTTAGTGCTGCAGTAAACAATTTATAAACCAGTCTTCCGTCTGACCCCGTCTCTGCCCTGCCTTTTCTTTAGACACATTGGATTGACATGGTATGTGACGTGCAGCACACATGGCTATAAGAGGCTGTCAGGAGCTCACACTGAGCCTCAGCAGCTTGTTATAGCACAGCTCACTGAAAAATGGCCGCTGCAGTCTGAATAGATTTGTAACAAACAACTTCTCTCCTTTTCTTCCATGACAAACTAATAACAGCTTTCTCGTTACAACATGACAAACACAGTTTGGACTAAAGAGTAAGGGGGGCGTGACAGCAGGTTTGTGTTGACCCTGTGCATGTCCTGAAAGGGGCGTTGTATTTTGCGGCGAGCAATCAAATTTCTCATAAAGTTAACCATCGATACGCCGGAAATACGGCCTACGGTACTTTCACAATAATGGACTATTAAGTGGCGTTTTTAAAATATTTTTTTATTTTTATTTTTTACCTTCAGATGGAAACAGGTTGCCAGATAAATGAAACAGCTGTAGATAAATGTGTTTGATTTAAATCATTAGAATCACTCCTTTTCAAATTTCAATATACTTTGTATACAACACATTTATATGCCAGATAACCTTAGCAATATGTACACTACAGGCCAAAAAGTTTGGAAGCAAGGCCATTACATGCCGAACAGTTGGGAGTAACTTCAAGTTTTTGTTCACAATGCTTTTTGTTTTTTAAAATCCAGCATGAGTTTTATTTATTTTGGGATGTATTTACTCCATGATCAGATGTTGCTTTCATGGAAATGCACCATTTTACTCCATTTACCTTTAGATATACATGGATGTTAACAGACCTTCGCTAAATATATGTCAGCAAAAGATAATAAGGGCTTAGTTTTAGGGTTGAAAACATTTGCAAGAGTCACAACTTCAGTGCAAAAGCAAAAAAACAAATCACAGTTGGATTTTTCACTTTAACTTTTTCACTTTTGAGAGTCTGCATACAAAAATCCTAATAGATGTCAACTGCGTTCAAACTGCGTAATTTGTAAGGGGGGGCTCAGCTTTAGGCAATCAGACAAAAAAGTTTCTTTTAAAAAATGGTAAAGGTGTAGCCACTTACCCAAACTGTATTCAACAACCAAAATTGACAATGAGATAATCTGTTCTGACCTCCAAATGCTACAGAAGCCCTGGGTGGTCTTGACATGAATCATACAATTTATTGACTATGTTTCATGGGGTATCAATTTTATTGTATTGTTTTCTCAAGATCTCACTTTAACATTGGAGGATCACATCTTACGCCATCAACACTGTGAAAGCACAATATAAATGTAGAAATAATTTGTGTGTGGGCAATAGCAGCATGGCATGCTGTGGTCTGTCCCACTCTTGCAATATTTTGTGTGATGAAAAGAAACTGTAATTATGAGAAAAAAAAAAACATTGTTATCCAACCTCAAAATAAGTAGATAAACGTCACTATAATGAGAAAACCAGCGTTGACAAAAATGGCAAGGAACGATAAGTTAAGATCCCATGAAAACAACTAGAAAACAACTCACAGGATAACCATGCAAATGAAATGTGTGTACTTACGTGTGACTGTGGAATATGAAAACAGCATGAATGTTTTTACTCACCAAAATTCAAGCGATATTATTCAAGCTTTTATTTTGTTAAATCTTGCCGGATGCGTGTTCTTCTGTTGCTTATTTTCACGGCTGTATTTAGAGGCTTTCGCTGTATTTACCGTGGCTTTGCTGAATAGCTTTATGTAACAGTAATGCCTTCACTACAAACAAGACAAGTCTTTGAGTCTATCTTTGAATGAAATATATCAGGGCTGGAAACATGTGTTTATCTAAGGCTTAGTCGTTCATTTAATTGTTAAAAGTGGACCAGAGGAGTGTCGGTACTATCGCCGTGTTTGGGTTATCTAAATAGTTCTTTTGCACTTTGCGCATTTTTATCGCCTTAATAAATATATCCTTCTGTTTGTGCAAAGGGAAATAAAAAAAGAGTCAAACTGCAATGGTGGAGGACAGAGAGACTCAGGACATTCAGTACCTTTTAGCAACGACCCGTCAGCCCTTCACACCACCAAAGACACACTAGTCAGCTCATAGTTGAGTCTAGGACATATCCGTTTATTTTTTTATTTTAGAAACCATGGCTGCTGCTTTGTTCAGAAGAGGGACAGGACTGTGTATCAGGGTAAGTCAACTTACTTGTCTGTCTATGTTTAGTTACAAGCAGACTTTGGGGTAATGAAATAAAAGTGTGTAAAAGTAGTTCCACCTTATTAAAAGTTTAGTGATATTTATGTGAACCTCTAAAGGTTAACTTGTCTTTCACCTCTAAGAGCACAAAGTCACTTGATTAAAAAATTGACTCAGCATAGGATGGCAGCACCACTGATTGAGATGGACTGGGGCTGGTGGAGAGTTTTGACCTCATGTTGCTATTTTTCAGGATCAAAACAGCCCTTTATTGGGTGCTTGGGCCACCCGATTCAATACCTTTTTTTCTCCCCTTGGGCCATATGAGCTTTTACTCCAGTAAACAATGAATGACCCCTGCACGCAGCGTGACTTCTGACTGCCATCTCTATTTGGCACAATTGATGAAATTTCTGCAGTTACATAGTTTTAGTCATGACAGTGAGAAAAGAAAACTTTTTCCTTTCCATCTGTAGTATATCATTATGTATTCTGTTCTCCTTCCATCAACACATGGCTTCTGGATTACATTAACCTTTTCACCCTGACATTAACCTTATACACATTAGCACCATAGGGTCATTAAACTCAGTGATGTGCCAATGCCATATTGACCTATGATGGCCCGATTTTAACCCAGTGCACATACTGTGGTGATTCAGTTTTTACTCCGCTTACCCTATATGGACTAGCTTGATTGATCTGACACCCATGGTTCTAAACATCTGTTCAGTGTTTCTCACATACACACTGGAGTCTACCTCAAAATCACATGTGTACAATACAATCAACTAAACCATCAAGGGTCATTAGTGGATCGCTTTAATTTTGAAGTCTGACAAGTGTTGTGAAGATATACTGCAGCATCCCATAACTTGATTTCATGTGTGTGTTTGTGTGTCCAGTGTGTTCACAGAGAGTTGTGCAGACTTGTGTGGAGGCCACAGACTGCTCTGCTCAGCACCAAAGCGTCAGACAAGAAACAACCACGCAGAACACACATTAGTAAGACATATACACTTTACTGCATTGATTTCTCGTTCGTGTTTTACTCATAATTGTTATAGTCTTCAATTTGTTGATCATTTTCAGTTGAGAATAGTGAATAAAGGTTAAGAAATGGCATAGGTCTATGTTGGATGGATGAATGTTAACAAATACTGACACTTTAGTACCAACGTATGTTAATACAGACCTCTGCTGGAGTCACTTCAGATTGATTTGTCTTCTGATAACAGAAAAAGCCAAACCCCAGCCGGCTCTGGATGTCGCCAAACTCCTGGAGCAACTTTACTCACAGCGCAGACCTGGCACTGTGTCCCCTGTTGGGAAAGGTTAGCAACACATAGAATTTGAATTTGACTTATTAACCCTGTTTTTCTTAACCAGGTTAAAGGTACTTTTTGGCATCTTATTGGACTTTTGAGTTGCCTGTTGCCAACATTTGTATAATTATAGATACAATGTTGTTGTAAGATAAGATATAAGTTTTGTGGACTGAAATGCACAACAGAATACTGCAAGGCAAATCTGATTGCAAGTGACCGCAAACATGCTCCTAGTTTATTGGGAGGATGATTATTTTGTACCAGATGTTTTAAACTACTGTTTTCTTCTTCATCTGTCATGTGTGCATTAGCTGTATTTTTTTTTATCCCTTTACATCCTTTTTTTCTTCACTCAGCAGATTGCTGTTCAACATGAGTTCAGTTCTGCTACAGGTTTCTGTTTGTTAAAGGCAGTTTGTCCTTGCAACTGTAACTCACTAAATTCTGTAAAGTACTCAGCTTGTGGTCGATATGATACAATATGATATGATGTGATACACTGAAATATTTCCTTTGGAAAATTGGTCTTGGACTTAACTGCCTCTAAAAGAGTACCAACATATCAAACAATAAATACATAAAAGAAGAAAGGATGAGATTAAATCTTGTCGTTTCCTGGTGTTGGATCTTTGTTCACAATATAGTCTAAGAGTTTGATCTAAGCCTACTGTTTCTGTACAGCATATTAAGACAACATTTGTTGTGATCTTGCACTTCATGACTGAAGATTGATTGATTGGTTTTCCTCTTACAGCTCGACTAGCCAAAGCCTCTTCCACACCTCTGTCATCCCTCACTGCTGCTCCTGTGGGACCACTAAAAGATGCTGCCGTTAGAGATCCAGTGGAAGCCAAAGTAGACACAGCTGAAGAAGCCCAAACCAAAAACACAGACTCAGTGGGGATTGATGTCTCACATACTGCCAAAGATGTACCTTTAATGGAAATAACTCAAGACTCACCAGCAGAAGCGGATACTTTTCCATTTGAAACAAGAACTGCTGTTAATGAGGGTCCAGTAGAGCCTAACAACAAGCCAGAAGATTTAGCAGCTGAAACCATTAGCACGGACTCAAATGTGGTCAACATTTCACAAGCAGCAGCATCAGAAGCCTTCTTAGAAACTTCGGCAGGGTCTACAGTAGATACAAAAGAAGATTCTCCAGCTCAAAAAACACTGATTGAAAGCACAGACTCAGGTCCGATAAGCCTTTCAAGCTCTGTTGAAGAAGAACCTTTAATTGAAACAACAACAGAACCATCAGGAAAGGTCAATACCTCACCTCAGGAAGCATTAGAGAATGAAACTGTAGCAGATGCAGCAGCTCCTGCTGTGCAAAACAACAGCACAGAGTCAGGTTCATTGAGCACCTCAGAAGAAACCATTGCAGAGCCAGCATTTGAAACAGGTACCTCTCCTCAGGAAACATCAGACAGTAGTGCTGCTGTTACTGACTTTCCATTAGAAACCAAAGTCAATGAAGCAGTAGATTGTGGAGCTCAATCAGTACAAACCAAGATAGCAGACTCGGATTCTTTTAGCATCTCACATAAAGAAGGAGAGTCCTCAATAGACACAAAAATAGAACCATCAATAGAGGCCAGTACCTCCGTGCTGGAAACTGTTGAAAATAATTTGGAAGTTACAAAAGGACCAGAGGAAACTACAATAGAAAACGTATCAGATAAAGAAGCTAAAGCTGTTGAAGCTAACAGCCCAGACTCAGGAGTTGTTCACATATCAGTCAATGCCAAAGAAGAACCTTTAATAGAGATAACAACAGAGCCTGTAGTGGAGGCTGGAGCATCTCCTGAGAGTGGAGCTGAGCTTTCAGAGAGTGAAGTAGAGCCCATATCAGAAAGTAAAGCTGCTGACAACCTTTCACACATCACCTTACTCCAAAGTGTTCAAGAATCTGCACCAGTCGCCTTGGAGGACAAAGTAGACTCTATAATACAGTCACCTTCAGAGCATGTCGCTGCGCCTGAAGAAGTGGAAAAAACTGAACAAATGACGCTGGAGTCAGTAACACTTCACGGAGTACGGGTTCAGGTTGAATCATTTGAAACTGAAGAGCTCACACAAACAAATGCTTTTCTTGATGGGAAAGCAGAACAAGAACTCCAGGAGATTGTAGTCCAGGCAGGGAGTGGAGCTGAAAGTAGAGCTGTGACCGAAACAGAAAACTCTTCTGAAATTGAGGATGAGGGAAAAAATCTAAGTGAAGTTCTGTCAGAATGGGACTCATTGTCTGAGGAGCTTCAACAGTTGGAAGGAGAAAGTGGTATGTTAGTGAAAGAGCTTCTCTTTCATGTACCTACAGCAATTTCCAAAACTCCTGATTTGACTCCCGAACCACTTCCGAGAGCAAACGAAGACCCTGTGCCCACACAGGAGGAGGAAATCGAAGCAGAGGCCATGACGCTGGAATCAGTATCCCTTGCTAATGTAAAAGCTGAAGTAAGAGGTCTTGATACTGAAGTTCTCCTGGAGACAAGGAATGAGCTTGAGAAAGAAGCTGAGGTTCTTGCAAAGGGGGAGAAAGTGGAAGTGTCAATCAAGGAAGAGGGAGAAGAGGATGCTGGTTCTGATGGCATAACAGAGGCTCACCTTTTATCACTAGATTCTATTTCTGAAGCTACTGATGCAATCGAAGCTGAGACATCTGTTATTTTAGAGGCCATGTTTGGTTCTGAGCAAGGACAAAGGCAGCCACCTGAAACTACACTTGACCAGGAACTGAAGCAACAGGATGAGCTGATCAGTCAGGAAGCAGAAAAAGAGTCTGGGGAACAGGAAAAGGGTATCTTAGAGGCCATGACTCTGGAGTCTGTGACTTTAGCTGAAGTAGAGGCATTGTTGGGAAATCTAGAGAGTGACTTTCTAAGTGAGGCTTCAAATTACCTGGAGAGAGAAGCTGAAGTTCTTGCCAATGAAGAAAAGATGGCAGTTGAAAAAGAGGAGGAGCCTGAAGAAGCCGAGGCTCTGAACATTGAGTCTCTGTCTCTGCCAGAAGATGAAGTTCTGCAGGTTGATGCTCTGGTGGAGGAGCTGCTCTTTTCTGTCCCTGGGCCTGTTAAAGGTGTAACTGAAGGCTCGATTGAAAAGGAGGCTGCAAGAGCTAATATATCTGATGGTAAGTTTGAGTCCAGTCACAGAAGAAATGTTTATCACAAAGTTTGGAGAAATAGTTTGCCACCTTGAGACAAATTAGAGCTAGATGAAGAAATAGACACCACCCTCAAGGTTATGTAATAAGTGTTCAGCTTTGTCCTGAGGCGATGAGTTTAGCGTGACATTCAGACTGGCAGCAGAAAAAAGGTTGTTTTCCTATCTCTAAATATTGAAAACACTCTACCAATAGCTGCAATACATACATTTTAACTTTTGCCCCATGAACAACGGCAATGTAAAAAATGAGAATTGTTATTTTTGTTCTCTAAGCTGCAGTGATTCATGGTGACATAACGCTGGGACGGATTAACTGAGATTCTTCAAGAAATTGTGACTACATTTTTCGCCATTCTGCTTTTGTAGATTGAAAAAAAATATTTGTTCACTCCTAAGAGAGGGCAAAGCTCGCTGTTCCCTTTTGATTCAAGTCTATAAATTAAGTTTATCATCTCCAGAAAGCTAAGAAATGTTTTTATGGTTTTATTTATAGTTTGTTGTTGTTGAAGGATTAGATGCTCCGGAAAGTGTTATCAGCTCTTGCCCTGCAGACCCGTTTTTGTCATTTTCAGAGGTTGTTGCCACAGCAACTGCTGCCACTGGGTCAGACGATGTTGAAACACTGGCTGAGATGGCAGATGATATTTCAGCTTCTGCTCCAAGTGAGATGCTGCAAGGACAGGAGGAGGAGAAGGTGGAGAGTGCACAGGCTGAAGACTTGGAGGATGTTGCTGAAGTGGGGACACAAACAGGTATACACATGCAAGTGATTGGATCATATATGACAGTTCTGCAGCTTATAAATGTTGTACAGCCCCAAAGTTAAGTGCCGCTGAAGAAGAAGGTAAGTTTAAGGTGTTGTGTCTGTCTTCTTTACACCAGATACTGTTTTCCTACACTGTAGCCTTCTCTTTTATCTAAATGGTTTCCTGCTAGGTTAACTACATCGAGAGAAAAAAAAGGCATTTTATAGTTCCAGGCAAAAAGCCTGAGGTGACAGCCTCCATCCAGCTTCATCGTAACACTTCCTCTGCCTCTCCTCATTACTGATGATCTCTTTAGAGCGCCATGTTTCTCTAGTTACGACATGACAAATGGGGCAATAACCAGGCCACAATCTCCAGTGTTGAAAAATGAAGCCAATGCAGAAGTGAAGTATTGTCGGAGGGGCATTTATTTTTATTTAGAATACTTAAGACTGAACAGTTTGCAGATTCATAGTGGCCTCACTCAGCCAAAGCATTTCATAGACAAACTTTTATGCCATGAACTTTGACTATGAACTTCCTTTTCATACTGTTCCTCTGCAAGGTGGTTGAGTGGTGCAGAGGAGTGTTGTCAGGTGTTGACTTTGGGTTTGAATACTTTTGTTTTTACGCCTTTTTTTCAGTTTTAGATCCAGTACAGAGACTCTTCCTGGAGAAGATCAGGGAATACAGCAACATGCGCAGGTTGGTAGAATCATAAAATGTTTAGTGGGCTGCAGGGGCTGCGTGATCACAGACAACATCTCGGTACTATTTAGTAGCAGCGCACGCCCCTTGTAATAACCTCCGTAAAAACTGTTGTTCAGGACTGCTTACTTGTGCTTCCTACCCATTCGGCTACTGTAATAACTGTTGTTCTCGCCTACATGCAACATTTTTGTTCTCATTCATGAAACACTAAAATCCAGAACATTTTCGGGGACAGCTTTTGCCAGGGACAGGTCGTCCAATTCGGGGACTGTCCCCCGAAATCGGGAGCGTCTGGTCACCTTACTGTAAAATTGCTCACAGGTTTGAGTGCATCTGGTTGTTTTTCTCTGTATTTCTTAGCTCTGTGATGTTTCAGTGACCTGTCCATAGTGGGCCCTGCCTTTAACCCAATGGCACCCAGAATTGGCTCCAGCCCCAACAGTAGGGGTGTAGATATCAGGGGGATGGACAGGTGTAGTTTCACTGCTCATGAAAAACAAATAAGACTGGGAGTTCAGGTCCATCCTTCTGTCAGATATACTGGAGATATTCCAAATAAGCTAAAGAACTTGTCTCTACTATGATAATTATTTAGAAGAAACAAAGTGCAACATCATGTACTGGAAGACATCTCAACACTTCAGTTGACAGGATGGCTTCCACATCTTTTAAGATTTTTTCTCATATTCCATCTCTTCTTGTCTCTTCTAAGATTAAATGGAGGGCCGCTTAAGGCAGAGCCAGATTATGAGAAACGCCTGTCAGAGGAGACAGCAAAGCTTCGGAGACTTTATGGAGGAGGAGACCTGAGCAGTTTCCCAGAGTTCACATTTGCTGGTGAGAGAAAGACAACAGACTTTTTGATGACTTCATAAGCAACATTGTGCAACACCTCAAAGTAAACCAAGGACATAGTATTTGTTTAAGGAGGTTATGATTGAATGAATAGAACACAAATATTTGAGATGCAGGGAAACTGATAAAAAAAACAAACAGTACTGCTTTTAGGAGATATAGTATATACAGTATGCTGAGAGGATAAACTTTTCTTAAGAAATCATAAAATTATTTAGTGCCCAGAAGATAAAGAATTTACATTCCTGAAAGAATAGTTTATGACATAATGTGATTTTATCCACTCATAAACATGAATTGATTTACTATGTTTGAAAAAAGAAACTGATTACACCTGTTTTTTTTTTTTTAAAGCTAAGTCAGTCTGACTCCATGTGACTGATTATATCTGGAGCGTTTTACAGTCACAAAATTTTGGATCAGTCAGACCATCCATGACAATAAAATGTGACTGATGCATTTGCTTCAACTTTAGCGCAATGGGGGAAAAACCGAAGTCACCCCTGTGATGCATTGCTTTAATAACCTTGTTTGTGTATTACATTCTGTATGATAATCCAATTACGCATGGAGATTTAATTGTATTTTTACCTCTGGAACATGATGTTTCAGCTCTACGGCACTACAACAGATTAATTTTTGTGTCTGAACTCAGAGTATATAGTGTGTTAATCTCACATACTCAAGAAATTATTTCTGCTGTTTTCTCTGCAGAACCTGAAATCGACAAGGAATCCAAATGATCCACGATGCCTACCTCCTATGTTAAATCTCCTCCTGTAACCCCTTCTCCTTTTTCCTTTCGTCTCCTCATTGCTCTCTTGTTTGACTACATGGAGCAGGAAAGAGAAAAGGCAATAGTATTAGCAGTTTGGGCGAGCTGCCGTGAAAATATGGGAAAATGTATTTGCTGTTTATTTGGACTATGCAATAATAATTGAAGCACATTTATTTTATTAAATGACACCTTTAAAAAAAAGTGCATTTTGTGTGTTTGGATGTGTGTGATAAATATTCAAGTATTGTAAATGAGTGGTTTAGCGATCAAGGTCTTCATCAACAGCAGGTGGAGCTGTCAGTTTATTTTCTCTCTCTTTGGCTGCATTCGTCCACCCTTTTCTTCATCTGTGGCTTACTTTCTCCCTCTTCCGAACATCATTGCCTGTATTAGCTGCTGGAGAAGCTGCTTGCCTGTGTCGTGTGGTGACAGACGCAGTCTTTGGTAAATCAGATCCCCTACCAAGTCACGACTCTGTGTTACAGATGGTGTGAGTCACAACCAGAAACATATACAAGCAAATAACAATTAGGGGTAAAGAAAGCAACCTATAGACAGCGATTTTTCTCTTTTTTGCATTTAGCGGTACATTTTATTTGTGTCTCGTCATGACAACGAAATATGATGTTTAATGAAATAAACCCTTTGTAATTTGACGTGAAAAAAGGGGAGTGAAAGGAGGTCGATGACAGTAGAAGATAGCCGGTGTTCAGGTTTATTCAGCTCCAGCTGTGTTGATAAGGATGCGCTAAATGGCCCTTTAGTGACGTCATCCGGTTTAGTTGGTCACTCAGATTGCCTGCGTAAAATACCGGCGTGTGCGCGTGCGTGTCTGCATGTGCGTTTGTCCTTCAGTGTGATCGTAGCTGCACGCGACCCCTAGACCGCCAGTTCATCTCCTGACACAGTCTCAGTGGGTTAAACCTTAACCACATCACCGGCGACTTTGTCAGCGGTCGCTGCCAAACCGATTCTCTCTGTTTTTGTGTATCTCAAACGCGCTCTCTCTCCCCCTCACACACGCTCGCGGCTCATCGTCACCCTCCGCTTACAACCACAACACGCGCTCGCACACCGCCATCCCGACACACAGCTGGTTAGCCAGCTAGCTAACATCCCTTCAACTAGCTGGTGGCGTTTTAGTTTATTGTTTTTTTTTTCATATTGTTATGTTTGAACGTGACTATTGTTGAAGTAACGGATTATCTGCATCCCTCCTCGGCTGACCGGGAGCCGCCATGGAGTGCCGTGTTCTGTCCATACAGAGCCATGTAGTCCGGGGATATGTGGGCAACAAGAGCGCCTCTTTCCCATTACAGGTAAATACAACTTGCTTGCATCCATTATCGGACAACGAGCGTCGCGACACCCTTTATCGGACACGACTCCGTCTGACACGCTCGGTACCTCTTGGGCCAAATTATCTGACTGCCGCTTGGCATAGACGCTACACAAACTGATGTCGAGCACGTCTTTTTGTTGCCGAACATACAGTTTTTCGTCCATAGTTCACAGAACCGTTGCAAACCTAAATCGGTCATCCACCTAATCCGTCGCTGGAAGAGTTAATGTTTGACCGTGGGTTAAGTGTATTTCCACGATATTGTACAGTCAAGATCTATAGATGAATGCAAAGGAAAACGGACTGTGAAAAGTCTGAAATGACTAGACTGTCACATAAATATTCAGCAACAGTCGCTATGAAAGGTGGGGAAAGAATTGTTCTCACCCTTTCTCCTGGCTTACAAACCATTCAACATAAACAACGATAACATTAATATTTCTATTGTCATTGTGTTTGTTTAACTGCTATTAAATGTATGCTCCAGACGTTTGCAAAACCCTCAATTAGGTCGGAGTATGGTGGCACGACACCCATCATTGTGAGGGTGTCCGATAATGGATCAAGGTGTCTTTCTGTTGATCGCCCATCGAAAAGACAAACCTACATGTGGTGTCGACATTAAATATGCGTTCATACCTGGCCTGTGGAGTACTCCAGATATTAACAGTTGATCTAAGTATCATATGTTGCAAAAGTAGATTTGATAAAGAACCTTCAGATGTTAATTAAAAAACCCTTGATGATTGTTGAAAATATTTGCTTTGCGATCAAATCTTTTGGTTAGAAATAGGTGCACATGCATAGGTAGTGGGTCGTTGGACGCTCCATCGCACAGTCCGGTTGCAAAAGTTGGCTAATGATAATCTCAGGGGTCAAATGGAAACGTGAACCCAGAACTCAGCCTGTTTAAAGAGTCACCACTTCATAGCAGTGCCTCAGGTTGCCTTCATGGCTGCAGGCAGACAGGCTGCTGTTATGGTCATGATGTGCATGGGAATATCTTGATGGACACACATCCCACCTCCTGTAGAGATAACCCTGAAGTCAGTCCAACAGGGGGGACAAGTAATCGATGCAACTGTTTGCAGAGTTGAGTTATGTTAAACTTGCAAAAATAGGGAGAAGGTTATCATTTGTGTTTTCTCTTTTTCTAGTATGGTGAGTCATAAACAAGGCTACATCTTATGATAGTATTCAGGTTAGTCTGCCAATGAGTGTCGTGAGTTATTTAGGCGGTACCCTGTTTATGTACACTGCTGTTTCCTTATTTCCTATGTCACGAGTTAGGGGTCCATGAGCTTAATTATCTTAGAGGTCTTCATAACAAAGTTGCTTATACAACTGTTCAACACCGGATGTTTCCCTGCTCCAACACACCTGATTCAAATGATCAGCTCGTTATCAAGCTCTGTAATGGCTTAATAACGAGCTAATCATTTGAATCAGGTGTGTTGGAGCAGGGAAACTTTGAAAACATGCAGGACAGTGGCCCTTGAGGACTGGACTTGAGAACCACTGTTGTAGGCTAACCTCCCAATAAAGTAGGTTGTAATGCACCTTAATGCTGGTTGTCATCTCCCATTAAACAAGAAGAAGGTAACACTAAATATAAATATTGCTAATATTAATCTGACTGAGAACTTTCGTGTCAAGAGGTCTATCAGCTGTTCTATATTCGATAAAGGTGTCTATGAGTCCTTTTCTATTTGACTCCAACCTTTGATTGAAGGGGTCATCTTCTGAGAAAAAAAGAGGAGTAGGTAAAGAGTAGGCAAGAGTCAGTTCACCTAACAGGGGAGTTGATTGTAAGCAAGAAGAGCTGTTGAGTGGCTCGACATGTGTGTCATGTTCCTCAGTCTGATAATAGGAACAAGTGGCTATATGTTGACTCATGCAAATCCATTAGCAATTATACAAAAGCGACATGAAGGGTCATCAATCCCTCACCTTAAGGCAGAGGGCCACCCCGTGTTTGACAAGACAGCATAAGTACTTTAACAAGGAGCCAAAAAAGCAAATGTGTTCAAAATAGGCCCTTGATTCGATATTACACCGAAGGACATAGAGGTTACAAGCCCCTCCCAGCCTTGAAAGTGATAGCCATTTCCTTTTATGCTCCCTAATGTTGTCTGTAGGTTAAAAACAGGGATTGCTTTAGGGTCTATAATTGCCACGTAATGATGATGCTGGTGATTGTTAGGCTTTCACATTTTCCACCAGCGGCGCTGTGGCAGGCAATAGCGTTGATGAAGCAGAAAGGCCTAGAGTACACGTCCCATCAGAATGAAAGACAGTCACTTGTTGTGAGAAGTGCTGAGTCTATTTTTAGCCTGCTAGGCTCCTGAATGTATTTTGCGGTTATCCTAATGGCTGCAGGGCTTTGATGCATGTAACCAGGATTCACTGCGGTCATTAATGTTCAACTTCTACAGCTGATTAAGGCTTGCTTGTACCAGGCTAATGTACAAATAGTTTTCATAATTCAGATTAGACTAGACGATAAAAGGTACAGCTTCCTACCAATCTTACAAAGTAAAAAAACTGATGCACGTAGGTTTAAAAAAATGTTTACCATATTTTTAACTGGTATGTACAGTAACATGTTTTTTTTAGCATAGTGTTAGTACAGACAGTTTCAGTTTGAACAAACCTTAACTCAAGCACCATTCAGGCTGTAAACATATGACCTATTCAGAAGTTTCTTTGAGCATCAGAAAGCCCTTTTGTTTTAGCACCATCCTCAGACGTAGCACATAATTTTTCTAACATCTGTGGTATGTGATCAGCCATTTGGATCTGTGGGCTGGAAAGACATAAAAATACAACCAAACTAAAAAAAAGGAGAAATTCTGACAGTAACAATGACGCACTGTTCACTTTAAACACAAGTGGACACCCTCATTAGTTGTAGTTCACAGACAAGAATCAATGAGCCAAAGGACAGCGGGGAGCAGCTAACCGTAGAGCAGAAAGATCCCCAGGTACAGCAAGATGAGGAAACTTACCATCAGGGGTGGGACCTGGTGATACTTTTATTTAAGGACCTTTCTTAATCAGAGGATACTAGTGGCTCACATACAGATGCAGTCTGCACCCCTCACCATACTTAACACTGCTGTTTTACCAACTTTCTCCATTATTTAGGAGTTAAATCAGAAAATCACCCACATAACAAACTCTATAGCCATTACAATCTGCTGATTAAATCTTAAGCATCTGGTGCAAAAAATTATGTCACACTGAGATGCAAAAATATCAAAATTCAAATATTAGTGGCCCGTACATCACCAGTTAGCTGATCAGTGTGCTGCAGGTTGGAGAGTACGTGTTTGTCACAGAATAAAGCTTAAATAAATAGGCTTTCTGTAACCAAAGTAAAGTGCTGAAAATTTTATGAATAGATCACGTTGTCGCTTGTGCTGGAGAAGTGCTTTTGTTGGGGGTCCTTCAAGTTAATGAAATATTGAGGTTGAACGGGCCCGTCTGAAGCAGTTGATAATCTAACTTTTAATTTGGCTCTCAAAACAAAAGGTTAATTTCAATGTGCAAATGTGTCAGTTTTACAGTATTGTAAAATGCTGAGGAGTAATTCATTGAACTTGTAGATGATCCACTATAGATGCTTGTGAAAAACGTGACAACACTGTTAATTCACACTTAACAAACCCTGGTTATTGAATAAGCTACTGTCTCTATCAAGATAAGACAATGACTTCATCAGCGTCTTAGATAGGGTGTAAGATATAAGGATGATGATTATGAGGAGGATGATGATGATATTGCCTGTAAGTGTGCAGGGCATCCCTCTACTTGTGCTGACTGCAAAAAGGATTGAAGGCCTGTCAGCAGGCAGAAGGCAGCAGTCTAAGGAAGCAGGGCCCTGATTGGCTGCGAGAGGATTCCTCTTTGTGACATCATTGGGGATGGAGACTGAATGCCTCACAGCAGGACTGCATAGTCTCAGCTATGAAATGTCAGAGGAGTGCTGGCACTAGGATTTTGGATGAACTCAGTTTTAGATGTTCATGCTGAGTAAAATTTAAATCATGAAAATGGTATCAAATTTAAACCTCTCTTGCAGTTAGTTTTATTACCTCCAAAACACAGTAACAACTGGAACCTTACTTTGACCTAACTTGTCGTTTTAAAAGTAGTTAATGACTTTACATCTTAGCCCAAATAATTCAAGAGCGGTTTACAGACCTCCAATGTGAGGACCCATCCCCATTGAGAGGACTCAAGGTGAAGTTTTTTCTCATGTGCTCCAGTATGTTCGAAGTGGTCATCTCGTTTTGTATTTTGTCTTGTTGAACCCATGAATACACCAGAAAATCATATTAACAATATATACATAAAATAAAGCTCAAAGCAATAAAATATATTCACACTAGGGCCTGACTGATATGGATTTTCTGGGGCCGATACCAATTACTAGGGGGAAAAAAAATCTGATTACCTGATTATCTTACTTTTTTTATGAAGTTGTAAAATAGATATATATACTGTAGATATACAGACTAGTTACTGGCACAGCTAACAGTGTAGTGAGGCTAATAGCAGATGGCTAACTCTAACTTTAGCGTGCATATTACTTGGTGCTTCACCGTTATCTTGGCGTGACCGAGACCAGCACAGCAGTGAACATCATGAAGTGGGTTGAACTGAAACTTGTTGATTTATTATGTATTTCACAAGCTGGTTTATTTACTGCTGAGGCGGACCTCTGTGCGTCCCTAAGCTGTCTGCTTCAGATCCGTCACTCTGCTGAGCTGTGAGGTAGTTAGTGGATGAAGATTGTCATGAGGTCGCTGCGCCACGTACAGGATAAGTCGGAGAACTTTTCAAATGGCGGAACATTTTCGTAGTGAAACTGAGTCTTATTCTCTGCATTTTATTTCTGAAAGTATCGGCGAAAATCAGCGAGTTTTGGCCGATTACCGATTAGTCTCAAATGGGCTAAAATTGGCAGATTTAATTGGCTCGCTGATAAATCGGTCGGGTCCTAATTCACAAAAGACAAAAAAGACATACTTTCTGTTTAATCGTCTTTAATTTGAAAGGTTTCGAATCAACTTCCAACATAAAAAGAAAAAGGTATTCCTGCTTTGCTTTTATTTTGAAAGGTTACAAATTAAGTTCTGGTCTGTTCTGGAAGGTGGGTCCTTACAGTAGAGGTCTGCTATGAAGGGTCCTGACAGTGGAGGTCTGCAGACAGACTGTCTTGAATAATTCTTTTATTTATCAGTGTTATTTTATTCAATATTTTACTTAGTTTTTTATTATCACATGTGAGCTTTGTGTATAGGATGTGTGTTGGTAATAATGCAACATGTTGCAGCAATCTAATGCTGAGGGCAGAATAGAGGTACAGAATAAGAGGAGACAGCCACGAGTTCAGTGGTTCTCAAGTCCAGTCCTCGAGGCCCACTGTCCTGTATGTTTTGGATGTTCCCCTGCTCCAACACACCTGATTCAAATGATCAGCTCGTTATCAAGCTCCGTGATGGCTTAGTAACGAGCTGATCATTTGAATCAGGTGTGTTTGAGCAGGGAAACATCCAAAACATACAGGACAGTGGGCCTCGAGGACTGGACTTGAGAACCACCAAGCTCGTTTGAGGATGGAAATCTTAAGAATAAAAAATATAACTTGCCAAATGCCAAATTGGAAACATTTTGATTGAATGAGAAGGGGCAGCAATTTGGTCAAGGTGAGAAAAATACAAGTAAAATAAAGAAAGTAAAGTCGCTGCACCTTGTCAAAAGGTGCACCCAGCCAAGAACATAACTGCTTTTCAAGCACCAAAGCGCAAAACTGCCTCATTTGTGACGACTCAGATCCTTGTCAGCCAACAAATACAAGAGGCTGAAGATTTTTCACACCAACAGCCATTTTCAAAAGCCTTTACATCAGCTGTTACGTGATATAGTTGGGTTTGAGACCAGATGCTCAGAAAACAAATGACATTTCTATCAATGTCAGCTTTGTGCTCAGCAAATGTAAGCTTGCTTAAATGCTGAAGTGTGTGTTTACTTGAACACAGTTGCCGAGATGCTGGAAAGGTTGTTGGCTTGTATTTTTTTGTGTATTCATTATTTGGGGTTTAGTATTATGTTCAAATAAATATTCTAATTTATACATTTTATATACCATCGAAAATGAAAACAAATAGGCTGATGGAATCATGCGCACAGAGGCACCATATTTAAAGTTGACTGTGGGGCAAAATTTTGGTAAAATGGACGTGTGACATTTATTTGAAAAGTAAAAAATTGTACAAACCCTTTTCCAAAGTGGAGAGACTCTGCCCGCTTAGTCGTGACACAATAAACAGAAAATTTGTGCTGACTCAGACGGGATCAGCGCGTATTACTGTGACACATGCTAATTAAAGAAACTCATTTAGAGTTGTGAAAGGGCTTCCTTATTTGGGAATTCACCAAAAGTATTTCCCCCTTAGACGACAAAACTGTTTGCTTGCTATAACGTCTTGAATTTCCTCTCCTCTGTTTCCGACGTTGCTCTCCATTCAGCGGCATTGTAAACAGTATCTGTGTCACTGACTTCAGGATTATGAATAGAGCAAGAAAGGATGTGACCCAAATAACGCACTCCTGGCCTCATCTCCATCACCATGCAATAGATAGCGGGTTATAGGTTAACAGTGGGTTTAAATCCTTCCCTCTTCCCCCTAAAATCAAACTGATCCACTATCCAACCGAATAGAGGAGTCTTGATGGGTTGATAAGCCGATACGCCTTTGCATCCTTTATTTCTCTGACGCTGTTTGCTGATAGAATACAGCTGTGTTTACATCATAGTCCTTTGATTAATACTTCTTTTTGTCAACCATTATTACTCTGACAGATTATTACCACAGCTTTATCTCTGAAAAGGAGTGTAATCATAGAAATAGTGTCATGTTCTGCATCTCTGACACTGCCGGGAGCTCAGTTCTCAGAATACCTCATGCTGCTGGTGAGACAAATACAGTATTTCAGGAAACATATGCTGCACTTGAGAGAGATTTCATTAGTCAGACAGCAGTAGCTGTAGCGTTGACAAGTTATTTCCAAGGTCAAAGCTAATATCTACTCTGCCTCGCTTCTTTGAAGGCAGACTCTTGTACCTCAAAGTTACAGTCAGTTGAAAAGAACAAAGAACCCATTCACTCTGCCTGCTTCTTTTCTTCAGCCCAATTAAATCAAGTCACTCAGATAACGACTGACTGCGCACGTGGATAGTCACATGACCTTCCCTCACTGATTAGCACAAAATTAAAAAGAAAAAAAGAAAAAAAAAATCTTGCTAAGAAAAGTACGGAGAGGAGGAAAGCACCAGGAGTTTTTTTTATTTTAATTTTTATTGCAGCTGTTGGCGATTTGTGCAGGTTTCAGCTGAGAACTGATGTAATGCTGTATCACGTTATCTTATTCAATATGTATACTTACTCGACATATTAGGAGAGAAAAAGATGACCGGTGGTATTGATGGCCTTCCAATAAAGTGACTCTATCAGAGAAATTTAAATTTTATTTTGTTCCTTGTGAAGATTTTGTAATCAGTGACATGTCTAAAATATTACCTTTAAAACAGGAACTCCCCATAATGTGACATGTGTTGATGTTATTTGAGTTTAAGAAGAGATGCATGTAGCTATGAATGTTGATATAGAATGCAAAACAATCAATTAAAGGGAAAAAAAGTCATCACCCCCGAAAAAACACCTTTAGAGCAGTGGTTCTCAAATACAGTCCTCGAGGCCCACTGTCCTGCATGTTTTGGATGTTTTTCCTGCTCCAACACACCTGATTCAAATGATCAGCTCGTTATCAAGCTCTGTAATGGCTTAATAATGAGCTTATCATGCAGGACAGTTGGCCTTGAGGACTAGACTTGAGAACCACTGCTTTAGAGGGACAACACCACTTTTTATCTGATTATTATGCAGCTTGCCCCAGCACTTAAAAACATAAATATGACATAATTGAATTATTTTTACCCCTACTTCTTCAAAATAAGACAGAAACGTTTTGTGCTTAGGTTACCACCTAAAATGGTCGGAAATTTGAAGAGTTTGTAAAAAAAATAAAAAATTGAAAAAGGCTGTGAAAAGTAAAATCCAGATGCAGATTTATTTCCATATCTGATGATATTTTTCAAATTTGACAATCATGATTTGGGGGTAATTTCTTATTTGAGCTCCAAATGAGGGAAAAATCAGGTCTGATTTGTCAGTGAAATACAACAATTGATTAATTAGTTGGAAGCCTTTGAATTCATGACATTATTTTTTCTTACTATCCATCATAACACTCAGCAGTAGCATGCAGACCAAATGTAAAAATGTGTCCTTACCTCTGTGATGGTCATCTGACAAGTAACTTTTTTCTAAGATACCTGGGTGATCAGTCCCACCTCGTCTAGTGCTTGAACACTGATCTGATGTTTTTAGTGAGTTAGGTCATGGCTTTGTATTGGGCCTCTCTCAAAACTGAACCCTACAACAGAGATTTATACTGAGTGCTTTATAAACCACTTGGCTCATTGTTTTCCCACATACTTGTATGATGCTTCATTTCAAATTTCCATGGAGGAGCATTTCACAGATAAGAAGTCTGATATTTTCCACGGGAGATTGAGACCAAAGTCGAACTCAAACCGAAAGTGAACATAAAACCGATATTGACATTTCTGCTAAACTTTGTATTGGTCTTTTTCAGTTAATAAGTTATGAATAAAAAGTGATAATATTATGATAGCGTTTCACCAGCTTGTTTCTGCTGCCCTCGAGAGGCCTGGAAAACCCCTGGATGCAGATTAAAGAACAAAACAGGTTGTCATCTATTATCAGTTTTGCTCAGGAACAGTTTAATAGTTTAGAGCAGTATATACAGTCGAGCTCTTGTAGCTACATGTTTGGCAGAAGTGTAACGTATTTATGCACATGATTTGATTTGATTTTGGATTGGATTGGAGTTATTTTGGATCCATCATTAGTTACAACAAGGTATGCAGCAACTACTTTCCCCGGGGTCCTTATATTCATTTCCATTTTCAATTTTGAACGTAGACATATACTTATTTCCAGACATTACACTTACATAACACTCATTCTACACTTCATTCATGCAGTAGGTCATATTCACTCTTGCTTGTTGAAAAATAAACCAATACATAAATAAGATGAAGAAAAGAAAAGTGATGAGACAAAACAGGAAAACAGAATTTATCTTAGGGATAACAAGAAAACTTTATCCATCAGAGAGAAGAGCTGAACTTAATTTCATTCATGGTACTCCTCTGTATGTAAACACATACACCTTTAATTGTTTGTTAAAGCAACTTCTGTTCATATCTGAAATTATAAAGTCCATCATTGCTCTGTAAGTTTAATTTTGGTGCCCATTTTTAACTTCTATTTTGACATGACTCTTCCTGCTAACACTTTTCCTCTCTTTGTCTCCTGTGTGCAGGTTTTAGGGTTTGAGGTGGACTCCATTAATTCAGTCCAGTTCTCCAACCACACAGGTAAAACTGACAAAACCATATGTTTCTCTATAAAACAGCCTATGCGTTTGTGTGTGTGTCTGTGTGTGTGGGTGGGTATGAGTCAGTCAGTGCCTCTAATGTCGTGATGAGGTGGTGGTAAGCCTCAGAGAGATGATAGTTGTCAAGGCAGGAGCTGCATTGAGCCTAAAGAGTCGACAGCTGAGTGTGCCAAGTTTTTAGGAGGTCAGCGACTTCAGTGACCGACACCAGGGAACCAAACACAGAAGAAGCTGCAGGGGAAAAAAAAACTCCATTCATAATTTTCCCATGGTTTACTCTCCAACAATCATGATGTTTCAGATGCTGCTGTTTACAGTTTGTTTAAATTTTAAATGATTGTGCCAATATTTTAAAGCATGACAGCTCAGAAGGGTTTGTAGGCGGAACAAGATCAATTTCTTCATGAGTGGGGGGGCAGATTTATTAAGTTTTCTGTGGCTCCAGGGAAACTTTTGGAGGTTATAGGGTCAGACAAAAAAAAACCCAATAAAATAGGTGCAAAGATGTGGCTTGAATGTAGCAAATCAGAGAGGGTCTAATATACCATAAATAAAAGCATTTGTTGTGCTTGGTGCATTTTGTTCCCAGTTATCTGTGCCATCACTTGTGTCACACATACCTGCAACACTTTGATCTCATTTCCACCTCCCTGACTGAGTAATCTTCCCTGCTCTTTTCCTCTTTTTTTTCCCCCTTATAAGTGTTCTGAGAAGTCTGATGTTTTTCATGTAAACTGAACTTGAGAGATGACTCAGCTAACTGCTGTGAAAACAAACACATCTAGCCAGCTGTAGCTCATGGCTTGGTGTTTGAAATGGGAGAAATCCAGACAGAAATCCCTACAGTGTCAGCACATTATGACTGAGTTTGGATTGACTTGTGCTTTTTGTTGATTAAATAGGTCTGCGAATTCAGGAAGCCTCCAAAAGATCTTTTTTACTGATTTGCATTTAATATCTCATTTGTTGGGCAATGTACATCATAGTGAAGCCATGTTTTGTTTTACTTTCTTAAATGTTTTTTTTTAATTTTTTAATTTCACTTTACTCTTTATCCTCATATTTTTTTGCACCCAAAACTGGAAATTTTTATATGGAAGATAGGGCTGGGCGATAAACCGAAAACTTACAGGTACTGAAATTCACAACAATAACCGACGTTATTTCGCCCATGTTAATATATTTGGTGTAAAAAAATAAAAAATACATAAAATTTGGTTTTAGATGTATGTAGGTAGGCTATGAACTCATGTCCCTTCAAGACGCTGTCCTACATCAGAGACGTGACTCCACCCCATCCAGTCCGTAACAAAGAAGGAAAGACAGGTGAGGAGATGGAGGACGGTTCAAAAGTTGTAGCAGCTGGAGCGGCGGCTGAAGTAGAAAAAGTCAATGTAGGAGGGGGTGAGCAGCTTGTAGAGTAGTTATCGTCCTGTTATCGTTATTGAGGTGAACTGCTCAGTATATCATGATATTGATTTGAGGCCATATCGCCCAGCCCTAATGGAAGACCGCATCATGGAGTTTAAGAAAATTTGAATGAATATTTCCTCTATTTTTACATTTTAAGGCCCAAACAAAAAGGGTTTATATCTCAAAACTCAATAACTGGAAGATTTATTTGTAGTAAAAATAAAAAATTAAAGTAATTTGAAGCCCAGTTAAAAAAGATCCTAATTATTTTCTTTGGATGGTGATCAGACTTGTGCATAAGTGTATGTAAGTTTGACATAGAGCCAGTAACAAGCTATTTTAAGTGTTTGTTACAGAGAGGCCTTGACTCGCCATTTAATCAGTGCGATTATGATTTCTGTGGTGTTGCCGCGATGGATGATGTCAGTCTTATAAATCTTGAAAGTGATGTGCTGTGATTATGCTGCGTCAGACTGAGGTTAAGACTAATTGTTGGTGTACTGCAGGATATGTGTTGTTGTGTGGGCGAGCTTGGGACTCATCTGTAGGTGCTTAGTTGAATAAAAACGCGGTAATTAAAATTCTGTCATTGCAAATGTTGTCGCTTATAAACAGTACTGATAAGCTCTATCTTTTAGACATCACAGAGAATTTGACAAACCCCAGTTGTTTGTTTTTATTTTTCCTTCAGGATAATACACAAAGTCTTGCTCTAAAGAGAGACCTTTGAAAATATATGCTGACAAACTAAGAATATTGTACAATTCTGTTGTCACTTTAAACAATATTACAAAATTCATTTTTTTAGTTTCCAGCACCACAAATAACATATGACCCATCTGTTTTGGTGGCAGCAAAAGACTCAGAACCATTTTTTCTCCCTAAATTAGATTTTTATTGTTTGCTGCAGCTGAAAGGCTCCCCACAATCCAAGTCCAGTAAAAGACTTCATCTAAACATTTGATATCCATGAAGGATTACTTCAAAACTGTAAAGGGTGTTTGTTCTCGCTCAAGTTGTCTGCGATCCATCTCACCATGTATGGGTAGTGTTCAGGTTCTTCTTTGTCAGCTAAGCAACTTAGTGTAAATGCAGGTAGTGATGGGGATTCAGATCATTTGGCTCAACAAGAAGAGGCACTCATATAGTTCCCAAATGGGTCTGATTTTTAGTGCCAAGTCCTTGCAACTCACACATTCTTTCCACCTCAGCATATAAAGTGAAATGAAAGTAACAGAACTGATCAAATTAACATTCACGCTTTGGAAGCCTAGGTTGATTTGCAGCCGTCCGCTGGTCTGTTTTATTGGGTTTTAAGTTTCTTATCTTCCTCTTGACAAATGCCTGAGAGATGCTGTTTGGGGTGCAGCTTAGGCCGGTCAGTTGGTCAATCAAACTCAGTAGTATTATGGTCAGCAAACCATTTGGGAGTAGTTTTCTGTGCTGTGGGCAGGTGCCAAGTCCTGCTGGAAAAGGAAATCAGTTTTTCATCAGGTGGAAGCATGAAGGGATTGAAAATGTCCCAGTAGACAGCTGCGTTGACTTTGGATCTGATTAAACACCATGGACCAAACAAAAGCAGATGACATGGCAACCAGATGATCACAGACTTCACCCATCACTTCACACTGAACATACAAACACTGGATACTGTGTCTCTCTGCTCCTTCTCTAGACTCTAGAACCTTAATTTACAGACAAAATGCAAAGTTTATTTTTACCTGAAAAGAGGTGCACTTTGTTAAAATGAGGATTTTGGTCTTCAAAATCAACCCTTTGCTGAAAAAAGGGTTGTTAAGGCGCATGCTATTTTTGTTCACGTCAAGGAAGGCGTGTTAGATTGAAAGTCATCAGGTGTCAAGGTACAAACATGTGGCTTTGGGTGATAAGTCACAAAATTGTAAACTCCGGTAAGTTGTCACTGCAGGAATCATTCAAAAGTTGGTCACTTGGATCTGTAGGTAAAAACATGAAATGTGATTTCTTGAGCCCCTTACATCAGCGCTTTAACTGTCTCAGTGAAATATAAGGGGGACCAGTGTGTATATGTAAAGTAACTCTCCTATAACCCTTAAGCCAGAGCAAAGTTCATTGTTTGTATCATTGGAGACCAGTTACATTAGCATACCACAGACTATTTTGATGTCAGATGTAGTGCTCAGTGTTATAATTACCCTTGGGAAGATCAGACAGTGATTCAGCTGAAGATGATACGAAGAACAAAAGATATTGAGTGACCTTACCATGAGAACACCTGGCAGTGTAGCATCTGTTTAGTGAGATCTTGTATATTGGATAAACCACATTTGCAATTTGTTGGAGGCAAGCACATAATATGGTGTGACATATTGAAGAAGACGTTTGCATCTGAGAGACAGAGCGTGTGGGTGAGGGGGACAGAAAGAGTGAATCGAGGAAGGAGGACATGACATTTTTGAATGAGAGAGATGGACAGAAGATGATTGAGAGAAAGAGAGAAGGGGGGGGAGAAAGCGAGCGAGCAGGGATGCGGGGGTAAACAGCAGCATGGTGCTGTGAATTGCGACAGCAGCAAATGATGACGACAAGAGCAACTCTAATCTGTAGGCCTGCCTTCATCCTCCCTCCCTCACACACACGCACTCAACATTCTGACTGCTCATCTCTCTTTCTTAGCCCCTTTGGCTTTCTCCTGGCTTGTTGCTTAGCAACCAGAACCCCCCCGCCACGTGACCTGACTGTGACTCACCTGGAGCTGCGACATCATCAGCCTGCAGCAAACATGACATACGCAGACACACGTGCACCAGCGCATGCTTTACATTTTCATTCTCGGCACATCCATATAGGGACACAACGTACTTTATAAATATGCACACCTACATCTGCAAACGCACACTCAATGCACACGTCGTACACTAACTCAACACACACACACCTCTCCACTTAGTGTCGGTGTCTTTTAATAAGAGTCTGTGTCCTTGTCCCCCCTCCTCGCTGTCTATGACTGACTAGACACTGTAGCTACCTGCTGCTTCGAGACCTGCTGCGCTGCGTGTGTGTGTGTGTGTGTGCATGTGTGTGTGTGTGTGTGTGTGTGTGTGCGCATGTGTGTTGTTTCCTTTGATTAGAGACAGTGCAGAGCCTTCACTCCTCTGTACTTAGTCAGTTTATAAGTTCAAAAGATTCAGTTGTGGAAAGCAGCATGAACCTACAACAGGATTTTTTTTGTCATCTTTTGGCAAGATCAAGCCAAGTCAGCAACTCCAGACATTAATCATACACCCTTTTTTTGGCATTATTGTTTATTTATTTTAGTTTTAGGTCTCTAGTGCCGTCAATGATGGTGTAGGACGGAGTAAAGAGTAGGAACCAGAGAGAGAATGAGAAGGACTGTAATCTCCACCAATAGTTTTTTGGACATGATGTTTTTATCATTACGTTTTGTTTCATTTCATTGTATCAGTTCCAGATACAGGAATGAAAAAAAGGAGCAGAAAAAAGAATTTAGCCTTCCCCTCAATCCAAACATCCTTTTTTTGTCATTTTGATTAGGGGTGTCCCAATACAATATTGATATCGGATATTGGTCCAAAATCAGCAAAAAAATGAATATCAGATTATATCTGCCTGCATCTAAAATCTCCGATATCAGATATCAAGCAGTCCAATCCAGACTCCACTCCAGCCCATGTGATCACAACAACAGTGTTTACTAAGGAACTAACAAAGTAGCAAGGAGTAAGAGTGAGTAAGAGTGTTTTTCATTACAGTCTGGAAAAGACATTGCAGCTGAGTGCAAAACTTGTCATGCACAAGTTTGTGCTAATATCAGATCAATATCAGTATCGGACAATATCAGAGGCTACAACATCGGTATAGTATCTGGGGTAAAAAGTTGTATCTGGACACCCCTAATTTCGATGAAATGTATATGCCTTCTTTGGTTTTGTTTCATTAATTTGATTTGCTTTATTAAAAGAATACAATTAGAAGAATAAAAGAGAGGAAAAATAAAGCAAATCAAGAAGGTGTAGGTTCAAGCTATAGCTTATTTTTCCCTACGCCTTTTAAGTCAAAAAAAAAAAAAAAAAAAAATTCAGTGAGGCAGCCTCCAAGGCTTCATAACAGACAGAAAATCCTTCGAAACAAACCAAATATTGATAATTTCATAATGAGAATCTGAGCTAACACAGCCAAAAGTTTCAGTTTATTTAGAATCACTTTTGTTCGGACCTGACTTTGGTTTTAAACATTGATGGGGTTTACATTTACAATCAAATTATGCTACTAATCTGGTTTTTCTGTCTATTTTTATAAGCTGTCCTTCCACTGCCACAGCTTTGTATTGTCACATGTGTCTCAAAAACCTCCCACTTTAGAAGTGGGAGCAGATGGTGTCATTTTGACATCTTACCAGTGTCTGATGGCGGGGCTTGCATTACTTTGACAGGAGTGGGTGAAATGGCAAAATTATATCTCAACTCTTTTTTGGCAGATTTTTTTTTTTAACCATTCTTTGTCATGATTATTTTCAAGATTTATTTTTATACCATTGTTTTTTTTCCCTGTTGAAAGAATAAAGTCTTCAGAGAAAAAAGACTAAGAGAGCGTTTAAGTCAAATTGCTTTTTGAACAGATTTAATCTTTGTGTGCGATTTGGCCAACTTGTGCCAAGAAAATGAACATTTAAAAACGTATGTGGACATGGATGACTCTTCAAGAACATTCAGTTTCAGACATTTAGTTCAAGTTAAAAATAAACAATGGTCTATGAAGGTAAGCATCAACGACACTCAGGTGAAGTGAATCGATGTTTATTTAACTGTGTCTGAGGCAGAGCTGAGTCTGTAACTGTTTGTTTTATAATACATGTCTGGTTATTCCTGCATGAGTTTCATCCTCTATTGAGATTCAAAGAGATATCTTTAACATACCGATCTCAAGATAGTGTCATAAAAGGTAGAAGTTAGTCTAACTTTAACTGAAAAGAAATAAAGAAATCAGCAACTAAAGCAACTAAAGTTAAAGTCAAACTAAGCAACTACAGAATGGCATCCATATAGACTATATCTGGTATAGTAGTTAGTAGTTTTATCCTGTCCCCCTTTAAACTTTTAGAAGAAGACAAACCAGAAGAAGTTAAGGAATATTGCAGGAGGAGTTTTTTTTTTTTTCTTTTTTTTTTTTTAATCACACTGCTCCATTCATCACAAAAAACTGGGAACTTAACTTACTGTAAAACTTGACATATCGGCCTGGTATTTTCATAGTCAGCATGCACAGCAATGATACAGTGGATTCATTTGATGTGCCATTTGTTTATGCTGTGATCTGTATGCGTTATTTGGTCTGCGCATCAAAGGTTATATCAATTAGCATAGAAACACAACAGATGACAACAGACTGTGCTGATACAACGGTCTCTCTGGGTTTCCAGGTCGTGGACACATTTGAATCCTTCACAATCTATGAATGTCCTGTTGCTCACTCTTGCTTTGAATCACTGAAACTTAGGGAAGAAGTTAAAGTTTAAACAATTGTTAACGTAGTCTGATACCACAACTTAAACGCATTTTTCTCAGCAGCTTCTACATTCAAACAGTATCCTCAGTATCCTGACCTGCCAATGCAAAAAACATAATTTGGTTGCTTAATAACTTAAATGTGTGCCTGCATTCTGGGATTTAATGCAAACATATACAGTATGTGTGTTTGTGTGTGTTTGTTTATTTGTGCCCATGAATAAGGAAAAAGAAGAGTATCACCAAATGTGTTAGTCAGCATCTTCTGTATCTGCTGTCCTTTCTGCAGGTTATTCTCATTGGAAAGGCCAGGTGTTGACAGCAGATGAGCTCCATGTTCTCTATGAGGGAATCAAACTGAACAATGTACACCAGTACGACTACGTTTTAACAGGTGAATACACAACAGCCTCACCCTCTGAAACTACCCTGGTGTTCACTCAGATTAAAGGGACATTTTAGAGTTTTAGAGGGGAAGGGTAGAAAACTTTTATGAGAACTGGAAAGGAAGACAGATCCCAGGTAACCAAGGGGTGCAGGTTTGTAAACAGCAAGCTAATAACCCCAACCAAGAAAACTACTGTTAGTCATGATACTTTTGGCAATCAAAATACACCAGCAGTTCATCTGAGTCTGCAATCTGCACCAACTATAGTCTATGACATGCTGAATCCTAAACGCTGTTTTGAACAGCTTTCTTCATTCTTAAGGATGTAAATCAGAAAGCTAGACAGGCTGAAAGGAAGTATGTTTTCATGATGTTTGGCTCTCATTGTTTATTTTTGTAACCCATAGTCCACAGGGCATGTTTACCTCATCTGAAGTCACTGTGTTGGGATTGAACTGAAATACCAAACTCTACAGCCATCACTGCGTCCACTGGGTGATCTCAGGCATTTGGTATTTGACAATAAGCAAAGCTGAGATGCAAAAATATCAAAATTCACAGTACACCAGTGCCTCTTACTGCAAATACCTGATTAGCTGATCCCACGGCATATGAAAGAGCACTTCTGTGTGCGAGTCCACAGGTAGTGAAAAGACAAATGGGCTTTCTGATGGTGAAGTAAAGTGCTGAAAAATTTCTGAGTGGCACGAACACTCTAACCGTGATGAGTGCTTAGGTCAGAGTCTCTCGAAATTAGCTAAATTAGGTGGAGGAGTTGACCCCATCTGCCAAAAACAAAAGCATGTCTAGTGCCCTGTATGTACTTGCAGTCTCTCAGTAAAAGGGCAGAGCTGACTGGTATCCATTGTGGCTAGTACACCTACTAGTAGGGGTGGGAGAAAAAAATCAATACAGCGTAGTATCACGAAATGTTGTCTGGTGATATATCGTATTGTCTCATTTACCAAGTATCAACTTTTCAAATTGATTGTTAATATAATAAATAATAATAATTCATTTTATTTGTACAGCGCTTTTAAAAACACTCAAAGACGCTTTACATAGTGCGTAAAATTCAAGATAATAAGACAAAGACATAAAAACAGTAAGATGGACGAAACAGTTAAATATTAAAAGCAATTTTAAATAAGTGAGTTTTTAAAAGGGATTTAAAAGTAGTGGGGTCAGGGCAGTGTCTGATGGAGGGAGGTAGCGAGTTCCAAAGGGTAGGGGCAGCTGTGGAGAATGCCCGATATGAAGTCAAATCTATGATAATGGAAAATTAAAATCAACTGTTTGTCCAGTGAGGTTGGCAGAGGTGACATCATAGTGCAGGAGAAAGAAATATATATAAGGTTTGCAAGATGTGCTACATGAAAATAAAATACCGCATAAATAAGACAAACTCAAAGGAAAGACAAATGCTAAATTAGCTAAACAGTTGAAAAAAAATTGTATAAATCGCAATATATTGTATCACAATACTCACTGTATTGCAAAATGTTAGAAATTGTAATAATATGGTATCATGGCCCAAGTATTGTGATAATATTGTATCGTGATTCCTACCCCTACCTACTAGTGACATGTAACTCATACAACCCTGCTTCAAGTATGGTGAAATAAGATTGAAGTTCAAACCATAGTATTTTAAGTATTTTTATTTATCCTGCATTGATTTTCCCCAGCCTCCCTCATTAGTATCTCTTTAACATTCAGTACATGGACTTAATGGTTAACCTGGATGTCCAGAGAATTTTTGGCGAGTCGTAGTACACCTTAGGGTTCACTGTCCTCAGTGCGCCTTGAGAACACAGCAACTGCTTTCACATCAGAAGTGTAAAACATCTGCCAAAGATCTAGAGGGGTGGTTCTCAAGTCCAGTCCAGGAGGCCCACTGTCCTGCATGTTTTGGATGTTTCCCTGCTCCAACACACCTGATTCAAATGATCAGCTCGTTATCAAGGTCTGTAATGGCTTAATAACGAGCTGATCATTTGAATCAGGTGTGTTGGAGCAGGGAAACATCCAAAACATGCAGGACAGTGAGGAGTGGACTTGAGCGCCACTGATGGAGTAATGACAACATTTTGAAAACGTCAACTATGTGTTGAGGGTTGTGTGTGTCTGTTGTGTGAAGGGTATACCAGAGACACATCCTTCTTGGAGATGGTGGTGGACATCGTACAGGAGCTTAAGAGAGCCAACCCTAACCTGGTGTATGGTAAGTAACTGCTTGGTTTTACAGGTTTTTCTTTTTCATACTAAAGCTGATTCTAATAAAACCACAGCCATGAGACTTTTTTGAAGAAGAAGCAAAAGTTGAATGTGAAATATCTTTCAGAAAATGTATAATGTGATGAAACAAAAGCCTTAACGTTGATTCTTTCAAACTGAAGTTATATCATCAGTATGGAGTGAACTGGTGGCAAATGTTTGAGCATAATATCATTTTGGCCAGGTTCTAACTTGATTTGATTATTGACATGAGTTTACCGAGGCGTCAGGGTACTCTTAAGCAACGTATCAGTAAATAGGATGCAGCTTACAATTCTGATGTTTTTCAAATGATGTTTTTTAGGCTTGTATGGCTTCATTCAGAGAAGTTGGGACAGCAGACAGAGTGGGACACCACAAGAGAGGTAGTGACATGCAAGAAAGGGGCTACAAGTTGGAGTAGGGAACAGGATCGGTCTTGTTCATGGGCAACTTGACCGCTGCAGAGCACCCGTCAACCTGTGCTCTGCAGCAATCTTTATCTACAGTCATGGGTGGAGTCAGATAAAACTAAAAACATGTAATTTACTAGAAAACTGACCATAAGTGCACAACAAGACTTGACTTACTCCGTTTAGTCCGCTCTAATCCTCATGCTAGCCCAGAGATTGGGAGGCTAGCTCTGAAGTACGCTGCTCCACATTAAGGGGAACAATCTGCCGAAGCTTTGTATATTAAACAGGCTAATCCCTTTTAATCAATTTAAATCTCCTTTGACTGACGCAGAGCAGCGTGTGAATGCATGTGTTTTCTCCAAATAGAGCATGTTGATTGTATTGGCCTGCTTGCTGTATCACTTTAGGTTTTTATTGACTCTAACCTCTGTGGGCCTAGCTTCTCAGCCCCATTCATTAATCTCTCACTTAAAATGCCTCATGCTTCACTATGTTCACTGATCACCGACTTTATTTGTCTGCTGTCTGGAGCTGGACAGGTTTAATCATTTAAAATCCAAAACTTGAATGAAGATAGATACCTGCCGCTGATGCTGGAACTAGGTTGACAGCCCAAAAATCTGCAGAGCTGCTTAGTTTTGTCTCCTTGAATGAACTCTTACTAGCTTTATTACAAGTGTAATTGTGCTCACCCATCAAGGTGAGCCAAATGTAGAATATGTTGATCATATGGTACTTCATTTATCAAAGATTTATGCTTGTGATAGTCCGACATAAATCAGAACAAACCAAAAGACAGATGTGGGGAGGCTGTATTGGTGAAAGTCTACATAGAATCTACTCAATTTTAAATACTGCCAAAGCGTTAAGCTATGTCCCTTGAAGTAAATTGTGTTTGTTTGTTTTTTTCTCACCAGTCAGGAGGATTTCATCTCACATCTCATATATTCATCTCATTTTCAGTGAAATCAAGGCTGTTACTGCTTTGCTTGTTGAAATAGTGCCACTATTCCTGCCACGATTAAAATGTATAAAAACCTAAGAGGGGACATGCATTATCTGTTTTTTGTTAAGTGGGGTACTGTTTCTTGTGAACAGAGAAGGCTTTGTCATCATATACTTTTCAGTTTGTCTCACTATCTTTAATGTTACATTCACTGCAGGTTATCATGTTGCAATGAAAGGATGCATTTGTTGACCCATAATGTGGTCCTAAATACCTTTTACATTCATAGAGAAAGGAACAACAAGAAGGCATTGATAGAGAAAGAGAGTAGGAACTGGCATCACAAAACTTCCACTGTAAACATGTCTGTGGCGGAGTCGCTCTCTGTGAGCTCCTCTGCTTTGCCTGTTGTGACAGCTGCAAGACCTGGAAAGTACCATAACATTCCTGACGCCTTTATCTACTTCTGTTTTTGATCTACTGGCCTCAAATAACTTTTTGATAAAGGGACAGAGTAAGACACCCCCTCGAGAGATGAATGTTGCTGACTGCTTGCTTCTCTAGTTAAACCAACTTCAGCAACGACCGCACGATAGCAAAACACAGCGGTCTATGTCTCCAGGTACAAACCTCAACCAAAAAGCCACTCTATAGCCATAAATAAAGCTCAGAACAGCACATAACTTCAACAACAGTACATATAGGGTCCTAGCCATAGTACTAGCTATAAAACATCGTTTTAGCGTTACCTGGTTTCCTTAGCAAAGAGACCAAACATGACACACCCACTCTCCTCCAGCAGCCGCTTGTTTTTGGGGGAAGTCCTGATGAGTCCATCATCGAGTGAAGCAGTTTCGCAGCTCAAGAAAGAACATTCCTGATTATTACTTCATGAAAATGCAAACAGACCTAGAAGAAAAAAAACTACCGCGTCTGCAGTGCAAAATTATTATTATGATATTATTACCACATGTAAATGATTTGCTGCACTCAGTGATCATCTCGTCAGGGCTTCCCTGACGAGGTATCTTCTCTTAGAAATATTTAAAAGCAAAGAAAAGTTTAAAATTGATAGAAATTGTTTAACTGACATTTCAGGGCCATGGCTGTAGTATCACTATGTTGTTGCCATGGGTCTTATTTAAAACTTTTGCGCACACAAAGTACACACAGAGCCTTGAGAAGCACAAAAATGGTTAGCCTGAAAAATGAGCACACCTGAATGCAAACTGTGACCTATGGGTGAAAACTGTTTGAAGGCAGATGTTGAGGTGTGGAACTGAAGCCAGATTGTACAATGATCTCTGTCGCACATTTGAAATCTCTTACTGTCAAACATTAGTTGTAGATAGATCTCACAATGAACATTCAAACCATCAGTGTACCTGCGCTCATGAGCCATAACTATTCCATAAGCACCTTTTAATTACGAAGGATTACAATCAGATCTTGAATCACAGCTCAGTACTCTCTACGTTTAATTAGGACTGTCTGGACATCCCAAGTTTATTCATCTGAATAGTTTTATGATATGCCATTATATCCTTTTTGGAGATGTACATTTTGAATATAGATGCCATCCACAGTAAGTCACAGTTGTGAAAGAGGCACCTGTGATGACCCTTTTGACTTATAACACATGTTGTGGATAACTTCAGGAAATTCAGGTCCTGATATTTTCAAAAACCTGCCCCTTACACATGTACCCCACAGCAGGAGAGGATCTGTCCTGTTTTTCAGGGCTTAACTCTACTAACAGGTCGTTTTTACTCTACCATCTTACTGAGAAATAACTCATGTATTTGTCCCTCCTTGTGGCATCTTTGTACAGTGGACTTGAAGTATACAACCTACTATCATAGGGCTACTATCACAGCTTCATGTTTTTCAGGGAATGAGACTTTTGAAATGTGTCCTCTCTCTGGTCAATGGTGTCTCCATATCCACGGTCATGCCTCTCAATAATGCAGCTTCACTTGTTAGTTTGAAGTCTGAGACTGAATATGTTTTTTGTCTTTTTCAGTTTGTGACCCAGTCCTTGGTGACCATGGATCAATGGTGAGAAAATAAATAGCACTTTTGTGCTCTGTGTAGTGCACACACAGCTACTTATATCTATTGTTATTATATGCCACTGTAAATAATAGAATAAGGATCTTGAAGACTGTTTGAAGGTTTTACTGTTCATCCATGAGACGGTTTGTTTATTTATGCGTGTGTGAGTGTATTTGTACAAGTGTGTTACTGTACTGTAGTTATAGGGCCAGTTTCTCTCTGACAGGTGGATCATTGGGATCTTACTGAACTATGTATATGCAGTGACTCGCTGTGTAAGCGGACATGCACATTTTCAGGGATTAAGAGCATATTCTGTCTGTTAGGGCTCAAAATTTGAAACCACGTAAACAAAAGTCAGCTAAAGGTGAAAATTAAATGAGCTTATTAGCTTGTATGTTTGTGTGTGATTATGTGTGTGTTTAGCCCTCCCTTTTAAGCTCTATTTGTGCATGTTAATTAAGTTGTAATGGTCTAACTCCAGTGTCTCTTTCTGCAGTACGTTCCTCAGAATCTTTACCCGGTCTATAAGAACAAGGTGGTTCCTGTTGCAGACATTATTACTCCAAACCAGTTTGAGGCCGAGTGAGTACAAAAGTGTTTGGTATTCCTATAGCATTTGTATTGATAGGCTGATGATGAATTTCTTTAATTTTGAGGGCATTGGTTCAAAACTTCCCTTTGTATTTGGATTTACTCATACCTCTTAGTTTGTACTTGTTCAAGTGGCAGGGCATAACTTTTATGTAACACCACTCATGTTGTTATCTAACACCTTTCTGTCAGCAATTTTAAAAAGAATAAACTGGAAATAAGAGTAAGCTCTCCCCTGATCTTCACTGTTTTACCCTTTTGATACAATTATTTGCAAAGCTGGAAATGTGAATTTGTAAATGCTGCATGAAAAGTCTTCATACGTAATCCTGATAAAACTGAAGTTGAAAAGTCAGAGTGATATTTTTCCTTGACCAGGGAGTTACATCCATCAAAACATAAAAAAACTGAACAGAGTTCTGCACATCTTTACAACTACCAGGTCTCGTTTAAAAACTGGGATCTTTAATAAAGCCTTAAACTAAAATTCGGATCAGATGCTTGGCAAAGCCACCAACATGTGTTTGTGATGATGTGCGCAGTAGCAGGGTCAAAAAGGTTGATTTCAGTGTCTGCTGTATAAGTTTTGAAGATATCAGCATCTATTGTTCAGTTGGAAATTGATATGTAATGATCTTCTAGAAAAGACATTCAAATGAGGAGAAATCCTTTGGCTTGGTTTTTGCTTGAATAGACTAAATGGCTGCTTTTATGACAAACAGCAGCACCAAGCATTGGTCGAAGAGATAACTGTGTCAGCTCAGTTTCTCTACAGCTCACGGTCAAACTGCTCCACCTAGTGCTGCAAAAATAGACTTTCAGTTTATTTTTTATTAGAAAAGAACTAACTATTAAATAATTTCAATGAGGATCCTTTACTTGGATGTTGCTTGCACTCTGAAATGTGATTTTTTGTTGTTGCCAATGTTAAGTTTGTCTGCAGTAACAACAAAGGTAGTAATGGTTATTTGTTTGCTTGTTTTAGATTATTGACGGGGAAAAATATCAGCACAGAGAAAGACGCTGTAGAGGTAACAGATCAACTCTTTAATCTCTCTCTCTTTTTCATAATTCCTCACGAAATATCTGGAGTAGCTTTAAAGAAAACAACAAAAACACACAAACTGTCAGCTCATTTAAATCAGGGCTGAAAACAGTACTGTTTGCTGTGGCTTTAATTGTACTTTGCTGTTCTGTCAATTTCAATTGTTTTAATAATTTATATTACATTTTAATATTTTATTGATTTTAAGATGTCTTTTTGATTTTAAACAGTTTTAATCTCTCTTTTTGTTAATTTCCTATGTATGTCCTTGCATCTGTAAAGCTCTTTGAATGGCCTTGTGTAGAAATGGTGCTATACAAATACACAGTTAGAGCTGCGGTGAACAATATGTTTGAAGGTTGAAGGAAATATTACAAATCAAAGATTTTTGTTACTTAAACAAAAATATGTTCTTGTTTCCTTCCTTTCAAAGTAAGAGAACTGAACTCATTTGTGTTTTATTATTTATTTTACATTTTTTACACGTTTTAGACAAAACAGTTTGTCAGTTTGAGAAAATATTTCGAAGATATTTAGATCGGTTTAAACACATCATATTTCCTCATTATTACCTGCATTTAAAGGAAATGCTCCAGCATCCCTCCTTCACACACTGATTTTTTGCAGGTCATGGACCTTCTTCACGCAATGGGCCCGGACACAGTGGTCATCACCTCCTCTGATCTGCCTTCCAGACTTGGAGACCGTTTCCTTGTGTCCCTGGGCAGCCAGCGCCATGGTGGGCTGTGATTGACTTCTTAGTGTGCATAGATGTGTGTAATAATTAGTTCACACAATCAAAGTGAACTCTTTTGTGTATTTTCTGTGCTGTCCAGTTCGTCCTGATGGCAGTAGGACAACAGAGAGAGTCCGAATAGAAGTGCCGAAAGTGGATGCCGTCTTTGTTGGAACTGGAGATTTATTTGCTGCTATGTTGCTAGCGTGGACACACCACTACCCGAATGACCTGAAGGTAAAAAAAAAACTGAGTGTAAAGAGAGAGACCTTTTTAAGATTCTGTTGCCTCTAATAAAAAATATTTTACTCATACTGAGAGATTTTAGACCAAGGACAGCCAACTGAGCTCCAAAAGAGATGTAACATTCTTATCTGCACACAGTTTGTGCTTTTTCATTCAGTATTCAGGGCATGGCTGCGAAACTGCCAGGCAGTGCTCAGAACAGTTGCAGAAAACTGGAAAAAAGATGCCTCGAGCTGATAAAATATCACTTGTTCTGATTAGAGCCTGATACCTATTTCTAGTTTCAGAACTTTTCATTCAATTTAATCTTTTTTTACTATCAACTGCTGGCACTTTACAAATGTTCATGGTTGTTTGTCACAAAGTAAACATTGTCATTATTTTTAGGGCTCATTTGCAGTAGAAAAGATTCTTTCTACATCTGAAGATGGGAGCAAAGATGAACAAACAGGATTGTACAGTGTAAGCACAGCTGTATTTTCTTGCGTGTTGTTTTTCAGATGGCCTGTGAGAAGACATTTTCAGTGATGCACCATGTCATCCAGAGGACCATTTCTTATGCTCATGGTAAGAAAAGTGGACTTGATATCAGTGTGTAAAGCTCAGGTTTAAATGGTCCCTGAAGAGTCAAAGCTAACAAACAAATACAGTTATTACTTATCCCCGATAAAAGTCATGCTACCAACATCAATAGTATTGACCCCTCTTTTTTCTCTCTCTCTCTCTCTACCTTTTAACCTCAGAGTTAGCAGGTCCTGGTCGAAGGCCCAGTCCACCCCAGCTGGAGTTGAGGATGGTTCAAAGTAAAGCAGACATAGAAGACCCTGCTATAGTCACGGAGGCCACTGTCATATCCTAACATAATGGAACCATAAGACTCATACTAACCCATAAAAAATCTCTCAAATCCTGTATCTCGGTAAATCTCTCATCAATGTAAACCTTGACTGTCATCTCCAAACTTCAACACCTCATCCTTCAGACTCCTTAAACTCCTTTAGTATTGTAACCCCTGTTAGTCCCGTCGCCCTTTACCCCTTTAAGACCTCAGTGTCCTGACCCTGTAAACCTTTTACCTGTGAGTCCAAAAACCTTTACCCAAACCAGAGCCATGGATAAACAAAACATTTGGTCTGGTCTGACTATGACAGGCTACTGTTTCGTCTCTGTCAGAGGTTTATGTGAAAGCTGGAGAGCTTAGATTTTATTGTTTATTCCAGGACTTTTAAACATATAAGGGCACAAGTTATAAACAAAGTTGAACAGAAAAAAACAGATACTTTTAATACTGCATTTTAAAATGATTTGATCTCAATTATTTCTACATTCAGTAGAATCTGAAGTCATATTTTCAACCTAAAGTCAATGCAATGGAAACAGAGTTTTGCTGTCTCTGAGAGAGAGGGAAGAGGAATTGAGGAGAGTGGGCACTGCTGATGAAAACAAAAGAAACAAAATTTTAAAAAAAGGGGAAAATCTGATTGTTTTATAACTGAAAGACAAACACATTTCTGCACAAATATGCAGAAAGATAAACACACAACTGCATAATGACTGACGGTATAGATGTAAATAAAATAGATTAAAAAAATGTTTAAAAACATTTCTTCCAAAGTATTATAGGTTATACAGAGGACCTATTTTATCTGGAGTGTACACTTGATAAAATGACCAGTTGTGGCTGCACAGAGTTCAGTTGTTGTACTGAAACTGGTCTTATTTTTATTTTTATTTTTTTTTAACTTGTATTCAGTTTCACAATCCTGGTATCCAGACAACCCAACTATGTAATGCTACAGATGTTTAACAAACATAGATGAGTACAATGAAATGAGGAATATGTCAAAAAAGGTTGGCAAAAACAAGATTTGTCGACATGTCATCCTGATTAAGAGAGCAAAAACTCTGCACACTTCACTAGAGGTATTTTTCTCTGATGTTGGGATAGTTCACATCTGACGGAAACACACCAGAGCCATAAAACCTGAACTCTTATTCAGCGGCACGGTTCTGTTGATGCAATCCAAAAATAAACACTGTAACATACTTTCAGTGTTAAGCTGAATGTTGTTTAACAGGTTCCCTTCAGCTCTACCTCTAAATTCCTTGTAACCTTGCCCACCATATTGCTCTATAACTGCCACTTAACTTATGTCGTCTATGTTTCCACAGAGTGTTTTTTATTTTTTTTCAAGACGGCTCCTCGCGCTCTGCCAAATAGCACGATTGCAGCACTGACATTGCTGCTGCTGTACAGCTCTAACATTTTGTTTATCTATGGCTCTGCTTACCACTATTTGAACCCCTTCCCCCGTCTTACAGCAGTGATGTAATGGTGACCAAGTCTAACCCCCCTGAGACCCCCTGAAAATATAACAAAGGAAAAAAAAACGCACAATGTATAGTTGATGTATAGATGTTGTACTATAACTGTATTGGACCATCTGTATGATATCTTCTATCTGAACTGTCTGTTGGATCATCGTGTTGATGCTACTGTACTATAGATCACACGCACTACAATATCACTGAAAACAGAGACATCTGGGCTGCTTCTGGCACTCCTGGAGGCTCTATTAGTTTCAGTCTGTGTCACTTTGTTAGTATTAGGTCAATGTTTAATAGCCATAGTACATAGTTAAACCAAAATAAAGAGAACTTGGCAACCTGAGCTGTCTGAGCTGCCAAGGAAGAGTTAACTACAACTAGATCAAGCAGAAAATTGGCTACCCGAGTGCCAGAACCAGTCCACATCATGCCGGATGGTTCCCGGCGCAGCTCTGGCCCAGAACCCTATATCTGGAAGATGTGCCACTGAGTTAACTGGAGATCCTGAAAAGTTGTGTGAAGAAAAACGACCATGTTCAGTAGCAGTTCTGAGGATATTTGTCCCAGGAACTTTTTTTATTTATTAACTTAACACTCAACTATTATCACAACAGGTTTGAGCTTTCATTTGAAGCTGGGAGTATTAAATACTGGATCAGGCCTGAAGTAGTTTCTGGATAGGCTGAAGCCACTTTGAAACAGGTTTTTGCCTTGGCAGAACAAACAATTAACTTCAAGTATCTCTTCATTTTTCTGGGATTCAGTATTGTTTTTTATTGTCACTGCCAGTAAAGTGTATCAGCCCCAGTGAGTAATACAAAGCAAAGATAACACTGGAAAGTTCAAATCCACAATATTTAAAAATGTAACCAACAAATATCATTAATTTTAAGGGTGATATTTCCTTTGATTGGTTCACTGTCAAAATGTCTCAGTTTGAATTTCCAAAAAAAGCAGTCTGAGTTTTTAATTTTTCCGCAGACAAGAGGTCAGAGACGGCATGTGGTAGTGGTCATGAGCTGGTTTCAAACCAATGATGTGTTTACCCAGCATGTGCCTTAGCCCACAGAGCTACTGGGGCACTGCAGGAAATGAGTGGTTTTAGTGAGATTTGAACCACAGTCAGGATTTTTGTCCTCCCCCTTTTCCCGTTTATTTAAATCTTTAATGACTCACAAATAACAGGAAACAATTAAGTTGTCATTTAATCTACTGAACAACGATTGCGAGTTTTTTAAGGTGGAAACCAAATGTTTGGAGGCTTTAAAAAAAAAAAAAAATCCATGTTTTTTTCAGTGTTGCATCTGAGCTGGATGTAAGGTTCTGGGCAGGCCAATGTAATTCTGTACTGCTGTTGTTTCTCTATGGACTGTACTGTGATACTGCCTTAGGACCTCACATTTCAACACCACAACACTGCTCACTGAGGGAGAGGAGGGGTGGAAGGAAACATGACATGTCTTAAATATGTAGGTGCTTTTTCTCTGCAAAATATTGCACCATGGTGCGCTGACATAGGAAGAACATGAGATTGCATTTGCTAAACCTTTCTGTTGAAAGCCATAAAGGATTTTTACATTTTATTTTGTAAGTTTTTACATACATCAGCAGTTTTTACAATGACAGAAAATCATCACATCATTTCCCTTACATTGCTTTTCTTTCCTGACACTGGACTATTTTGTGAGGGTTTAACAAAAAAAGCAACAAATGTTACATTTTAGAATTTGAAATACAGAAACCAGTTAACCTTTCTATATTATTTAAACAGCTTATCAAAGTCAAAGTCTGTCAGTTATTTTAATTTTTTTTTCTCACTGTCATCCTTCACCCTTTGACAGAATACAGACTTGAGGGTAATGTTGAAACACCTCTCAGACTAATGGCAAAATGCAGTCTCATTTAAAAAGTGCAATAGTCAGAGATGGTTTTTGTACTGGTCTAGCTGTATTTTGCCACTGTAGCACTGATTGTCATATCAATAACAGACTGCTGTGTGTCCGTGTGCTTGGCCAACCAGCTTTAGGCTCCGCTATGATCAACATGTGCACTTTCCAATCCTCTGCTTCCTGCTGACAAACCAGTACTCTGTGTTATTGGGTCAAAATGTGTCTATCTGTTAGTGTCTCTGTGTGTTGTGTGTGAGAGAGTGGATGTACATGTGTGTGTATATAATTGTCCTTTTATGGTCACAGGGTTTTGTGTGTACGTGTGTGCATGTGAGAGGAGGAGGATAAAGAAAAGACAGGAATAGTGCACATGAGAAGAGGAGGGGAGGTATGTTCAAGAGGACAATCATTCTGTAATGAAACACATACAGCTTTGGCTGATCAAGTTTCCACTTATCTGCTAAAAATAGAGGATTGTTTTTGTTCCGGACTTATCAAAAGGGAAACTCAACCATACAAAATGTTTCCTTGATGCCTCATGCCCCCCTGACTCTTCCTCCCCCTCTGGCCATCCACAGGCAAATCCTGCAGTGCCAGTGGTTATGTCTGTAGTGTTAGTTTTGAAACCGTAGACTTGCTCTGTGTGTGTGCGTGCGTGTGTGTGTTTGTTATATGGTTAAACTTGTGCCTCCACTCCTCCCCACTGGCTCTACAAGATCATCACTCCTGTTTCTGATCTTGTTCGTTTCTCCACTTCTGTGCTGTTGCTTTTGTGTCATGATCAGATCAGTGACAAACATGATCATCTGCCCTGTTTCACATACCGTCACCAACTTTTCATTTATCCCAATTTCTGCTGCTACATTTCTTCCCAAAGTCATCCTAAAATTCCTGGTAACCATTTTGAAACCCTGATGACTAAACACGCTTTATTAGAATGCTAACAAAAAATGCTATGGGTAAATTGGATACTGGTAAATTACAGCTGCATGCAAGCAAAAAGAACTTCTTCAGTCAGGGAGTTTCCATTTTTTCTGGAGTTGTAGTTTGAAACCGATCTTGGTTCAGACACTTTCTAATTACTTGTTTCTACAAAGCTGCCTGACTAAGCTTTACAAGACTTTTTTTATTTTTCTTCTATTATAATAAACACAAATCATATAAACACACGTGATTACATCACTAATGTAATTCGCTCGTTCAGTCTAACTTTATGTCTTGTCTTAATTGAACAGTGTATGGATTATTTGGGGGGTTTTTTTTAGATTTAATTTGATATTTAGGTAACTAAATTGGCCAAACAAAGGTCAAGGGTTGTCAAGTTGATGTTTATATTGGTAAGCCAGCTGGTTAAGTTAGCTAACTGTATTTAACAGGCACACATTGCATTGTTATTGCATGTAGCAGAAACTGGATGTGTTTTATTGGTAGACTGTATAAATCATGTGATGTCAGCCATTGCTTTCTGTAAAGGCAATATGGCTACATAAACTGTGGTCACCTTTCCAGAAATGCAGACTCCAGATAATTTAATGTAGACACTAAGGGAGCGGTGAAGTTGTGCCGACAGCCATTCCTCCAGGCAAACAGCCGCAAATATCTACCTTGTAGTTTTTTGCTCTTCTGCTTGGGATTCACCTTTCAACCCTAGAGGCTGCTGCTCAGTTTTAACTAATAACTACTTATTATAAGTGAGATAAGTCTTAACTTACATGGACCTGCTCCAACTATACAGTTTGTGTGTTTATTTTAAAAGTCATCCGGATCATGGAGTTCATATCACTTTGTTTGCTCTGTCTACATGAATCAAACCAGGCCCTCCACATCTCTGTCTGTTATTTAGAAAATAAGAAGAGACCCAGCCTTACCATTTGCTTGCTGCTTACCATACTTATTTTTTCGCTCATCTCTCCCCTTGCTCTCTGTACTTGTTAATGATAAGACCCCCTCCCTTCCCATACCCCCATCCATTTGGTTACAAAATGGCTGCCACTCAAAATTGCGATGGTCAAACCATCTGTGTCCGACAATGTTCCCCTCCTCTCCTCCCAATTGAGAGTTTCATCTCTGCCATCTTGTTTTTTTATGTTCTTGGTGGCCAAAACAAAACGAGGAAATGTATAATCATTGTTTGGTAACTGTTTTTAGTGCTATGTTTTTGGAGCGTTAAGAGTATTTTCTAACATGTTACAATAAAAGATTGTAGTGTACAAATTCACATTTATAAAATATATATATAGATATATATGAGAAATGTATGTTCTAATGCAATAAAGAGAGATTAAGAATTATGAAAAAGGGCTCAATGTGGTTCTTATCATTCATTCATGCTATTAAACAATAGTTGTTCTTGTTACAGTTTGTTTTAAACTTTGAAGCCAGAAACATAAACTCACTTGGAAATAATCTGGCGTAATTATTTTGTGTGAAACAGCCTTTTCAATTTCTGTGAATGTACTCATGTGTAGCAGAAATCAACAATAGAAAAGAATGAATCCAAATACAATACAGGTAGGGGAGAGTGGGGTAAGTTGAGCCAAAGGGTAGGTTGAGCCAACCCCTGTTGCTTAGAAATGGTCAAAGAAATTGATCATGTGACCAAATATTTAGGAGATGGGCATCAATGGAGTCTGTGAAGGTCAGAAGCACATGGGTGAAGAGGTTAGACATTTATTTCCAAAAAACATTTTTTACTCTTGAAAGTGAATTTAGTCTTGTCATAAGTTTTATTAGAATTGTTTTCAGACCAAAAAATATCATAGTAAATTGGTTTTATATATCAGTTGTGGTATCTATGAGCTACAACATGAGGTCAAAACCTAGCATAAAAGTCCACCATTTTAGTTTAGAGGACAATTAAAGTCATAATAGTAGTTCTGGGGTAAGTTGAGCCATTTGGCCAGGGGTTAATTGAGCCAGTGGCTCAACTGAGAAAGTAAAGGAGTCTGATGAGATGATCAGAGTTTCAGTTCAGATTGTTGAAATGTGTTACTTTTTCTTTTCAGAAATACAGCTGTGAATGTTCTGAATCACTTAAAGGCAAAATACACATGAATGTGAAGAAGTGACTGTTATTTCGGGAGAGAGAAGGTGAGGGAGGGTTGGGGTGGAAAGCAACTTACCCCATACACGGGGTAAGTTGACCATAGGAGACCACTTTCTTTTGGCGTGCTATATTATCAATACTTATGTACACTCATTCTGTTGGTTTGAAGGGATGCACAACATCTTGAAATATATACAGATACGCTAGTTAGAGACAAAACTATGATTGCCTTGATATAGTGATCTGAAGTATAACAAATAGCCCATTTCACCCCACTCTCCCCTATAGCAAAAACAGACATACAATTGTTATCATTATCGTGTGTATCTTCTCAGATGAACAAAGCTTGTCTCATGATCAAACAAAACCATTTGGGATTATAAGTTGTAATAAAAAAAATCAATTGCAATACAGATATATTTTTCTGAATTAGTTTTTTGAAAGATATGATTTAATAATTGAAACTGTTTTTATTTTCTGAATGTTTTTACTTTATCATAATCATGATTATGACAATTATTATTGCAGTGACATTAATTCAACCACCATTTTGACCCCGCTTAATGGTCCCCTGATCTATTTCTGCATGACAGCAGTGCTGGCATAAGTTTTTTTTTCTCTTGAATTGGCCTCAGTGGGATTCCGTAGCGTCTCTCCTGTTTTGTTGACATTTTTTCTCCCCTCTCCATCAGCTGACTGCCGTAAGTTAGCTGACCGGTTTGCAGACGGCTCAACACAAACAAACCCTGAAGATGACATTACTTTACCACCAGCCGCACTGCCTCCAGGCGCTGTCAAACTACAGACAGTTTGTCTATTTTTAGACTCTTGACTCTTGATAAGATCTTATTTTTTTAACCGACCGTCACTGAGGAAAGAGCGCTATGCTGACGTCACAGCCAACGTTAGCTAGCTGTTAGCCCGGCGAGCTAACTTGAACGAATAGAAAGCTAACGAACTTAAACTGATGTGAGGTGAAACCATGGAGGGTATTCTATACAAATGGACTAATTACATGACAGGTGAGCCGTGTTTCTATCCGTCTCATTGTCTTTTAGCTTGTCAAGCTTACTGACTATTCGTAGACATTGACACTTATTGCCGAGTTATGTTGTTAGCTGTTGGAAATCCTTCATTAACTACCGAATATAACCGAGTTAGCTGCGGCTATCAACTAATGGAAGATAGACATGACATGTCGGCCGTATGGACGCTGTATTCTTATAGTTATTTTGGTTATTCGGGCTAATCATTGATTTACAATTTTCATAATCAAAAGCTCAAATGTGTCATCAGCATTAGATATTCATAGCATCCTGTTACAGTCTTTACAACTTACACTGAGCAGCAACAATATAAGACAATTTGATATAAACCAACCCAAAAGCTGTACCATAAATCCTACTTCCAGGAAGCTTCTGCATCCTCAGTGTTTGTTGACATCTTCACAAAGGTGATAATTAATCTTTAACCAGCTTTTGATGTTGTAGGTGTTGGTGGTGTGCATTGAACTCCACTCATATTTGTTAAATATCAATGATAAACTTTTCACTTGCCTGATCATGCCAACAAAACTTAAACATGTAGAAACTTAATAAAAGTCAAATCTATACTAGAGCTGTTGTATTGAAATGCATGCCCAGGTGTTCATCACATCATGGTTTATTTGTGTACTTAACATGTAGTTTGCTTTGACAAAGGCATTCAGTTGTGTGTTCTGATGAAGTAGTATTCATAGTAACACAAATATAGAACCACATCCTGTAACACGTGAAAAGAGGCGCATAGTCTAGGTATTATTGTGGCATTTGACCTTAATAATTGTAAGACAACATGTCTATAAATAATAGTGGTGGAGGACAAAACACTCTGCTGAAGCCTATTACCATAACCTGCTCTCCCCGAGTCATCTGTGTATGAGATGAGAGTCATGTGAACAGGCTGAAATGGATCAGGTGGAAATTCCCCTACTTTTTTACTGCACAATGAAGAAACCATTTATCATGTCAACTATAGAGCTAAAATGCCAGCAAGGTTTATGGTGGTTATGTAGCATCAGAGCTTATGTAGCATAGTAAAAAACATCCACATTTTATGAGCAATAAAGAGGATGTTTTGCAAAAGTATATGAGTTACTAACAAAGTTTGCTTGGGATTAATGTGACAGTGTTGAGTTTTTCTTTAAATATAATCAAAAATTGTACAAGCTGCAAATTTTAACTGATAAAATGAGTGAGAATACAGCATAAAAATGAAGTCCTGTAGATCTGGGGATGCTCTGGCCTTGTTGGCCTGTTGTTCTCCACATTTAAGAAAGCAGTACAGATGAGAATAAATTTATCATCATGATATTCTTCTTTTTAGTTAAAATACAATTGAATGACATGTACAGAAATAGTGTCATATATTGATCTTTATACCTTTGTAATTTCAAAAATATCAATCCTTAATATTCACAGGAAATGCCAAGCAGTGTTTAATAGTGGTTTGATAGTTGAGGCTTGAATTTGAGTGAATATTCAATTGAAATAGTAAGGTATTTGTTAACTTGCTATTCATCTACATTGGAAAATCTAGATACAAGATTTAAATTCCTTTAAATAAAGTCTAATTCTAAAGCCTCTCAATTGTGACTTTAAGTTTATTTCCACTCATTTCTGTGACAATAATATTGAAGTGTTGGACTGTAAAATAACAGGTTTGTACACTTCACCTATTGTGAAAGGTTACACAGGTATTGTAGACATGCATTGTTCTTGAGCACCTTAAAACTCCACCCAAACACCAAAGAAAATATTGCTGAAGTTTTAAGTTTAGCTTTTGTCCTCAGGTTGGCAGCCACGCTGGTTCGTCTTAGAGAATGGAGTCATCTCATACTATGACAGCGAGGATGATGTCGGTAAAGGAAGTAAAGGATCCATCAAGATGTCTGTGTGTGATATCAAAGGTTGGACAGCAGTTTTAAATGCCTCATGTGCCCTTATTTGTGGTCCATGCTATTTTTCTATACTCTGTCACTTAACCCTTTAAACATTTAAATTTTGCAGTCCATCCAACGGATCCAACTCGTTTGGAGTTGATCATCCCTGGAGAACAGCATTTCTATGTCCGAGCTGTGAACGCTGCAGAGAGACAGAGGTGGCTGGTGGCTTTGGGCTCGTCCAAAGCTGGAACATTAGAAAGCCACAAACACAAAGGTACACCAAGTTTTTTTCGTTTTTTTCCATATATCTGTCTGCCCACCGCACATGCACTTTTTGACAGAGCTCAGTATGTGAGAATGTCATTTTTTTTAAACTATAAACATAAAACAAAACTATAAGTTGACCAAAAAAAGTAGTTTTAGCTCAAGCAGCCAAGGAATTGTAAAAATGATCAGCTGTTGGATGCTGTTTTGTTTGTGTTTCTGAATCATCACAGATGAAAAACTACATTTACCTCATTTGAGCATTTTAGATATTTGAGCTGTGTGTGTGTGTGTGTGTGTGTGTGTGTGTGTGTGTGTGTGTGTTTGTGTGTGTGTGTGTTTGTGTGTGTGTGTGTGTGTTTGTGTGTGTGTTTGTGTCACCAGGTCCTGACTGCCTTAAGACGAAGATGTCTGAACTTCGCCTGTACTGTGATCTCCTCGTCCAGCAGGTCCAAACCATCCAATTACAACACACTGCAGACATAGAGGCCCCGCCCACCTCAGAGGTATCAGTCTTCTTGTTTTTATTTCAATTTTTTTTTTTCATATTTTCTTTTTCTTACACAAAGATGAACACGTGAATTAAGGATTTTTTAATGTATGCCACTTTTTGGTCTGTGTCGTTTCAGCAGTGAAAGAACAGTCAGATACTGCTCAGGTTTTAGTCAGATCTAATTCCTTTTTTTTTTTTAAATCTGAATAGTATTTGTTTCAGTAAACAGGATTAGAAATAGACTATCAGCTCTGAGGACCTAACCTCCCTCAATAAACAGCCAGAGTTCTCACATATTTAATGTTAAACACAGGTAGTTAGACATGTGTTTGTTATGCAGTTGCAGATAATTACTCTCTATATCTTTAGGCCTCTCTGCTCAGTGCGACCTGTGCAACCTTCATCAGGACACTGGAAGAGTGTATGAGCCTGGCTAACCAGAGTTTGACTCCTGACCTCCGCCCTCCTGAAAGGGTAACAACACTTCTTCCAGCAAATTCAGAAAATATTAAAGGGCTATTCTGGCGTAGAATTAATTTATGGTCAAACACACCGTAACACCAAGTTAGACACCCCCTCGAGTGATGAATGTTGCCGACCGCTTGCTTCTGAAGTTATACCAAATTTAGGAATGACCACACAATAGCAATACACAGCGGTCTGAGGAGCCATAAACAAACCTCAACCAAAAAGCCACTCTATAGCCACAAATAATGCTCAGAACAGCACCTAACTTCATCAACAGTACATATAGAGTCCCAGCCATAGTACTAGCCATCAAACATCCTTTTAACTTTGTCTAATTTCTTTAGCAAAGAGACTAAACACAACTCACCTACTCTCTTCCAGCAGCCGCTTGTTTGTAGCGAGACCTGAGGCCAGTCCATTACGGACTGCAGCGGGGTGACGCAGCTCAAGGAAGAACATTTATGATCATTTCTTTATAATTTCCTTGAAGTAATACTCAACATGTTATGCATTTTGCACTGCAGACACGGTAGTTCTTTTGCCTTAGCGTCTCGGTCTGATTGCATTTCCATGAAGAAATGATCATAAATGTTCTTCCTTGAGCTGCGTCACCCCGCTGCAGTCTGTAATGGACTGGCCTCAGGTCTCGCTACAAACAAACGGCTGCTGGAAGAGAGTAGGTAAGTTGTATTTGGTCTCTTTGCTAAAGAAATTAGGAAAATTTAAAAGGATGTTTGGTGGCTAGTACTATGGCTGGGGCACTATATGTACTGTTGATGAAGTTAGGTGCTGTTCTGAGCAATATTCGTGGCTATAGAGTGGCTTTTTGGTTGAGGTTGTTTATGGCTCCTTAGACCACTGTGTATTGCTATTGTGCGGTCTTCGCTAAAGTTGGTATAACTAGAGAAGCAATCAGTCGGCAACATTCATCTCTCGAGGGGGTGTCTAACTTGGTGTTACGATGTGTTTGACTCTCAATTAATTTTACACCGGAATATCCCTTTAAGTCTACAGAAAGCTGTGTGGTGACACAAGAACATAAACCTTCCAACATTTTCTATGTGAATAGAGGCTTGAATTAGCTTGATGATAGTCAGTGGACTACAAGTCAACTAATTTCCACCTATTTAGTAGATGATCAGCATTTCCCAATCAAATATACATGCATAAATTTACTGCTTTTCTTTGTCATGATTGGGTCTTTGGGTTTCAGACTGTTGGATGGATACAATGAAATAATCAAAGGCATTGATTTATGGTCAAATTGTTATGATTTTGATTTCAGCTGTTTGATGATTTAGAGTCTTAATGCTGTTGCAGCCCTGTTCCAGTATCATAAAATAAACAATTGTGTAGCCTCTGGTCAAAATGGCTGTCTGAGAAGCAGGTGTTAATTGGAGACAAAAGTTATTTGCTGAAATTATTAAACTGGTTTGACGGGTGAACTGCACTTTGTTGTATCAGTTTCGTTTTGTTGAACTTAAAAATATATCCAGTTATTCAATCACTGCAAACACAGAGCTTTAATTTTGTTTGAGTTTTACTGTTATCACTTTGGATTAGTTTTCTTTATACAGCTATGCACATTATGTTACGCTCTGCTTACCATCAATCACTTGATGCCTGCAGGCTGAGAGTGCTGCATGAAAACAATCACAATAATACCAACAAGAAATCAAATTAAACAGATGTGCAAAGTATAATGATTGGAGAAACTAAATTAAATGTCTGCGGAACGACTTGAAGTGGAAATGACATTGTTCTCTCTTTGAGAAGTGGCAAACAAAGTTATTTGGAGGAAACAAAGGGTGATGAATCACTATGCAAATATGAGTAAATGCTCTGTCAGTAAAAGTTTAATCGCCTTTTTACAGTTCACGTGTCTAGCAGCAGTCAGGAATTGCAGGACTTTGAATCATATATACAGAGTGTCATACTCATGCCTTTGCTCTGTTTTTCTGTCCTTCTACACAGATGAAGAGGTCCATCAGTCACCCTGGAACATACAGCCTCGACAGGTGAGCGTCCCCTGTGAGTCAGTGTTGTGTGTGTCTGAGCCCATGTGCATCAATTTCACCTGCTATTGTATTTAAAATGGGCTATGTGAATAGTAGTTTTCCTGCCTCAATGACGTTTCCTGCCACTGCTTTATTTTAGTGGCAGAGTTGCCCAAAGTGGTCAACAAAACGGAAACTAAAACAATATACAGCTGCCTGCAAAAATCCAGTAGACACGATGATGACAGAGTAAAATGTGTAAAACATAAACAGTATGAACAGTAAATGTGATGCAGGACTAGACGCCTACATTACCAGTTGTAGTATTAATGTAGGACACCAGGGGGCAGCATTGTAATTATTCAAGTCTTCCACAGCTCACTGGACTTTGAATGAGTCTTAACAAATGAGATCACAGTGCTGAAAAAATAACAAAGGATGACTTGTCCTCCAGTCATTGAAAACACTTGATGTCAAAGATGAGGGATTAGATTCACAGTCTTGATCTGTTATCAAGGTGAATGTAATATTGTTCACAAAACAGCAGACATTTCTTCAAAGGTACACCACTTTTCCATATCTGGTGAATATGCGGGTAACTTTCTCTCCAACATAATATGTTGTCTCTATCAACGACTGCTTCATGTTAAAGGGAGTCATTAAAGGCAGACAGGAAGCTACTTGATATGTGTCGACAACTCAATTTGTTCCTCATAACATGAAGGTTATTTTTGTGGTTTAAACATGTCTGGTTCCAGTGAGTTTATATAGTGAAGCACTGTGCGGCGCCTGTTCTTTAAAGGACATAAACATTCCCTTTAAAACAATAAACATCACTGACTTATTTGTTACTGTTCTTTCCTCTCTGAGAGTGAGGAGACATGTCCACTTTATTTTTCTTTTGACCAGTTTTTTATGTTAGCTGAGGGATGGTGACAAAGCCCTGATAGTAACATCTCTATTGATATTTGCAACAAACCGTCATCTGTAAAAAGTTTATTTGAGGATAAGGATGAAAAGCTTCTTTTATTTTACCCTTGAGAGTTCAGCATTGCAAATACCTCCAAACTTGATTAGATACGCTCTCTATCAGAATCAGAATTACTATTACTTTAATGTTCTCAAAAAGGGAAATTATGGTGTTACAGCAGATCTTTTTCTAGTGAGCCAAAACAGTATAGGAATTTGAGAAAAGATACATATCAAGAAATTACTTTAATAAGAATTTTAGCAGTATATACATCACACACTTTCCCTTAACTGTATTTCCATTCAATACAGAATTTAACAATTATTAGGCTTATAATACTATAATATAAGGAGGATTGCCAACTTCTTACTTTAAACATTTGACTATCTTATCCAAACCTAAATCAAACATTATCAAATGCAATAGTCTGTACATTTGAGAATGCATACAGTGTCTTTAAAAGCAGGAAGATGTAATAGAGAAATAAATCAAACAAATGACTGAGGTCAGTCAGTACACCTTTGATCAAATACTGTAAATGTGCTTCAAAACTCATAAAGTGCTCTTGTTTGTGATCTTTTTGCCCTCCACAGGTCAGGTGTACCAAAGGAGTACTTGAGTGGAGGTCAGAGGTCAACCCAACGCAGGAACCGGACATGCTCCGACAGCTCGGTTTATGATTCTGAACGTAAGACACACAAATGTTAAAACAGTGAAGACAATAAGAATACTTTACAGGTGTACAAAAGTGCATGTTTCATACATATGCTGTGTATAACCAGGAGGGCACAGTCTACATAATTGCCCTCATTTATCAAGCTTTATCAAATTTTGACATGAGGATCGGCATTTATCAATCTACACGTGAGCGTAAGCTACGACCAAATCTCACGACAGGTCTGACATCGTGTACGCAAGTTTGAGTCAGTGTGGATCTGCAATGCAGCAAATGTCTGTCTCAAAATCATTGATAAACAAACCTCAAACCTGTCACTAAGCACAATCAGCCAAATTTCATTGAAGATTAAGACATAAATAAAATAAAATAAAATAAAATAAATTTGAAATAAAAAAAATAAAAAAAGTCCTTGGTGAATAGGCCTATTTAATAACTCTGCCCAGAAACACTACCACAGAGCAGGAGCGCCGTTTCAACATTACGCACACGCTCCACTGTGGAGCGCTGTGTTTGACTCCTAAAAGGCAGGTGTCTTTGTCTTGGTTCAGCAGTGGGGACGTTGTTGAACACTCCTGAAAGGGTGTGGGACATCATTTGAGCCAGTACAGTTTTGCACAATGTTACACTGGTGAATAGAGTGCCGTTAGCTGTGCTGGTGCAATATGAGGACCCGATGCCCGGAGAACAATAACAAGGAAAGACTCCACAATGGTGCTGTACAGAGGAGACAGGACCTTATCTATGGATTCTGATGTAAAGAATAAGTTTAGAAAGTGCTCTTGCTATTTAATCAGTGATAAAAATCCAATAGAAATCCATAAAAATGTGCCTCAGGGGCAGCAACACATCGTTTCACATCTTTGTAATATTTCTCCTCTTTCATGTTTGACCTCAGTGGGCAAGGCTTCTGAACCACGAATATTTAAGGGCGTAAACATGTTAATGACGATCGATTTCAGCCGCCGCATTTATCAAGATCCGATCATACGTACGCTGGGATTGGTCCTATCGTATTATGAATCCCGCGCTCAGATCTGCGCAAGATTGATAAATGAGGGCCAATATGTAGTTTTACTCTCAATACTCTGAATACATGGATTAATTTATTCATTTTTCATTGAGAATGCCTCACTCCTGCAGGAGCAACGCACTGAAGACCCCGTTTCCCAGTTTCAAGACACTCTGGAGACAGAAAGAAAAAACAAGTCTTGTGACTGGGTGAAAGAATGAAGTTTGTCGCTCCCACCATAAAATTAATTAAATAAAAGGGAGGCAAGTTAAGAATTGATTTATAAATGGGGACATGCCAGTTATTTAGTCTAAGAGGAGACGATGCAGGCCAGCCAATTTGAGCATACAAAGAGCAAAGATGAGTTAGAGACTTATGATTTGTAATAAATCGCAGAGCTCCGTGGTAAACAGTGTCCAGAGAGTGAAGGCTTTTTCACGATGCATGCATTTATAAAACCTCACCATAATCAATAAGAAGCATAAAAGTAGCAGCAACAAGTCTTTTCTTTGCAGCAAAATAAACATATGATTTGTTTGTGTGTGGCTGTATGAGAAGTTCAAATGACAGAATCACTGATCAAGATGCCGAGGTATGAAATAAAAAGATACAGAGTGACTAACATCACCCTGAGGTGTAGGGGTATGTAGCAGGTTCAACACCATGAGTGTTGTTCTATCATGATTCAAGATCAGTTTCCTCTCTTGAAGGGTCTCCTGTACAGGATCAAAAGCACATTGTGATGGAGAACCTGATACTGTTTTAAGTGGAGCACGAAGTAACAGTATCATTCTCACACAACACTTATGTTATGACCATAGACTGTATATAGAATGGATGTTATCTGCCTCCTTGCTGGGTGAAGCCACCCCAAGAACAGCACCCTCTGGTGACGGGCTGCAGTATAGGTCATAACTCCCGCCTCTTCCAGCAATCCCTATGGCGCTGTGGACAAACTTTAGAAATTAATTACACAGAATATACATTTTTCTCCCCCCTTGTTGCGATGTTGACATGTAGTTACAGTAAGACTGGTTTGTGCTCAAGTTCTCTTTTTTCTTTGCAGCTCCATTTTTAAAAGTTATGAGGGGGTTCATGTTTTCCATGATTGACACTTGATACAACCTATGGGCGTAAGAAGATTGCGTAGCTCACCTGGGTGGATACGCTGTTTGAGCCGAGCGTCATCACAGTGACTCTCCCTCTGAATGCGTACAACGCTACTGCGCAATATTGGTTTTAGGAAGTTGGAAAAAACCCAGAATTACTGAGAGCTTTTTGGCTTCAAATCTGTATACTTGTGGAAGGCGGAACCAAGTTGTCCATAGTATATACAGTCTATGGTATTGACCAATACTAGCAGTATAATTGTAAATAACACTGGTCTCAAGACAGAGCCCTGGGGTGTCCCAGTTATCATTTCAAAAGATCTTGAGACGTTCAGCCTGCATACACTGTTAAAAGTTTGATCATGTTGATCAATGAGTTTAGTTAAACTACTGATAAACATGATCCTTTCCAAAAATCAACATTTAAGGTTGTGACAATGTACATGAACTTCAGGGCTGTCTAGACTATTGTATAATTGCGGTGTGGTCTGGGCTAAAGTGGGGGTTCTGGTATACTACTGGAGTATTTTAGCAATCAGCATTGGGTAAAGGATCTTAATACTTCTGTCGTTGATTGTAACTCTGGATTGGCACATCCCCGCTTCCACACCTTCACTAAATCTTCCTACTTCTATGATGTGTTCTAAATCACAACTGACCAGCCAAATGTCATTGGTGTGACTGCTTTTTTTATGTGTGCCTCAGGTGTACTGCCAGGACTCAACGGGGACTCGTCTTCGATTCCTGAAGAGAGAGGAGGGAGCAGTGTGAGCCCAAAGACCACACCCACTGACACAGACACGGACCTGTCTATCTGAAGACCCCTACAACCAGTGAAAAATGACAGACACAGGCCGTCACAAACGAACAATATCAAGGATGTGGCTGTCTGCAGTCTAGATTCTATCCCCACTAAACTGGGGATGACTTCTATATTCGGGCTCCTTCAGGATTGTCCATTCTCGTGCTTTTCTCTGGAGTCAGCTGATTACCAACCGTGCACTTTGGAGTCATAATTATTCTTTTCTTTGGTCTCAACACACTGGAGAGAGAGAGAGAACAATGGCAGATATGGTGGTGTGGAAACTGCAATCGTGAAGTTCATGACACTTTAACCAAGAGAAAGGACAAGGTACGAGGACACATTCGCAAAATGTACAACTCGTGGAGACAAATCAGTCTGACTTTCTCTGTTGCAACCAAATGGGTTTTGTGATAGTAGTAGGCAGCTCTTTGGCACAGAAGGAATATGAATAACTGTGAATCTATTGGACAGTTTGGATGTTGAGGATGATTGTTTACTGTTTTTATTGGACCTGAAATGAGAGGAAAATGTTAGTTGCAGAGGTTTTTGTGGCCAAATACGATGAAGTCAAAGAAATCTGGAAGATAGATCATCTTCTCACACAGTATTTTCTGCCTTTTCACTCGGTCAGTATCTTCTTTTCTTTTCTTTGAAACTCGCCAAGCATCTTCCAGAGTCTTCTGTCAGACGTCCACAGTTGTGCTTAGCTGCTGAAAACATAAGCATCACAAATGCGAAAGTCTATCTTCTTTTCTCAGCAGCAAGGTTTGACAGATCAGAGTGCAGCTGAGGATGAAACAGGACTAATCCAGACCACCTGAGGTCAGTTATCTTGCGCACACGCATTGAGGAGAGTTGAGGAGTTTTGGTACCTAGATGCCAGAGTTTGCACGAATGTAATGATCTACATTAAATGTGCCATCAGTCCAGCAAAACCTTCTTCATCTGGATGATCCTGCTCATCCATGACAGTGTTTAGCTGTTTAAAACTGGTGTCGGCAAAAAGACGCCAGTTCAACCTGCAGGTCTTTGCTTGAGGGGTTTGCACCTGCTCCTTTATCTTTGTTCTTGCCGCCATGTTTATCTTCTTGCACTTAAAAAGAAAAGACTCAGATCAGGGGATTTGAGTCCCAGACAGCTCAGTACAGCCAATCCAACAATCCAATCTTTTTCTTTTTTACGTTACAGGATTTTACGTAAATTGATGCAAGAAAACTCTGCGATGAAAACAAAAGTGACATGTTCAGTGCAGGTCGAGCCACATGGTTTCAAATGTTTCTACGTCCTCATTTCAACAGGTGCATCAGTCATAATCCCTCTGAAACTCAACAGAATTTCAAAGGCTGTTTCAGGTCGCTCACGAGATGTCACCCCTTAGCTGAGAAGTTTCTGCAAAATTACTCGCATAGATCTAAACTGTGACGCCTAAAGCATTGCAACAGCAATCATCACAGACAGGCTGGTGGAATCTAGACACACAAATCTAGTCTTGACACTTGCAAGTAACACTGCAAACAGTCTATCTTTAAGATCTGATTTGAGAGAAAAATCAGATGTGTCTGCAAAGTTACGGTGAGGTGTGACTGTGAGTGACACCTTTTAATGTTTGTATTTTTGGAGCCTTTTGATAATTAAACCCAGCAAAACAGGAAGCACAGTGGCCTTGAGGGCTCAACACGTCAACACACAGCAAACACAAATGGCCAAAACACACACAAATGTTGAGTCAGTCTGTGTGGAGGTCTCAGGGCCACAGAAGTAAGTGCTTATTTGAATAAGCTCTTGTGGTCTGAAGTGGAAATGTTAGTTCAGAGGATGCCTTTTGCACACATTGGTGTAAGTATATTTGTTGTACTTTTGTTCTAGTTGGTATGTGAGCGCCCTCTACACTGCCAAAGCAAACACTTTAGCATTTAGTATCATTTCTTAAACTGCCCTTACTGGTGAATCGGCTCTGATGTTGAATCATTGGCACTTACTTGTAGTTTAAAACATGTGAAAGGTCATTTTTTAAGGGTTTCTGGGTAAAAAGGGGTATCTAAGCAAGAGAAGGTGCTCTGTTGTGATTTTTCAGAGAGCTTTAAAAATATAAGAAGGCTGACTTTGGTAAATGTTTGATATTTGTTCATGTCTTGTTTGTTTAAGGTTTTAGCTTGAGTTTAAAGAAAAAATAGTTATGAGTGACAGAGGTTGTTGTCTAGTGAACTGTAGTCAGCATCCAATGTTAGTGAGCATCATTGATTTGGCTCCAACAAGCCAAGACTGAATGTAAATGACTTAGTATAATGCATTCATACACCTGTGTTTGACTCTTGGATTGGTATGGATCATGTTAGCCAGGTTAACCTAGTGACTCTGGAGGAATGAGCTGAAATCATAGAATCCTCTGGGTTCTTGCTTCATTAGCTAGTTAGCTATTTATTAGCTAGGCAAGTAAGTTATTTTTGGGGGGTATCCCGCCTGTCCAGGGGGAGTTTATAAAATCCTTCAAATGTCTGGGGTTTTGTATGGAAGTTTTGAGTTTGTGTAGCGTGGACTAACTGAGTTAGAAGCGTGTAAAAATCACTTGACCTCAAACTCAAAATTTTCGAGCAACTCTGCCCCCTGTAGTAGTGTCCTCTTATTTGTGATTCAGAATATGGACACCCTAAAGCTATTAATACAAAAACAAATCACTCTTGATTTGCTTTTTGGTACTACAGGTGACTTCAGAAGCTTGTACATAACAGCTTTGCAAGATGAGGAGTTGTTTGCTTTGAGTTGAACTTCAGTGTGTCTGGCTAACATTAGCTGGAGTTACACAATGCCGGTGCTAACTCAACCGTTTCACTCCTAGCTCTTCACACCACAGTTTTTTGACACGCTTTGCAATTTGAGGATGTGCCAAGGATGTAGTCGAACACAAACAAATAATTCCGAGCATGTTTGAAAAGACGTCATCTGAACACGAAGTAAACAATCGTCTGCTGAGAAAGAGATCAGGTGTTGTGGTTGCAGACAAGAAATTACACATGATGACACAGATTCTTTTTGTTTTCACAGACAGGGATGTACTGTGGTGTGCTTGAGAAGGAAATCCTCCATCCATAAAACCAACAACACACTTTACTTCCTCACAGTCAGATATCAGCTTTGGCCAAAAATATGTATTCACTCTTTCATTTATCTGTGGGATCAAGTTTGAGAATTCTATCCAAATCACAATTGCTGTATCTTTGACTTTAGTTTTTTTTTTTTTGTTTAATTTCTCTATTTTCAGGCCTTTTCGCATTTAGACAGTTTAGATAAATTGCAGAAGAAACCCTTCCCCAGTAGAAAGAGTGTGGGTGTGGATGATGCACTTTAAAGTGACTTTTCAGTGTCATTTTTGTTCGTACTCTGAATCAAAGGATACAGTAATAAAGGTACTGTGGCCAGTAACAGTGATGATGATTGTAAACTTGATGTTTGAAGTCAGTGTCTTATTTTTGAAGGAGAAGCCTCTTATGTGTAGAAGTAACAGTGTATATACAGTCTGTGGTAAAAACCCACAAACTTCTAATTTTATCACTTTTTACCAAAATTTGTGTTTGAGTATCTGTTGCATACATGCTGAGACCGCTTTCCTTTCACTCTCTCTCTCTGAACACTGTGACAAAATGTTTCTCCAGAGGCTGCTGGTCACTTCAAATGAAACAACAAAGAGTTCAGTCAGTCGGATGTCAGCTCAATGTTCAGCTTCTAATGTCAAATATCTTGTGATTTTATGATCATGTAAGACCGCATAGCAGGACTTTCATTTCTCTTTAAATAACATATTGAATTCAGGATGTTCAGACTTTTTCACTGTAGGATAGATTGTGCTGCTAATGACAATAAAATTGTCCAAAAAAGGAAAAATGAGGAGTGAAGAAACGTCACATAATGAGCTCGACCTGAGAGGACAGAGCAAATACACGTCTATCTAAAATAAGCATTTCCTGTAAAACTGATCCCCAAAAAAGTTTTTCAGCAACTTTCCAATTTGTAATAACATGTGAATCCGTGACTTTTTAAGGTGCTGGTGTTGCATTTATTTAACCTTTGCATATGGTGCCATTTCCTGTCTGGATGTTTAGCTAAGCCAGTGGTTCTCAAGTCCAGTCCTTGAGGCCCACAGTCCTGCATGTTTTGGAGGTTTCCCTGCTCCAGCACACCTGATTCAAATGATCAGCTCGTTATGAAGCCATTACAGAGCTTGATAACGAGCTGATCATTTGAATCAGGTGTGTTGGAGCAGGGAAACATCCAAAACAAGGAAAGACTCCTGACTCCTGATTCACACATCTGATCTAATTTCCTGAAAGTTTTATTTATTTATTTTTTTTTCTGGATAGCTTATTCAGTTTCAGACCAACCAATGCAGAGGTTTCTCATGCCTTAAGTGTTTCTGCAAGAAGTGTGCTTGTATCAGAATTTTCCATTTCTAAATAAAAGACAAATATTTTAAACATACTTTTTGTGTGTTTTACTGTGTATGAATGATTCATACAACACATGCACAACCTGTTTGTCTGGTGTAACAGATAACAGCTGATTAAATCAAACAGCACTTAAAGAGAGAACCAGAGTTTTTCTTTTTTTTCACTGAGTGGGAGTTTGTGGTGCGACCAAGATGATGATCCCGTTGTGTGTTTACAGAGGGTGTGTGAGTGTATGTGTGTGTCTTATCTGTAGCCTCATTTCTTTTACGTCTGTCTCTGTCAATGTTGAAATCAATGTGACCCTCTGTGTACTCTTAAAACAACACAAACGACATGTACGCTTGCGTGGGTGGGAACGCTCATCTACATGAACAAATGCAGGTGAGAAAAGTCGACACAACCTGACAGTCGAGCTGCATCCTGGACCTGAAGAGGACGAGGAGAAGGTGAAAATGGGTAAGTACATTTTCTTCACTACTATAGAGTATTTCTTTACATGAACCTCAATGTAAAATAATGTTAATATGCTTTACGCCAAATCAACAATAAAGAAATTTTAGTGTGTTAGCAGCATTACGAGCTGAACTCATTACAATCAACCGCCAGTCACCCCATAAACTGAACTGTATTAGGGTATTATCTGCTTTGAGTATCATAACAAATAGTATTTAGTAACATTATGTAACATTTCTATGCAGGACTTACAGAGGAGCTGACCTAATTAATAAACACAAAGCAATTTTATTTAAAAATCATTCAAAGTACAATTTAAGACATCTACACATCATGACAAAGAGCAGTGGAAACGCACCGAAGAGAGCATTTTAATTCACTGAAACAAGCCTTAAATAACCTCAGCAAGGAAGGAGAAAAAAAAATTAATGCATAGAAGTTAAAACAATAATTTAATATCAATAATTTAATAAAGTCCTCAGCCTTAATTTGAAGCAACTGAGCATCTCATCTGACCGGATTTAATCTTAGAGTTTGATCCAGATATATGAAACAAAAACAAAAAAAAAAACTGAATGCTGCATCATGTTTGAATCTTCTTCTGCAGACGTAAAGCCGACATGAACAAGTCTACGTGGTTTAAACTGTATGAAAGGATCACTGATTTATTTTAGCTCTGAAGTCATGGTGTGAGTTTGCAGAAATGACAGAAACTTTGACAAAAGGTAAAGATTGATGACATCTTTCCGCTGGTGTCACAAGGTTTAGGATTCAGATTGTATTTATGGGTTCAATTTAATTCAATTTGTTTAATGTAAGAAAACGGAGGGTATTATTTCCAAAAACATACTTATTTAAACATGCAGATTCCTGAGATGTTACATCTAAATGTGTCAGTTATGTCATGAATACTGAAAACTTAAAGTCACAGATCAGACACTACTGGTTCATACACAGGTACTTTCATCCTCAAATCTTTCTTGTGTTTTTTGATGGTGATAAAGTGTCTCACTCATGCCTTTGTTATATGCTGACAGGATATTGTTGAAGGTCTTCATTAGAACTGGAACAATGAGTTCAGAAGACAATCCGCTGGGAGAACTTGAGTCTCAGTCTGGAGGCTCCTCATATGACCAAAATCCTGACAGTCCAAAACAAACAAAGGTAGGTGTTCAAACTGCATGTCATCCTTTTGTATTTACTTAAGTTCGATCCTCCAAATTTAAAGCAGTCCCCTCTAGTCCCGAGGTTAATCCCACTTCACAGACATCAGTCTTTTCAGAGGTTTATCCCTCCATGTTTTAAAGGTTTATTCCGTGGGAATGTGCTGTAACATCCTGTTGTCCTAAGCCATGATAAACATGATCACCATCATGATCTCACTTTTTTCATTTGAAATCCATGCCAGCATTGTTACCAAGCTAGAATAGCTGCTTACTGAGGCTTAAGAGAGCTTCAGTGACTGCAGGAAACAGAGACGAGTGTTTCATTGTTATGTTGACTCATACTAACCTCATGCCTCTGTAGACATTTGGCTTTAAAATAGCTTCAAACTATTTACTCTGCTCTCAAAATGACTGAGGTGTTAAAGGCATGAAAATGACCTTTTTTTTTCTTTTGCAAACACATCTCTTAAAACTCTAATGCAATTCTCATCTAAGTTTTTTTTTTTTTTAATGATCTGCAGCCTTTTTTTTTTTGTTGTTAATCAAAGTTTAAGCAGCTCTGCACATGCAGAAAGCTTTAGTCTGAGACAATGAGATAAAGGTATAAGGCATAAATAATTTACGAGATAACTCACTCAGAAGTTCACGTTTCCAGTGAGGTGACAAACAAACTCAACTCAGTTTCACTAAAGGAAAACATTTCTTAATGTGTTAAACTGAGGTGTGTTACAGTCTCATTATCATTCAGGGAGATCCTGTGATACAGCCATTGAGATGGCTTATCACCAAGAGCAACAGTCCCCAGAAATGGAACTACAGGTTTCACAGACCAGGTCTGATCCAGTTGGTAGCTTCACATCATAACTATCTAAACCGAGCTCTGAATGTAATACAAGTTTTATAGCTACCTACTTGAATCTCACAAGAACTAATGCTTAAATGATGCAACCATAATGTCAGTAAAGGTGACTCATTCAATTTGGATTTATCTAATATCCACCAGGTGTTTACCTCTGTTTTGAGGTAACAGAGCAAAGAACAACAGCCACCAGCTGAAGAAATACAGATCAACTCACCACTAAAAATGCTCTCATCAGCTTGGCAGTTGACCAAAAACATGATTCATCATTTTCTTTTTTCTTTTTTTCCTCTCGTTTAAGACAACTTGAAGTACCAAGACCCAACCTTAAGGTAGACCAGCCCTTAATGTGACATATTTATCTCCTTTTCTATCCAGCCCAAATCAGGTCCCGCGTTCCTGGGCCTGACTCGCTGTGCTGCCTGCTACAACCACAAGAAAAGATGCAGGCGAGAATCAGATGGTGAATCCAGCTCATCGGCTGAAGACTCTGGACCAGAGGTGGGCTGGGAATCAGATGCAGAGTCTAGCTCCAGCAGCAGCAGCAGCAGCAGCAGCAGCTCCTCCGGTAAAGCTCCATCTGAAATACCCAGGCCTCCAGAGCCGGTGGAAACTGCTGAACCTGCATCAGGAGGAAAAGATAGTGAAGGACAAGAGCAGGCAGGAGAGACATTGGAGGGCCAGGAAGACAAAAGCATAAAAAAGCGCTTCCTTCGAAGAGCTCCACTTGTCAAATCCCACTCCCTTCCCTCCTCCTTTCCTCATCTTGTCCCCTTTTCTCTCCTGCCCCGCCCTCCCACAGTCATCTCAACCCTCCACCTGCAGGTGTTAACCAAGAACCACAAAGATGAACCTTTCTCTATCGTGGAACAACAACTGTTTGATCAAGTGAAAACAGAGAAAGATTACGGAGAAGAGCGAGGAAACAGCAACCCACCGTATCCACAGCTTTCTCTGATACACCAGAACAGGTTACGGTGGCAACAGAGGTCACTTCCATCATTACAGCAACCCCAGCTGCCACACCCGCACCAACAACCAACGCTTGAGTTCTCATATCAACAACAGCAACAACAACAACAACAACAACAACAACAACAACAACAACAACAACAACAACAACAACAACAACAACAACAACAACAACAACAACAACAACAACCTCAACACATTGATCTTCCTCTCTCAGCTCAAGGTCAAATGCTACCACCAACTCCACACACTCTTCCTGTGTTACACCCCCAACCACTCTACTTAGCCCCACAAATCCCAAATGTACCACTCATGCATGTACAGGCTCCCCCTCCACAGCCGTGCTGGCCCTGTTACAGCATGCAACCCCCATACTCACACCAGACTCAATACAGATATTAGACATACATATATATGAATATATACCAGATACCCAGATATGCCTGTTGCTTTTTACACTCTTTAAATACAGGAAATATGCATGGTAGAATAAAATGTTATACAAAAATAAGCTGAACTTTTGTGATTTCCTTTAAGCTTTGAATCATGTTTTTTTGCAGTGTGTAGAAAATCTTATTTTTCATAGACTATTTATCTGTTGCTTTTGTGCTACTATACTGACATAACAGATAGTTAAAATTCACCATTAAGACCTTGTGAAACTCTGAAACATGAATGCATGAAGGATCATGGTCAAAGAAAGGATTAGATGGGGTTAAAGGATTAAGTTGTTATTTTACAGGGAAAAAGTGGGAAGAGAGTGGAGCTGATATTACAAAAATCGTACATTAATGGGATTAAAGTTGTAAATCTCTGAGAATAAAGCATACATACATAGTATTGTCTTAAGAGGAGATAAGGCGTTATCTGTGTGTACCCAAACACAGAGCATGGAGCATCAGCTCAACTCTGAGGACAAACAATGTTTGCAGAAGCCTGTCCAGGAGAGACTCAGGTTGTTACACAATCTGTTCATAATCTCAATACTCACAACAGCGGGGTGTTAATATGCCAAAAGACGGGGTATTCAACAATCCTCATATCAGTGATCGGCAGCTGGATGCACTGATCTTCACCTTCAAAATAACATACAGGCCAACCATCCTCTCAAATGATGACTCTTCTGTCCTTATTTTACAACTTATTTTTGTCAATTTAAGGCAACAATTGTCATTAATGTAACTACATTTCTTAAAGTCATGTTTTTTTCTTCTAAAATAGGGAATGGACAGACAGACAGACAGACAGTTCACTGATTCTTAGGGAAATGGAATTTTTAGTTCAAGTTTTGTGTTATGGATTGTATTGTTAAAGTATTTATCTTTATTTTTTCTAGCTTTTTTTGTGATAATTTTTTTTATTATTTTGTGTTATTTTATTACATTTCCATTTATCCACACCCCCTGCCCCAACCCTTGTTCCAGGGGTAACATTACATTTAGGCGATTACAGGGAGGAAAAAATAAATAATAAATAAATAATTCAATAAATAAATGAACAGCAGCGTCATCAGTACAAGGTAAACATAATCATGAGATAAATGGATAAAATACAAAATAAAGGAGAGAAAAAAATCAAACTTTTTTTGAGGGTAACAACCGTTTTGCCCACTCAGGCAGAAATATTTCTTAGCATTTGCGGAAAATATGTTTGGCAGTTCACCTTTCCACTCTCAAATAGCTAGCGATTTGCTTTTACTCTGCACACTAGACATTGACATTTCAGGTGAAGAAAAAACAGCATTTAGGTGAAAGCAGGAAATGTACAACGTAGGGTAGTTACCCTACGCTTGCTTATGTTGACACCTGAAGAAAGGTCAGACCCTGTACTGTAAAAAACTGTTTAAAACTGTGTCAAACACCTTGAGCAGCGGTATGTGTCCATGAGTTATCTTAGACACTGTTATGCACCAGTCAAACTGCTGTGTAAACTCTGTAGTGCATATCAACCTACTTTGTGTCATCCTCCATGTGTGTCATGTATTCTGTGATGTTTGAATAAAAGTCTCTGTTTTCCTGAAAGTTTTCTTCAGTTTCACAGTCAGAAGAATCTGTTTGGGGTACTCATGGCCCCACAGTCAAGCCTCAAATAGAAGTATGCCTCATGCAGACAACCAAGGTTCAACTCCAGTCCCAGCTCTACCCTCAGAATAAAGACACCAAAGCACCAAGAATCAAACACATTTAAAAGTCAGCTGTAGTCTGCAACAAGTGGTAGTTTGACCATTACTGATCAAGTCCAATGGAAATATTTTATTATTTATAAACAGACAACAGGCTTCAAGAAATTTTAACATAATTCCCCACAAACGTCGACCTTAATGGCCTCTGACATGAAAATAGCAGGTGCTTGTTTGCTGTGGACAACACAGCAGTATTTCTGTCTCAGCTTCATGGAGCAGAAATGGACAGTTTCCAACTGCTTGAAAAAAAAAAGAAAATCACAAGAGGCTCTTTGTATGATGTGTGTGTGGTTTGTTCCACCTTTAGCAGCCACTAAGTCGGTCCAGATGTCCCCACAGAGACAGTGTTTCCACTACAAGTGCCAACGATCTCACGCACACACATGAACGCACACACGCACACACCCACACACCCACACTGGATGAGGTAACTGGTGGCAGAAGATATAGGTGACCAAGTTGGGGGTTAAAAATGCAAATGGACACAGGAGACAGGGGTATAAGGGGGGACAGTGTGATGACTTTTTCTTTTTCTTTGCTCTGTTAGCCTAGTTTAGATATGTGCAAAAATCCCCTGCTTTTCACCTCTTGAATACATGTTTATGCATCAAGATATGCTTAAATAGCTGCTGGGTCTACAGGTGATTTTATATACATGCCACACATAAAATATCTATTTGGATAAAATCTGTTGCATTACTTTGGTGTGCAACTTTGATTGAAACCTTGAAATACCGATTAGCAGAGAAACAGGTAAACAACTGTAAAAGCCTGACATCACAGTCTACTTAAGATAAGATATTCCTTTAATAGTACTATGGGGGGAAATTCCAAATTCACAGCAGCATAGTACAGATACAAAAAGAGAGAATTAAAGGATAAAGAAACTTAGAGTTTAAAATAAAAGATAAGTACATGAGTCTTATTTACATGTGTACAGAATATACACATAATATGGTTTATTGCACACTGAGGTTTTTGTTGTGGAGTCTAACAGCTGCAGGAAGAAATGAGCTGTGATACCTCTCCATTACACACTTCGGGTGAAGCATCCTGTCTCTTAAGGAGCTCATTAAAGATTACTATCAAAGATTTAAAGGAGATTTGATTTGATAGTAAACCATCATCTTCAACCATCAGATATATCCTGTCATGAGCAAACTGCATTTAACTGGGATTTTTTTTAATAGCTACAGCATGTTTTTCTTCTTGGTTTATAAAGCTGTGTACACATCTCAGACATACTATCAAACTGACAAAGCACACATGAGCTGTTAATATTTTTACATTTTTCTTTTAGCAGTAATCCAAGTAATGCAGTCCAGACTGTCTCCATGTCTGTGTTACTTTATGGATATAGCAATAAACAACATGTGCAACTTGTGCTACGTTGGCCTACCTCATTTACCTTTTGTTCTCCCCTTTCATACACTTGCGTGGTTTGTTTACAATTAGCACATTTTATCCTTGACTCAACTTTTTAATCCATGCTCTTGGGTTCTTGCATCATTATGTGCATCATCTCTTCTCATATGACCCGAACAGTCACCTAAATCACAGTGTAAACACTGAAAATGGTTTTAGGATTCAGTTGAAACACAGGTGAGCTCAGGAACATGGTGAACACTGACATCACCTTTTCCCTCATTTTTTCTGGGAATATGGGTTTTATCATTCAACAGAGAGTTTATATCCATTAAAAAGCACATTTTATACGCTGGTCTCTGTATGAGTGGATTCAGTATATTTACTACTCTACTTTTTGGCCAGTAAAAAGCCCAGATGTAAAGCCTTCACTGGTTGTAAAGGCTTTAAGAGCCACGACGCTGCCAGTGTTGACGAGGCTTTGAAACAGCACGTTGGGAGGTAAAATAAGGAGAAATATGAATGAGTACCAGATGAAATTTAGAGTGAAAAATACCACATATTACCAGCTTTGATCGTCAAATACCAGGGTAAGGTTCAAATGGGGCTTTAGGTTAAATTTTCAGAACCACTATAGTCAATTAGAAATAGACATCCAACTTTTCCTCCAACTACTTATTGGTATAGCCTTCAAACCCGTGGCTAACCTCTGGAAGAGTTTCAAGACATCCTTTTGGCCTTAGCAGAGGTCACTGATGTAGTCAATGTGAACTCAGGCTGTTGAACAATGGACCAACTTTTTACCCCTACAGGTTTGCTGCGGGCTCATGGGAGTTTGCTCATTTTGTTCACATGTGATTTGTGGACTTGGAAGACACCTAAATCCATTTCCCTTGGGGGTCATATGGGGGATACTGCAGGGCTACAGGGAACCAGGGCCATTTTTGTGGATCATCACTTCTCTGCGTCTGCATCCTTGGCACAAAGTGTCACACATCCTCCCAGGGTTCAGTGTCTTTGTGACTGATCCTGTTTGTAATTTTATTGGAGGAGGTCTACAGGCACAGCTAAGAGGAGGATAGCCAGATGGCGTTCAGTACCTCCAACTCTGACACCATGGATCTCTGCTTATTTGAAAGGTGGGAGTTAGTTTTGCCCCAAGCAAAGGAGCTGAAGTATCTAAAGGTCTTGACAACTGAGTATCTTTGGACACCGGATAGGGATGCTACCTGAGCACACTGAGGGGTTTATTTGTGGCTGTATTCAACAAGAGGGAGAGGCCAGGGTAGCATGAAAGCTTACAGGAGGGGTTACTTAACCTGATACCACCACAACCTAATCCCAGATCAGAAAACGGATGGACAGATGGATGTTTGGAGTTTCTTTTGCAGATAGTCCTCTAAGAATTATCATAGAAATACTGTGATAAGAAATCAGTGAAGTTACCTAGGAAACCTAGTTGCATTTTGTTGATACTTCTGATTTCCTCATTTTTTAAATTAAAAGTAGCTGTATGGCATATTTCAAGCAGTTTTAATGAGTCTGAGTACCGACTAACAATCCTTAATGTTTTGGGCTTTAACTAAAGTCCCCTGACATGTCACATAAATTAGGGTGATCATACGTCCTCTTTTACCCAGGCATGTCCTCTTTTTTGGGGGCTGTCCGGCCTTGTCCAGCTTTGTCTGGGGAAGTTTATGAAATCCTCTAAATGTCCACAGTTTTGTACGGAAGTTTTGAGTTTGTGTCACGTGGACTTGGACTTACTGAGTTAGAAACGCGTATTTGATCTAGACATTTAGACATTTGATCTAACCCGAAAAACTCCATGACTCCGCCCCCGCACAGTCATGTCCTCTTTTTGGGAAATCAGAATATGGTCACCCTAACATGAATGGAAAATATCAAGTAAGTCATCTTGTCTCTTCTGACCCCTGAACTCTTTTGTAGAAACTGAGCTCAGCACATTTTACTTAATTTGAAAAAAACTTTTAACCTGCTGTTGTCTTCAGGTCCCAATTTGTCCAGTTATTGCCCTATTTACACTGAACTGTTTCCATGTTTCCATGTTTTGATTGCCTGTGGTTAATGGGTCAATTTAAGCGAGATTATGCATGAAATAAATAGATGGTATTTTGGAGTATAATTTGGTTTCCACCCTTCTACTCTTTCAGCCTAATAGTGACTGCTAGCGTTTCAGTCACAGCTGTAAATTATTGCCGTCTTATTTAATGGGAGTCAGAGTGAACCCATGTGTTTGCACTTTTCCTGATTATTACTGTGCAGAATAACATCACAGGGAACACAAGAACAACCAGTGTGCACATTTCTGACGTCACTGCACTCCCTCAGCCTGGATCAGAGCATATGTTAAGGAAAATGCTGCAATGACTAGGCCACTATTCTTCCTTTCTCTCTGTGCAAGTCTGTCAATTAGTGATAATGGACTCCGCAGGCCGAGGGAAGACCACTCCCTCCCTCACTACTCCCTCCCTCCTTGACTAACACACACACACACACAAACACACATGCGCTCTCTCTCTCTTTCTGTCTGTCTTTCTTTCTATCTCTCAGTCAGTAATAATGGAGCCCAGCAGTCCGAAGAAGATCCAGTTTGCTGTGCCCCCGCTGCAGGGACAGTTGGACCCACAGGCCGCTGAACATGTGAGTGTGTGTATGTCCTCGTATCCGAGCATGTGTGTGTGTGTGCCACTGAGTTGGGGTGGATGGTGTGGGTTCATGCATACGAGGGCTGAATGGGGCTTCTATCTGTCATCTTGTGAGTCTTGTCAGGAATTTTCTGTGTGTGGGTGCAGATCAGCATGTGTGCATAAGTCAGTGCTATGAAAACTGCTGTGTGTGTTTCAGGGCAACAGTATGTGTATTTAATGGGTCTGTCATCTTTGAGTGGCACACATGTGACACACTTGAGTGTTTTGCAAGCTAGGTTTGAGTTCATGTATGTTTGCACACTTTAATTGGGTATTTTTATGTGTTTGTTAGAGGATGGTACATGGAAAAAAAACTATAAAACTATTTAAGACAAATAAAACAAGCGTTAACGGTTGTCCTATATTCCTTTATATACATCCTGTTACTGCCATCGTTTTATATGTTTCAGAAACTCTAATACCATGAGAAATTTTTTTATTGGAGTGGCTAGTTTGTTTTTGTTTCCTTCATATAGATGATGCTAAAAAGGTGACAATCCAATAGAGTCAAGCAGCAGAAGTTCTGTTACATTCACTCCAGTTACAGACAATCTGTGGCTGAATGAAACTAGTTTATGCCTGATCTCTAAAAGGGGAAAACAGAGTCAAACGAACAGACTGATCTGTTTTTCATACAAGTGAGTAAGCAAAGAGTTCAGAACACCACAGATGTACAGTCCATGTAAGAGTAACAGAGGCGTAATTCTCCTTCAGCTGTATCTGAGCGACTCCTACAGTAACAAGAAACAGAAACTTTAAACATCACCTCAGGGAGTGAAAACAGCCCTTCTCTGTGTAAGGCTCGCTGCTTGTTGCCTCGCTGACGTCTTTATGAACTGTTGAAGTCGATGTAAAACGGAAGTTGTTCGTTTCTAAGGAAGCCGGTAATGAACAGTGACAGATGAGGGCCCCTCTGTGCCTATTTGGGAGCCCCTATGTTGGAAACGGACAGCTTACAGAGGTCAGAGATAAATTTGAGCAGTGGTTTTATGAGATACGATCTTGTAAACTAGCCCACCCCTCTTTGACGATGACAACGGACACTTACATTCCTGTAGTGGGAACTGAGCCAAGCGTGAACTTAGTTTCCCAGCAGTTGTGAAAGAAGAAAGTGATTTTCGTAAGAAAGTGCTCATGATTGAGTTTAAATGTTTAAAATATCTACAATGTCCTGTTGCATAGAAATAAACAGTGGTCAGTTGCACAGTTTATGTTATCCATATGGCTGAGCAGTTTGTGGGAAAGCTCTGTTTTTTCATAGAGAGTAAACAACAAGAGGATGGTCATCGTTTTAAAGGCGTTTTAGATGACTAACTAATAATTGCAGTTATCCGGTGGTTAATCAAACGATCTTAATATTGTTTTTTCAAACCTGATGAGGTGTGTCGAGCTGTGTGTTTTTAAAGTGTAATTATGGGGACACTAAGTTCCAGCAGGTGTTTTGAAGAGCTTAAAGTTAGATAACTATGAAACTATGTCAGGTTAAAATGAAAAGCCAAAGATTGACCGAAATCAGAAATGAAATAGAAATGAGGATTTTAAAACAGAAGAAGAAAAAAATCACGATCTACAAGGTGACAAAGAGATTCAATAGTTAAAATGCTTAAACAGACTAATTTATTCATTAAAGGAAAAAAAAAAAGTCATGCAGGAGAAAAATACACAAATGCCTAGACAAAACCCAAAGAAATTCAAAGGGTTAACTATTTAAACTTACTATTTTGTGTTTGTGTGTTTACAGATCCGTCGAAGACGACCAACTCCTGCTACCCTGCAGATCTACAGACAACCTGGCACAGGTGAGAAAGAAGGAGAGAGAGAGAGAAAAAGAAAGATGGGGGGTGGGGGGTGGGGTGAAAAGCAGCAGCAATAATGGAACCTTTATTAGATTTGTGCTGCAGCTTTTGGTAAGTGATCTCACAGTGCAGACTGGACTGATGGATGCTGGGAGTGTGTGTTTGTGTGTGTGTGAGAGAGAGAGTGTGTGAGCATATGGGAGGGCTCCAAGCGCTTATAAATCCCTGTGCAGGAACTGGCTGATTGAATAATCGGCCTGATTCCATTTTTTTCTCGGTGCAGTTGCACAAAGCTCTGCAGGCGCCTGAAGGATTCTCAAGCAAACCATTTTTCCTCAAAGAACAGGATTGTTGGTTTTCAAACACAGCAGGAGGACTGGAAATACAAACAGAACAGGCCAAGACAAGACACAAGTTTGGTATCTTAGAAAGAAATCAAAGTCTTCATGGGATTGTCATTCCTAATTTTGATCAGTCAGTCTGAGTGGGAGCAGCTGGCAGCTGTGAAAACAAAAACTGCATGTACACCCCTGACCTGAAACAAAGATATTCACAGAGCAGATGTTATGTCTGAGCTCAATAAATGCTTGTGATTTGTGTAAGTTCCCCACTTGGGTGTCTCTGAGTATGGATGAAGTCAACACTGACTCCTGTCAGTGACCTCTGGGAATAAAGTCTTGTCATTTTTGAAGCTAATCTTCTTTGTTAAATATCCCAGGAATAAAATCTGCTTCTGGCTCAGAAGTGTTGTTTTAAAAATGAATTAAAGCTAAAGAACACTGCGGATCAAAACTGTATTTCCGAGCTTAGAGAAGAAGTGCTTGTTGACTCAATAAATAAAGTTTTCTTAACACTCTGTAATAGATTACCTTTATAACATTCTGACAAGCAACTTGAAAATACTTATGGAGATAAAAGAGTTGGAGTTAAAGGGATATTCCGGTGTAAAATTAAGTTAGGGTCAAACAAACCGTAACACAGAGTCAGACACCCCCTTGAGAGATGAATGTTCCTGACTGCTTGCTTCTCTAGTTATACCAGCTTTGCTAACAACCACACGATAATAATACACAGTGGTCTACGTCTCCACGCACAAACCTCAACCAAAAAGCCACTCTATAGCCACAAACAATGCTTAGAAAAGCCCTTAACTTCATCAACAGTACATATAGGGTCCCAGCTATAGAGACCAAACCCAACTCACCCACTCTCCTCCAGCAGCCGCTTGTTTGTGGGGGAGACCTGACGAGTTGATCACCGAGTGCAGCGGAGTTTCGCAGTTCAAGGAAGAACATTTATGAAATGCAATCAGACTGAGATGCTAAAGCAGAGGAACTACCATGTCTGCAGTGCAAAATGATTATTATGATTATTATTACTCCATAGAAATGATGTAATAATGATCGGTGACTGACTCATCAAGGCTCCCCCCACAAACAAGCGGCTGCTGGAAGAGTGGGTGAATTGTGTTGTTGAAGTTGGTACAACATTGGCAACATTCATCTCTCAAGGGGGTGTCTAGCTCAGCGTTATGGTGTGTTTGACCCTAAATGAATTTTATGCCGGAATATCCCTTTAAGATAGACAGTGTGAAGAGATGATATCTGAGACTTAGTGGTTAGGGCTAGGTAGCTAATTTCTGGATCAAAACACACTGTTAGCGAAGTGAGTTTTCCATAATTCATCAGTTTTAAAAATATTTTAGTCATTTGTTTTGCATTACTGGGGAGAATGCTGACTTGACTGACAGGTGGGCATATTATAGCTGTAAATAAAGAGGCTATAAACTCTCTTGCTAGTTGAGTCAGCATTTCCAATGTTGCAACCGTCATCAATAGGCTTCAATACTAAGTTCAAGAAAACGATAGCTGATTTCATGGGCTATGTATTTACATACAGTATCTGAACTAAAAAGGAGCAGAGTTACCACTTGGTCAATTGCCCATTTCAAAAGAGGACTATAATAGCTTGCAGGTGTTAAAAAGGTAACAACTCATTGGTGAATACCATGGTTTTTGAATCCTGCACTGGGTACTCCCTAACTTTATTCATAATTCATAAAGTGCAAAAAAGAAGGAAGCTGCCCTTTGTGGTTTGAAACAGTAGACTGATCAATGGACAGTGTTAGATCCCACAGCTCAAGCTGTTTCCTAGTTATTTTTTTTAGCTAATCATGTTTTATGTGAACGTTATTAAATTAGAATTAATTTTAAATAAGTAGAATTAATTTACAATTTCCATATTACGGTTTAAATACTAAAGCGCCATAGCAGGAGGGTGAGATTAACCGTTTCCTGTGCAATAGTCAGTATGAGACAACAGGCTTATGTATCTGTATTTTCTTCAATAGCTATCAAGAGGATGTATTTAATGATAAGTTTGGTCAATGTTGGCATAACCAGGCTTACAGTTTGTACATGCAGTTATTTGGCACTGGAAAGGCTGATGTTATCAGTGATACACCTCAGTTTCACACCTTTTGAACCGGCACAGTTAGGATGTTGCCAAAAATGTAGATACTGAACATTTAAGTAGGAAGTTAGCTGTAAATGTGTACACCCAGACTCCAGTGAGACAGGTCACCATCCTTCCCAATCAATGGAGGTAAATAAATTATGACTTTTTTTAGTGTCAAAGTGTCTGTGACTGAGCAGCAATCAAATTGTCACCACAGCATAATTTGGAAAGCAGTTGAGGAGTGAAGAAACTTACGACGAGTATTAGGGCCACATTGAGAAAAAAAAAAAAAAAGACTTTGAGATTAAAATCATTACTTCTGAGAACAAAGTCATAATAAATTCATAATGAGACTAAAATCATAATAAAATAATTTCGTATGAGAATAAAATTGTAATAAAGTAATTACTTAGGAGAATAAAGTCATGATACAGTCCTTATATTCTAATCTGTTGAGTAAGATGACAGTTGTTGAAGTGAGAGCCATGGAGCATTTCCTGAAAATGTACTTCAGTATAGATTTCTCAAACAAGGAGATGCTTAATCTTTTGGCACATAAGCATCACATTATCATAAGTAATGACCTTTTTCTCGTTTGTAATTACTCCATTCTTGTAAATTAACGACTTTGATCTTTAATTTTTTTTTTTTCTTTTCTTAATGTGGCCTAATACTCCATCGTAGAAACTTGACTTTGAGTGGCAAGAGAGTAAAAGAACATCTGTTGACTGATGTGGAAAAAGTGATGTAGGAAATTGATTGCAGATGAATCGTTAAAAACAAGTCCCAATACTGCTGTCTCTTCCCTTTTGTAGATGTCGGTGATCAACACAACGCCAGTGGGGAGTCACAGGTTTGTTCTGATTTTCTTTTTATGTAAAAACAATAAATTAGGTTTTGAGAAAGAGTTTTTAAATCTAAGGTTCTTATAGACACACAACTTCACGGCTTAGTATTGAGTTTCCTGTGATGTATCCAGAATTAACAGCACAATAACAATTTAAACATCGGGATGTTATCTCTTCCCGCAAGTTTACTTACTTTAATTGTATTTGTTTTGTTTATTGGAATAGGGAAACACAATCTCATAGATAGTGGGTTGTAAATAAGTGTAATAAACTCAGAAGATAACAGTGATAAGATGAGAAATGCCTCATAGCAGCAGGTCAGGAGAAAGTTCATGAGATGTGGGCAGATAGTAAAGTCTGTCCAGCCTGTGTTGGATGTTTTACTCAGATCATCAGAACTTCCATTTAATATTTTGAACTCTTTCAGTATTTTTCAGAACCTTCCTCATACCAAATGTCTTACTGTAATGGTTGTGACTGTATGAAATCAGGTTAATGTTTCTCCTCTTCAGGCTTCTGAGGCCTCTCAGAGGAAGCAGAGCACCTACGCTCCACCCTCGATGAAAGGTAAACAAAGGCCTCAAGGTGTGCACAATGTACAGCTGGAGCTTATGAAATCTGTTTAGCAGAAGCAAAGCAGAAAAATCTGTTTCCCCTCTGAGAAGAGGATTATGTTCGATGATGTACTTGGTGCATCCCAGGTCGATCTCTGCAGTCGAACCCTATTAAGATGTGCCCCATTTAAAGGCAAGTGGAAGAATAGAGAGGTGTGCAGGAAATAATGCCATACACAAACAAAAAAAGATGCTACTGAAAGCACTAAAGCACAAACTGAAACACATGGGAGGACTGGGAGAAAGCAGAGGAACCAGTTGTGTAAACATCTGTTAAAAGGCCTCTAAAGAAATGCTTTAGGAATGAAGGTTTGCATTGTTCATGTCATTTCTAACACACGGCATGACCTCCATGCAAATCATTTCTACATTTCTGATGAGTAGTAATCGGCCTCAGTCCCTCAGATATCAAATGTCATCACAGTCTATGTCAGGCATGTCCCCATTAACACGCAGCACATTTCAAGTTGAACTAACACTCACTCTCTGACCCTTATTCTGAACTGTGTCCTTATTAAAGTCTGTGATCGTGACGCTTTTGTTGCAGCTGCTCTCCTCTTGTGTCTTCAGTGTCATGATCTCTATACTGTATGTTTGTTTTTTATGGACCTTCTGTTTGTTTTACTTTATTACACACTGTTTGTCTTATCTATAGACATTTCCTGTTTTACTCCCAGCTCTGTTTTTTTTTTTTCCCCCAATATTTGTTCAGCTCAGATCAGAAGGTTCAGCTGACAGGGGGACGGGGAAATGTGGTGATTTGGGGAAAGGTAGTGGTTTCTGATTGGCCCTGAGTTAGCTCATTATCTTGTTGTATTAGTATACCATAAAATTAAGTCTTGGTAGTTCCCAGTGGAAATAAAATACAAGAGTTAGCAATATCTCATTTTTTATTTGTTTATCTTAAAGAAAATACTCAATAACTAAGGTTCCTTTCTGAACGATGGCAGTGGGATTAAATGTGTGCAGTTTGGGTCAAAGCCCTTGCCAGTAAAATCACCAATAAAACACATTGGTTTTAACTCAAGCTGAAATACTAATGTATTCAGCTTTTATTCTTTTTTGGCTTTCAGCATGATTAGTCAATTAAAAGTTGTTCATTTAAAGGAGCCAATCATTGTTGTTTTATTGAAAGTAGTAGTAAAAGTGTTGTTTACTTGTAGGTGACATAAGACTGGTTTACATAAGTTGTGTACTCTACGGTCTCTGTATCAGTAAATACTACACAGGTACTACAGGACAAAAAGCTTTCCCTGCCTGACTGCTTTTATCTCTAAAAGAGTTGTTGTTATTTCGTTATCATCGTTTCACTGAATAATTCATAAAACCCTTACAGAGCCAGAGGAAACTACTGCGGCCTTTCTGTTGAGCTCCACAGTTCACAAAGGCTGACCGAGCAATACATTTATATTATTTTCAGCATACATATTGTATGTCTTCGAATACATATGCTAAACAGATGTCTATTTAAAAGGTTCTGCAATACAGAGGTGGGTACATGTATCAAAGAGGAGAAAGTAATATAAAAATATACATATATACATCACAAGCATGGGTGCAGAGCTGATGCACTGAGCTGGTTCCGGGAAGTGGAGACAGTAAAAGCTTTTCTTTTATTGATCCAGTCTAAGAGAGAGAGAGAGAGAGAGAGAGAGAGAGAGAGAGAGAGAGAGAGAGAGAGAGAGAGAGATGGAGAGAGAGAGTTGATGTGTTGGCCAGGCCAGTTAGCTAAAAGCCTCATGAGTAACTGCCTGAGCACTCAACCCATGTATTTATGAATATGAGGAGCAGTCAAAACTACATTTCAATAAGAATCTTAATATTCAATAAGAATTTCAATAGGGCTGATTTTACCGTATATTAGGTACCTGCCCTACAAGTATTGTATTTTTTGGACTATAAGGCACACTTAAAATCCTTAAATTTTCTCAAACATTGACAGAGCGCCTTATGATCCAGTGTGCCTTATGTATGATTACTTGTTGTGCTTACTGACCAATTCTATGTGGTACAATGTGCTCAAAAATCTGTCAAAATGTGTAACTACCACTTTGGTAAGCAATGAAGCCGCTCCGCTTAAGGGATATTCAGAGCATTGCGGTACCCTTTGTCACAACCTGATCAGCCCGTAACAGGACCCCTGAGCAGTCTACAAGACTGCCTAACTGTAATGTCTAAACTGGAAGTGCATTCATGTAAGGCAACCCGGGCCCAGAGTACATGCTAGCAACAATAAACCAATCAATGCTTAATACGCCGGTGCGTGTGGTTGTGTGAAAAAAGACACGTTAATTCACAGTGCGCTGTATAATCCAGTGCGCCTTATCACCTGAAAATACAGTATCTAAGATGTCAGAAAAATCAACTCTATCATCTTTTTGTCTCTGTATAATTTATTATTATTACAATTATTTTGCAGTTTAAGTTTTTTAAAATCTTAAGTTATATTCACTGTATTTAAAAATCCTTTTTTTTTTTTTGTTTTGTTTTTTTTTTTTGTTATCCTGGCTTTTTCTACGCCATTTTAACATCACTGTAGTTTGAGCTTATGTCCACCAGAGGCGCTCTTCTCTCCCCAGAGCTTCAACTGGGGGTGGAGCAGCAGCTTCTAGGGGCGGGGCTTTGTGAGGCAGACGACCAGTTGAGCCCTATCACAGCACAGCTATATGCCAGCGCTTTGTGGGCCAATCACAATGGGGAAGAAGAAGCCAATGGGAATGACGCGGGTCTGCTGTTAGCCAATCAGGAGAGGGGCGTGGCAGAGAGCAACAGCAGTGGGGGTAAAACTGTTTTTAGACAGAAATATTTATACACTGCAGCAGTACGCTCCTCATGAAGCCGGGTTTCGATTGATAAATTGTAGTATTACGTACTATCAATAAAACTTTAAAAAAAAATAGCTTCATTAACGGAAGAAGTGTTGCATTCAATTTGATCTTGGGTGTCAGAAATTCAGACGCATATCCCAGTAATTTGGGATTCCTACTCTGCAAACACAGATGATTGCCCACTACATCAACTGTAAAACAGCTGTACCTATAACAGTTTGTTAGCAACTTGGTTTAGTTTTGCATCAGGAGAGGCAATCAACTATTTGAATAAATGATAATAAAGCTTTTAGGAAGGTTGCCACAAACTCTATAGATATCTGCTGTTTGCGTGCTTGGCTAAAATTAAGGCATCAGTCTTTAGAGGCCACAATAATAATACACGGCCTAATGTGGTTATAAGAGAGCTAAACGCTGTTTAGAGTCGCAGTGGGGAATTTTCATCCAGACCTAAGTTATAAACAAACATTAAAAGTGCCTCAATTCATTGCAGATACTTCTGTAAGTGTATGTTCTCAAAGTCTCACAGAAGCATTTCACTCAGGTTACTTTCTACTTCAGAGTTAAAGCATGGTGGAACATCAACAATGACTGAGTGTTCAATCTTCAATCACTGTTTATTCAGTACAGTCGAGTTTAAAGGGATATTCCAGCGTAGAGTTAATTTAGGGTCAAACACACCATAACACTGAGTTAGACACAAAAGGGTGATTTTTGCAGACTACTTGCTTCTCTAGTTATACCAACTTCAGCAACGGACACAGGATAGCAAAACACAGCGGTCTGAGGAGCCACACACAAACCTCAACCAAAAAGCCTCTATAGCCACAAATAATACTCAGAACAGCACCTAACTTCATCAACAGTACATATAGGGTCCCAGCCATGGTACTAGCCACCAAATATCTTTTTAGCTTTGCCCAGTTTCTTTAGCAAAGAGACTAAACACAACTCACCCTCTCTCCTCCAGCAGCCGCTTGTTTGTAGCAAGACCTCGACCAGTCCATCATTGACTGAAGCGGGGGGGGGGGGGGGGCAGCTCAAGGAAGAACATTTATGATAATTACTAGTAAGTAATGAAGTAATAATCACCAGATTAATCATTTTGCACTGCAGATGGGGTAGCCTTTCCATTAAAAGAGAGATCATTTCCAAGAAATGGTGGAAAGATGTTACTATGGCTGGGACCCTATATGTACTGTCGATGAAGTTAGGTGCTGTTCTGAGTATTATTTGTGGCTATAGAGGCTTTTTGGTTGAGGTTTGTGTGTGGCTCCTCAGACCGCTGTGTTTTGATATCACATCAAATCACATCCTTGGGTGCAATGCCAATTGAAAAATCTAATTCAACAAATCTCTCTAACAGTGTACGCTTGGTCACTGTTAAAGTTCCACTTTGCCTCGTCTCAAAAATTGGGACATTTCTTGAGAAACCTGATTTTATTCCTTCATGTCCCCAAAGGGACTGTAACAACTTGGCTATAACTTTTTCTGCTTAAACCATAATCTTACTTTTTACTCGATTTAGTATAGCCCTTGGTCTTAAACTAGTTAAACCCTGACACTTCACCACATTTTCTACATGATGGACCGTGTTGCATGAAGACTTGTTGCCTGCACAAAAACATGGTCGGAGCAAATCGTAAATGCAGTGATACTGGTTTAATAGTTCTGCTCACCTCACACAGTAGTTTTTTTCAATAGTTCACACAAATTAGAAATTTTACACACTTTTGCTTACATAACGACATCAGACACACTCTGTCTTTACCAATATTTACTGTCTAACTTTACACATTAACAACCAGAAACAGCACTAACAACCCTGTCTTTCCCTCTCTTTCTTTGCACGACCTCTTCACTACCCATCCCCCATCTCTCTACCTTTTTCTCAGATGTGTCATGCGACAACAGCAAGGAAGCGTCAAGTCCAGACTCTGTCTCACGATAGCCACCTTTACTCACTGTCATCTCTTTGTCTTTCAATAACTACATTTCCTCTTAGTCGGCATAGTTCATACGACCCTATTAACATCACTGCTTTCCTCCTGTGCTCCACAGAAATACTCTATGCTTTGATTTGTCTCTTCCTCTTCCATGTGCTTTAACAACCACACACACACACACACACACACACACACACACACATAGGGGTTTAAGTTAAAAGTGGTGAATCTGTTACATATAAATCACCGTGATGAAGTTTTGCTTGTGAATAAAGATGTACTATATTCAAAGATTTCTGAAGCACATGAGTTTTTATCAGTGGGAACCATCGCTTTCGCAAAATATACAATGCATTTCATGCTGTGTCATACATCTTTGTGACCCTGTTGTTTGGAGATCATCATTCCCTGTCTCTGCGTGAACAGCTGACATGTCTATTTGTGTTTGTGAGTGAGTGTGTGTGTGTGTGTGCCTCAGTGTTTTACCATATGAGCCTGTAGAGCCTTAACATCCACAGATGTGCTGTAAGAGGATGTTCTTGACCTACCTTTTTACATGTATTTTAACAGAGAAGAAATGTCTGATATTTGGACCATTATTGTAAATTTTTATCAGACATTTTCCCCAGTGGACACATTGACATTGATATCTTTGCATATGAATGTGGCCAAAAGCCAGAAGATACCAGCTAACAATAACTATAACTGCAACATGTCGAAGTTGGTCTACTAACCATACGAAAACTAGTAGTATCAGAACATCAAAAACATTCACACGAATGATGCTTTTTTACATTTTACTGTGCATACTGATGGAGTGTGATGAATGTGTGCCATCTGTACACTTGTAAGATCTGAGGGGTAAAGGTAGGTGCCATTTATTGACTATACGGGTGGTTCAGTTTAAACATTTTATCAATCCGTGTTTTTAGTAGTGTTTAATTTGAGTTTCATTTTTGTTTTAGGTAAGCTGAAAAACCCTGTACCTGAAGAAGATGAGGAAGAACCCAGCACTCAGGATGGCTGAGCCAGAGAAGTGGTTTCAGTACAGAAGAGGCAACGGTCTTTGATAATCTGGACAAAGCAACAGACTCTGGCCTTTATCTCAGGCACAGCATCAATATGACAAGACATTGATTCAGTTTAAGACTTATATGAAGAGAGAGGTGTTACGTTAAAGTAGGAGGAGTAACAGACTAGCTGTCCCTGAAGTTAACAAACCAGGTGCCAAAAACTGACAGACCTCTCCTGGTGCATTTAACTCAACATGACTCCTTAAAATAGAACATCGATATTATCAAACCTCAACTTTAATGGCCACTTAATGAGGAACGTTTTCTCCTTAGCCAGAGTAGCTTTCTGAAAACAATCTTTTGACAACCTCAAACAAACTTACAGTCTACTGCTCTGTAAACAAAGTGACCAATAGTCACTATCAGTGTAATTTATATTTTATTTCAACTTCCCAATTCAAAATAAATTCATATAACAGAGCCTAGAGTTCCTTTTTATCTTTGGGCTAACTGCGAGCTACTGAAGTTGAGCAAAGTTAGCGCCACAGATGAAGGCTCTAATACATCAGCAAGTGAGTTAGCGACAATAAACCAACCCTCATCTAGGTTTCTGAAATTTACCGATTTAAAGTTGTTGGGTTTTTGTTGTTTGTTTTTTTAGCAACATTATTGCTACAAAGTTTTCTTTCCTCAGAGCTGTAACATTTTAACTGACTAACCTCTTCATATCTCCTCCACCATGGTTTTACTGCATTCCTTTTTCATTTTGATTTTAGGTTTCTTTTAACTTTGGTCTAATTTTAAACTGACATAAGTGTTGTCAAAGTGATGCTCTGTAGCAGTGAGTAAAACACTAGAATTAAAAGATTTAGCACTAAGAGAAAAAAATCCTTCAAGCAAATTTCTCCCCCCTTTTTTTGCAGAGGTCCATCATTAGTTCTTCTTTCACTCTCCACACTGACATTGAAGAGAAATTAACTATTTACTTTTATAAGTGCTGTTGCCATCAGTTGACAATTTGCAAGAGAAAATGAATTTCTCATTTACTTTAAAGTCAAACTGTATTTTTATTGTGTTTGATCCATAAAATAAAAATGTAATAATAATAAAAAATAATAAAAAATAATTATAGACGTGGGAAAAGCAATCAGTACACAGCATGCTAACGAACGCAATGTTGATCTGTTTCAACAAAATCCAGGAACACTCACTTTCGACCATTAACAATATCAATGTGAGTTAGTTTGGTTTTCCTCCTTCCTAATGCTATGATGTAAGTTTGGTTCTGGTTGCCCCCTAGTGGCCACTGTAGGTAATCACAAAACTGCTTAGAAGTAAAGGTGACAGTTCATTACACTGGTAGTGATGGTGTTGATCTTTCATAGCCTGGTGTTCTGGTTATTTCTCTCAGTAATTGTTGGAAAAATGTTAGGGTTAGGGAAAGAGTCATTTTGTGTCAAACCTGGGAAATGATTTATAGTTTATCATGATAAATCTTGTCATGCTTGACCAAAAATTGTTGTAAAACTTTCAATCAAGTAAAAATAATGACTTTTTCCTCAATAAATTGTATTTTAGGGAACTGTGTATTTTCCATTTGGATCTAAAGTACTGTCGGGTTGCAATAAAATTGAAAATATTCATGTGTAAATTTCATGTTCAGGTAATTAACTCATTTGTGTAAGTATTTAATAAGCCGAGTGTTAATGGATTGATGGCAGACTAAGAAGACCTGTAATTTATTGAGGATTATTTCAATCATATATGTTTGCCTTGGATAAGTTCAGCTGTCTTTTTTAATCTGTATAAGGTGACACTTCAAAGCAGCGTCTTGACAGTCTCTGTGTCGTTCTCGGTTTAATCAGGAGAAGACTGCAGTCATCTCATGGCTTCAATAAAAGTGTTGGGTTCAAATAAGGTGCTCTCACTTAACGTTTTCACCTAACCTGACCTCAGCCATACTCACGAAGCAGTGTCACACACTCACAGCTCAGGTCTGACAGCCCTAAAATTTATTTTATTCATGTCATTTAAGTTACACGGTGGAATCAGAGACACAAAAAAAGAGGTTAGAAAGAAAACAGCAATCATTCCACATCAAATGGCAGAATGAGTCCATGGATCTGTCCTCACATACTTACAATGCATACTATCGACTTAAAAACACAAGTAGTATATTTGTTTACTGTAGTGTGCAGACTACTCCAGTTTATAGTGTTTTCCTGCTACATACTATGAACTTCTCTTCACCTTGCCGCTGCTTCTTCTAAAGCCTAGAGTAAAATAGTATGCAGTATGAGCGCTCAGACGGATCCCTGGTGTTAGTCATACATCAGCAGAGGGCTGGCATAGAGGGAGCATGGTTTGTGTCTCAATATGTAGCCCTTTGCCATGCCTCAATGGAGTGAAAAAGAAATCAGACTGCACTTTGTAAAAGTTTTTTATAAGTCTGTCTGTTAAAAAAATCCTAATCGACTGCTCTAATGTAAAGGTCACTGAAGGGACGTCTCATCGACTGCAGTTTATAAATGCAGTGAAAACACCACCCAGTGTGTATATGTATATATACATTTATTTCTTGTCTTATTGCAGCTCCAGGTTTTTCCTCACAGGTCTGGCCAATTGGGATTTAAAGGGGGTTCTGGGTGACTTGGTTTAAATCATATACTGAATATTAGTCATGGTCCATATTAAGGGGTAAGGCCATGTGTCTGTTGGAGTGTGACAGCTGCTGTAAGAGGTACCTTTGAGAAAGGCACTTTCACTCCAGCTGTTTCAAAAGGGCCCGCTACCAGCCCACACTACAAGCCAGCGACTGTCAAAATTGGACAGAGAGCATCCTCTTCTCGGAGACCAGAGGGTGCCAGGAAGTATTTTGTAGGTGATTATCTAAGTTCAATATTCCACTGGCTTGTTCCATTTTTTTTTTTTTTTACAACTTGAGAAAAAGAGCAAAACCTAATGGACGTCAAGAGAAAACAGCCGTTTGGGATATATGTAGATGTGCTGAAGGTTTTTTTTTTTTTGATAGTGTTACTTCAATATACATTTTTCTGTTCACTGTAAAAGTTTGTGTCACCCCCTTTTGTTTAGCTGAGCTGCCGCAGGGTCAGGCGGATTGTTTCCATAAAGTCCATTGTTAAACTCAACACCTAAAAATGGCATTTCACCCATTAATACTCAAACACTCCACCACTTTCAAGCCCTGATACAACTTTTTTAGTGTTAACACATTTGGCAAATCGTCATCATCATCATTGTCATCATCATCATCATCATCATAAAAATAACAAAACATAAACATTAAAAACAGACAAGTTCAGTTCACATCAAAGTAGAATACAGATATTATATCTTTACCCACAAAAATCTCATGTTACAACTAGCTTGAAAAAGAAAGAAAATATCACCATGTTATACAAATGCTTGTGTTTATCATGAAATGTGGAAAGATTAGTGTGTGAATGTAGCTTTATATCTGCTCAGGATGTCTGTCAATGTGTATCTGAGTGTAAACTTACATTAACAAGCAACATATCTTTCGTTATCAACACCAGGAATCCTCACCCACCCTCTTCGGATAAAAGCAAAAACAAAAAAATAATAATAACCCACATCACATCATTTGCATTCCCAAAGTAAGCATCCAAATCCATCACCACATAAGAGTTGTCAGCTGGCCACTAAAATCTCAAATCTTTATCGAAAAAATGGAACAAATAAAGAAAATATTTTAGTGTCAACTATATATATACTATATATTTATATTTTTGTTCTTTTATACCAACCAAACATATGGTATATTATGTGTTGCTATGGTTATGGTCCCTGGCAACATCATGAAAAAGTACACAGATTAAAATAAAGATACTGATCCCCCAACTTCTTCCAGCTAGTGTTTGTGTTTCCTGTCAGATTTGTTGTCGACTTTGTGCATTAAATTGTTGTTCTGTATGTTCTTTTGGCATTTAGTGTATTTGTTGTGGTCTTCTTTTCAATACCACTCATTTAGTGTGTCAACATTTTTATGTACACATCACACACTGATTAGATCAGAACGTTTAAGTTGAGGCATTTTGGGCAAAGTTTAGTGTGTTCAGTTGAAGTTAGAATGAGTTACTAGTGTGTCTTTGTTGCTGTGTACATGTCTACACACCCTGATAGTAAACAGTATGATGGACCTTTGTTGTGTAGTGTGTGTGTGTGTGTCTATGCATTAGCACTGATGCTCTGTTTGTAGACGGCGTGGTAGGCGTTTCTCAGCAGGACGTAAGGGAAGCAGGACTCCAGCAGGTCCATGGTCAAGAAGGGAGACTCCTGCACAATCTGGAAACACAAATGACAACATCAGCTCAACAAAGACCAACACTTACATTGATTGGTCATTTGGCCAGCAGAGGTCTGAAGTCAACACGTGAATAACACGGGTCTTAATTATTGTAAACATGAATGCAATCGTCATTCCCCCTATCATATTATTGTTGATTTTTAACTGCCAACAGCAATAACTTGAAGAGCTGTACATGCGCCTGGTCCGAGTTCATCTTATGAATTTGATCATTAGACAACAACTTTATCATGGTCGACAGGAAAGGAGAAGAAAGTATACAATCCTGCGAGTCATTCCAACACCGACTCTGGAGAGAAAGTCTGTGTTGTAAAACTCTTTAAATAATAAAATGTCAATAGTGGAGTAAAACTTTATCTACAATATTGTAAAATCTCTCGTTTGTGGACAATCTCCACTACTCATAATAACAAACACACCAGACTGTAGTTCAGTTTTCTCCGGACCGAGACCACCTCTTCGGGTCGAATCAAGGTCCAGCTATTTTGTCCGGACCAAGGTCCTGGGGAGGTTTCTTACGTATTTTTTTGGTGCGCACTTAACGACATAGCTGTGAAAGCCCACTAAGATATATTCTATCAGATGATGATGTAATTGTCTCACTGTTTGAAGCCGTTGGGTTTTATACCAACTGTCTGCTTTCCTGGACGCAGATATGTGTGGTAATATTGAGAGGAGCAATATGTTGCAGTTTCTTTTATTGTAAAAAAAAAAAAAAAAAAAAGAAAAAAAAAGGAAAAGAAAAAAGCTGAGTCAAGGTAGGGTGGGGCATCAGTTATGAATCTTCTATCCTCGACATCTCGATAAAAAAAGCCTGAATTATTCAGTAGTTTTGCCGGGTTTGGTCAAATCAAGTGAAGTATTGGTTTAAAAGCAGTCAAACCGACAGTCTCTCTCACCATGTCAAGCAGGAGGTAAACAGATTCCCTGTTACGCGTTGTCATCTTGTCCGTCTCTTGTCCGATCTTCAGCAGGCTAGAGGAGGCGAGCTACACATACAAAGAGAAACAAGTTTGAGAGACGGTCTTTCTACAAGAGGTAACACTTTGTCATATGCGTTATCGTCTTTACATACAAGTGCTAACTCAAATTCTTGAGTGTCGACAACCTAAAACAATCAGTGTTTGTTTCTATGAAGAACTGAATAAATGTAGACCTGATATTTTATTACAGCACATGAAGACTGTATACTCTGATGTTGGGGATAAATGACAGTCTGAGGTGGATGTCATGTTCCCCTTCTGAAAATCCAAAACATTTTTATAAGGAATCATGAACAGACAAAGGTGAGATTCATTGATTTGTGTTGCAGGGGTTCAAGAAAAGAAAGGGTGTTAATGGCAAAAAGCTAAACTCTTGAAATGTTCTTACAGCCAGGAATTCTTTGAGGCGGTCCTCTATGCTCCCCTTGTGGATGGTGAACAGAGCTGCAGCAATCTGGTTGATTGCTTTGGCCAGGCAGTGGATGTTGTTGCAGTGGCCTGTAGGGGGCAGCAAACACACACAGTTAGAAAGGAACCCTAAAGCCGTCATCTATACTTGAATATCAAGTAACTATGGTTTAATTTCTGACAATTGTGGCTGTTTTTATGTATTACATTTCTCTGTATTTTTATGCTGTCATTATGCGAGAATGTGCAATGCATAAAAAGTATGGAACTATAAAGTGTTTGTGTAATTGGAATTTCATAAGACGGTTGGTGTGCATTCGCTGGCGCCATGTATTAAGATGTGCTGCCGGAAAACCAATTGCTCACCATTATGCAGTCTGCATACTAACAATGGTGGAGCCCATTACAACTCATTATCCTTTTCAAATGTCCCCTATTAACAATGGCGCCTCTCATTTCAAGGTTGTTAGAAGGCAAGGTCTTGATAATTCCTCTCTGAGTGACAGACCTCTTTGATACCTTATCAAAAGTCCTAATCAACCAGAATGGGGTGTCTCTCTTGTGCTTAATGTTACATGTAGTTTGCTAACTGAATCCTTAAATAACAAAACAAGGCAACAGAGAAGGTTTAACAGGTGACAGTTTTGAAACAAATATTCAAAATGTAGGTAATGACAGTGACGATGAGGCTCACAAATTAATCAATCAGAGGACATAAGGTCATTCTCATTTGCATGCAAAACCTTCTAATGCCACTAATGTAATAAATTATGTGATCTATGATGTGTAATGCTTTCTGCAGCACTGCTCCCTGACTCTGAACCTGTGCTTTGCCTGGATATAAAAGTCAACAGGGGATGACAGGGGAAAAAATATATAATCACATGGAGACCACAAAATCAGAACCACAATTCTTGTCCTCATGGTTTCCAGGAAAAGTAGACAACTGGTTTGTTCAAAGTAATCCGTTTAAAACAAGTCTGACTTAGGTTTTGACAAACAACACCGATGCGCAGTTTACCTTCTATGGCAGGGCTGTACTGTGACATCACGTTGCTTGCCAGAGTTGGCAGGGAAACGGCCACAAACACCATCAGTAGACAGGCGATCTTATACTCCTCCTCTGGACTGATGTTCTCTGCAAACACACAAGCTCTCATCAGACTCGTGACACTGTTTTATCTTAGCTTTAAACAGTCTGGCACTTTGATGGGATACAAAGGAAACCTCCATCTATGGGGGTCAAAATAAAGACTTTGGAGGCCAGGGGACAATAGACAGTATTTTATTACTGGCTATTCCATTTGCAGCTCTCACAGTCTCCAATTAAGGTTGAAAAGTAAATGTTGTAAATGCTATTGGTACAGATAAACTGTGGCTTCAGATAATGCTGATTGACAGTAAAGGTCCTTACACGCCGGGGTTGACGCGAATATAGAACGCGAAATTACGAAATATTCTGAGGCGAATTTTGACGCACCTGACTATACACAACAAGCCCGATGTGATTTTGCGACCAGATAAGCACATGAAACTATGGTAACAACTGTTAGCTTATGTTAGCACAGATGAAAGTTAAAACAAAGCAAACTGTTAAAGCACACAAAACATCGTCATATCAGAAATCCGATGCTATGACTCTCCACGAGTCGTCCTTCAGGTCGTTATCTTTGTATTGTTTGTGTAAACAATCATAAAATCAGCCGGTCAGCCATGTTGGATATACCGGTGAATCTGACGTCGCAACAACACGCAATCTGATTGGTCAGAAGTGGACACGGTATGCAAAACTTCGACCAACTTCGAAAAATTGACCATGATCCGAAAAAATAAATGCCGCAATATCACAGGACGGGAAAACGTCGCTGATGTGAACGCTTGTATTGACAGGATACGGGTTCCAAAAACAATATTGACGTCCGAAATAATCGCACGACAAAAATGGTCCTGGTGTGAAAGGACCTTTAGTCTCAACAACTGGTTTGTTTGTACACTTCCTAAAAATTGTGAATGGGACATAGAGAACACATATATAGAGTGAAATGGTGTAAAAGGGAAACAGGCTGTTAACAAAGTCTCTGCAGGTTTCAACAAGTCATATTCAAAACAGTTTCAGTCTTTTTTAAGACCGTAATGAATAAACTTCAGACTCATTTTAGAGCCATACTGCAAAAAAGTTCAAAAGACATGAAGGGAAATCAGAATATCTTACATTCCTTCAAGTCTATCTATATTCATATTGCATGTTATTTATTTGTAAGAAGAGTGAACACAATTTTATGACCTTTCAAAATCCTATTTAAGACATTTTATGACTTTTTAAGAGAATTTTAGACAATCATAGACATTTTAAGGCCTTAAAATAAAACAATTGGATTTTAGACATTTAAAGCCTTTTTAGACCATGTTGATACCCTGTGTTAATTTAGGTATTAAACTGCATGTCTGAAAAACAAATACAGAGGGATTATCAGAAAATAGGAGATGTGTTTGTGTGTCTCTTACCGCTTTTCTGTGAGGACAAAGCTACCACAAGAGCTGGGTCAATCTCGCAAGGTAAACCTGCTGCTGATGACAGCTCGTAGACATTCATGGCCACCTGAAAAACACAGGTAAGCATATGAGGGAGCAAGTTAACAAAGACATATAGTTATGAGCTTGAATGTATATATATTCAAGTCCTCAGTGTATTTGTACCTTCATGTCTGTCTCTCTGGGAATGTGGTCTTTGAAATCCTCCACTGAACTGACCAGGAAAGGAATGTGACAGGATAACACCTGGAGAGAGAGCAAAGCAGGGACAGTCTAGTTAGAGAGTAATGAAGCAACACATTCTTTAAAGGACCAGTCAGTTTGCTGATCACAAATAATACCACTGTTTCCAATTGGTGATTTTAGTGTGTATTGTACGTGTGTGTGTGTGTGTGTGTGTGTGTGTGTGTGTGTGTGTGTGTGTGTGTGTGTGTGTGTGTGTGTGTGTGTGTGTGTGTGTGTGTGTGTGTGTGTGTGTGTCTTACATCTCTCAGGGCCTCCTGAGCCAGGGAACGGAAGGACAGGATGACTCCAATGATGGTCATTCTCTTCAACACACTGTCCACAGCTGCAAACACACAAAAACAAAAGTCAGTTAAGCGGCAACTGCCAGTCTGATAAAGTGTCTCTAAATTATGTTCAAGGATACATGTTCCTTTTTGATCATTCAGCTGAGTGTCTGTTTTTTTAATCAGTGCAGTATACATCTTGTCTGAATGTAAGTGCTTTGGTGAGTGTTGAATTACAGGTGAGTTTCTTGAAGAGGGCAGCCATGTGGTCTGGTTTGTCAAAGCTCGTCCTCATTTGGGTCAACACCTCCATGTTTTCTACAACCAGTTTCTAAACAAAGAAAAAAGACAAAACACAAGGGTTACACTTCACTGTAAATCAGATTGGACTTCTTTTCATCGCAGTAATAGTTGTTTACTTTTCTGTGACAAAGATTTAAACAAAGTTTGTGAGGACATTCACAGTTCCTGCTTGAGCTACATTTGCAGACTTATTGTGCCTCAATTGAACTTACGGGTGTGTTATCTATATCAATTCACATCATAGCGCTGCCAAACACTGAGTTGTACTCAGACTACTTTGACAGTAAGGTAGTGATACTAAACATCACTGTATTCCCCCCCATTACAGGAAAGTTGTTACTTCGAGACAGATTAAAATTTTAATTTCACATTTTAATTTTTGAAATTCAAATCAAAATTAAAATGTGAAAGTATGAGTATATATCTGTGGCTTTATGTTTATACCTTCAGTTCAGCGACCTGTGATGAGATGTGCCACATTAGACTCTCACTGAGGAACTTCATACCATATGGACCCAAAAGCTCCGACAGGGAACGCATCTCTGTGAAAACACACAAACATTAGCAAATATAGAAAAAGTTATAATATGTGGCTGTGAATTTCTCTTTAATAATAACCTGCAGTTGTTAATTGTAAATTAGGGCTGTCACAATAAAAAATTGACTGGCATTATAATGATCCTAAATGTCTCCAGGTTATTCGAGATATTACTGGGAAACAAAACCCGACTACCCAAATTAAGCAAAGGGAAGAGTGCAGCAAAACATTACTTTATAAATTTATGAATCCAACTGACTGACTAACATTTTATCCAGAGTTATTCAGGGTTACATTTGATCTGCTTTACCAGCCAGTTAGAACCAGCCATCACCTCCTGCCTGTGATTCTGCATCCACAAATACCTGGTCTTTTTTTACAAAGTCCCCAAAAGACTTCAAAGCTAATCAAGAAACTCATTTTGGGTAAGGGCTGAGAACCTCACTTTCATCTGTCATCTCCTCTAACATGATCTGCTCTGCAGCAGCAGTGGCCACACACTGCAGCAAAGGCACAACGCGGTTTGTGTGAACTTTGAGAGGAGAGGTATTGTTTTATTCTTTCAGATACAAACAGCCAGAGTTTCTTTGTCCTCTCTACATTGAATGGCATGTGTCAACCAGCATAAAGAACCACTCGAGTCTCAACAAGTTAGTTATTGAGTATTCCCCCTACTCCTTTTTTACTGCAGTATCAATCTTGAATTTTTTAAAAAAGGCAGTACTTGTCATAAGCAAGTTCATGTGCTTCATACCAGAGATGTCCGAGTATTCCTCTGCATTGAAAGTCAACTCATTCTCTGTGGGCAGGTTGACGAAGGCCTTCATGGCGGGAAAGTAGGCGATGTGTCCGTTGCTAACTTGACGGAGCAACGTTTCCAGGTACCTAAACACACAAAATAATGTCTCAAGACAGGATCTCAAAACAAAGAGTGATGAACTTTGGAAAAAAAAAACTTTTTTTTGTGCGACTGAAGACAACCACACTCTGGCATGTATTAATCTGAGCTCTGACAGTACTTCATATAGAAGTCTTAGAGGATATACTTGAACTCTTCAACAAAAAGAGATCATTAAGACACGCACCAGTTTGTGTACAGACTGGTGATGGTTGGCTCCCCATGGCTGTCCAGGTGCTGTGTCTGTTGTAGGAGGACGTTGTTAAAGACACGGGTAATGTCGATGGTGACGTAGTTCTCTATGGACTGAAGCACTGTCATGTAGGCCCGGACGCTGGTCAGCAGCTCGCTGGGCTTGGCTATCTCCTGGGTAGCCTGGTTGTACATGGTCATTCCCACTATAGACCTGGGGACAGAGGCAGTGGGACCATTAGGACACTGGGATACCATGAGTAGTCAGACAGGGGAGTTTAACTAGAGAAGGCGCATTTAAACTTAGCATGTGTTCTATTTTTATGTTTATTTATCCAAACATGCTTTCCTGTTTGTATTTTAAGTTTGAGAAAAAAGCTCTGACTCTGACTGTTGTACTCCTTTCTTTCTTCTTCATATCTGTCTGTCACAGCGACAGGCCAGATATGGCTACTTACTGGAAACTCAGCACCAAAAAGAAGATTTATGATGATAAACAATGTCCACAACCTGACTGGACAAAAGTATTTGTGTTAAGAGCAGAAGTATTTGTGTTAAATCGGTGTGTTATTTGTTTACTTGGTGAATCGGATCTCCAGGTGTGAGGTGAGGTACTCTCTCGGTGTGAATGTGTGCTCCCACACTGCCAAGTTGGGGACATAGTTGATGGAGAAGCAGAGCTCAGATAAAGCTGTGTGGAGTTTATCCAGACTGGGGAGGAGAAATACAAGGAAAAGGATGAAAGGTGAAAATGGACTCCATGAGATACTGCTTCACTTTGAATGGTGAGTTTGGACAAATGTGCTCTTTGTAGCAGCAGATTACATAAATATAAAAAAAAGACTGGCATAATAATGATCCTTAATGTCTTGGTAAAGAAACATGTAGATGGCATTGAGTGAAATTCTAATATATGCATTAAACCCCCACCACCACAGATGGTTAATAGTGATCATTTCACTCTAATGTTTGCACAGTATCATTTAAAAAGGATAAAATTATAATAACTGGCAAAGTCACCTGTTAATATGAGGAATGAGTGAAATGTAACTGTAATCATGACTGATCCTTGAAAAGGTAGATGATTAAAGGAGTAAATGGGAGTCTAGTCAAACTCTACTTAAGACAAGGTCTATCTATAGTTAAGAATGAGAGCAGTAATTACTCATGAAGCATAATGAGAGCCAAAGAGCAGAGAGAGGACTCACTTGGTGACCAGTAGTCTGTTCTTCCTCATGCTCTCCACTCCTGGCTTCTCTCTCTCCGGCTCTCCCTTCTTTCCTGTTGCCTTCTTGCTCTTCTTGTTCACGGCCTGGCTGATGGTTTTCGCACAATGCTTTGGAAGCAGCTACAGATAAAATGAACAAAAAACAGATGATGGAGAGAGGACAGTAACAAGAGACAGCTGGAAGAAAGAGTAAAAACAGGGGAATTCAATCCAATCCGCTTTATGTATATGGCACATTTTAAAAAACATTCAAGTTTACCAAAGTGCTGCACAGTAAAATTATACAAACAAACGATGCAGAAATAAAAAAAAAAAAAATCAAGAGGAAATAAATAAAAGCAGGTAAAACATTTTAAATGAATTAAAATAAATGAAATGAAAACAAAAAAACATAAAAGAAATAGAAGTGATAAAAGGACACCATAAATGACATAAAAGGACAGAGATCACACAACTCTCATGCTGAACTAAAAGCCAAGGAATAAAAAGGAGTTTTAAAGGTGTGATTTAAAAGTAGAGAGAGTGGGGGATGTTTTAATCTTGAGCGCAATTTGTTCCACAATTTGGGAGCCACAGCTGAGAAAGTTCCGTCACCATGGGTTTTTAAACGAGTTTTAGGGACAATGAGTTGGAGTTGATCAGCAGACCTCAAGGAATGTGGAGGGGGGGGTAAACATTTAAGAGGTCAGAGATGTACTGTGGCGCTGATCTGTTTAAAGATTTAAAAACTGACAAAATTTTAAAACAAATTCTCAAATAAATGGGAAGCCAATGGAGGGACGCCAGAATTGGAGTGATGTGATCAGGTGTTTGTTTACCTGTTAAAAGATGAGCAGCAGTGTTCTGGACTAACTGTAAGCGTGTGAGGGAAGCCTGATTAACACCAACATAAAGAGCATTACAGAATGACTCGATTATTCGTGGCCCAGCTGATGTCCTTCTATCGGTAGGAGTCAAACCAGCAGACTGAGAGAAATGAACTAACTTCTACTGAAGCCCGCTGACGCTTTATCACTCCCCTTGTAAAATGTCAAAATCCTTCCACAAGGAAATAGTCACTGCATTGCTTTTACGAGAGGGTATCAGCAGAGGTTGATCTTTGCAAGAAAGCAGCTGGAGGATGGACGCACGCTGTCAGACCTTATTAATAACATTAGATCAATCGGAATTTTGTGTGATCAATGTAATACTTAATGATCGATTAAAGCATGCCCATTTCTAATTTTGCAAAATCTTCCAGTCAGTGCCGTCATATGCAGACAAGCAAGTTAAGTATAGAAAATATAAGGTAGTTTGTCTGTAGGAATGAATTAGTACTCTCTTCTGATGTGTAAACAAATCAGGAGATCTGTTTTTATTAGCATAAGGATATAACTCAGTATTGCCAGTATATAGGCCTGTTTACATAATTTAGCACAACACAGTTGAGGAGTTACAGTATAACATAAAAATTGAATAAAAAATATTTTTCCTCGGGCAGTGATCAAAGTGGTGGGGCCAGTGAATTTGATTTGTCACTGGCCCAGGGTATCTCCTCTTTCCATGTAGCGACTCATTATATGCACAACATTACCATTAAACCTGATTTTCTACCTCTTCAAGTGTTTGTGAATGTGTGTGTGTGTATTTGTTCCTACCTGGTCGCTGAGTGTACATTGTTCAGTGCAGATGTCAGTGATCAGGTTTCTGGCCTGTTTGGCCATCTCATCCAGAAACATGTTACACAGCGACAGGCTTCGATCTCCTATGTGGTGACGCTGTGCAGTTGAAAAAGTCAACAGATAACCCACACACAAAAAAGTTGCTTTAGTTATCAACACAGAACGTTTTTAGAGTAATACACAAGTGTTTTTGTGCTCTTGCTTTTATAGAGATGCAGGTTTTCTTTTACCTCTTCAGGACAGAGCTCGTGTGTGCAAGACATGAAGTGTGTGCAGAGCAGAGGGAAGCAGATGGAGTGTCGGCTCTGAGAGGGAAGCTCCAAACATTGCTGGAACATCTTCTCAAATGCACGGCTGTAAAAGCTACACACACAACACCAAAATTAAGAGATCACCACCCAAACTGGCAATGGTGAAATCAGTTTGTGTTTGCAAGTACAGGCTAGTGTGAATATGTCCCACCAGAATATGGACAGGTCTGAAGTTTCCACCAGCATCTCCACCAGAGAGTCCACCATCTTGGTGTGAAAGATGATGGTGTTCATCATTTTGCCAAGTTCTTTATGATCAGCTATACCGAGACTGGCTTTAGAGACACTGGTGTACGCCTGGAGAAGAAACAAAAAAACAGAATAATGAGATTCTTCCTTTTATGATCTGTTTCACTAAATCAACATTTCTTGTGGAAAGCACTTTTGTTTTTTTCTGATTTAAGCTCTGTATGTCAGCACACACCTGCAGTCTGAACCAGTCCAGTCTCATGCCTCTGAAATCAAACACCTCTCCATCCTCCACTGTAACACAGAAGCACAAAACATTCAGACATTAACACGAAAGCATACTGTCTCTGGGAAGTCATAAACATGCCTAGTTAAAAGAATCACAAAAACTACACAAATTAGTAAAAGTTTAATTACTGCAAAAGCTTCTGTGAGGAACTGACTGCGATTCTGCTACCCCTTCCCTTGAGTCTGACATTGTAAAACAGCTCAATGTTTACCTTGTTTGACGCTGAGCGAGGTCATGGTGTTGACAAATGAAGACATGATGATGGACTCATCCTCTGGACACACCGACAGGTTCTGTCAGATCAGTCATTTCAGAAAACGGGTCAGGAAGTGAAGTTTGGGAACGTTTCTTCTCTCAAGGCTGATCTTTGAAACTCTGTTACAATCTGTATCAACGTTTATACCATAGACTGTATATACTATGGACAACTCAGCTCCGCCTTCCATCATTATACCAATTTGAAGCCAAATTGCTCTGGGTATTTCTGGAACTTTCTCTACTTCCTGGAACCACCACTTGCACAGTAGCTTTGTACACATTCTGTGGGAGAGTCGCTGTGATGACGCTTGGCTGAAACAGCGTATCCCCTGGGTGAGCTACGCAATCTTCGAATGCCCAGCGGCTGTATCAAGTGTCAATCATAGAAAACATGAACCCCCTAAAAAACTTTCAAAAATGGAGCTGCACAGAAAAAAAGAGGACTTGCGCATAAACCAGTCTTACAGTAACTACATGTCAACATCGCAACCAGGGAGGAGAAAAATTTATATTCTGTGTAATTAATTTCTAAAGTTTGTCCACAGCTCCATAGGGATTGCTGGCGGAGGCGGGATTTATGACCTATACTGCAGCCCATCAGCAGAGGGTGCTGTTCTCATGGTGGCTTCCTTCACAGCATCCATTCTATATACAGTCTATGGTTTACACTGTAAGTATGAATTAGTTACAGTTCAGGGCCTTTTATGTAGGTCGATGAAGTGCATGTGTTCGTACCTGCACCAGTTCATTAAGCACCACTGCATCAAATCCAGACAGGTACTGGACGTAGTATCGCTGCATCACAGGGCCGTATTTCCTGACATGAGCTCTGAGCTCCTCCATGTAGAAGATCAGCTCTGCTATGTGTCTGCAAAGTACACACAAACATATGTCAGGTTTCTGTTACTGTAGAACACACACCTGTTTATTTGTAGTTTCATTTAGGCGTGTGAGTGTGTGTGTTTGCCTACTTGTCTATGAAGTCATCTGTGCTTTTCTTCTGGATGTTGTCGGCATGTCGAAGCAGCCAGATGATCTCATCACGGGCAAACGACAACGCCATGAATACAAATAATGCCTAGTGGGACCGAAGGAAAAGAAATGTAGAGGGAGGCGAAAAGAAGAAGAGGAGAGAAAAGAAGGTGAAAAAAAGAACGAGAGGAACAGAAGGAAACACAAAAATTTAAAAACAATAAATGTGAATAAATTCCCCAAAATAAACCACTCAAGCACAAATCACTGAGAGGGGTCGACAGTGACCTTAAATTCCCTGAACCACAAATGTTGACAGAGTCAGTCAGACATGACAAACATTTTCATATGCACATTTACATATTCATGAGGCTCTGCATATGAACAGGGGAAAGTACATAGCTTTCATTTGTCCTGATAAACTGACAGACCTCTGCAGCACTGTTTGGAGGGTCATCTAAGGCAGTGGTTCTCAAGTCCAGTCCTCGAGGCCCACTGTCCTGCATGTTTTGGATGTTTCCCTGCTCCAACACACCTGATTCAAATGATCAGCTTGTTATTGAGCCATTACAGAGCTTGATAACGAGCTGATCATTTGAATCAGGTGTGTTGGAGCAGGGAAACATCCAAAAACATGCAGGACAGTGGGCCTCGAGGACTGGACTTGAGAACCACTGCTCTAAGATTTAAAGATCTTTCAGTATTGTACTTGTTCAGACCAGGACTAAGTCTTACAAGAACAGCATTGAGGTGCAAAGTTTGTCTTTGATCATGCTTTGCATTCTTTTTCATAAAATGTCTATGATGATACCCTCTCGGCTGGATTGATTCTTGAGAAATGAATCTTATGGAAGCTCTTTGAAGGTCAAATGAAGACAATGGGTGGAATTATCTATATGGGCTTCAAGGGTTAGGTTTCAGACACTTGAAACTCCTGCCAATTCAGGTGCTTTCTCGATCAACATTACAATACTAATTTGGTCCTGCAGTGTCTTTAACAACACTTGGCAAAATTTGAAAATTGCAAAAATAAGAGTAAGTGGATTCCACTCTCAATGCCAAGAACTTGATTTGGATTTCTACATATGCTTTGGTTGAGCACATTCCAGAGATAAAAAGCACAGAAATGATCAGCAAAAATACCAACACTTTCCATGACTGTCTTAGAATACACTTACAATAACTACTGAGATCATGAGAGTTTTTTTTTTTTTTTCATTTCCATCTTCTACTGTTTTTCCCGTTAGGGGGTTGCAGGGGGCTGGAGCCTATCCCAGCATCTTTGGGACACACTGGCTAAGTTGCCAATTCATTGCAGGGCTGATACATAGAGATGAACAACCATCCACAGGGGCAATTTGGAAGTGACCAATTAACCTAACCCAACTTCTGCATGTTTTTGGGATGTGGGAGGGAACCGGAGTACCTGGAATAAACCCACGCAGACACAGGGAGGACATGCAAACTCCACACAGAAATGCCCTGACCTGGATTCAAACCCAGGAACTTCTTGCTGTGAGGTGACCGTGCTAACCACTACACCACTGTAATTTTAACCAAGCCTGATTCTGGTTTTGTGAACAAAGCATGATTTTGGGCATGGTTTGGATGTTTGAGGTGGTCTCCCCTTCTTTACCTTTGGACCCAGTAGTCCAGGCTGGTCGGCTAAAACAGTGGCTAACTCCTTCAGAGCTGATCTGAGAAACTTGCGTCTCTCTCTGTGCATGGAGCCCCTGCAGAAAGAAGAAGGCAGACGAAGAGGAAGTTAGGGAGGAGTATCAAGACACCCAAGCATCATGCTTAAATGGTATTTTGACACTTTGAGGACAATCCTGCAGAAGCACAAAAGTAAGTAGATGGCAGTGACGGCAGAAGAATGAGAGTAGAGATGAAAGGGGGAGACAGAATCAGTAAGAGGATAAGAGCCGAGATGAGACAGAGGGGGAGGATAAAACAGGGGAGAAACTGAATAGGGGATAAAGGGAAGAAGAAGGTGATGATTCCGTTTGAGACTCCCTGAGGGAAAGACCAAAGCCTGTGAGCAGGAATACAAATGAATGAAACAGAAAATGAGGGCAGAGAAATAAATCTGAAGAACCCAATTTCTTCTGTGTGTTGGGAACAAATTGGATGAAGATTGAGGTTTGGCAGAGAATGACAGAATCAGTAACAAGATTATTTACGTACGCATGAGATAAGGCCTGCTCCTTGCACTCTCTGATGTCATTGATTCGCTTGTTGTACCTGGAAACACATGAGAAAAAGAACATGTGTCATAAGAGGGAAAATGTGCAGAGATGTTTTAAATATGATATGGTACCGGCTTCTTGTGAATGTAGTTTATTTTAGATTCATATGGATGTTTAAAATGTATGATGAAAATGTCATGAGCCTCAAGCATCTTTGTTTTTTTTGGTCAATGAGGAGCCAAAAACTTAAGAGGTACTCGACTGAGGATTAAGGTGTTCAGGTACCGCCACAAAAGACTGAAAAAACAAACAAACAAACAAACAAAAAAACCATAAAAAAAAAACAAAACGATTTTTGGTGAGAAATAGCAGTTGCATCTCAAGAACCGAGTGCCTTAACCGCTTTAAGCATTAGTATTAACTGATATTAATCATAATGTTTGGATCTGGGCTCAACATTATGACTGGCTTGGTGGCCCGGCTGTACATCTAACAGGCTCCAGGCCAGCTAACTGCGCACTCCACCTAGACCACTCGGGCCTGTTAAATAATGCCTTTCAAAAAATAAACACACAAACACATAGTTTCATATACAAGCATACTGTAGTTTTTTCAGTGGTCGCTGCGAGATCATGGTGTTATTCACTGCTCCAGCGAAGGTTTCATGTCTGTCTCTCTGCAAGCGTTCACAAGCGCACGAAGTGAATGTGACAGGCAGTGTTGCAGACAGCTGCTGTCTCTCCCACCGGCGCACTTAAAACATCAGATTTGACACTTAACGGTAGACGGATTGTGATAAAAGCTTGTTCTTGTACATTTTACTGATATGTTTTTAAAACCACTGTTTCTGGTCAAAATCCGGGCAAGACTGCTCAAAACAAATAATGGTAGGTTGAGACTGAGAGCACTTGGAGGATTCATTAACCTCAGTTGGACATATGTGGTGCAAGTGGTACATCACTGGGGTCGTAGTCAGGTTGTACTTGTACACGAAATTGCAGTGTCTGCAGCAAGCCTCATAATTTTCCCGCCCGAAAAGGTCCCATACCACACTTGGTCTTGCTGTCTTCATGTTTTTTTTCCCACTTCTACGGAAGCCCGCTGATGCTATATCCAGTGTTGCCAAATCCTCAGTAAGAAAAGTTGCTAGTGGCTGTCGTAAAAGTCACTAGAAGATCATCGTTTAATTTGCAAAATTTTTATTAGTCACCAGCTACCCGATGAGAAGAGTAACATCGATACCTGCTTTCATGTTAGAGTCTCTAAACTCATATTACATCATATTAGCATAACACGGATTAAGAGTTAGAGTAGAACATAAAAATTGAACCAAAAATGTTATTCCTGGGCCAGTGGTCAAAGTGGTGCGGCCAGTCAACTTGTCAATTCATGGTTTGGACAGACAAACACAGTGCAAACTCTCAGGCACTCTTACCCTCTGATGTTTACAAAGAGATCCTCTGCAGCCTTGTGGATGTGGAAGACTTCATCCCTGAACAGACAGAGGCAGGTAGAGCTCTGCAGGGCTAACTTCCACAGAGACAACGCTGCTGCGTCGCTGTTCAGCACCGCGTGACACAGGATGAAGCCAACTGGACAAAAGAGAAGAGAGGACGATATGACAATGTGTAACCATCAACAAAGAGCGATGAACAACCTGTGATGAAATAAATACATGGGAATAGGGTTTGTTTTGTGAAGAACTTACAAACAATCCACTTCTCCATTGTGTCCAGTGAAAGATATTCACAAGGCATCTAAAGACAGAGACATAAAAGAGTGATGTAAGACTCAAACTTTGTCAATACTCTTCCAAACTATCTGCCTGGACCAGGCACCATGATCAAAAGTATAGGTACAAGCTACACATCAAGCTGTTTCGGTGCGGTCATCATCATACTGACAGTGTCTGACTGTGCGGGGTTGAGCATGGTGGAAGGAGCAGAGATGAGAGAGAGCAGCTGGGCGTTCCTCCACTGGTCAGCGGACAGATTCCTCCTGGGATAAACCATCTGAAGACTGATCAAAGCATCTGACAAGGACTAGAGGACAGAAAAAAGAGAGAGAGAGGGATGAAGAAAGGCAGCATGGGGGGAAGAGAGAGAGGGGAACGTGGGAGATTAAAAAAATGGCAGAGGAGAGGAACAAACTGAATAAAATATTTCTGCAAATGATGTAGAAGCGTATTCGACCTATCGGTGCACAGTTAGCTCACTAGTTCTGTAGTTTTATGAAGCTGATCATCAGTTATCTAAGCAACTTCAGTAAAACTCTATAAATTGTGAGCTTTTTCAAAAATATTCCTACATTTCTTTATTTGAGTTTTGACTCCCATTCATAGAGTAAGACATACTTTCACTCTGACTGATCTAAAAATGGCACTTGAGATGCTATGGCAACAGTGCCTCCGCAAAAACAAGACTGAATCAAAGATCACACTGTAGACCCTCAAAGTCCATTTTGTTGGCACAACCAGTACTTACAAAAGAAAGGGCATAGGACAAATGAGCTTTACCACTTTATCTCGTGATAAAGCGTTTATCACTAGATATTTATGCAGTTACCCCACCTTTCCATGTGGAACAAACTCCTCCATCATCTTCTTCAAAGGGTTCTCATAATCCACAATCATCTGGCCCAGCCTAGGATACTCCCGGTCACTGTCAGACAGGGCACACAAGTTCTTAAAAACAATGGGGTAAAACTAAAAATGTCTTGGTTCTTGAGTAACATATGAAGATGTCTATGGCAGAATACTAGTTATTGTTTTTGACCTTATCAATGAGGATGTGTTACTACCAGAAATGTGTGGGTTCCTTCTAGGGGTGGGAATCACTAGTGGCCCCACGATACGATATAATCACGCTACTTTGGCCACGATTCAATATTAGAGCGATTATTAATATTTTGCAATAAAGTGAGTACTGCAATACCATATACTGCTATCTATACAAACTTTTCAACTGCTTAGCTGATATAGCATTTTTCTTTCCTTTATGTTTGTCTTATTGATGCAATATTTTGTTTTCATGTAGCACTTCTTGCAAACTTTGTGTCAGGTCTAGGGCCCGATGGATATGTTTTTTTTGGGGCTGATGCTGATACCGATTATTGGGGGGGGGGGGGGGGGGGGATAATTGGCAGATTTTTACTTTTTTTTTTTTAACGAAGTTATAAAAAATATATATATTGTGTAGATATCTACAGTGTAATATATACTGTAGATATACTGTAGACTTCCTGTCAAGCCGACAGGAAGATCGACTGATCAAACTCGATTTTTTCTCCCACCCCTAGTTCCTTCTCATCTGTGTTGACACTCATTTTTAATCAGCACAAAACAAGCTCACATTCATGTTTACACTGATAACACTCTCTGCTGAGACTCTCCAAACTAAATGGTGATTGGTCGAACTGTTGATCAAACTTCATGATTACCTTGCTCCATGTGTCATCTCGTGAGCATAGTTGTACAGCCCAATGATGGCCTTCCTCTCCTCGATGCGAGACAGTATTGTCATCAGAGTAGTGTAAGTCACCACCAGGTCTAGGTAGTTCTTGGTCAGGTCAAAGTTCACCGTCTAACACGAAAAGAGTTAACATATCCAACACTGAATTAATATTGACCAAAACACTACTTATAAAACAACTAGTGCCGCAGTTTAACAGCCTCACAATTCACGGATCGCACTCACAATGTCAAAGAAGACTTGGCAGGCGTCAATGGTGTTCAGCAGCTCACACACATGGTCCTGTAGAAAGAAGTGTTAGGAGTTAAGTACCTAAACAAAATCACCCGTGCAAAATTTGTAAGGAAGAGTGTGTGTGTGTGTGTGTTTTCACCTTAAATTCCATGACATCCACAAAAGTGAAGTAGTAGAGAGCCAGGTTCTTCAGAATCTCAGACTTTTCTTTCTGCAGCTGAGCCAGCTGTTGCTGCAAACACGGCAAAATGCACACAATTAAAATGAAGTTATGATACAATCAGCAGTTAACGTCATATTTGGTCTTACAGAGAATTTGTCTAAGACAGTTAAACCTGACCTTTGGCCCTTCGTGTACCTATATATACACTAAACTGACAAATCCTACACTGACTGTCCTGGTTCTTTAGTGTTGCTTAGATCCTTGTGTAATACAAATGTTCATTTACTCACAAACAATAAATCTATAAATGAGAGGTGTATAGATTTAAATAATCTAAACTTTTCTGACAGATGATATGACTGCTAAACTTTGTCTCAGATTAATAAAAGAATAAACAAATAACTTCTAAATAGGCTTTGGTAGTGGGTGTTTCCAGGTTCAGCACATTTCTAAGAATGATGTTATCTATAATTTAACAGACCTGCAAAGAACCCATTTTTTTATTTATTTTGACTTTAAACTTGTACATGAAATGCTGAATACTTTAGAGAAAGTGGAGCGAGTAAAACTCAAGTTATTCCTCCACCAGAGCAAAAAGACAAAAAGACAGAGGAGAAAAAAAACCCACTTCAAACTGAAAAAGTATATGAAGTTATTTTACTTTGGTGAAATAAATTATTTACTTGAAATTTTTAAATATGTATCTAAAAACGATCTTAAAGTTTATTTTGGTACCATAAAAAATTGGTGTAAAAGATGCACTGTGTATCAGAAGAGCTACACATCTGCAGAGAAACTGCATTATGGTAAATAAGATTAAAGTCTTTGAATAGTTGAGACATTTTTCCCTTTAGAATTGGTTATCTCTCTTATATTACAGTACGACTTATGTTTATGTAACACTAAATTTCTTCTGTCTGGTTTCTGTATCAAAACAAAAAAAAAAACGAGTTTTTTTTCTGTTAAAAAAAAAAAAAACATCTAACTTTTAGTGTTCAACATTCTAGCTTTCGAAGTTGAACAGATAAAAGATAAAATATATATTTGACCAAAGTAAAAATTCTCTTCCAAAACACCCAGTAGCACCTGGATAGAAATTTCAAGAAGTTTGAAGACAGAAAGGAGAGGAAAAGTTAATCTGTTAAAAACACTGAAAGAGAAAACGTGATTTTCTGTACCTGGAGATGTCTGGTAAAGATAAACTGTGGATGCAATGTTTGCAAACCAAAACTTGAAAAGAAGCTCAGCTTGAAAAAGATTGTCACTTCAATCTTTTAATAAGCTTTAGAGAGTAGAGAGCAGCTTCGATTTACATGACAGACTTAAGTGAAGCATACAGAGTGTAAATTAAAAGCTGTGTGTGTGTGTGTTTCATGTCATTGATGGCACCACTCCAGTTGTATAAGAAAAGGGGAAAAGAAATGAGTGCAAGGATTGTGACCCTGCTGCACCAAGGAGTTCAAACATATATAACCAAATAGAGTCAAGCTAAAGAGAATTTGGAGGTGTTGTGACTCTTTACTTGAAAGGTCAGGACCCCTACTCCATTGTCCTTTTGACTGCCACCTGACAGAGGCTTTCAGGGCCCCATATCCATAGCCATTCAGAGAATAGTCCCATCTGAGCTGAAATAATAATTGTAACAGACAGTAAGCTCAGAAAAATTTAAGTATCTACTCCTTGGTGCAGACAGCCAGCTGCTCTGTCATCAAGCCATTTAACCAACTTGTAATCAGCCAGTTGGTAAACCCGATAGTAAACCAGAAGTCACACAGTCATTCAGTGGATGAAAGTTAGAAAAAAAAAAACAGCTCGCAGCAGAGAAGAGATAAGCGAAGCAAAGCAAAAGAACACTCCAAACACAGCTTTCAAAACAGGTACGAAAAATAAGTTTACATTATTACAAAACTAAAATACAAAAAAATTGCAGAAACTTAGATACAAAACTTACCAAAAAGCACAAGTCCGGAATAAGCCAAGTTTAGCATGCAGAACACAAACAAACACAGAAACAAAGCAGAAAACAACGTAAGAGACAATTTCTGCACATATATACTGAATAAAGCAGTTAGCTAGACAAACACACAAACATTCACACCCACACACACACATACACACACACACGCACACACACAGTTTGCTAAATGATCACACAAACACATAGGCGAAAAGCTACAAGCTAAGCTAACAAGTAAAGCTGGAAGGACACAATTGATGACCAATGACTCATAATGAGTTAGTTCACTCACTCCATAAACACACTCTCACACAAACACACAAAAATAAATCAATTCTATCCACTTTGTAACCACCATCAGTTTCAAAGCCCTAAAGTTAGGGACATCTGTAAAAGGGCGACATCTCTGACAGGGGCATCTTGATGGCAATGCATTAGTACTTATGGTTCAAAAGCTACACCGAGTTTGGATGTGTCTAATTGTGCTGCTATGATAACTGTAAGCACTGATTTGATTGTATAATTGTCATATACGTAAAATGTGATAAACTGATTCCAAGCAAATCATAAAATAAAATAAATAAGAACAGTAAAGATTAAGGGTGGAAATCACTAGTGGCCCCATGACACAATATTTTCACGATACTTGGGCCACGATACGATATTATTGCAATTTTTAACATTTTGCAATTCAGTGAGTATTGCCATATAATATCTTGTGATTTATATAGTTGTTTCTACTGTTAAGCTAATTTAGCATTTGTCTTTCTTTTATGTTTCTTATTTACGCTGTATTTTATTTTCATGCCGCACATCTTGCAAACCTTGTGTTATGTCCATCTCATTTGTGCCCTGCTTGCATTCCTACTGTTCCTCCCCAGGTGCCGTTTGTTGCACTAAATTTCTCCTGCTCTATGATGCCACCTCTGTAAACCTCACTGGACAAACAGTTGATTTTATTTTTCCATGATCATCGATTTGACTTCATATTCGCAATACATTTGAAAAATCAACACTTGGTTAATGAGACGATATGATACATCACCAAACAAAATATCGCAATACTATGCTGTATCGTTTTTTTCACCCACCCCTAGTAAAGATGCGTGACATCAGAGACTAAAAATTGGACTTAATAGTCAGATAAACTACACTAACAAAAACAAGCTGTTTAAAATACTGTATTTTTTGCACTATAAGGCGAACTTCAAATCCTTTTGGCTTGTCGGAGCACTGCAGCTACCGTAGCCTCAAGGAGCTATTGAATGAGTTAAATGAATTTTGACTTACCTATTTTGTTTGGCTTAATGCGCTTTATAATCCAGTGTGCTTTATAATCTGGTGTGCTTTATGTATGAAAATAGACGCGAATAGACGTGTTCATTGATGGTGCGCCTTATAATCAGGTGTGCCTTATAATGTGAAAATTTCAGTAATGTAATGTAGTGGGGAAGCAGCAGCATGGGATCTCTGGATACAATATCAGTCTCATGAAATATGACAGGTCCGTGAAGATGATAACTCTCAGTTGTTGTTTTTATTCCGGCAATATTTCTTTTACTGTAGGTTATCCAGAACTGCTCAGCTACAAGATTTCGAAGTGTGACATGAAAAAGAAAAACTGAAGTCTAAAATAGAAAATATTGAGGAAACTGCGGTGTGAGAATATGCCTTTTTATACAAAGTTTAGAATAATATCATTGGGGGAAAAAAAAAAACTTTTTATTTGCAGCACACACATGCATGTGAATATTCTTACGTTGTTATTCCGCGTCTCCACAGCAGGGAACTTCCTGACGATAAATTTAACAGCCGATTCCAAGTTCTTATCAACAAGATAGGAGGGCTTAGCCTTGGGGTCGCCACATGCCTGAAATAGGAGAGGAGAAGAAGAGGTGAGGAAAGACAAAGTATACACACATGTTTAAGTACACTACTGCTTCTTAAACACTATAAGAACTCTTTTTTAATCTCTCCTGGCTTATTTTACTCCTCTAAATCTGACTTTTTTCTTTCATCATGGTCTGACATGTTAGATGTTTGGTCATTATCATTGGGGAAAGTTTTGCACTCACAGTGTAAACTGGTTTATCCGAGTCTGGGACATGAGAAGGGGTTCAGGTGAATGAAATACTAACTCGTGACATTTCATGAGGCCTTTTCAAGACATGAAAACAAACAGAAACAAACTTAATGCAAGTGCAGTCTGATTTTGGGATAAGAACATTTCTAACTTTGCTGAATTAAGTTTTGAAGTCTGTGGTTTTCATGTTTGGATAAACCAGGTTTACCTGCTGCACAAAGACTGAGCAAAGAGCCTGAACTGATCTGTGGTTCTCATCTGCTGGGCGGTGGACATGAGAGAAAAGGAAATCCTTCAGAGCTGCAACAATTAGTTGTCCAAAATATGAAATACGTGACACTATTCTAATAACTGACTGATCATTTCAGTCATTTTTAATCAGATGTAGGTGCACACATTCTAGTCCAAGCTTATGAGATGCTGTTTTTCCTTTGAGTTGCATGATTTTTACAAAAACAGCTTTGGGTTCTGGACAGTTGGTTTGACAACAAGACGACATTATTTCAGGGTCATGCAATTTCTTGACACTTTTGGGCCTTTATGATCCATGGATTTATGGTGAAAAACAGCAAAGTTATTGAAAATAGAAGTATTGTTTTAAAAACTCAAATGAAGATACCAAATTGTACATTTGAGGCACAAACACAGAAGCGATGCTTCTTTTACAGACTGGACAAAGAGGTTTCAGGCTGGCGTTATTTCACATGAGATATGACCTGAAGTATATTACACTGATTTCTTCTGAATACATACTGGTCTTCTATCACTGTTGTGCCAAGATTGCAGTTTGATTCAATTCAGATCAGGGGTCTGAATTGATATGAGACATCACTGGTCTGTTCAGTTTATTTCTAGCAAATTATTGCCAGTGACTTATGCAAAAAACAAAAAAAAAATGTGTGTGTAATCACATTGAGTGGCCACAATAATTTAAAAAAAATCTTAACCTCTTATTGTATAAATCTTTTTTTTTTTTTTTTTTTCATTTATTTATTTATTTAATTTTTTTTTTTTTTTTTTTTTTTTTTGGGGGGGGGGGGGTTGTAAGTGTAATTTTTTTTATTTTCTTTTGGCATATAAGCTTTGCTTCTGCCACTTTTGTCATGACCAAGTGTTTATGAATGCATGTTTATTATAATGGCTTTACAATGAATAAGTTCTTTCCTTTAATTTTAATAAAGAAAAAATAATACTTAAAGAATTTGTCTTGTGAGGAAATCATTACACTTGAGTAAGAAGATACACTACACTGTAGTTGTAGTGACTGTAATGATAAAAATAAAACAGAAAAAAAGCCAAATCAGGTCAGGTGGGACAAATGACAAGAATTCTGTCCTTAAGACTTTCTCAACTTGGTTGACGACTAATTGGTTAATTTGGCAGCTCTGGTTGGGACTAAATATTGCACACTGTCAAACCCTCATTTTGGCTTTCCTTGTAAAGTTATCGATCTCTTAGAGTGCCCCATTTTAATTATCCAAAACTGTCAACCATGGAACCATTAAAAGTTACTCTTAGCCAAAAGTTATCCACAACACAGAAAATGTGAGAACCAGTCAGAGTCCTTCTTAATGAGAGGGATTGGGTCACAGTGTCTCTGAGCCATCACTGGTTAGTAGCATTGCATAACAGGCAGAGTGACGGACAGGGAGCATGAAGAAGGAGCTGGAAAAACAGATGAGGACAAGAGATATGCACAGAGCAGGAAAAAGTGAAAAGAAGGGGGTAAGGGGAGAACTTAAGATTTGTGGATACACAGAGATGTCTCAGGAGAAATGGCAAAGTGAGAAGAGAGACAGAAAAAACTATTTCCTGTCATCTCAAAACCTGAATTTTATGCTCAGAAACCAAATTTGAATGTTTTTTTTCCCTCTCGGTTATACTTTTATCTATTTCTCCAGGGGTGTTCCTGTATCTGCCTGACCACCCAGACCCAAGTAGGATGCAGCAGCACTCATGCATTATGGGTAGTGTAGCGGTGGATGTTGAGGAAGATGTGGTCCATGCATGTGCCATAAACAGAGTGAATGTATCAAAGTTTGCTGGCTGTCAACACAGAGGAACGATCCTAGAAGAGGTCAGTGCTTTTGACTGTTCTGAGGATTCAGTTCCTCACAGTAAAAGTCGGAGTTCAAAAAGTGGAAGCACATATTCAGAGAAGTCATAAAAGTGATTGAAACAAAGCCTACAACACAAAACTACACTGTAAATGTAAGAACACATCACAGCTCAAAAGCTTGGAACAGCACACAATCATAAACCCGGATTTCAGTTTGCATGGCGCTGAAATGTTTCCAGCATCAGCCAGTACAAAATGAAAGCACAAAACTGCAACACATGCTGGTTCACATCGGCACAGTGAGTAACTGACAAGCTGGTTTTGGAAGAGGAATAAAATGCGGGCTGACAATCCTGCTTTGGACAAAATGTGGCAGATTATACTGTCATCTCAGCAGTGGCCATTTGTAACACACTTTCTTTCTGACAACAGGCGTGTAACTGTGTATGAGAGTTAACACCCTCACACTGACAGAAAATCAAAAAATATGATTTTTCAATTTCAAGTTTTGTTGACTGCATTCTCATGGTGGCCATTTCCCCTCATGTCTTGCTCAGGAAAGTAAGTCCAATGCTGTGGCAAAGTCATATTTTATTCCATTAGTCTTATTATTTAAGACTAATTGTGAGTGACAACTGTTATCACTTTAATGCTTCCAGAATGATCAGAAACTGATGATACAACAATAAAACTAAAACTAATGGCTGAAAGCTACAACTACTCTTAACTGATAGGTAATTGTATTATGTTAGCACCAAAAATGTGCCTAATTGTTAGAAAGCAATAAATAACCAGCTAGCTTACTTACAAGCTGATGTAAGGTTAGACAGTGAAATGTCAGCTAGGCAGCTGTTAACAAGCTATAACTGATTCTAGTGCTGGACGATTAATTAAATTTTAATCATGATTTCAATTTTGGCTTTTTACGATCATAAAAACACTATTGTCGAAGAAAGACGATTAATGCGCCGCACGGTGCGTCGTGTACTTAAGTTCTTGTGCTGGAAAAACACCTTGAATGCACCCCTGTTATGAGCAGCTGCAGCAAGTGTGTGATGTTGGTGGATCACTAATATGAGGCGGGAGCGAGTAAAATCATTGGCAGATGGGCCGCTTTTGGTTGAGAAGTAAGGTAGGACGACTTCAGTTTTTTGGCTTTAATTTGACAGACGTCGAACAAAAGGAAATTGTTTGCAAAGTTTGTCATGCTGTTGTGTCTGCTCCCTAAGGCAACAAAACCATCTTCAGGGTTTCCCCTATGCCATGATAGGGGCTTAATAAAAAGCCGCCACACCCTAAAGATAAGGGTTTTTTTCAATTTACGTGGCTCTAACTCTGACTCATATGTATTAGAATATGCGCCCCGGACCATGGGCACTGCAAAGCGCAGTACACGCGCACCGAGTATTAGCATTAGCAAGTTAACCTTAGCGATCACTTAATGTTCAGCCATAAAGTGGTCTGATAAAGGGGCAAAAAAGTGCAAGCACTTCAGCCAGCACCACCACTGGCTGTTCTTTTAAGTTATATCAAGTTAAATGTTGGTGGTTCAATACATACTCAAGTTTTGAATGACTCCTCTTTTGTATTAAATCGTGATTTCAATATCAGTCAAAATAATCGTTATTATTTTTGCCATCATTGTCCAGTCGCAACTGATGCCTTACACTTGAATGGGCTATCAAATATGTTGTTTTCTTTAAGTGTTGGATTTCTCAAAGATGTCCATTGAGCCAAGTGTTTAAATACCTCCAGCTTTTTAATCTGTACTCAGTGGTACAGCATTACACAAGCATTTGAACCTCTCCCCTTGAGCATAACTGATAAGTTGGCCACCATTTGAATACGCTGCATTTTAGATCAACAGATTAACTACTTTTATACAAAAAATAAAATAGAATAAAATAAACAAATTTAAAAAATATTGCAGTTTAATAGCAAGTTTTACAGGTCACACTGATCAGCATCTAGTATAAATCAAGCCAATTTAATTCATTAGAACATGAAGCAACATAAACGCATGTTTATAGTGGTCACCAAGCTGTAACATGATACGGTTGTCTGTTAAGGTTACATTCACATGTTGATCCAATCCAAAAGCTCATCAAGTATTCCCTTAACTGTAAACTGGGAAATTAACAAGTAATAGCAGTATGCAGTATTTCCAAAAATGTATATTTTGGCAGTTGCATTGCATTAAAAAAAATATTGTGTGTTGATAGCCGAAATCTTTTTCTAACTAGTTCGTTAAACACCACAAACAAGCATGCCAAGCTCTTATCGAGCTGGGTCTGAAACACACTGGCTACGGCAGAATCTCACACGTTGAACACTTGGACACCAGGGGGATCTGACACAGAAAAACATACAACACCGACATGATTTCAACACTCATCAATGATACAGACTCGGACTTTGAGTCTCAGCTTGTTTCCTTGCGCCCACTTCTCTCACACCTGACCAGATTTCCAAACGTCCTCCGTCATCTCTGCTTATTGTGGATGTTATTGTTTGTTTACGTCGCAGCAACTGGCAAAAAGAATCTGTTAAGGTGTGAGAGAGGCGGACTGAATTTTAACTGTGTTAAATGAGAAACAAGGAATCAAGATGTGACCGTGAAATCCATGCAATTGCAGAAGCACGAGCCTTGGCTTGCTAACACGGTTCTCTTCTGATGACAACACAACACTTTCCTCACCCTACACATCCAGACTAGTCTCTATCTACAACAGCTAGTTATATGTAGTTACCCTTTGACTGACGCCGGGGAACTGCAGAGTAAAAAACACTTTCTGGTTACTTCATAAGACATGGATGTGGATTGAAAGGACCTAACAGTTGTTTTCCATGTTTTAGTCCAAACTTAAAACTCAAAGTTGAAGCTTTTCTTGTTGCTCTACAACTGTTCTTCTTAAGGCTGGTCAACAATGTCAACTTGAAGAAACTTAAAGTTTTGTTTCAGAAGCTATATGTTGTATTGATATTACACATACACTCTTTCAACTTTTTCCATTTGTTTGATTGCTGACTTCAGAATTAACCAGTAATTATCTATTCTTTCAGTCAGCCCATACTATCGGCCTTTATGAGCCTCTTGCAGATACAGTATATTGGTGATTGCTGATGTGAAAACCTGACACAGCTGGGCAGACGCAGATCTTAATAGCAAAGGTTTGGAAATGTTTGAATCTTCAATATTCTCACATATTTAAAAGATATCTGTGTAAGAAAGCAGACTCCTCATTTATGACAGTTCACTGATTATCTTTGGGTTGTGGACAGAGAAAAGGAAATCATTTGGAGACACCAACTTGTGTTTGGGACATTATGCTCGGATTTCTGAATAAAACAGCAAATCAGTGAATTGAGCAGTCTCTGACAGATTGATGGACATTATAATAACCATTTGTTGCAGCTCTAAGACATTTAACAAGACATTGGAAAACATGTAAAGCAAACACTTGTGCTTGGAGAACAGCAGGCAGAAAAGTAAAATAAGTTCAACATGGTTGGGAAATTATGGGCTAAAACATGCAGAACAACATTACTATAGTTAAAAGTCTCTTCAGAAATCTAGCTTACTTTTTTTGTTATTGGCATCTTTAGCTTACTTCTTGTCAGATGAGAAGAACTGGCTTCCTAAATTTCTTACCATCACAGAACAAAAGCATTTCCTAACATTTACATGGCGTGACATTGTCCGTTAGTTCTGGTGGTAACTATTGCAATAAGCTGGCTGGCTGGCTGGGATCAGGTGGGTTGGGGGCTGATGGAGGGATGGATGGAAGGAGAGACGTGGTGAATGAAGGGACAGGGCATGGGAATAAACTGAGAGTCAGTAGTGGTCAGGGAGGAGTGAGGGAGCTGTTGCCTGGATACCAGAACAGACCTTGGTCTTGCCTCCACCATCGTTCCTCCACTTCCAGGTGGCAATTAAGAGCTGAGCCTCTCAAAAGGGTCCCCACTCTGACCGACATATGGCAGGGGACCCTGTAATGGATATCACTGGGCCAGGGAAAGCTACATCTGAAAGCTAATTACAACTGCTAATTACTGGATGAAATATTCCAACACCCCGTGGTACCACTTGAGTGATCCTTCAGTCCCAGTAAACCATGCAAAACACACTGCTTCTCACTGAGATGAATTAGTATTTGTCTTTTATTCAACACAGTGTGAGCTCTGCTTTTCCTTAAGTAGGGATTAACTGCGGCAAAATAAGTGAGCTTTAAAGACCGGATGGTTCTATGTGATTAGGACCAGCTCCACTAGAGAACCACTACAGCCAGCAAAGAGCTGGCCGACTGCCTTGCACTGCCCTAATTCATGCTTAAAAGTCAACTGCATCTTTGGACTTGTTCTTTTCTATCAGACCAGTAGTTTTTTTCCCCCCCAGATTTAACTTACAGGTCCAAAATAATGTGCAGGTTTCAATGATGCTACAGTAAAAATTTGACAACACTGTCAGTTTAAGGAGTATCCAGATGCTACATTTAACTCCATGTGTTTGAATAGCTCAGCTCAACAGGATTTTTTTCAGTACTGCCTAGTTATTAGCTTTATACATTATCCCTGCAAAGATCCCTTTTATCTATAAACCCAAATAACTCACTGGTTAAAACTAGGGATGCACCGATCTGATATTTGGGTCGGACATTGGCTCTGGTATTGACAAATTAACTGGATCAGATATCTGATAAATGCCGCCGATCCAGCATACACAGCCACACAGTGATTCTGTTCGCGCTATATTCTATGTCTGTCTATCCTTTTGCACCAAATGTTTACATGGAAGTCTTACTTCTTTTTGCTGTGTGTTAATGTGCAATTTGTTATTTTTTAAGAAACAATATTAAGTAAATTTATATCTGTGTTAATTTGTTACCTTTTTTTATTAACAAGGCTAATGTCAAGCCTGTTGCCTTCACTCAAAGGATAAGGTATACAGTTCACTCATTCAACAGTAGCATTGGATTGGTATCGGATATCGGCTGATAGGCTCAGCCCAGGTATTGGTATCGGATTGGATTGGAAAAAAAATGGATCAGTGCATCTCTAATTAAAACTGGAAAAAAATTTGATGAAGAGGTTAAAAATGGATGACCCAGCCATGCTAGCAGCCATGGGACATCTTGTGGGGGGACTACTAGACAGCTGGCCGTTGAAGTCTTGCTTAAATATTTTCTGAACAGTTTCCTCATCTTTGGAGGACAATGTAGTTGCTTTCACTTAACGTAGGTTAACTAGTTTTTGCTGCCTTTCTCTAAACTGGCAGCTACATGTAGAAGCAAGAAGATAATTAGCACTTTGAGTATACCTCAATTACAAGTATGTAACTATTAGAAAAATACTCAAATGTCCACATTTTTCTTTAGGAAGTAAATTCTACAGCTATCCATTTTGGAAATGGTTTGATCACCAAGCCCTTTACTTGGGTGTTAAATTTACACATTAGTTGATTTATCAAGTATACTAAAAAGTTGAGTGGTGTCTAGTAAATGAATACCAGAAAATAACCAACCTTTGGCTCACTCTAGCTGTCTAGACTAGTGAGAAGAAGAAAATGCTTTCCCTGTCCGAACAAAACATAAACAGGTGCATGTGATATGTTCTGTATTATGAGCAAATGAATAACACTTATCTTCCACTGCAGGACTGGTAAAACTGACAGTGAGTGGAGCCCTGGTTTACTGTCAGCACTTTCAAACATGAGGAAGAGTGAGGCACAAAGGAGGGGACTGACAGATCAGTACAGGTAGCCAGGAGCAGCGGGGGGAGGGGAAAAAGGAAGGGAAAGAGGAGGGGGAGGAAGGGTTTGAGGGAAGGTGAAAGGGTGGGTGGGGTTTCATCAGTGGAAGGTGATAAACTTTGCAAACCTTCCAAACTTGTCCTTGCTGCATAGGAGAGGGGGGAAGCATTGGAACGGAGAGAAGAAGAGAAGAAATCAAAACAAAGAGCCCACCCAGACAATCTGCTCGATCACTGGACTACACACTCATTCATTCACACACAAAAACACACACACACACACTCACATGCATGACTTCAAACAGGTGTTTTCTTTATATCTCAGATTAGTTAGGGACAGCCATTCTGGCATTTCTAACATTACAACACAATAAAAATAAAAAAAATAAAAAAACATGCTGCGCCAACATGTAATAATATTAACACTTTTATTTTATGTAAGCTGTCTTCAAAGAGTTCAAAGTGTAGTATCCCTCCCTGCTCACACACTGAAATGATCCATTTTTAAGAGTGTGGAAGGTTTGAGATAATTTGGCTGCTACTCAGGCTGTCTGTTTCGGTACGGTGTGAGAACAAAGTTTAGCTTTTGTACTTTTTACAGTCTAGAATACTTTCTCCACTATTCTGCTCTGTGACTGTTGCCTGGTAACAGTCAATGCAGAGTTTTTTGTTCACTAGAGCCCAGAGTGGGGGGGTGCCACAGCACAGCGGATGCCCTAATATCACGCAGCAACCTCCACTGTAGGCATTATAATAAAGTGTGAAAAAAAAAAAGTGCAGTTCCCTAAGTGTCCACTTGAGGCTGGTTGCTAAACCAAAGAAACTCAATTAAGTCCCATGACAAAAATGAATATTCTGCAGCGGAAATAGACATCTTTAAAGTCTGATTTGTTCTCCTAAAACACATCTGCGAAGATTATATCAAAGTCATGCATGAATTCACACAATAAGGGATGTGACAGAGTTGACTGACAGCTGGCTGAGTTGTACCTGTAAGGACACACTTCATCTCGACCTCTTTGTCTCTATTTGACCTATTTCAATGTACAGACCACCGCTGTTGGAGATTATGTCTCCCCTGAAACCAATGGATGATGTCACTGAAACTATGTCTGTGTTTTGTAATCTATGACTAATACACAGTGAAGGTGAATGAACATGTGGCTTGAATAAGTGGTTCTATTACAACTAAGGGCAAAACTGACAACTGTGAATGATACTGTGATTTATTTTCATTCCTTTGTTGAGAGGTAAAAGCAGTAGAAAGAGCAAGAAAAAGACCAGACTCCATGATTAAATATGCTGTTTTCATTTTTACCCAATATGGTATGTTGATTAGTGATAAACATTTAAGCGCCCTCATATCTTGGTTACAGAAAGTGTGTAATTAAAAATGCAGAAATGCAGAATACACACCGATACTAAAAGGATAAAATCAAAGTGAAAGCTTGTTATTGCTAAAAATGGTCACTGGAACAGAGACGAACTGAAAAATGTCTAAAACGCCTGGAAAACTCATGAAATATGTTGGTGAATGCCCGTGTTGCAGTTAAATCTAATGGCTCTCAGTATTGTAATTAGGATGATAGTACTGCCTGGATGAACAAGTAAGATTCTATCTCCCAAAAGCACCACCAGACTAACAAGTAAATGATGATACTTCGAGTGCTTACAGGTTACTGCATTATTTGGAATTTCAGACTCTGTCAGGAAGTAAAACTGAATTGACATTCACACAAGATGACGAGCTAAAACATTTCATAATAGTTATGCAATTGTTCCATGAAATTTCCTGAAAAATACAGTTCAAGTCCTGTCTCATTCTTATGAACCTAAAAATGTGTATCATACGTAAAGTAGCTTTTATCATCTCATGAGCTGAGCGAAGAGTATTGCCTTCCCCTTATTCATTTTATTTGAGCAAATTAATAGAGTGGCAAACTGGGCAAAAACAAACTTAGAAGAAACTAATAGCAAATCCTGAAACCTTTGCAAAAATCCATGACAAATGCAGCGATGAAAACAAACTACAAATATAAGAACATGCTGCAAAGCCAAACACATGAACGCCAAACAAACAGCTGATTTCTATATTGAAGCAAATTCAGATGCCACACAGTCCAAAACAAGGTGTAAAAATGCTGCAAATACAGTCATCATAAGAATGCCTGTAGCGGCAGCTGTTTGAATATCTACTCAATGGATCAATTTTATAAAGTCTTCTTCTCTCTCTTGCTCTTTCCTATTCAATAAATAATCCACTTAGTGCCCCTCACACCCCAAAAGGACTACCACTGAAATGACCAGATGTGCGTCATTATTTTATAGCTTTAATTGTTTATTAGAGGTGGGAGAAAAAAATCGATACAGTATAGTATCGTGATATTCTGTCTGGTGATATATCGTATATCGTACATTTACCAAGTATCGACTTTTCAAATTAATTGCTAATCTGTGATAATAAAAAAATAAAATCAACTGTTTGTCCAGTGAGGTTGGCAGAGGTGACATCATAGAGCAGGAGAAAGTTAGTACAACAAATAAATATAAGGCTTTCAAGTGCTGCATGAAAATAAAATATAGTATAAATAAGACAATCATAAAGGAAAGCCAAATGCTAAATTAGCTTAACAGTTGAAAAACACGCTATTGTATCGCAATACTTACTGTATTGCAAAATGTTAAAAGTCGCAATAACATCGTATCGTGACCCAAGTATCGCGATAATATCGTATTGAGGGGCCACTAGTGATTCCCACACCTATTGTTTAAAAACTGGCAGCTTGTTTGTTGTGAATGTGATTTTGTAATTTGACATCTCTAGGCACTTGTATTTACTTGTAGTGTGTTACCATATTTGAATTTGTCATGGACTTCTCATGCTTTTTGAATCATGCTTTTCGAAATCTACAGCCTGTTTCCCCAATGAATTATTTTTGGGCTGTTTGTCCCTGTCTGCCTCCATAAATGTATAATAAAAAGGTGACTAACAACATTAACATACTACATTCAAAGTTATTGACAACAAAAGATGGGTTGAGATGACTTCTTTCTGCTATTGGGGTTAAAATCTTTGATTGTTTCGAAGGACCCTTGTTTTATTCTCTGGCCCTTTAGCACCACTATGTTATTTAAAAGTATTCTTGTACAATCTCAAGTCACAAGAGACGAGAATACGAGCATGCCCACAACGTATGCCAAGAGAATAATATTGGAAAAGGTGGACACGTGGTTGTTTAATCAGAAAAAAAAACACAATTACACCGCCCCCTTTTTCAAGTTAAAATTCCAATCCAATTAACCGTCAAGAAAGGAAACCTAGAAGCTCAGTGGAAAATCAGTAGAGGAAGAAATAAGATGGGCCAGTGCCTCCATTAAATTGTTCATGATTGTTAAACTTTTAACTGACTTCTCTCTGAAAAACAAGCCCAGCCCCTTCTGAACCAATTTTGAGAGCCAACTTTCAGAGTGGTTTAATGGCATATATTCTTGAACAAAGCCTTGGTCTGTCAGAAAACTAACTGAGCTTATTCTTGATGGGTAGAAGGACAAGTGGAACAAGAACAGTAAAGATAACCCAGAGTGGGGCAAAAAGGATGAGCAATCAACTCTCTGTCTGTTACATCATGTCTTAATACTTTCTCATGAATGCAAGTAGTAACTTAACAGATTTAAATACGTTTCGTTTTTGACACCTGTCTGCCACAAACCAAATATAAAAGAGAAGAAACAATCCACAGTGTTTTTTTCTTCCCTGGAGGGGTTAAACTCACTATACTATGAATTACAGTAGAGAATTTCTTGTATTGAGTATGCATTTATGCACTGTCACACTGCTCGACTGAGTACCAATGTGAAGAGGGAATTCCTAAGCAAATATTTTGGCTTCAGTCTGCACACATCCATAGTCTGCTACCATCTAAACCTCACATACAGAGTCAAGCCACAGAGAAGACGAAAGTCTGCAGGTCTTCATCCAAACCAAACAGAACGGAAGTTGATGTCGATGATAGGGCAAACACAACCAGAGATCGAATTAACCACCAAAAAACCTGCAAACTCTCAGCTCACAATAGCACAACTGCTGACTGTTACCAGTCCCTTTTACAGAGTTTTCACTCATAAAATCAGATAGAAAATATGCAAGCCTTAAGTCTGCCAACAGTGTCCTTAACAGTTCATAAAATGTCATTAATATTAAAAATAAGGTGTTAAAATGCCCCAAGGGGTGTCCTTTATTAAATGTCAGCTTGTCATGTTTCCTCAGTGGATCATAATTCATTTTTGGATGCAGCTGCTGTACTGTCCTTAAAAACGCCACAGGGGTAGCCTTTTACCTACCTACACTTTCAAGTGCATTCCAGGCAATGACTAAAGAGCTAATGTTGAAAAAGTATACAGAGAAAGAATATAGTACATATGCTGAATCACCCACACCGTGGACCCTGTCTTCCTGTCCAGGGACTGTTACCACAATCTGACTTGTCCCAGTACATCCAGCAGGTCTTAGTTGGAAAATACAACATTGATGATGCCTACTTTGGGACACCTGAACTGAATAGGCTGGTTACAGACCCTGCTTTGTTGCTTTCCATCACTGTATCCATGTCAAATAACACATTTGACATAATAGTCTTAGTTTTTTACATCTGTTGTCCCATTGACTAGGTTTCTGTTCTTACAGTGTTGCAGTCTGTTTTTTATTGTAGTGTTTAACTTCAAACAGAATCAGGATCTTAAAATCAAAAGTCAATTAAATCTTGAATTTAGAGAATACCTACACTTAAATAATTATCCAGTAAATGAACACTTACTAACAGTACACAGTAAATGTATCTGAAGTCCTGGAAAGCTGCTTGAAAACTCACACAGCAATAAATATTAGTTTGGTTACTATCTTCCTTAATTGGTTTCAATAACAACCTACATGTCCAGGAAACCCTTTGATGCCAGGGTTTAACACTAAGCTGCACCAAGAAACTGTCTTTTTTGACTGTGAGTAAATTCATGAATATATGTTTACCATATTGCACAAAAGCTAAGGGGACTGGATGGACTAAAGGTGTTATCTGAGCGCATGCAAGGTTAAGAAAAATAAATACCCTGCTGTGTGTAAGACAAGATATGATGTTAAGAAGATGCTCGGGCTAAAATAGAAGCACAGCAAAGAAAAACTCGTATGCAACACAGCAAAGTTTAGTTAGGTGTATATCTGAGAAAACCAATTACAAGATTTCCTTAAGAGTGAGTGAATATGCTTGAAATGAAAAGGATTTTTTCTGTGATCTTAGATGATAATATTGTCATTAGTAAGCATGATTGACTGATTCCCAAAGGTAGAAACAAGGTAACCAAGTCAGTCTTTCCATTTGAAACATGATACTGTAACACGACTGATAATGATGAGGCAATTTCTGGAGGAGTTTCAAGAAAACAATTATCAAACTTGTCTTCAAACTGGGTTTTAAAAGGTGGCAGAAAGAAGTCCAGAATGAGCCCACTGATTGTTTCATGGATTATTGTCCCAGTTCTTCAATTTCTAGTTTTGGGATGCCATTGTTACTGCTGCTGTAAAGTTTTGTAAAATGCCTGATTGAAAAAAAAACAACAAAAAAAACATTGGAAGTGCATTTTTGAGGGTGGCTATGATCAGAGGACTCATGGCGAGGCAGATCAGGATAGATATGAAGATGATGGAACGTGCAGAAAAAAAAAAGCAAAGAAGGAAGGAGGGAGGAAGGAAGGGCGTATTAAGAAGAAAAATCAGCAGTAAAATCACAGTACTTGTGCCAGACTGCTCATACTGTCATATCCTCAACGGAGCACAATACACAAATGTTCTCACAAATCTAAGTTCACATTTTATTGCTGCCAACAAATATTGCTGATATTTTAATTAAGAATAAAATGATCAAATATAATGAGTTGCTGTACAGAGCAAACCAAAAACAGTTTGGGCTTTCAGACAGTTTGGCTTGTACACTGCACTCCTTTAAACTTCATATGCAAATGACTGGCCCCTTTCTCTCTCTGCCTGTTTTTAATTCATCTTACATACTCAGGCACAAAGGCTAGTCCCACACAAACAGACCCACTACTCTTTTCCTCCCACACACAAACCATTGGTTTTACAGTTGAGCAACACAGAAAAGATTATTATCATTACAATTTAGAGGCAACACAGTTTGAGAAAGAGACATGCTAGGAGAGATTAGTGGTAAAAATAAAGAACCACGAATATAACATATTATAATCCAAAACATCATATTAATGTGTTTTCAATAGGGCCCGACCGATATGGATTTTTTGGTACCGATGCCGATACCAATTGTTTGGGGGGAAAAAAAATCTGATTACTGATTAATCAGCCAATTTTTTAAATTTTTTATAATTTTATAAATATATATATAGTAACTCATGTTACTAATTTCCGGTCCGGTCTCATCTGGAGACATGCAGCTGCCTCAGTAAGAGAAGTAGCTTGATCACGTAATGTGTACTGTTGTTTATTTTACCGTGACTGGCATGGCTAAAAGCGTAGCAAGGATATTAGCAGGTGGCTAACTCTAACTTAAGCTTGCATATTACATGGTGCTTCACCGTTAACCTCGACGTGACTGAGACCACAACATCGTGAAGTGGGTTGAACTAAAACTAGTTGACTTATTGTCTACTTCACAAACTGGTTTATATACCGTTGAGGCGGACCACTCTCCTCTTAGTCTCAAACGGGCTAAAATTGGCTGATAAATCGGTCGGGCCCTAGTTTTTAATATTATCAGAGAAAGCAGGTGTTGGTTGGTCGCAGTACTGGATTCTAAGGATGCATGACATTATCACCAAAATATCTTTATTAGCACATAATGGCTTGCAAATAAATTCTCACCATTGGCAGATAGTAAAATTTCAACAGATAATGGTGACAAATACTGTACACGCCATGGCAGCCTATGCATACCAACAACAAGCTTAAAGGGCTGTGTAGAAGTATGTGAAGTGTTGTGAGGCACAGGTGACAGAAGGAGGGAACTAAACACTCATTTAAGCGTGCCTCCACAGAACCATCATCCTGAGCAGCACCAAAAGAACACATTTACACTTTATGGTACAATCAAGTGTTGCATGTCTTGTTTAATGTCTATTTCTAACACACATATAGACAGTCACGATTAGAATAGCAGGTACATTCTAGGTCAGGATAAACTTTGTGGCTGAAATAGGTTTGAAAATACAAGCGTAATAGCAATACCGTGCATCCCTAATGGATCCTGGAGTGAATATGTATTCACAATGCTAAACGTCGGCCATAACTGATGCATTCGCTTAAATTAACAACCCTGGGTAGTCCTGTCATGATGTTTTCGCTTCGTTTTATAGCAAATGTGTTGCAAGCTTAAATTGTCGTAAAGCTTTGGTGTAACGAAACTACAACTTATTAAGAAGTCAGCTAGCTTAAGTGTCGATTTGTAGTCCCATTTCGCATCAGTATCTTTCATACTTATCAGTATATTGGTTCGGTGTGTGTCGGTGTGATTCGTGTTTTAGATGGAGCAGAGACGACGCCCGACCGCTAACGTTAGCATTAGCGAGCAACCGCCGCCATTACCAGCCGTTGACCAGCCGACTTAAGCTAGCAGTTAATGCTACTAAAGGCCTCAAGGCTTGGCCACAACATCTCAGGGCGATATAATATCAGTATAGAAGTTCAGTTTTTAGCTTCTGGTAAGCACATTTCCTTTGTACAGCTCACAAGATTCGTTTTTAATACCAGCGAGATTAGTTTACATCGTAATTCAAACGAGCTATTTTACCGCAAGCTAATGCGTCTGCTCCTGGCTAGCCGTGCCCCAAGCCTGCTTGCCGGGATGATGAGGAGATATATTTAGGGTAACGAAGCTTTCTTTTTTCGTCTATAAACGAAGTATGAAATGTTGTGTTTCAGACTGACACATATGTAAAATATAAGTGATATAATAATCTAGCAAACATTGACGTTAGGGTAGGTAAATGCTAGCTACTCAGGCATTCATCCTGTCTCTCACAGCAATATTATGATTTGTTAGGGTGCAGATGCAGATATCTTTCTATAATGGATCTCATCAGGAGGATACAACTGCGTGAGTGTGCGAACCTTTTTGATATTGTAAACACGGGTCAACATCCCGATGCCTCTGTCGTTGAGGATGGTGAGCTTTTCTGCCAGTTTCTGCTGGCTGGGCTGGATCACTCCCCGAGACATCTTCTCGCTGTTCGTTTCAATCTCCGATTAAATCCAGAAAATATCACAAATCTCCGCTGCCACCGGTCCGGGAAAATATGATGAAAAGAAGCTGTGATTTGGAGGCGTTAATAGATTTCGCCCATGTTCGGATTTTTCGGAGACAGCAGCTTCCTGTACTCCACCCCACTGTCTCCCTGCCTGTTTTTTTTCGGTCACAGGGATGAAGAGGAGCTGTCCTGATTTTCACAACCAGGCTGGATCACGCTGCGTTCAAGTCACCCTCGTCCAAAGTAGTCCACGAAGGCCGCCGTGCCCTATTTCATAATTGATTGGGTATTTAAGTTTATCAATCGAATTTATGCATAATTATGCCAATCTTTTACCATAAGCTGTCCTTAATTTACCCAACTACAGACATACATCAGGGATGTATATGATTTTTTTGGTGATAGCCATGTGTGCAAAGCTTTTATCTGGGGTGCAAATTTAAGTGTCACCTTGCTGGCCACATATTTCACAGAAAATTTTGTATCTTCAAAACAGTTGCATTTTAAAGCCACTATCTGTCATTGCACACCAGATTACTAAGAGTATCGATCAAATCTATCATAGTAGGTTAAACGTACACCCCCCCCCCCCCCCCCCCCATTCATGAGAATTTCCACAAACGGTGCCACGTTGATATGTAGCTGTAATTCATTTTCAACCAGTTGTTGCGTTAATAACAAACTACATAAAAGACAGCATTATCAGCCACACCCCGTGCATAGCATCAAGGGAACTTATATTGTTGTCTATTTGACGAGGAGTACTTGAACGCATCATATTGTTGACGCAGCTTCCGACTCAGCTGTCAGCCCAGTCTTACCGCTGCTGCCTTTCTCGTTGTATTTCTCTCACACATAGATACCCCAAATTGACCACTACAGCATTTAGGTTTTATCAGCGCTCAAAGTAGATACCAGCTTATTATTTGGTTGAATTCGCAGAAAGAATGGCTATTTAGTTCAGGTGAGTAAAGGAAGCAAGGAGTCTTGGAGCAAAAGCTGTTTGACTGTTTGAAATCCGGTATTTTCCACAGCTGTTTTAAATTTTAATGTCCCATTTTCAATAAAACATTCTGCGCGTTTTGTATTCGTGTTAAGTAATAAAACTATGGCTAACGTGCGTTCAACCCGCATATCAAGTCATCTACATGAACCAGTGCACTCACAACAGCCTGCTTTGTTGAGTTTGCTGTATTTATTATGCTCTACTGGTTGTTTACATTTTTGTTCTACCACTTGCTTCGAAAAGATTTCCTGGTCTGTCTAACCAACTCTTTGTTCCAGCAGATTTCATAATACTAGAGCGATGCATTCACTGGCTCAAGAGATCCAGGGCTTTTCCAAGAACCGTTTGAAGAAACAGTGCACACATGTTACAACTGTAACAGGCAAGAAGCTGTTGGAGAGAAGGAGTGATGATGGAGAGGGCGAGGAGCAGGTTGAAGAGCTGGAGGAGGGAAGTGGATGTGGATTTGTGGAAGACAAAAGTCTGGACCTTCAAGTTGGGGTTGTAAGACCCTTCCTACTGCTTGGTAATATACAGTACATATTGAACTGCTACTTCTACTACTTGTGTTTCCTCTGAACTTTTTGTTTTACGCATGTAAATCAGTTTACTTTGACTGTTCCAGCTCCTACCAGTGATTACCAGGGACCGCTGGTATATTTCCTGAGTGTTCCTGACACTGTCTTTCATCCACCACACCCACAATACTTTACAACTCTTTCCAGTGCTTCGATTACTAATTGGCCATTACTTCAAGGACTGCTACTTCTACTCATCGTGTGTCTACAATTAATACTTAACCACACATTACTTCACCTGCAACAATCAAAAAAAGCTATGTCATGTTTAGAGAACTCTCTAATTTCCCTTTTTCTGTGGTAATTAAGAGCACAAAAAATCTACAAACCTTAATTCTGATGAAACCGGGACGTTGTGTAAAACATGAATATTATTTATATTTATATTATTTAATTATTTAATTGAATACACTACAAAGACAATTTATTTAATGTTCAAACTAATACACTTTCTTGTTTTTTAAATTGTTTTTTCAAATGTTCCCTTATTTTCAATTTGATGCCTGCAACACAATCCAAAAAAGCTTAATCCATCATGAGCAAAACACTTTGCAGCATTAAGCAGGTTATGTTGGCGAGGAAAACTTCCTTTTAACAGACAGAAACTTAAAGTACAACCAGTCTCATGTTCCACAGCTATGTGCTGATAATGAGTTGGAATTGGAAAGAGGATAGAGGGAGATGCAAAAAAAGAAAAAAAAGGCAGTAAGAAAAACAACAGTTCATACAGAAAATGACTGAAAATAATGAAAATAGCATGTGTACTTTATACAGAAAAGGCATATCAGTGGTAATAGACCAATCATTGTTTCAACCTGGGCGGCACAGTGGTGTAGTGGTTAGCACTGTCACCTCACAGCAAGAAGGTCTGGGTTCGAATCTGGCTCAGGGCGTTTCTGTGTGGAGTTTGCATTTTCTCTCTGCCCCTGTGAGGGTTTACTCAGGGTACTCCAGTTTCTTCCCACATCCCAAAAACATGCCTAAGTGGGGTTAGGTTAACTGGCCACTTTCAAATTGCCTGTATGTGAATGTGAGCTTGGATGGTTGTTCATCTCTATATGTCAGCCCTGCGATGAACTGGCGACTTGTCCAGGGTGTCCCAATAAGCGGTAGAAAATGGATGGATTGTTTCAACCTAGCAGTGTAACTAAGAGCTGACCCCAAGTCTGAACCAGCTCTAACTATAGGCTTTATCAAAAAGGAAAGTTTTGAGCCTACTCTTAAAGGTATAGAAGGCATCGGGCCTGAACCTCAACTGGTAGATGATTCCAGAGGAGAGAGGACTGATTACTGAAAGGTGTACCACCCAGACCACTTTTAGGGACTTTAGGTCTAATGAGCAAGCTGGGACCACAATATTTAAGTAGGGTTAAAGGGAACTAAGAGCCCTTTAAGCTATGATGATGCTTAACGAAGACCTTTGCAGGTCAGAAAGATTTCAAGATCTATCCCAGATTTTATGGGGAGCCAGTGGCGATAAGCTCATATAAGACAGACAGGTGCTCTTTCCAGGGTTTAAGTTTTTCCTCAAGCAGCAGTTGAAGAGTATTTAAAGACTTGTTAATGGAACCTAATAGAAGGCAAGTACACTAATGGACTTAGTGCCTGAGCCTGATTTTCTGGAAATGTGCAGGTGAAACAAAGGCAGTCCTTAAAATTTGTTTATACTCCAACTCCTACAACAGCTACTACTGGTCTGCTTTTGTTATCAGTCCTATCACAATTACACATTTTTGTTGTTGAGAAGCAACAGTTATTTTTTTATTTTATTTTATTTTTATAAAAACAGCTCGCTCAAACACATGGACTCTGTTGTATGCCGACAGGTGTTACAGACAGATTTTAAGACGTGTTATGGTAGTGCGGTGGGCAAACCTCATCAGAGCCTCTGAGGTTTTATTTGTCCAACTGTAATTATTTCACTTCAGTATGCCAGTCCACAGAGACACTCAGCTGTGTTTGTTTCTCACAGCAAATAGATAAAGTCCCTAATAGTAAATAAATCAATGTCATTAAAGTTGAATTAGTCTCAGGGAGCATGGAAAGGTAGCCTTCAGCCAGAGGACACAGGTTGACACCCTCTCATGTCAGCATGCATCTGAAGTGTCCTTCAGTCTGACACTGAAGCCCCTCACAGCTCTGGGGTGCTCTTCACTTCTGTAGCTGGCTCTGTGCTTTGACCTCAACTGCAGGAGAAATCAAAGTGAAATTTCTCAGCAGGGATCAATAAAATATTACATCTGTCAGACTCAACAGAGGTGACTCTTTTTCTTTATAGTGATTTGCCGCTAAAAGTAATAAACTGATCACTCCTCTGTTATGACGCCTCTCAGGATCAGTTACAGACCAGACAAGTTTTCAGAAAATCACCTTGTCCTCAATAATGAAATACCTCTTTGTTCTTGGGATTATTTGACAGTCTACCAGTGAAAGGAAGAGACACTACGATTTAGTGGTTTTTATTCCTTTGTTCAAGACAGTCTCAGGTTATTATTTATTTTGGCCCTCAGCTTGTTGTCTTTGATATCCATGTCATAGCTGACATACCATTTCCTGCTCTTTTTGTGCACCGCATATCTGACAATTCATCAGAGTATTAAGAATAAACTGCCTTCCTTTAGTAAATCTGAAAGAAGGGTTAAGGAAGGGTTAACTGCTGTCTAAAAAACTGTGCTAAATAGGCTAACCCCTGTGTAAGGCGACATTACTCAGTGTCATCACAGAGGGACCAAACAATCATGAATTAAATAAACACTAAAGGTGGGACTTGCAAAATTTATTCAGCCCTATATTTACATTTTATGCTGCACTTACCTCTTGTTACTTTGTGGCTTGTTGCTCTTGTCCAAATATGGTCATGTGGGGCTCTGAAAAGCAAGATGGTGATCACCAAAGTTGAAATTTAGGCTTTAGGAGTTTTGAAAACCACTGGATGACATTGCAGATGGCACTTTCGCTGCTTTTGTACAGTCTGCAGCACACCAATTAGGGGTGGAAGAAACAATTGATACAGCATATGTCCATGTAGATTCTCATTCATCCAGGTCATGGTTATCTTGAAGACTTAAAAACAGGCAACTGGACTGTGTAGAGTTAAGAAGACGTTTCGCCTCTTATCCAAGAAGCTTCTTCAGTTCTAAAAGTGCTAGTGTCAGGAGCAGATATTTATCTTACTGGAGAAGGGGGACAGTTAACGACTGGGAGGAGTTGAAAAGAATGGGTCGTAGAAACCCATCTCTCGGTGTGTCCCCCCCAAGTCGTTATCCTGAAAGGGTCGTTAGCGACTCCTATCATGTGACCACATGACTCATGCCACCTGAGTCATGTGGTTCCAGGTGTGAATGTTTGTGGAGCTTTCTGGGGAGAGAGCTGAGAACTGCATTGTAAGTGCCAGAGAGATTGTGCCTGAGTCCACCCCCTCTGTTCAGAGAAGGTTTCTCCAGCCTGGTAAAGATGGCTTCTTTAACTCCTCTTTCAAACCATCTGTCTTCTCGAGCCAACACCTGTACATCGCTGTCCTCAAAAGAGTGACCTGTATCCTTCAAGTGAAGGTGGACAGCTGAGTCCTGACCTGAGGAAGTGGCTCTCCTGTGTTGAGCCATGCGCTTGTGAAGCGGTTGTTTAGTTTCCCCAATGTACAGGTCTGAGCATTCCTCGCTGCACTGGACCGCATATACCACATTACTCTGTTTATGTCTCGGTGTTTTGTCCTTGGGATGGACTAGCCTCTGCCTTAGTGTGTTACCAGGCTTGAAATGAACAGGAATGTGGTGTTTGCCAAAGATCCTCTTGAGTTTCTCAGACAGGCCTGCAACGTAAGGGATTACAGTGCTCTTGCGTCTCTCCTCCCTTTCCTGTTCAGTGTTATTTCTCTTTCTGTTCTTCACAAAGGCCCACTTAGGGTATCCACAGGTTGTCAGGGCATTTTTGACGTGCTTTTGTTCCTTTTCCTTACCTTCTTTCTTCGTGGGAATGTTCTCGGCCCGGTGGTTGAGTGTTCTGATGACACCCAGTTTGTGCTGCAGAGGATGGTGGGAATCAAAAAGTAGATATTGATCCGTGTGTGTTGGTTTCCTGTACACTTCAACGTTGAGCCACCCATCTGCCTCCAAGTGTACAGCACAGTCCAAAAAGGCCAACACTTTGTCCTTGACATCTTCACGGGTGAACTTGATGTTGCTGTCCACTGTGTTGATATGGTCAGTGAAGGCCTCTACTTCATGTGTTTTGATCTTAACCCAGGTGTCATCCACATATCTGAACCAGTGGCTAGGAGCAGCTCCCTTGAAAGAGGTTAGGGCCTTCCTCTCTACCTCTTCCATGTACAGGTTTGCCACTATAGGAGAAACCGGGGAGCCCATTGCGCATCCGTGTTTCTGTCTGTAATGGCGCTCTCTGAACTGGAAGTAGGTGGTGCTGAGGCAGATGTCCAATAAGGAGCAGATGTGGTCCGGAGTTAAGTTGGTTCTGACTTCCAGTGTGCTGTCCTGTGAGAGACGTTGTCTTACTGCTTGGACTGCCTCTGTTGTTGGAATACTTGTGAAAAGTGATGTGACATCATAGGAAACCATGGTTTCATCTGGGTCCAACCTGATGTCCTTGATTTTCTCAGCAAAGTCCTGTGAGTTTCTGACGTGGTGAGGGGTGTGGCCGACAAGAGGAGCTAGGATGGTGGCCAAATGTTTTGCCACTTTGTATGTGACTGAGTTAATGCTGCTGATGATAGGTCTAAGGGGCGCCCCTTCCTTGTGTATTTTTGGTAATCCATAAATGCACGGGACAGCTTCCCCTGGGTACAGTCGGTAATAGAGTGGGCGGTCGATAACTCCATCCTTTTCGAGCTGTTGAAGTGCACTGATAACTTTCTTTTTGTAGCTGTTGGTGGGACAGACTGCTCTCCAAGCACTCAAGAAGTCCATCAGAACTTGGTTGAAGGGACAAAACGGACAGCCACATAGATACCAACATGCAAGAAAAGTGGGTGAAGAATTTGTCAGACAGGGTCCTCACTCAGCCGGAAAAGGAAGTCCTTTACAAAGGACTTAATTTTGCAGTTACCCCTGAACAGATCCCGGTGGTAGACCTTATCACAGCCACGGAGTCAGCGATCCGCAACAACAATCTGGCGGTCACGGAGGCAGAACAACTCAGGCTGAAGGTAACAGCTGCTCTCTCAAATGCCAAAACACCTCCTTCCAACTTGACCATGCAGGAAAGAAGAGCCTTGGCATCACTGCAAAAAGATGAAAACATCACCATCCTGCCTGCAGATAAGGGGAGATGCACTGTGGTACTCAACACCAGGGATTACCATGACAAGGTAACAAGCCTTCTCAGTGACACTGCCACCTATGAAACTCTTAAACGGGATCCCACCAACAGCTACAAAAAGAAAGTTATCAGTGCACTTCAACAGCTCGAAAAGGATGGAGTTATCGACCGCCCACTCTATTACCGACTGTACCCAGGGGAAGCTGTCCCGTGCATTTATGGATTACCAAAAATACACAAGGAAGGGGCGCCCCTTAGACCTATCATCAGCAGCATTAACTCAGTCACATACAAAGTGGCAAAACATTTGGCCACCATCCTAGCTCCTCTTGTCGGCCACACCCCTCACCACGTCAGAAACTCACAGGACTTTGCTGAGAAAATCAAGGACATCAGGTTGGACCCAGATGAAACCATGGTTTCCTATGATGTCACATCACTTTTCACAAGTATTCCAACAACAGAGGCAGTCCAAGCAGTAAGACAACGTCTCTCACAGGACAGCACACTGGAAGTCAGAACCAACTTAACTCCGGACCACATCTGCTCCTTATTGGACATCTGCCTCAGCACCACCTACTTCCAGTTCAGAGAGCGCCATTACAGACAGAAACACGGATGCGCAATGGGCTCCCCGGTTTCTCCTATAGTGGCAAACCTGTACATGGAAGAGGTAGAGAGGAAGGCCCTAACCTCTTTCAAGGGAGCTGCTCCTAGCCACTGGTTCAGATATGTGGATGACACCTGGGTTAAGATCAAAACACATGAAGTAGAGGCCTTCACTGACCATATCAACACAGTGGACAGCAACATCAAGTTCACCCGTGAAGATGTCAAGGACAAAGTGTTGGCCTTTTTGGACTGTGCTGTACACTTGGAGGCAGATGGGTGGCTCAACGTTGAAGTGTACAGGAAACCAACACACACGGATCAATATCTACTTTTTGATTCCCACCATCCTCTGCAGCACAAACTGGGTGTCATCAGAACACTCAACCACCGGGCCGAGAACATTCCCACGAAGAAAGAAGGTAAGGAAAAGGAACAAAAGCACGTCAAAAATGCCCTGACAACCTGTGGATACCCTAAGTGGGCCTTTGTGAAGAACAGAAAGAGAAATAACACTGAACAGGAAAGGGAGGAGAGACGCAAGAGCACTGTAATCCCTTACGTTGCAGGCCTGTCTGAGAAACTCAAGAGGATCTTTGGCAAACACCACATTCCTGTTCATTTCAAGCCTGGTAACACACTAAGGCAGAGGCTAGTCCATCCCAAGGACAAAACACCGAGACATAAACAGAGTAATGTGGTATATGCGGTCCAGTGCAGCGAGGAATGCTCAGACCTGTACATTGGGGAAACTAAACAACCGCTTCACAAGCGCATGGCTCAACACAGGAGAGCCACTTCCTCAGGTCAGGACTCAGCTGTCCACCTTCACTTGAAGGATACAGGTCACTCTTTTGAGGACAGCGATGTACAGGTGTTGGCTCGAGAAGACAGATGGTTTGAAAGAGGAGTTAAAGAAGCCATCTTTACCAGGCTGGAGAAACCTTCTCTGAACAGAGGGGGTGGACTCAGGCACAATCTCTCTGGCACTTACAATGCAGTTCTCAGCTCTCTCCCCAGAAAGCTCCACAAACATTCACACCTGGAACCACATGACTCAGGTGGCATGAGTCATGTGGTCACATGATAGGAGTCGCTAACGACCCTTTCAGGATAACGACTTGGGGGGGACACACCGAGAGATGGGTTTCTACGACCCATTCTTTTCAACTCCTCCCAGTCGTTAACTGTCCCCCTTCTCCAGTAAGATAAATATCTGCTCCTGACACTAGCACTTTTAGAACTGAAGAAGCTTCTTGGATAAGAGGCGAAACGTCTTCTTAACTCTACACAGTCCAGTTGCCTGTTTTTAAGTCTTCAAAATTGATACAGCATAGTATCGCAATATTTTGTCTGGTGAAATATCAAATCGTCTCATTTACCAAGTGTCGATTTTTCAAATTAATTGCTAATAGGAACTCAAGTCTATGATAATGGAAAAATAAAATCAATGGTTTGTCCAGTGAGGTTGGCAGAGGTGACATCATAGAGCAGGGGAAAGTAAGTAGCCTACAACAAATATATAGAAGGTTTGCTAGATGTGCTACATGAAAATGAAATAAGAATGAGAAAATGAAGAACTTAATTAATCCCCGAAGGGAAATTCAATTGTCCGTCGTCTCATTTGTCATTTTTCAAAAGAGTTGTACAGTCTGATGGCTGTTGGTACAAAAGATCTTCTGAATCTTTCTGTCCTGCAGCGAAGAGAGAGGAGCCGTCCACCACCATTGGCCCTTTGGTCCATCAAGGTGTTGTGAAGTGGGTGATCCATGTTCTTTAGAATAGTCTCCACCTTCTTCAGTGTAGATCTCTCCACCACATCCTCCACTGAGTCTAGCTTGAATCCAACAACAGAGCCAGCCTTTTTCACCAGTTTGTTCAGATACTGATGGAATCTACTGTGGAAATAAGACAAACATAAAGGAAAGACAAATGCTAAAGTAGCTAAACAAAGTTTGTATGAATCGCAATATATTATATCGCAGTACTCACTGTATTGGAAAATGTTAAAAATCGCAATAATATCGTATCATGGCCCAAATATTGTGATAATGTCGTATTGTGGGGCCACTGGTGAGTCCCACCCCTAACACCAATATGCTGTGTGATCTTGTATGACAAAACTAAAAATTGTAGTTTTTATACTAAGCTAAACTAACCTGTTGCTTAAAAGCACGAGGGAGGTGATGTTAACCTCCCACAAGGAAAGCAAACATATTTTCCAAATCTCTCTCATAATCCTTTTATCCTTAGAGGTTTTTTATGGTTCTCATAAGGACAGCAAACTAAGAATTTAATCATACCTTAGAAGCTGCTCTCTGGGAAATGACAAGAAGGCTCTTTCATCTTGAAACAATAAATTCTTAAAGATATTTCAAAGACATTTTGGACTTTTTGAAGCACAAAAGAATATTACTTTTTTTTAATCTTCAAGCTTTAAAATCATCAAATATTGAGCCACATTCAAAAAGGCTGATATGAAGTCATTTTATAGAAGAGAAACAACTGCAGGGGATAGTTTTCATGGGGTTATTAGACAAACAAACTGCAGTTCAAATTCTATTTTTAGAAAGAGAAGACTTTTTAGAGTAGCATTTGCTTCTCAGGGTATAAATATGACTGAGATCTGTCCTCTGGAGCTTAGCAGATTGAATTGGTCCCATGTCACACTTGTATTTAAAAGCTGTCTAGAAATCCTGGCATTCCTGCATCCTTTCACAGATGTGTCAGTATAAATCTTTTCCTTTTACACTGATGAAGCATATGGGCTGGAGCTGGATTATTTCCAAAGACTCTCTAGCCTTTGGATTTAGATTTACTTCTGAACACCATGAATTTGGCATTATATGAAAGTGGCTTTGGCTGCTGCAAAGAGTGCAAATATGAGCTATGAGCTGCTTGGGTGTAGCCACTCGAGAAATCTGAATGAATCCCTTCCATCATAATCAGCTCCCCGTTGTACGTCTCTGTCAAATAATCTTCTGTCAAGATGTCCACTGCATTTGACAAGCTGAAAGAGACTGCTGTTTCAGTTAAGCAATGTTTTTTTATTGATACTGAGGTTTCTGTAAGTTGTTCCTCATTTTACTCAGTTAGTTTTGAACTTTTGTCCTGTATCACGTCAGTAACTTCATCTTTACCTGTTCAAGGCTCAGGTCATGAAAACACATTTACACAGTATTGTCGTGAAAATGACAAACTACCTTGTCTGTAGATAAATGTGGGTGTTTATCTCAGCAGTTTTTTGTTGGATTGGTTCCTTGGTTTGGCGCTGTTGTACAAATCATTTGTTTTTATGTGTTGCTCTAAGCGGACTGTTTTTTGCTGACTGATAACATCCCTGTTTGGTGCTGCAGCTGTTCAGAAAGTGTTTTTCTGTCTAGAGATTTTGCTGCTAAATGATCCTGGTGCTCATATCCTGCAGCATTTGCTTCCTTTCACTAAAAAAGGCAGGGTTTTTCTGCACCAGCTGTTTATTCTCTGCTTTATTACAAACAAAGAGTAACTTTCTTGGTCCAAAGTTCAGAGTCATCTGTCTTGTCTATTCTCTTCATATCCAAAAGAAAAGTTTTGTCACTTTTTGTCATTTTCATGTGCTAACATGTTTTTTCTTTGCTTGGGTTTATGGGTGTTTCTTCTTTAGTTTTTACTAGTTTTGCACTAAGTTGCAATATCTTTTTCAGACTTAAATGGAAAATACTGCCACAAGGCTGACATCACTCCTACTCCTTGCTACTTTGTTCATACCTTTGTACACAGTGTTGTTGTGATCACATGGGCTCCGCATGCTGGATCTGGGCACTGCCACATAGAAGTGCTGGAACGGAGCCTAAAATGGACTGATGGTATCGGAGTGCTGATATGTGAGATTTTAGACACAGGCCGATATAATCCAATATTTGTTTTTTTGCTTATATCGGACTGATATCCGATGTCAATGTTGTATCCCCTTAGTTTTTACATACTTTAACGATAATGCGTTTGTGCTCATGAGCTTGATCTGAAACATGTAAATGTGCTCATAATTAAATGCAATGTCACTTTTTAAATCCAATATACAATCCACTGGATGTTAGGGCACTGCTAAGACTGCTTATAGTGTCACTAGTACAGGACCCTATGAACTAACACAACTAAGACAAATGTTCAACATAATAACTTCCCCAACTCCTTTATTTGATTCATTTTTCCCTTTCAGATGTTTTATAAAGTGCAGAAAACCTTTAAGAACATTTACTTAAGGTCATTTTTGTTATAGATGAATTTCCAAAAAAAAGAAAGGCATTTCTTAGACCCCATCTAGGAGACAGCTACTAATGCTATGCTGTATTCTTTAAGACACAATAATTAAAATCAAACACCAGGAGTTTTAAAGGAAGAAAGCTAAAGCCACAGGAAAAATACTTGTAATAAAAAAATATCCACAATTTAAGATAAAGACACATACAACACAATAAGAAAGATAAAAATTCAAAGTGATGGATTTGTAAATTATATAGCATTGATAGGATAAGTTGTCAGCAAGAGTTTGTTGAGTTTAAATTAATGTTGGACATGTTAGGAGCACACAGGGTACAAGAAAAGGATGTAATAATATATTCATTAACCCTGCTGATTTTTTTATTTATTTATAATTTTTAATAATATCTGGGGGGGTCAAATTGATTTTAAAATGTCAAAAGTTAAGGACGAATGCTTTTCACTGTTCACCAAAGCCAGAGACACCATCAGAATCTTCTTAGGACTCTAACCAACAGTCTAAGATTAGATGATTTCTTACTTTAAAAGAGACTCATTTATTTTAACAAATGACCTTAAGATTGATCATTAATCAAGATTCAAAAGACATTTTCACATTTATCAGAATCAGGAATAATAAAGGCTGACCGAAAGCACTGCAGTTCTCATCATTATAACACTAACAGTTTTGCAAAGCATAGTAAAGTGACATATTTTTTTCTTCCACGCCAACACAAAGAGGGAAGATGCTGCATTTACTTGTCCTTTAACCACACAATTTCTGCTAGCCTGCAGGAAACCTTTGCTTCTTTGAATATATAGGTTTTGATAAGCAGAGAAATACCCCTGTCTGTCTTCTTATGGAGTTGTTTCTGTCTTTTCAGCCTCTCAGGATGCAGCCCACGACATTGACACCCTGCAGAGATATAAGGTCAGTACAGGGAGGATCAATACTGCAGGCATGCCCTTGCCTTGATGTGATCGCAAGTGTAGTGACATGAGATTAGAAGCGACCATGTAGGTGTGCATTCCTGCGGCTCTGCGACAGCCAGCCAATAGCCTGAGGAGCTTCATGACTCATGCAGTGACAGTTTAGCTCAGTAGAGGGAGTAAATGATTACACTAAGTCTCAGCGCTGCTGCGCCTCCACATCAGAGAAATGTGACTACTCCTCTCTGCAGTGGCTGCTCCCAGGCATGAGCATATTGCTGCCTGTGCAGTCTCTGGATGATGAATTGGAGAGATTACAAGTGCCTTCACTTCCTGTTACTGCGACGAAGCCCTGACCGCCTAATAACCAAACCACGCAGGGTTTCCCAGACAGCTATTAAAGCTCAGGAGGCTTAACAGGCTCAGAGGACAATTTATAAAAGAATCCATTCTTTCCGGCACAACATTAAATGAACATTTACTGGCATCACAAAGAAAAGACTACAACATTGTGCTGAGGGTGTTGTTTGGAAATCAAATCTATTTTTTTAAAGGAAGGTAACCAACAATTGTTGCGTTTACTGTATATATACTGTAGAACCCTCTTTTCTGTCTCTATTTTCTATTTTTTCATAAAACTTTGAGAAACCTGCTCATTTCAGTGGTTTTGACATTGCCAAGGTTTCTATGTCAGTGCAGGTTTGTTTTTGACTCCTTCACATCCAGCAAATCTTTCTATCCGACAATGATTGACCTCAACAGCTCATGATGAAACCAGTTTTCTTTCTGGCTGACAACTCAACCTACAGCATCTATACTAAATATTCTCAATGCCTGAAAAGAGATGCAAAAATTATATTCTCACTATTGGAAAGATGATGCTTCATTTACTTTCATTCCAGCAGGTGGACCTAAATTACACCATCAATCACGATATTTTTTGTGTCACTGACTTAATTGCTACATAACTCGATCTGAGAATGCACCTGTGAAAACAAGGCAGAGAATGATCAGGAACATGAAAGTGTAAATACATGTCAGCGTCTCTATTATAGCAGGATTTCTCAGCTACCTTAGCATATTTTTTTATATCATGTTTCAGAACTCAGACATACTTCAAGATGAAATTGTGTCTAAAATAATTTGTTGAATTTTTTTTTAAAACTAAATTTAATATGCATGTTGACAACCTCTGTTTTTTCGACTGTCAAACACCTTCCAGGAAAAGACCAAAGCCAACAATATAAATTTGTTTCACTCTCATTATTTTCCAACCTCCTATCTGCAGCTGCTCCCTCTATACCAGATGCATTACACTTAAAGTCCCTGTGAGGAGTTTTAACTTGGTTTAAAACAGACTGAAATCAACAGTGATGCCTCCTAATGATCCACAACAGCAAAGGAGATCATCACTAACAAATGGAAATGTCTGTAGTGCAGTTCTTTATGTCTGTAATTGCAGCAACGTGCGGGTGTTGGACACGATAATATGCAGCACTCATTCAACTTTATTCACAATAGCCATGTTTACATGGGCAAAATTTCTTGTTCTGATTAAAATTTGAGGGATATGAAAATCTAGATCCACCATTTATATAGGCACAAAATCAAATAATCTGATCAGATGCGTATACATGCGCCAAGCTATATTCAGATTAGAAGCATTTGGACATGCGCAGAGTTGTCCGATTTCACTAAAACAACCACAGAAGAAGAGTTGTATTTACACCTGTGCTATCAACAAACCAACAAACGCAGAAGTGGCTCACTCCATCCAATTCAGTCACTAATGGCGGAAATGTGTCACGTTGACATAGGGCACGTGCACAGTCAGGTTAGTTTTGCCCAACAGAGAGTCACGATCGGAATAAGAGGTACATGAAATGTACCGAGACCTAAACCAACCCTCGCAATCAGAATACAATTTCTTCCCGAGTGAGCCGAAATGGATAAGAATATTCCGACGATATGTTTTACGCGACACATTTCTATTCCGATCAAGCCTTCATTCTGATTATTTGTGCCCATGTATATGCAGCTAGTGATATATTTGATGTTTAAAAAAACTAGGATGAGATTTTTTGTCTGAAAACCCTTTCTTACACAGGTTTAAAACAAAATAAGCAAAGATGTATGAGGTACAGTCTCGCCCAGAGGGGTTGCAAATGTCAACAAAAATGGGGTATCATTAGCCTAGTGGTCTAGATGCGCCCAAGTCTGGTTTGGTTACACAGTGTGGCACTTTGTCTGCATGTCACTTTGAGCTGTTCCCTTTTTCCTGCTCTATTCATTGTCATCTTAATTAAGGGAAAATAAAAACAAAATAAATCTTCAAAAATGAAAAAAAAAAATCCACACAAGCACACAGTCTCTCACAGCTGCTTTAAATGCAAATGACAAAGAAACCGTTCAGTTAAAAATAAGAGACTGAATTATCTTTCAAAAAGCTTGTAACTTTAGATATTAGCAAAGGTTACACTTACAGTATGTTAGTCATTGATGATTTTTTGTCTTTGCCACCACTGCAAAGCTTACAGTCAGTATAATGTTGACAAATGTTGCTTTATAGATAATCTGTTGCAAGTAAGCCCTTACAATCACATCTGAGCTTTTTTTTTTTTTGCCATATGCTTTAGATATGTTCGAGTGTTAATTAGGGAGCAAACAAGTTCCACTCTCTGTATTCAACACCAGAAATTGAAATTTGAAAAAAGAAAGAAATTGGCAATAAGTTCCTTTTTCAACAGCAAAAAGGAAAAAATATACTATATATATATATAGACCTTTGAGAAACGCTGTAACAGAGGAGGTGAAGAAAATACAGAACATCTCAAGACTTTTCCTTTATCTTTAAGAGAGGATGTTAGCATCAAATCAGTCCAGAAGCAGGAAACATCACAACAATGTTAGCTAAGTTCAAGAGACACAGAACAGATACTGCAAAATGAATTGGAGCCATCTGTCTTCTTTCCCTGTCTCCTCTCTTTCCCATTTCTATTCATCCATCTTCCCCCCTCTTTTCAACCATCTCTGGCTCCAACCCTTTGCCCTCTCACTCAGTCACGTTCAGGTGGTGTCATGTCATCAATATGGCTGACAGAATATCTCTCTTACCCAAGTAAAAACAGCCTTTTAAACAAGTCAATGCTCAGGGGTCGTTTGCTCAAGGAGTTTCATGTCTCTTTCCTCCTGTCAGGTGTCTCATGTGCTAAATGTGGCATATGGAGTTGATAACCTGTTCCCAGATCAGCTGGTTTATAAGACGCTCCAGATCCTGGACCTACCAGACACTGACATCACATCATATTTTGGGGAATGCAGCTCCTTCATTGATCAAGCACGAGAACAGGTATACACACACACACACACACACACACACACGCATAAACCTACACAATCAGCATCTACGAGGAGGAGGAAATATGAAAACTTCAGCTGAGAACTGAAACCTTTGCTTTTGTAATGAAAAATTTTTACATCTAGTAAAATGTTTCTGGCATTCTGTGAAGTGTTTTTCAGTTTAGTAATACATTTTAGCATTTTTGTTAATGTCTTGTGGTCATGAAATATTTGTGCAGTTGACCCTCAAGGCCACCATAAAAACCAGACACAGACTACTTTTCTGACTCCAGAGATGCTTGTTCACCTCAGGCGGGGGGACTGTGCCAGCTTTTCCACAGTCAAGATGTTATTAAAAGTCTTGTATTTACTGATAAAGGAAACATTTGGAAAGTGAAGAGACCCAAATGTCCAAAACTTTTGTTATACTTTATTATTTCTATTATATTTAAGTATAAAATAGTTCCGGTAACACTTTATTTGACACCTATTTCTATAACGCATTATGAATATATGTATAATGTGTTATAATCACGTTATAGCACTGTATAACTATAGTAATAAACACTCATAAATGATCATAATGCTTTATAGCAATAATCATAACACATTATGATGCATTTTATCATGACTTACAAGGTCAGGTATTATAATGTGCTATAAGTGTTAAGAACTCACTGACAATGCACACATAGATAATGCATTGCAACTGTTGTTGTTAACAGTTATAACACATAATACCTGACCTTATAAGTCATGATAAAATGCTTTATAATGTGTTATGGTTATTGCTATAAAGCATTATGATCATTTATGAGTGTTTATAACTATAGTTATACAGTGCTATAACGTGACTGTAACACATTATACATATATTTAAAATGCGTTGTAGAGATGAGTTAAACAAAGTGTTGCCGTTGTTCCAATTTGATTAGTGAAATGTACCTTTAACTCTAAGGTTAAAGCCTCTAACAGTTCGTATTTATTACTCAGTATGTTTTTACATTAATGCATATAATTTTGATTTGTAAATTTTGTTTTGAAGCAGCATTTTAACATTACAGTTATGAGGATGTTAAAAACTGGTTGTGGAGTCATCTGGTGAATTCTGCCTGAAGATGCATGCAGTAAAACAGGGCTAACAAGAAATCCTCCAGAAAGCTATTTATGAAGAAGTAAGATGTGTTTGTATGAAATTCAAATGAACGAGAAAAGTACAAGTGCAGTCAAATTCTGCTTGTGTGAATGCATGAATGTATTCAGTCATTTTATACCTCTAACAGCTGCAGACACAAGCACACAGGACCAAAAGCAGAGTTTCAGGGTTCTTTTCCAGATAAAATATGTATCAAATCTATTAAAATATTTCTCTATCCACATCTCTTCAGGGGGGCTCATGCAGCCTAAAAATGCTGTCTTTTATATCTGCTGGCTAATTTAACATGTCAGCGTGCACACACAGAGACTCTGCTACCACACTGCGATGCATTTACACACATTGGCAGCAGTCAGCTATCTGTAAGTCAGCACAAAGGCAAGGTGGGTGGTCAGAATACCTATTAGAGGACCATGCTGGGGTCAAAATGTTCTCTGCTTATGCTTTCCCTCAGTCATTTCACGGGCTGTATGCAGTACTTTTCAAAGGATTATTTCCTTGCAGAGTCTTAAATTTCTTCCTGTGAGCGTGAGTGTTTGTGTGTGTTTGTTTGTGGGTGTGTGAGTGTGTGTGTGCTAAGTCAGGAGATGGACCATAAGCAGAACGTGAGGCGATGTGAGTGCTGATATGAAAACACTCAACTGGAGCGCAATGAAATAACTGCAAAACAAGAAACTCCGACAAAACCAAATTAAGTCGCCATGTTCGCTTTGATGGATTATCTTGCCCGGGCAATTTTCATTCTGTAGGAGTTTTCTTGTTTTTTTTTTCTCCCTAAAAGAAGAAAAAACAAGATCTGATATGTAGCTACACTGAATGCAGACACCAGCAAAATAATATAGAAGCACAGAAACCTTTGCGACTGATAGAAAGGTATTAAAGGGTGATATTATTGGTACAGCTTTCCTGAATGTTCTGTGTGTGCCTCATTTGATTATGTTACCCGGAGGAACAACCTGATAGGTTTATAGTTTGTGTGTAATTCCAGATAACAGTGATGACATGTCAATTTCTGCAGCTGTGTGTATGTGTGTTTCAAAAGCTAATTTATATCTTGTGTTTTTGAGTGAGCACTGATTGACATGTTAAATGAAAATATGTTTCCTGCAGTTTTTTTCTGCTCCATTTCAGCTAGAAGAGAGACTTTACTCTGTGCTGAGAGACTCTGTGTTGAATAAAGGAGACAAATGTGTCAATACACTGAGCTTCAGAACTGAGCCGTGGGCCTGCACGCATTGTCTAAAGATGTGGCTGGAATTTAAAAAAAAAATAATTTCCAGCGAGGCACTCAAGGCAGTAAAATAATTACATCAACATTAATATTAATCATGTTGCAAAGTTTGACACACACACACACAAACCACAGGCACAGATTTATTCCTTCTCGACTTTTTCTACATGCTTGATTTGATGCTACTCTCAGAGATGTTACAAAAGTCAGACATTAAAAAGTTTCCCTGGTGAAATAAAGTGACTATGAATTTTTAATTTCCCCGTTTACCTAACTGACCAGATAAGGGTGACAGAAGTGTACATGAAGTACACAGTGAATGATAATTTCCTGTTATTTGAAAACAATTTAATATACTCCAGGTTACAACTAATAAACTCTTTTCAAATCAAAAGTACTTATTTCAAATCAAGCCTGAAATTTTCTGACATTTGGCGAAGGGATTGTCATTTGAAACAACAAAGTTAACATTTGAACTCACTCAGCATTAAAGGGATATTCCGGTGTAAATTTAAGTTAAGGTCAAACACAGTGTAACCTCCTCCTCCTTAGACACCCCCTTGAGAGATGAATGTTGCCAACTGCTTTCCTCTCTAGTCATACCAACTTCACCAATGACCACATGATAGCAATACATAGCGGTCTACATCTCCACGCGCAAACCTCAACCAAAACACCACTCTATAGCCACAAATAATTCTCAGAGCAGCACCTAACTTCAACAACAGTACAAATAGGGTCCCAGCCATAGTACTAGCCATCAAACATCTTTTTAGCTTTGCCTAATTTCTTTAGCAAAGAGACCAAACACAACTCACCCACTGTCCTCCAGCAGCCGCTTGTTTTTGGGGGGAGCCCTGACAAGTTGATCACCGAGTGCAGCAGAGTTTTGCAGCTCAAAGAAGAACATTTATGATCATTACTTCATGGAAATAAAATCAGAGTTCTTGTGTATCCTGTATGTGCACTGCAGACACAGAATTTTTGTCTGTCTTAGCATCTCAGTCTGATTGCATTTCCATGAAGTACTAATCATAAATTTTCCGCTGCACTCGGTGATCGACTCGTCAGGGCTCCCTCATAACTTGTTGTTACAGTGTGTTTGACCATAACTTTTATGCCGGACTATCCCTTCAAGACTTCAACTACAACACCAATACAAACATGTGAACCTTTGAAATTTGAATAATGTCTCTACTGAAAGTTTAATTTTCATTTCAAGTCATTGTTATTTTAAACACACTTTTTTACACTTGTGTAGTAAACAGCTGAGCCTATTCACTTTCTGCATTTCAATGAGTACAATTATGCTCAAGTTTCATTGCTGCAAACTAGATGAAAATAGCACAACCCAGCAAATATACAGTCATATAACACACAAAAATATAAGCTACTGTATTAAAACTGCATGATGGGTAATGACAGTTACTGAAGTACTGTACGTAAAATTAACATGAATCTCTCAAACCCCCTGCTGTTTGCCTGTCTCACTTTTTTTCCCCACAGGACGGTGTGGTGCTGGTCCACTGTAACGCAGGCGTATCACGTTCCTCCTCCATTGTGATTGGTTACCTGATGTTGAGGGAGGGGCTGATGTTTGACGATGCGTACAGCCAGGTGAAGCTGGCACGGCCTTCAACTCGCCCCAACCCAGGTTTCTACCAGCAACTACAGAGCTACAAACCTTAAAGACACAGTTTAAGTTTTTTTTTTTTTTTTTTCCCTACATGAAGACAGCCAAACAGTGATGTACCATCACCTTCTGGAGTACCAAACAGATGACTACACACCAAGAAAAGGCGGACCTCAGTATATTTTGACTTTGTTTTTGGTCCCAGTCTACCACTACCTGAGGAACATTTAGGGCTCTTGAGTTGCTCATAGTTGTGCCTGGCTTCAGTAGGTTTTAAGTTTGAAAACAAAAGGTGCCGAAACTTCCATTTTGCTATTTGTGTGTGTGTGTTTTTATACACGTGTTAACTGTGAAAATACCAATGAGTGCTGTTTTTTGGGGAAGGAGTCTTAAAAATCATGAGGCCTTACAAGAATATAACATCCGCACAAAGTACTATTGCTTAGAGTTTCATATTTTCATGTTCCTTTTGAGTTTTCTGTCATTAGGTCTTGTTTCTTTGTGCCATGTTTATGTCAATGCTCTGGTCCATGCATTTTGTTTCAGTTCTTACCTTTATATTACATAAAAAACAGTGTCTGCTTCTCAGTTCGCAGCAGTAAAAACCTTTATACAGGATCAGATTTGTTCATGTTGGAGACATGTTTGCATTGATGAAACATCTCATTAAAGACCTACCAGTTTTTCTGGAGTACAGCTTGATTTTCCTACATCTTTTACAACACAATCATATACACCAATCAGTTGTTATGATAAACCCTCTCCACTGTATTGCCTCCATCAATCTAACAACTTAGCAAAGTTAATGCGCTAACCTCGCTCCCTTGAAATAATTAGCTTGTAATTAGCTTGTTAGATAATGAGGGAAAATTCAGTTGGCTCAGATGCTTATGAACCAAGTCCACTGGGACGAGCTCCTGAAGCTGCAAACTCTCAGCACACAAAGGTTTCATATACTATCAAGCTTTGCTAACAATTTATATGGAAATTAAGTCTGCTGTTGGAATGCACCATCACAGTTATAAAAGGGAAGACCCATTTTTCTGCACAGAATTTGAACAACAAACCCACATTTTTGATTAATAAGACAGAAAATTCCCTCTCTTAACCGTACAATTTACTCTGATTGGTTCAATGAAAATAAAACAAGCAAGAAATTAAGTTTCCAAAGGTGAAAAAACAACCATGATTTATTGCCCTTGGTATCAAAGGCAACAACCAGATCACACCCACAACACATATCAAATCAATCTGCAAAAAAGGTGTAATGAAGTGAGAGAAACCTTACTCTCTAATCCTGCATCAACAGACAACATGAGGGATTTTTTCAACATTACCTTTAATTTATTAAGAGAGCACAGAAGAACCTTTGATTAGTGGGTAATGGCCGACCAGCCAAAAGCAGAGAAAAGCAAATGTGAGGCATGGAGAAACAACAAGGGATGTTTAAGCCCACAGAGAGCTACGTGAAAGATAAATTAAAGTAAACAGATAGGAAACAACCACAATGATGGGCTTTGGCAGAGTTAAAGGACTGGTTGAGTGAGATGAAAATGCCAACAGAAACGTCACAGGGAGGGGATTTAATGCAAGAACTGCTGTTATTCTCTGCATTCGTCATGAATGTCGATGCAAATATGCTGCTTTGTCTTTACCTTAAATTAAAATCTGAAGTTTAGTGTTATTTATTAAAGCAGAATCACATGTAAAATTTAAAGTGAATGAAAATCTTACTTTTCCTATGTTGGTATAATTATCTGGGCTCATAGTAGGATAATTGATGATTTACTTGCAGTTGTGCAAAACAGACCAGGTCAAGAGTCACTTAACCCAACTCCAGTTATCAGTGGTAGAGTGAAGGAGCTCCTGGGCACATTTGTTAACCATACTAGTGGCACTGTGACCTGGCAGTCAAACCTGTGCGTATGTGCTTTTGGACCCCCATCCAACCTGATCATTTCTCTAATATCAGGCCAGTTTGATATAGTGACTGACGGTAGACTGGTGATATTCACTGATACTTTAAACCTGCTTTCTAAAAAATTGAGCTTGTACTGCTAGATGTTTACACTAGCTTCATTGCCTGGAAGCTGATGGCTATACAACATGTGTGTTGCTCTGATTGCTCTACACCTGTCGAAAAATCTGGCTCAGTGAAGTCTTTTCACTCTTGTAATACCTTAACTTTTTACCCAACGGCATCATCAACTTGTGATATTTTTGATAATCATTACATGGTGTTAAATTAGATCCATTGTTAATGAAAACTATGTCCCCTCACTAACAGATATAGTCACAAATAAGTAATGCATTAAAAATGTATCCATACAACCTCAATTCCATTTTTTATTCATGTCACTGGATTTTATCTCCAATTAGCCATTACATTAGCCAATATAAACAGTTCCATTCACCTTCCTTACTTTTTTGTGCATCTTTAGGTGTTTTCTGTTTTTCCCTGAAGGATGGGGAAGAAAATACAACACTGTGAAACTGTTAACTTACATAACATTTTCATGCAAATAGTATACCATTAATTTTTTAAAAGCCATTGGAGTATTTTGGATTCAGGACACGGCTTTAGACACAGATGCTCTTGTTGACTACTTAGTAAGCTACAACTGCACCAACGCTATTATTCTATTGTTATGCTTCTTGATGTTTCACTTCTTCAAGACACACTTGAGCTGTTATTGGCTCTAATTACAGATCTTATTTGTCCCCTTTTTTGAAAAAGCGGCTTTATACTCTGTATCGGTTGTGTGCTGCTGTCGCTCCAGGGGAGCAGGGATGGCTGGAGGTTGGTTCCGAGCCAAAGACTCGGAGGAGGAGATAAGTTCTGCCAAATTGGTTAAATTCCTTGTAGTCCTATAAAGGTCATAGAATATTCAATGCCCCTTTAAAGCTACAGGCTGATCGCAAAGAACAGACCCCTGTCGTGATTAATAAATAAATAAATATTTGGGTACAGCTTCATTTTTTCTCATAAAAAAGTCTAATTAATATACAACCCTGCTCATTATAGTATTCGGTTGAAAACAGGCAAATAAAATATCGAACCAGAGTCTGACTAATGGGGACAAAGCCAATATGCAGTCCGTGGCAGCTCTTGAGTGGAGGGGAGTTTGGCCTTTTCTTTGGTCCTGTTCAATGGGGTATCACTGAAGAGTATCTGCTATGAAGCCAACTGGGTTTCCCCTGACATTTTTGTGACATTTTACCGTCTGGATGTGTCGGCCCACCATGCAGCACAAGCTGTCCTATCTGCAGGGTCTCTTGGGGTCTGAACACCATTTCAGCCTGTGCAGACCTCAGTATGAGAATATTAACAGACAGTGAGAGGTAGGTTACATGCAGGATGCTGAATAATTCCCCCCCTAAAGCGGTACAATGTTATCTGGCCTGTTAGCTTTCATTAGACTTGATGAACTGCAGAGTTGAACATTGCAGAATAATGGATGGCCTTTTTTTCCTTCTCTTTTGGAAAAAAAAAAGTCCCACACACAAATCACATGCCCGCAAAAAAAAAAAAAAACAACAGATTCAGCCACAAACTAGAAAAAATGAACAGTGAGAAAAATGACAAAAACAGCCCCTGTGAAGCACAGCTGCTTACCCTTTGTCATATTCATATCACATATGCATAATAGCACAGCTGTATGTATATCGCCTGTATCTGGAAAAGTGCACATTTTCATGTACATGTAATTATAACATGTAAATCATATGTAAATGTTTGTGTTGCATATGAATGAATTTTAATAGGGGGAGTGTTCATTTGACAGTCAACCTCTCTGTATTCATCTGAGCTTACAGTTCATGGAAAATCTATCTATCTATCTATCTATCTATCTATCTATCTATCTATCTATCATGTTTTGTTGTACTGATGAATTCAAGGAAATCACTGGAATAATCAGGTCACTTTTGCGTGTCAACCACTGAATTTTCAGCCTGGATACATCTACATATTGAAGATATTTAAGGCAGGGCAAAGAGTCTTTTACTAACGCCTCTTCATATCCATTTTAGAAGGATGAGATTATTATTGTAGAGATTGAGTTCTGAATTCTAGTGCCCTTGTCAGATTTGTCACAACAAAAGCTGAGTCTGTATTGTTTTCTTTTAATTTTCTTTTTACAGAATGTTTCATACTCATTGATGATATCAGAGCAGGATTAGCAAAAAAAAAAAAGAAAAAAAATGAACATTTTGGGTTCTATTTTCGTGCCTCGCTGGTGGCGTGGTGTAGGCACAGGCGCAGCGTAAGTCAGGTCCGCCACGCCGATAAGGCATGCCCAAGCACATTTTGGTATTTTGATGAGCAGCGCAGCCCGGCGTAAGTCTCCCCCCTCCCTAACTCAGCTCCTTCCAGTGGCGAAAGTAGTAGGGAGGGAGGAGAGAAGGCATGGAGTGGATTTTAACACAGCTGAGACTTGTTTTCGCAAATCACATAAGCTCCTCTCCTCACCTTTAAATCAGCCACGGGCGGGACATATTACAATTTTCGTGTAGTAGTCGAAGAGAACAAGAGATGTCTGCAGACAGCAATGCCACACGATGGCAACAGAAGGCAGCCCCTCAACAAATACCGCTGTTAGTGCTGCAGAGGGCTTCCTTCACACTGTCTAATATAAGCACAGATGGATTTGGTGTGTGTAAGGTTGGACCCACTGGTAAGACAAACACCCTCTTCTACAAATAAAGATAATCACAACAAGTTGCATATATTTAAACCTCACGTGACAAAGGTGGGTTGTGCGCACAAATCACAACATAAATTTCAACAATGGCATTAAAATTGTAACAACTTGTGTGTAAAGGACGCATCGCGCTCCGTGGCCTGGCTCTTTCTTTTATAGATGTTGGCATATAAAATAAATTTGGCTCACAAAACTGAATATTATAATATTTGTATGTGAGCCTGACTCTGGATTGAATATTCACAGGATTTTAAGGATGTCAGGACATCAGATATACAGGTAATTTTGAATGAAGTTTGTTTTATTTTTTTGTTCAAATTTAACAAAGTAAAGTAAATAGCTAGTCTTTGTCATCACTAAACTAAATCATCTGTTCAGCCTTGCCGCTGCAGCTGCAGCAGGACAGGAGAAGACACAGAGGCATGTCTGGGTCGAGCTGCACAAGAAAGAAGAGGAAGAGAGAAAAGGGGGGGGGGGGGGGACGAATTACATATCTTGTTAACTTTATCATGTGTGTCTGTTTACTGGATATTTAATTTAATGTGGTTTCAGTTGTGTTAAATCGGTCAGGTTGAGTGTCCAAACACGCTCATCAGATAAGATTTGGATCAGAATATATTGATATAGCTCTAAATGTATATGTACTGACTCAGATAGTTGCACTGAATATTGGTTGTTGTTGATGATTTTGTGCACTGAAATGTGCCTGACGCTGTGGAAACCTGCTGGTGAGGCATCAGTGACGTATGCCCACGACGCCGCCCGTCTACCAAAATACCACCAGACCAGCTGCGCTCCGCCTGCGCTGAAAGCTGACCAGGTTTGAATCGGCGAGCTTTCAGTGCAGTTTATATGCCACAGGCGAGCACGAAAATGTCACTGTGCCAGCTGATTCTGTCGACACCTCCCCCTGCCTCGCCACCACGCCCAGCTTGGCGGACCTTGGTGCGCCTCAGTCTACGACAATACCAAACTGGCTGTATGCCTGGCCCCGCCAGACAAAAACACGACTCCCGCCCGCCGCCAGCTGGCACGCAAATAGAGCCCTTCGTATTAAATTATACTACTTTATGATGACGCTCTTTAACCAGGGCTTTACCAGGTAAAAAAGCCAAAATGTCAATGAACAACATTTAAATACTGCTTCACTGCTCTTTGAGGACACAGTTGTTCAATTGTGTGCATATTTACATCTTTCAGACATTTATTGGGACTCTGGAGATGAGTGAGGTCTGGTGACCTCGCTCATCGTGTTAATTGGAGTTTACATAATTTTTCCTTCCTGACTTTACACTGACTAATTTTGTGCAGCTACAAGTGATCACATCACCTCATCACCCTTGAGACTGCAAGGAAGTTTCCCTCAGAAAAACTGAGAAAGAGATCATTTACAGCACTGCCATCATGATGAAAAAAGTCTGTCACCACAGCAGACTAAAGAAGTATGAGCAGAGTGGTTGTAAAACATGACTTCAAAGAAAATGCAAAGATGCAAAGAAAATGTCCTAAATATAACCACATAGAAAAAAACTCACTCCTGTAAAGAACTGTTACTGATGTTGAACTCTGATCACCAAAATCTAACTGATTCTAGCCAGAAAATGTTTTGTTCAAGACATTATACTGTCACAGGGATGAGGGGATAATGATAAATCACTTCATTGTTTTATAGTATTGGAAATTTGTAAGAAATTCTATCACATTTAGATGAACTGTTTAGCTTTCTGACAGGTAAGACTGGCTTATACCTCTGACCTTTGACCTCTAATATTATAGAGGTGCAAAGTTTGCTTTTTTAGATATTCTCTGCAGTGGTCCCTGAAGGCCTCCTTCTTTTCTAGTACAAGGTGTGATATTTAAGTGCCTGTTCTGACACACTGTCAATATGAGCGTCTCAGAGGTCTAATGGTGGGACCACCATGTCTGATCGGTGTTCTTACATCAGACGCAGGGAAGGGGGGCAGAGGTGAGAAGGGGGCTGTGGGCAGGTGTGCTGACGGTGAAGCTCCTGCTGTGTGTTTGTCTCTCATTCTTTCACAACACAGTAAATGCAATGAAAATTCACAGACCAGGACACCTATATTGCATCGCCATGGTGGACTCACTATATGATAAGAGCTTGATTTATTTGATTTAAAGGAATGGGATGGATTGATAGACATCATTTAAATTGTTTTTTTTATTTTTAAGAATAAGAATAGAATAACTTTATTTTATCCCCGAAAGGAAATTCAATTGTCTGTCATATCAGTAGTCGTGTCTCAAAAAGTCATCTACTATTTATAGAGGAATCGTAAAGTCTGATGGCTGTTGGTACAAAAGATCTTCTGAATCTTTCTGTCCTGCAGCGAAGAGAGAGGAGCCATCCACCACCATTGGCCCTTTGGTCCATCAAGGTGTAGTGAAGTGGGTGATGCATGTTCTCTAGAATAGTCTCCACCTTCCTCAGTGTAGATCTCTTCATCACATCCTCCACTGAGTCCAGCTTGAATCCAACCACAGAGCCAACCTTTTTCACCAGACTGCAGCGTAGAACAGAACACTGTAGACACCCCAGACTGATAAAACATCTGCAGCATCTAACTACAGACGTCTAATGGTCTTCTCAGGCTAAAGAGGTGGTTCTGCCCCTTTCTGTAATCTATATTCTCAGACCAGTTCAACTTATTATCCTGGTGTACATCTAGGTATTTATATGATGTCACCACATCAATGTCCACTTCACAGGCGTCTACTGGCTAAAGAGGGGGTTTTGATCTGCAGAAGTCTATGACCATCTCCTTTGTCTTTGAGGTGCTGAGGAGGAGGCATTTTTTCTGACTCCAGTCACTGAAGGCTTTTATCAGATCTCTGTCTTGAGCTTGTTTTATTTTATTTTATTATTATTAGCAGAGATGGGGACTCCAGTCCCTGTGACTTGGACTCGAACCGACTCGAGTCACTGTTCAGACAACTTGTAACTCGACTTGAAAAAAATGAAAGACTTGTGACTCAACTTGGACTTGGAAGTTAAAGACTCAGGATTTGACTTGAGACATGAATGACTTAAGTGTTGTTTATTTCGTGGTTTCAGATTTGATATAAATATAAGGTATGAGTGCAGGCTGAGAATGACGTGTCATCAACACCTGTCAATCATTCATACCCTCTCTGCCGCTGTTATCAGAGAAGCGTGCTGTGAACATGTCCACGGGAGGGATACCCATAGTAATCCTCTATGGATTTAAAAATTACTATTTAAAAATAGAGATTTCGAACATCCAGATGACAACATCAAACTTTGCCCGCAAGTGCTGATATGCTAGCAGATACTATCATGTTTGTCAGTCAGCTTAATATGATGTGATCATCACATGAACTAGCAACAGCGGGATAAATGGGCAGTCAGGGCTCAAGGACTCATTGAGTCGTTTGATAAGCATGAAAATTATGTCATGCTTGACCTCACTGGTCACCAGATCAGATTGATTGTTTAGCCTGTTGAGGAGGATGAAAGCTGGTCTGGAGCTTCTGGCTGGAAACATAAACACCACAGAAATCATCCACTACTAAACCTGGAATTTATCTACCTTCTAAGAAACTGTGTAAAGGAATGTTTACCTTGTGTTATTATTATTATTATTTTTTTATCTCTCTCAGTTTGCAGATTGTGAAAATGAATGGCTTCTCATTAGTAAAAGAGTATTTTTTTCCCTGTTTGTGTGTGTGTGATAGATTAGACAAACCATGCATTCATTTAAAACACGACTTTATTACATATTTTAATGATTTTCTTTGTTATCTCCCCGACACCCAACAGGATTTATAATGCCTACAACCTATTATCATAGCTCTACACTGGAAAATGAAATATATATATATATATATATATGAATACATATATAAACAAACAGGATGCAAGGGGAAAATATAACCACAGACATTCAAACTAATAAAAACAAATTGGTGCGTAAAAATACCGTCTAAAGCAGACGAGCTGAACAGGGGGGCAAAAGTTGGATTTGTATTTCTGTAAAATTAATCTGGTGGAGCCGGTGGGAGGGTTTTAATCTTATTGCTGTATTGGATCATGGGACCCAAAGTAGAAGGAAATGTATCAGATAAGCTTCTTACTGTGTGCTTTATTTTCTCAAGGCTCAACAACAATATTAGGTCACTAAACCAGAGAGACACTCTGGGGAGTCTTGACAATTTCCTGTAGAGGAAAATCGTTCACCAGCCAACACAAATGCAAATGTTGTAACTCCGAGTCATTCAGCGGGAAAGAAAAGTGAGGATTTGTTCTGAATTTTTCTTTTTTTTTACTGAATGAAGTGTAACTTAGGGACAAACAACATTCCCAGTACTTGGCTCACAATCAACATGCAGTAAATGTTTCAGATGAAAATGGTGGGCTGGAGTTCGGTCAGCTAAGGACACAACAAAGATGATATATGTGTAGCTTTACCTTGATACTTGATAAGATGGTTAAAATAGAAAAAAGACATTAAGAGAAATGACAAAGCTAAAAATAAAGGGCTGTGTACTTTAACACAAATCTGTTTGGAGCTGCAGTGATATTTGTGCAGCGAGGCATGGCAGGTTGACCTTCATGCAAAAGGTTATTAGGTGCATTTTTGCTTAACAAGGTCCAGCTTGGATCTAAAAACATCAGGAGGCACATGTACGGAACAAAATGCTCTTGCAAACACTGTTACACAAGAAGAGGAAGAAGAAGAAGAAGAAGCATGTACTCTGCTCCAACAAATATACCTCTTCAGTTGAAAGAGCAGCTGTAAACACACTGGGACTGTAACCAGACAGACCATTAGGCAACATTATACATTACCTGTGAATTGGGTAATTGATATAATACAAGCAGGTCCCATCACTCAGTTGCGAAGTGTGATCACACCAGACCACTGAGAATAACATTCATTACTGTTGACTCTAAGGCACAATAGGAAGTCCTCAGGAGTGAAATCAACTGAGCCCTGAGATGTTTGGGATACAGGTGATAACAAACCAGAATGGATGTTTTGTTGTATCTGAAAAAGACCTTCAGTTTGTGTTGATGTAAGCGTCCCCTATGGACAAAGTAGTCCTCCTATTTCTTTGATTATCTTGTCCTGTACATGTGCAAGTAATCTTTTCAAAAGTCTCAGCGGCTTCTTTGAAACTGACAGTGGCAAATCTAGGGGTGCATGCATTGGGAGGGGTGGCTAGGATACTTGAACAGAATTTACCTCCTCTGTCTGTACTATCCACTGTAACAACAAAGATGTTGAATAACTGTGTAACTATTTTAATCTGAGATGAAAAACAATGGAGTAAAAACATACAGTAGAAATGTTCTCTGATTAATTCTTTAAGGGTTAAAAAACAATGTGTTCGTCGAAAGTTACAAATGAAGGCACTTCAGTGGGAGCGGCCAGTAATGATCCTTTGAACCGTTGACACTGACCTGTTGGCTGCAGTAGCAGCTAGGGATTAAAACAGTCAATCCTCCACATGATGGTCTCGTTTGGTTTTGTAGGTCAGGAAGAGGCTAGAGTATTAATTTTAGTCTGTCTCATAATAAGATTTAAAAAATTAAGAAATAAATAAAGTCCTCAAAGGTGATTTACATTTACAAACTTAGTCTTAAAGAGTGACCAAAAAAGGGGAAAGGTCGGATATTGTTCTCTATTTTCTTATTTGTAAAGAAATCCTAGTGCAATGTGTTTTCGTTCAGTTTTTTTCTACGATGTGTTTCTGTCATTGAGGACTTTGGCACTGATTGTAAACATATGTTGTTTTGATGACACAGCAGTTAACAGAACAGGGGGAGGAGAGTCCAAAGTCATTACAACATTTCCCCCAAAAAACTCTGATCCTCATGTCTGACTTTGACAGCAATCACTGAAATCTTAATTCTATCTCAACTCTTTTGTTTCCTTGAACCATGATCCAGGAGACCCATGTCAAGAACTTGAATAAAACCATGACAGTGTGAAATAATCAAAACCTTTTTGGCCTTTCAGATCTGAGACATGATTTTATTGTAGTCATTGTCGACTAGAGCGTAAAGGTCAAATCTGTCAAAAAGCATGTCTCTTTCTACTTATATTTGTCTGAAAGTAAGTCTGAATATTAAACAAGTCTATTAGAGGAAGATTACATTTTTCCTTGCCTGAAATGGCCACTTTATTTAATTTCATGCAAGGTACAAATCCATAAATCATCTTTTTTTTGTTCCCATACCTTGTTATTTTGGCTGTCAGCTCTGATTTAGTAAAGAAAATAATATCCGTATTAACTGCATGGGGACCTTAGCTAAAGGGAAATTAAAAGTAAACAAAGTGGGGAAAAACACACTATTATGCTGCAATTTAAGTCTTTAGACAAACTTTGCTATCTTTGATGAATACTCTGATTGATTTAGAGCAAAAAAAAAAAACTAACAGGAGTATTGTTTTAAACTGAGGTCTGAACAGCAGGATTACATTCAGAAGGGATGAGAAAAAGACAGAGTCACAGAGACGACAGAACTAAAGACCTCTTTTTTTCTCCTTTCTTTTGAGTGTTTTTCCTTTTTAAATGATAGAGCACACATTTTCTCCCTAAATTGTCAAATTATGAAGTTAATATAAAATTAAAGGTAGAATAAGTACAGATGATCTCAATATGAGAAGCACTGTGGATCAGAGATTACAGCAGATTCCCTCAGCTATAGGCAGATTTCCTGTGGATTAAAAGAGTGATCCATTCAGCTCTCAAAAGAAAGGCAGACAGACATGAATACTCAACTCACTCCTCAAGTTCCCTCCCATCTGGTGATCTGGAGACTGCTTTACATGCCTTTATTTCTCACCATCTTGATTTGTTGGGGTTTTCTGTGTGTGTCTGCTCTGCCTAGTCTGCCTGCCTGCCCGGTTTCTCACTGGCACCCAGCAGAGATGTCGTATCTTCCTCTCCTGACCTCCCATGGAGAGCTATTTGTTTGGCTCTGTTATTTGTTTTTAAAGTGCTACATGTTGCTTGAAATCTTTGAATACCTTTGGCCCTTTTCCACATCCAGACCACTTATATCTACAGCTGAGTAAGTCTGTCTTGTCCCAGAGCTCATAATAACTTAAACTCACCACTGAACTGTGAACGTTTGCTCCTTTCCTTTTACTGTGGCTCTTGTATTTATTGAGAGTTGGACAGTGAAAAGAGAAGGAGACTGGGAGAGGGAAAGGAGAATGACATGTGGCAAAGGACTACAACATCGGACACCCAGGACCATGGCCTCTGTACCCGTGTGTGGAATTAAACCTGTGGGCCAGGCTAGTGCCCACAATGCTCTTAACATCGAAGAATGAAAGTGTAGATAGATAGATAGATAGATAGATAGATAGATAGATAGATAGATAGATAGATAGATAGATAGATAGATAGATAGATAGATGACTTTATTAAGAGAGAAATGAGAAATGAAACTGTCATAGCAGTTTGGAAAAATACAATAAATTAATAAAATACTGAATAAGAAAGGGAGAATGAAAAAGAAGATAGAAACAATATATACACATGTCTTAAAAAGAAAACCTGAATACTATCTTTTTATATCTTTTTATACTACTCTTTTATACTGTTCTTGCACTGCTCTTTCTATTTTACACTAGTTCTTCTACCTTTATTTATTTGTTTTTTTACCCAGTGTGAATGTGTATGTTGTGTGTACTACTGCCGTCAACTATTTTAATTTCCCCACTGAGGGATGAATAAAGGAATATCTAATCTAATCCAATTTAATCTATGAATTTTAAATAGAATACTTGAATACTATATGTATGTACATGTGCATACAGCGTGTAATGTAGTAAAAGTGAATGCAGAAGGTGGCAGGTGGAATACTACATAATATAGTAGAAGTATTACGTTAATGCGGACAGCAGGCAGAATTTGTCCAGTAGTGAGAACGTGGCTCTGACAGGCAGAGGAGTTGTACAGTTGTTTCTGATCTCTTTTAGATTATAATGATTCAATTAAACTAAAATGTTAACACATGTAGGTATGAAGCACATGTAACATTATCTAACACTCATATTAACATCATATTAGTCTAAATAACCTACTTGGTTGTTGGAAAAAAGTTTTTGATTTGTGGTCTCGGGATCAAAGAAATGTGATTTGACTCAACTTTGTAAAGTCCGACGCCGATCGTTTGTGTTTTTGTTTGTTTGTTTTTACTACTTAAAGTGTTATCAGTTGTCTTTAATTTGTGATTTTGAAGTTTTTTGCCAAAATCTCATTACCTGTGTCATTTTCAAGGGCTTTTCTTCTGCAGAGCTCCAGTAGCTCATTAACAATTGCCTCTAAGTCGTGGGCAGAGACAGCGCTGCTCTGCACACTCCTCTTCATGCTAGCTCCCAGCCTAACATTGCTAGTGTAGTAGAAGAAGCAGGCAACATAGGAGCTAGGAGCTATTCAGCTTTTGGACACTAATGTCTTTGGGGGCATGATGAAAGTTAAGATCATTATTAGTTTTCTTGCAAGCGTTGCAAACCGCTAATGCACACGCTTGCTCCGCAATTGTCCTCTCTATTTCTTCTTGCCTGGCCTGCATAGCAGGGCTCAGGGGGCGGAGCTTGGATTTGCTACATAGGAAATCTCACTGAATCTGAGGCTGACGTTTGGGTTTGCCAGAGATACTCAGCAAACTCTGAATGCAGAAATACTCAGACAGGAAATTTTGCACTTATTTTTCACATGATATGTCCTGTAGCATCAGAAAAAATGCCAAATGAATATGTAGACAACAAGAAAAACATGATTTTCATCAGAGTGGGTCTTTCAGCTGTTTTGCAAAATTGTGTCCGTTGATAGAGCAAAACACAACCTCATTCCCTTGAACGCATTCACACACTCAGCAAATACCACTGATAATGAAAGAACTCAAAAAAGTGCCCATTAAGACACCACATCCTTCAAATACTGTTATCGTTGCAAGGAAGCCATCAATTCAAGTATGTGGACTGGTGCACAACCATTATCTTCAGCTTTATTCTTTCAAGGTCAGTATCTGAGTTTAGAGTCATCTATTTAGCATCCAGCCAGATATGAAATACGATCACAATCTAGCAGACTGTTTCTGACTTATTGGGTCGAATATTCGCCAGAAGGGGGATTTGGCAGAACATTATGACATCAGCTTGATGTCAACTTTGACCTTTTGATAGACAACAATCTCCGTTTCTCTAGCCTGTAAATAATTTAAATATGATTATATATTGCCAGATAGAGCTGAGCACAGCAGCAGCACTGTCAAAGTCAAAAGAAAAGTCTACAGAAAACAGATTTCTTTCATTTGAATCTGGAAATAAGCCTTACATTCAATTTAGGAGTGACAGTTGTATAAAACAGAAGACTAAACCCTACAGTGCTGTTTCTCTTTAATGGTGATAGTTTAAATCAAGGATGACTGAGGGAAGGCTGGGTGTTAAGAGGTTGACCTATCATATCCAAGTTCACACTAAACTGAAGTTTAAACTGCAGGTTTTGTTGACACTTACCACACATTTCTATTAGTCATTCCTGAAGCTAAAAGGGATGTTTGTGACAAAAATGATTGCACTTTCTTGAACTATAACTGATTCGTGGGTTTTCATAAGAAGAGCAACAGAACAAAATGCTTCAGCCTTTACATGAGCTGTTTTAAGCCCTAGAAACAGACCAGACTGGTTTTAGCAAGAACTCCCTTTTTGCATGACTCAAACCACTTAGAGTATCAAATAGAAAATAATCTCAAATTATCACCAAAACTGTCGGCTGTAAATGTCCATTAGAGTTACTTCCAGGTTCATCTTTGACCTGCTGCAGTTCTCTAATGCTATGCATGTTTTAATGGACTTTTCATTTTTCCTTTTTCACATTCACTTGAAATCATTTTGCTCAGGTAATTGTGCTGCAGAGTATTTCTTTGCAACCTGTCTGACCACTTGAGATGCTTCTAAAGGGGGAAAATGATACTCAAGTGATTCATGTATTTTGTTCAGTTCAGTGATTTATGAGGAGGGAGATATTCTGCGTCAGAAGTCCTCTGCTTTATCTTAGTTGTTACTTTGTGCTGATCACATCAGAAATTGTGTTAATGTTGTGCTAAAATAGTCAAATGATTCATATTCAAGTTGGACTAATCATTTGAAAATGTGCTTATATTAAAACTTCACAAAACTAACCTACTAATTACAGGCATGTTATAGATCTATTGATCAATTAATGGTATCACACCCACAGGCCTAATACTACGAGTCTGCAATCATCAATAAGCAGCTTTCATTGACATTTTGAAGATAAAGCATGATACGAAAATCTTCAGTTGACAGTTGCAGATCGGTAAGGGTTTAGGGCAGATATAGATTAATGGAAGGATATGTAGATAAAACAGTCAGTGTGGGCTTATGGTTCATTGGAGATACAGTAAAGGTCCTGTGTTTTGATTTATGATTCCACCCTGACGACCTCATCACACAAAGTTATGAGGTGATCAAAGAAGGTCAAAAAACTGCAATTCCTTTAATGGCCACTTGAAGTTGAGCCAATCTTCATAGAAGCCATTACTAAAGTGCTGGACTTAGCATAAAAAATAAACGTATTTAGTTCCCCTTGCTAATCCTTTGAGTGACATCTAGAGAGGTCCAGTTTTAGCAACTCGGCTATTGAAACCAGAGCAAAGGCATATTTATGCTCAACGTTACAAACTGATCCGGATACAGATGGAGCTCTCCGTCCGTGCTTTGTGTTCTTTTCGTCCGTATTTCTGCACATATCCTTTAAGTTTACAGGTACAGGACAGAGGGAGCAGTAGGGGCAGTGTTGCTGCTGTCACTACCTGATACGCATCTCTAGAGAGAAACGATGAAGGCAATGGCGGGGCTTTTTGAGGAAAGCGTGTGTGAGCAGGTTCGCAAGGTTTAAAACATATATCGTGTAACTTGTCTAGGACACTAGGATAAAAATAAACTGTAGAACAGAAATTTGGAGGGACTAAATGTTAGCTGGTCGGACATGAAGGAGAAGTGTTGTTGTCAGAAATTTTGGACTCTGGCCTGCCCCCTAGTGGATGTAATGGTTAACATCCATGCCAACATAAAGGACGCATGTAAGTATGTAGGCAGTGACAGACCCATCGTTTGAAACAGACACATACATTTTCATACATTTGGCGAGCATGCTACTGGCCCTTAATGCTACTAGTCCTGCTGTTTCCTGGGCATTGGCACAAAGACATCTGGGTGCTGCAGGCTGTCTTCTACAACATGACCTTTTCTATCTAGGGTCACTAACCTGAGCTGATGGGCATTCACACTCATTTCCTACTAAAGATAGAAAAAGCCTAAGTGATGTCACACGTCATATCTTCTGAGGAACATATTGAAGCCGAGTGAGGGTGATCATCATATTAGAAATGCTGACTCCACATAACTTTCAGTCGACCTGAAACATGAAAAGGTGGAGCTGGGGTAGCTTTAGAGTCTCCCGGTTGATAACGACCAGTATAACGCCTGTTGTGAATTGGCGCTATATAAATAAAATTTGATTGATTGATTGATGGTGAACCCAGGTGCCCCTATTTATGCTAGTTTATGATTAACTCCTGTGATTGATGTTATCTCACAGAAAAAAGTATCTCCTGATCTGTTTGTACTATTTTTAAACCAGGCTGTGAACACATTTTGCCTGCATATTAATTTTCTGTACAGTTGGATACTTCAACATAAGATTCATGGCTTTTATGGTAGCATTAAGAAGACATATGGGTAATAGACTTTTTTGTACTTCCTTGTTGTTTTTGCAAGATGCCCCGACACAGGCGGGACACAGGGTAGACCTGCGTGAAACACCACTGCTACTCCAGCTCAGTACATGCATGTAAGGTCACACTAAAATGGCTAAATGTATTCTTTTTAAATCATTCATAATTTTAAATGTTCGCATTTTTATCCCATAAAGATATTGCCTGACTTCATGCGTGTCAAACTACTCATACGCTGAACATCCTGGTTAGTATTTCAGACTTTCTTTTCTGATTTATATCTGCATTTACAGACCCTCAACACAGAACCAGAACCAGAGGTCTGATCTTCATAGATGTGACTACAGGAAAACCACAAAATCATCACCAGCTCCATGCATGTTTCCTTTCTTAAACACTTGTTAACACTGAGATGAAAAACTCACAAATTTTTAAAGACAACCTATGTGAAATAAAAGATTACCTCCTGCTGTTTCTGTCTCTTTCCTCTCTGTATGTTTCCTGCTTGCCAGTAGGTGGAGCTTGTCTCCTTTGGCTCGAGAGAAAGAGAGAAGAAGGGAGAGAAGGAGATGATTAAAGCAAGAAGAAAGACAGCAAGAGGAGAGGCAGAGAGGAAGAGAGAGATGGAGGAGAGAGGGAGGGATGGAGATGGTGCTGGAGAGGGAGGAGGGGAGGAGAGAGCAAGCGTCAGCACTCCATGCGTTAAAAGGGCAGATGGTAACCGCGGGTAACTGAGGAGCAAACCACTCTGCTGGCCACAGAGCAAGAGATCAGCAGAGAGAGGGAGGAGGAGGAGGGAGGGAGGAGGAGAGCGAGCACATGCAGCGCAGGCAGCAGAGGAGAGGAGAGGAGCATCTGAGAGGAAGCTGCACGCCGCCTCTGACAGAAAAGACTGAGTTCTTCTTCTCCTCACTAACAAGGAGGCAAAGAGAGAAACAAAGACAGGAGAGAGAGGGAGGTAGAGTAGGAGGAGGAAAAAGTATCCCTCCTTTCCACTTGGAGGAAGACAAAGAGGGAGGGAAAACAAAAGGGGAGGCTGAAGTGGAGAGAGAGGAAAGGCAGCCGGCGGGAGATAGTTAGAGGAACTGCAAGGCTGATCAATGAGGGAGCTGAGATTTCGGGAAGAAATTTCTACTCAGCAAGAATAAGAGGAGGGAAGAGAGGGGGAGTCAATGACAAGGAAAGATTGATGAATGAAAGATGGGAGCAAAACATCTGGAGAGGAAAAGGACTGAGAAATAATTAAAGGGAGACCTAGAGAGAATTAAGAAAGAGAATAAAAACATTTAGAGGAAGAGAAGGAGATAAGAGAGGAGAGGAAGGAGGAGCAGAGGGTGAAATATTTAAAAAGAGACAGAAGCTGAGGGAAGACGAGCGGAGAGTCAGAGAGTCACCGGCACAAAACTTCGAGAAGAGAGAGAATAAATCAGAGCAGCAGCAGGGGAGGAGGGGGCGCTCCTCCTTTTCTCCCTTTTTCTGACTTTTTTTTTGTGAAGTCCCTCCTCCTCTTTATAAAACAGAGGAGGAAATGAGGAGAGCAGGAGCAGAAGATTAAGGAAGAGAAGAAGACTTTTGTTTCTGCAGATAGATTGCGCTCAAAGTTTGTCAAACTTAAGCAAACCCAATGGCGTGCTACTACATTGTGATCAGTTCCACCCACCTGCGTGATGGACAGCTGAGGAGCATCAAAGGGGTGTTCAGAGGACCAATAGGAACCACCGGACAAAGAAACACGGTAAGGCCTTATTGTCCATGCTTTCTTTTGGCTTCTTAGTTTGCTGTAAGACAGAAAAAAATGGACGTGTTTCATTTTAAAAAGTTTGTTTCAAGCCTTTAATGTGAGTTACGGCTTTGAAAACATCAAACGATGAACTTTTTTTCCTTGATACATTCCTGCTCTGAGCACCTTTAATCAACATGAATCCAGTCTAATCTGCGGCGCATGTGTGTCTTTGTTTTTTATGTGCTCCATCAAAGAAAAGCCATTACCTCTAAATCAGCATCAGTAAAACCACTCCCACTCACTTGATTGTCAGCTTCTTAATCACCCTGTTTGCCAGGTTAATTAATTGCCACTTCCATTAGGTTAATTGACTTGGAGGCAGAAAGATGCAGAAAGATGGGGGGTGGGCTATAGCTGGAGAGGGGTTTCCCTCTTCTCTTGCACTAAGAGCTCCTTTGGCTCCGTGTCTGCACTTAAACATGTTTGGCATCTCATGTCCTACATTTTAAATGTTTGATGTTTGAGGTCGGGAAGAAGTCAAGATGTATTTTTTTTTTCTTTCTTTCATTTAGCTTCAGTTTAACATGGCACTTAAGCTCCTTTACAGGGCGCACATGCAGAAGTAAAGTGTTTGCATGGCTTGATGCACAATGTTTGTGGAAGATTTCCTCTTGTCCTCTTTATCCACCCCTACATTCCTTCCTTTTCAAGAGCCTTTAAAAAAGTGCAAAAAGTCAAAATAAAGAAATAATTCAAAATAGAATAGGTTGACAAAAAAATCTAGAGGTATCTATTAAATCCTGAATGAACAGAAGTTGAGGGAAACTTGCTGCGGTGTGCACTCTCGCAGCTGTGTGGGAAGAATCTGTCCGACCAGATGAGTCACACATTTTCTTGACTTTTTTTTCTTCTCTTAATCTTAACTCCAGCTAAACCTTGTGCCTTCACTCTCCGTCACTCTCACTGAACAGTACGGGCAAACATGATTACAGCAAGTCCTTGTGGAGACGCAACCCAAAAAAATAATAATAAAAATCCAGCAGGCTTTGAAGAGAGAGACATGTGATAATGAGATGTGAGGATGTTGTTATGTACGGGCAGAAATACAGTACATTCATTACACACAATCCATAAAATGCTCCTCTTAGCAGAGAAAACTCATTTTACACAATTCTCACAACTCCATGTTTAATTAACCTCTTTATAACAAGGCTGTTTTATGTTTTAACCATAAAAATCATAAGAGCCATAAACAGACTAAATTTGGTGTTAAATACTGATGCTTTGAACACGGGTTGTAACCCAGCACCCTGTCTTTGTTCTGTCTCTTGGCCCTGTGTGTTATCGCTGTCAGATCATATTTCACTTTAACTTGTGTCAATACTTTTAATAAGCCTCATAAATCATATATTATGATGACATGCCACAGAGAGCTGATGGGGCTATCAGTCTATGTGAGTGACTGGCCTACACTAAATCAACAATGCACCTGACTCAGACTGTAATTAACTGAAGGAACATAACAGGGGCTGCGGCAGCGCTCAAGTGTCCTGCAGCTGCAGCCGAGTGTTTATGCTGTTTTATTGGGTGTCTTATTAAAACAGTGTTTGGCTGCAACAACTTGGCATGCAGATGTTGGACCTTTTTCATTATCACATGAATGCATAATGTAAGACTTGCATAACACCGTGTTTATAGTTTCAAATGAATACTGAAATGAATTCTTACGGGGCAAATCCTAAATCTGGATTACAGCAGAGATGGGAATTTGTGATCATGTCTAACAATGTCATTTCAAAGCTAGACAGAGAAAGCTCAGGATGAGAATGTAGACAGAAAACTGTGTCTTTCAGTCTTTGGCACATATCAAGCACGTAAAGAGGAGCTATGTGACACAAGAGTCTCCAATCACAGTTAGGAAAGACCCCTTGATCAATTTTTATGGACTAGTTTGCGGTCACTTCAATGTGCACCCGGACTTCTTATTTCCCCAATTATGACTATAAATCAAGCGACACTAGACTATAATGGTGTATGGAGGAGTTTCCTGATCTAAAGCCACCACTATTACCATTTAAAAAATCAGGACATTCGTCAGACACAGACACTGAAGAAAAATAATCAGTTTGTGTTTTGATAATTTTGGAAAAATTAGCTGGCAACAGTTCTTTTGACCTCAGTCAGTCTCAAATCGAGCTCTGACAAAACACTGCTTAATTACTATTTCCTGATTTTCACAGCTGGGGATTGGGTTTTGGCTATGGAGTAAGCAGCACTGAAATTTAGTTCAAAACAAACTAAAATCAGGTTTGAATGTCCAAGACCTAATTTCAACATTTTAATACAGTTACAACCCCAATGTGCCTGAAAACACATCATTTTTCTCGATGAAATGTTCATGGTAAGGCTTAAAGGAGGATGGGGGTGATTGTTGTGACATTATTTCTCCAAAGTCATTTTCCATCAATGGTTAAAACCCTGTTTTGTTTTCTTTGCGCAAAGATTATGAACAGGGCACTTTAAGGGCTATGTGATGTTAAAAAGAGACAAGAGAGTTCAGAGCCATCATAAAGAGAGCGGTGTGAAATGTTCTCTGCAGAAGAATAAAACAGGACTGCGCTCTGAGTACAACGGTAGACAGATCTGTGATGCTGTCATATCATGATTGGTGGACAAAAGAATATGCAAGAGCTTGGTGACCAATGGGACCAACTGTTGGGTTGGAAGATATATGTTCTAAACGTACCACCCCCTTTTGTTTTTCTATTACTGACCGTGACGCACTGTTCGACAACATTTATGCTGCAATGTACACAAGATGTGACTTGAACATTGTTGTAAATATGTATATTGTGTGAACCAAAGCACATTTTTGTCATGTGTTCAGTAGAAAAATGCTCTGTGGGTAGTGGTTTGGCCTCAAACAACACAGCTGGATTTAGTAAAAAAAAAAGGTCAAGCTTTGGTTAAAATGCTGCAGCATCTTTGTGGTCATGGTTACGGTCATGGGCAACTGCTTCAGTTTTGCAAGCCATAGATTTAAGTTTTAACTCAAAGAAAAGAAATAAATATGGCTGTCAAATTGTTGGGCATTTATTTATTTTATTATTTTGTGTTAGTAGTGAACAGTAATATCATTTACAACATAGTTATTACATAAATGTTTGCAGTACCAGGTACAGCCTGCTTGTTTTCTGGACTAATTCCACTTTGGCCTCAGATTTGAGTAGGCATGTCCTGAAGACTTGGCTCAGGAGAGAAAAACAGGAACTTAAAAGTCTAACATAAGGATATGATTAATTGTGTCATTTTCTTTTTTCACTGTGCAAATATATCTCGTACAGCTTACTGCCCACTGAAGTCTAAGTTCACTGAACCTGTCTTTTCAAATTTACATTTTTGTTGGTTATTGTGTCTTCAGACATCGGCATCTTGGCAGCAACTTGTCTGGTTAAATAACTTTTAAAGCATCCATCTCCCATTGTGATTTTGAAATTCAAACTTCTAACACTCCTCGTAAGTCTCTAAAGCTTTGTCATAACTTTGACTGTTGGGATAAAAAGAATCTCAAAGGACAAGTTCCCACATTTTGTTGGCTCATGCAACACCCATCTTCTCCTTCTCCTGTGTACACCGTAAAATACCTTCAAACTTTTCCTCCTGAGTCATAATTACCGTGGCTTACAGAGGTCTTTATCTCTAATGCTTCTTTATTTCACTGATGAAAACTTTTCTGTTTCTTGGGGAAACAAATCTCAAATTTTTGTTGTTTTTGAGAATTCTCACAGATGGAGCTTCTTCCTACTTTGATTGAATGTGATTTCTAGCAAAACCCACATTTTTCATGACAACCTATGACAGAAAACTTACAACAGATGTTCAATTACACTCCTTTTACCATGTTTTTTTTTTTTGCTTCAATAAATAGATGACAAACATTTGACGTGTTTTCAGCACCTTTACCAAGTGAGAAAGAATACAAAGTTACTTCAATGACATTAAACTCAGAAAACATAAGCTAAAGTTTCCACTGAAAACACATTACCATAAATACATCTCTAATTACCCACACACGAAAACGGAGGCATCTCTTAGGCACGTATTCAACTGTGTTCGTCACCTCATCCAGGAATAGAAAGCCATATCAAGAGATTTAATAGGCGGACAACCACACATGACGATCATCAGTCACCTTGGGTCCTCATGTACCAGAGCTAATTTTATCTCTAACTTCTTCAGCGCGGGCAGGTCTGATGAAATTTCATGAAACGATCACGTCTTGAAAATTCACATAATCATGCTGTGTGCATGGGAAATGAGAGATGTATGTTCATGCCAGCACAAAAGGATTGCATGAGAGGATGGCAGAGACGGGAAGCAGTTTGAAGCCAAAAATGTGTGAAGTGAGAGATCAGTGGGACGGATGAGTGTCTCCAGTTTGCTTTGAACTCAAGTTCAGTTTCATTTTCCTGCTTTTTTCTGATAATTATGAACAAAATGCTACCTTAAACCTTCGATTAGAGTTTACACGCTGTCAAAATGTAATTGAAATGATAGAAATGTAAGTTTTGGTAAATTATTCTTACTGGGGTATCAGTTATTATCATTATCACACTGAACCGCAAGAGTGTGGGGGCTGCATGGTTATCCAGTGCAAATGGAGACTGATATGAAAAACATAACCTTACTTTTACTGCACTAAATTTACTGTTAATAATGTATGTGGGAGGCACTGCTGAAGTGAAGTCACCAAACCAAGTTTCAAGGCACTAAAAAAGTATTAAAGTCAAGTCTGAGTCAGGCCTCCTCTATTGATATGCTTTAATTTTATATCAAAGAGAGAAGTTTAACTCCAACCTTTAAATGTATAAACCTTCTACAAACTGTGTCTGACCACTTGGATGCTCAGAAAACACATTTCATTTTTTAAAATCTGATTCTGACTGATGCTGTCAGTGTGTCTGCGGATTTGAATGATCAATTTCCATTCACAATTTAAATCTAAGCGCTGTGTGGACATGTGCACCACACCTTTCCTCATGGTTCAATAACACCATCTATTCTGAATCACTCTAGTTAATAAACTCAGAAATACTTGCAGCTCATCTGATATTCATGAGAACTTTTACTGATTAAACATCTTCGACTTGGTAATTGAGTCTCCTTAGTTGCAAAAATTATAGCTAGCTGGTGTACAGTAGCATAATAAATAGTTCTGACTTTTAGGATGCCTGTACAGATGTTTACTTGAGTTTGAGGTTTTTTATCTTCTCCTTAATTATTTTTTGAGTTGAGTTGAGTCTCAAGTCCTGGACTTAAGTACTTCAAGCTCCTGTGAGGAGTTTTTCTCTGGTTTTGAAACAAAATTTAATTAACACTGACATCAAATGGCACAGTTATTGACAAGATCCTTAATTTCTATTTCTATCTAGTTTTAATGTCAAAAACTGTTGCTGCAGAGTAGGTGTGAAAGGCAAAATGATGCTGCCAATCTGTAATCTCCACAGCAAAGATTCTTGATTTGAGGTACATTTGACCGTTGAAAGACAACAAAAGGATTTTTTAATTGAAAAACAAAACATCCATGTGTACAGGACAAACGACAGAGGAGATTTAAGGTGACTGATTTGTCCACAAGAGTGCAAAAATTAACATATGGTGGGAGTAACATTGTGTACTTTGCCTCTCCAGATCTCTAATGTAGTTCCTTGTGGTCCTAGGCTAACTCCTTTTACTTTGAGTGACTTTGAAACCATGCTGTGATTTGATTGGTATTAAAAGCCAAAAGACTGTTGGCTGTCTTTGGCACAGCCCTAACTAATCCCAGTTTGGCAGAGACATGATCATTGTCTCATTTGATTAGTTGAGTATGATAATTATTACTTGGTTTTATAGGTGAAGTGAAAAAAGCAGATTCATTCACCATTACTAATGCTATCACCACACAGCCACTACATAGGATTTAGAGGGCTGCTGATTTCCTCATGTCAATCAAAAGAAAAGAAAAATGGGACAGACAAGAGAAACAGCACACATACAGGTAAATAAGGGGTTTATTAACAGCAGGACTATCTGTTCTCTTTGACTACACCAAACTTTGAAGGAATCACTGTTTTAATACACTTTAACGCCTGAGAATGTAATGTTCGCAGCATTATCTGTTCCTGTATCATCACTGCACTCTCAAACCCGATCCTCATTTCCTGAAATCTCTGACACTTTGTTGCTCAACAGGTGAGCATTTAGCGGCTGCACACAGCAAACAGATCTCACACTGCATTCTTGATATCACCCTCTTCTCTCCTCTTTAAGGGGAAAATAAATCATCCTAACACCCTGAATAAAATGTTGTTGTTTTTTCTCTACCTTAATTGGCTGACTGTGCCAGCGATATTTGGGCACGTTGCCTGTGTCTCTCTGTGTTACTATTCATGCTGTCAACACTGCTCGTCTCAAAAACTGCACCGCCTGGTCCAAAGCCTTCATTTAATAAAACAACATTTTAAAACCATTCAAGAAGTGCACATGCATAAATCTTCTTAGTGATTGTGTGTGTTTTTCTGTAACTCAGGTAGTTCGCACAGTCACTTCGCTGCGGCATTAATTCATGATAGCCCACCAGCTGTCAGCGAATTTTTCACACCTTCCCCAATATCAGCGAGGCCACAGTTGTGTTGCTATAGAAACATTGATTCCAGTAAGTTAAATAACGCTGATTTTTTTCCTACACCCTACTTGGCAAAAAAAAAAATTGACATCAAATTCCTTCTGAGCACATAATTTATTCTCTGCAGTGATATTTTTTCTAGCAATTTGGTTTGTTTGGGAGGCTTCCTGAGCTGGATGTGTGAAGTGCACTCTCAAGGAAGCTTTTTCTGTTCAACAGCTCATGACTGAGGAAACAGGCCAAAAAAAAAAAAAGGAAAAAGGCGAGTTAACTGTGTTTAGGTTATTTTTTTCTTTATTTGAACTCAGTCTTTTAGTGTTGTGTGTTTTCAATTAAAAGCCCAGGTGCTGCCGACTGTCTTGTAAAAGTAATAATGTCCTTGAGCCGCTGGGTTATGGTGCAATATTCTCACTCTGTGCTATCGACTATTAGACATCAGGCCTAACAACACCCATGACAATACAGCTCTAAAACCTACTGCCTCTCAGCTGTCAGAGCTTCACGTGTGTGAGTGTGTGTCTGTGTGTCAGTGTGTGAAAAAGAGAGAGAGAGAGACTGTGTGTTTGTGTGTGTGATTTTTGGGTTTGGGCAATGTCGCCAACAACATGGCTCCTCACTCCATAAATTAACACTGATGAGGACACACTGCACACACGTGTGTATGTTTTTGTGCATGTGACTAAGTGACTGCATGTATCAACTCCTTTGTGTGTGTAGGTGTGTATGTGTGTGTGTGTTTGGTGACTGATATGATCCGTCTGCCTGAGTTCAAGTGGGTATGAATGTGTGCAAGCATGTTCCCCTTTGTGTGTTCGGAGATGTGACTTGCATGCCATGACTGTGTTTGTGTGTGTGTGTGTTTATTCAGTAGTTGTGAGTACATGGTGTGCTTCATTGATGTGTGAAACATCAGCTATGACTGTGGAGCCATCTGCTCCAAAGGGAGAAATAGAGTGTAATTGTGTGTGTGTGTGTGTGTGTGTGTGTGTGTGTGTGTGTGTGTGTGTGTGTGTTTTCTCCATGCATGGGTGTGTTCGTGTGACTAAGCAGTGTGCACACGTGTGTAAACAACTTGGCCAGAGCAACAAGTTGTTTTTTGACACGAGAGACATTCTGAGGTCTCAAAGTTAGAAGTTCATGTTCAAACTTTTAAAGCGCCCCTCATGTCTGCATATTTAAGTCAAAATTTTAACTTTCTATTCAATACTTAGGATATGTTCACTGCAAACATTTAGTTGAAGTGCAAGTCCACCGACTCAAACAGCAAAACGATCATGTATAAACAGCCTTTAAAATACCGGATTGAACAGTTCTGTGCGATTTAAGCTGGTCATTAACAAACGTACTTATCCCTCTTCAGTGCAGCTCTCGTTTTGCACAACTGGCATCTTTTCTGTAACTAAAAATAGACAGCACAAAGTACAAAACCACAGCTTCAAATGTGGGGAAGCAGGAACATGCATTAACCCAAATACATAAACATAACTTACATGCATTTACTTCTCTTGGTTGTACATAAGCGTCTTTATGTGATACAGTTAGGAAGAAATAAACCTAAAAATATACATCCTTGCTGACAAAGACAGTTGCTTTATTTTGGTTCATTTTCTAAATTATTTGAGGCTGGAAAAAAAAAAGAAAAAAAATTGTCAGCCGTCTGAAAATTTCAGCCCTCTAAAAGTATTTATAGAAACTTTCAGCTTGCAAATCACCAAAACCAAACTTAATGAGTTGCTAGATGGTGATTCAACTTTGGGAAAACATGTTTTTGCAAAACCCAACAAGCCTGTGCTCCTTGAAATCTTCACAAAATCCTCACGCTACTTTGGAAATCAGAGACTCTCTGAATATGAAACATCACTGCCATTAGGCTTTGACAAGAGGCCAACTGCTGAGACTCACAGCATATGCTGTTGTTAAATGCTCACAGAATAAAGAAACATAGATGTCTGGGAACATACACATAAATTATTTCACTTATTTACTCTCAGAAAATAGCACACACCAGGAAAGGCAGCATATATATGTGTACGCAGTTTAAATTATTAAAAGAAGGTCATGCATGAAACCAACAACACAATGTGGAGCTGTAGTCTCTTTGAAGATGTTTGCCATCACCTGCCTCTTTCAAACAGATCTCACCCCACCTTTGCTATCTGAATGTAGGGTGACCTTACATCCTCTTCTACCCAGACATGTCCTCTTTTTGGGGGGGGGGGGGCTGTCCGGCCTAGTCTGGTGGAGTTTGTAAAATCCTTCAAATGTCCAGGGTTTTGTATGGAAGTTTTGAGTTTGTATTGCGTTGACTTACTGAGTTAGAAGCACGTAAAAACACTTGACCTGATCCGCAGAACTCTTAAAATTTACTACATGCAACTCCGTGTCTCTGCCCCCGCAAAGTCGTGTTCTCTTTTGGGGGATTCAGAATATGGTCACCCTATCTGAATGGACCATTTCATAATCACAAAATCACCTTACACAAAAACTGCAGGGCCATATTTACAGCAAAAATAGTGTTTTAACAGACGCAAAGACTGTGTTGAAAACGTACTTGGCATGCTGCAATTTGGGCGTTAAAGACGCAATAAGTAGTGTTTAGTTGTAAACAGAAGAAAAGACATTCCTGAAAAGTTTCACAGTAGTGTATAATCAAAAAGTCTTTTTTGTCGTCAGTGTAAAATGAGCCTTTAATGTCCACATAATGGTGGGTCCCCTTCCATCTTACTCTGACATGTTGTCACACCGGGACAAAACATACAAACAAAACAGTGACACACAGGTTCTCAGTGAGTAGCTTTGTGAATAATATAGACATAAAATTTTGGTTTGATTGAAGTTTTATGGTATTAGACATACAAAGGATTAACCTTATGTCGCAAAGCTCCTTGTCCTTGAAGGCCACTGATAGGAGCAAGGAAGCATTTCAACCTAGAATCTGGCCACTAAATATCAAATATCAAGTTTTTGTATTTTTACACACTACAACTTTAAGTGTTATAAATTCTTTTGTCCCATTACTTGTTTAATTATCAACTCTCTGTTTTAGGGTGCCATGTCCTTAAAAAACTCTCAAAATCAAGACTCAGAGTAGGGATGCCTACTACTGCTCAGAAGGTAAACAAACTGAAGGGTTTGTAGTAAGAGAGGTGTTTGATAGGGGAGATGGTGGTAATGTGTGCCGGAGCTGGCCGGGTGGAACAGTACTGTGTGTGTGTGTACATGCTTATGTGTGCATGTGGAGCTTCTACTGTTTCATATGTGCTTCTTGTTGCCTCTGCAACACTGTAACACAATAAGAAATGACGTCAGGTCATTGCTATTACTTTGCTGTAGATGTGCTAGCTTTAAGCATGTTTGAAGGTTTAAGAACCAGCCTTGAAAAATATTCTCCCTGGTGCTACATTGGCTCTGTCTTGGCTTCATCTTTCTCTTGTTTCAAGCATAAATCAGTTTTCTTGATTTTGTTCACGTAAAAATTGGTAACAAACATAGATAAAGCAACAAACACATAAACATGGGCTTTTTGTGGTGCAGGGAATTTCACAGCAGACTTCATAAAAATACGTAAAACTCAAAACACAATACAGTTTAATCATAAAATGTCCTATGTCTTAAAAAAATGTCTTTAAACTGACATGCTTCAGTTAAAAGGTTGATTCTTGCCTGGTTCTTGCGAACTGGTGCAAGGACAGTAGTCCAGTTTAATCACCTGACTGAGCTATAACCGTAGCTAAACTTAGCTTAGGGTGACCATACATCCTCTTTTACCTGGACATGTCCTCTTTTTGAGGGGGCTGTCGGGCCTTGTCTGGGGAAGTTTATATAATCCTTCAAATGTCTGGGGTTTTGTATGGAAGTTTTGAGTTTGTGTTGCATGGACTGAGTTAGACTCTCAAAATTTACTACACAACTCCATGACTCTGCCCCATATAGTAGTGTCCTCTTTTTGGGATTCGGAATATGGTTACCCTAACTTAACCGTGCATGTGAACATTGTCTGATCTCGAGGCACCGTTTTCATCAGTCCTCTTTTCCTGCTCTGTTTGGTTTGTTTAGGTTAATGACTTTTGCACGTCCAGGGCGCTCTCTGCTGTCATTGGTTAATATCACTGATGCAAGGTAACAAACCACTGGTGGCAGAAAGAAAAATCAAACATGCTAGACTTTCTGTCAGGAGATCTCAAGGCGTGGCAGTCACATCCTCAAATGTTTTTCATGATGACAAAGTGCAAGCAGTTATGCGGGCCAATGGGTCTGGGCGGTAAATGTGCTTAAACTTAAAATCAGTCTTTGATTCAGGTAGAAACACAATGCCTGTAAATGAGTCAAGACCTGTATCTGAAGCCAGTCTGTGAGCAAAATGGACAGTCTATCTAAAATATGATTGTAATGACAGGCTTTCTGGAAGAATCAATAAAAAACATCCGTGTGAAAACTCATTGAGATTCAGAAGCCAGAAGAACAGATGCCGAGGAGGAGGGGGGCGGGACTCAGTCTGTGTGTGTGTTGGTGTTGGTCAGTCATGATGTCAGGCACAATATGTTTACTACCATTACCTTTCTGCAGTCAGGGAAACTTCTCACTGCTTTTATATGCAAAGACTGATCACAAACAGCTTTCTACATACCTCAAAGGGGTTAATATTAGCACGCTAAATATGCTGAATGAGTGACTGGTTTTGTAAACACGGCGTTGGAGCATTTATATCCAAATAAGCTTTGTTCTGACTCTCTCATGAGTCGTGAATAGAAAATGTTCTCTGGTGCTCATGAAATCCCTCGGGGTCACATTTACCATCATGTTGCGCTTGGCGGAGCAGCTCCCTCTTTTACATCCTGACTACCTCACAGGTTCAGAGCTTCTATTTTTTTTTTTTTCTTCTTGCGTTTACAAACTCTACAAATGGAAGAATTTTTTTTTTTTCTGAAATTACCGTGGTGGCCCCTTATAAGGAGAACAACACCCAGAGAGATGAATTTTTCCATCCAAAGATGGTCTTAATGAGTTGTGGAGTGCTTAATGTTAAAGTATATATTTATGTTGCACGGTCGCTACTCGATTACCATGGAAACTGAGGTAGCACGTTGGAGGTGAGTGGGCGTCAACGCGACTTAGATGAACCCTGTGAATGTGGTGGGAGGGACAGAGAGAGAGAGAGAGAGGCTGAAAGGGAGAAAGTGACAGAGGAAATGGAAGCAGATGGAGAAAAGTGATTTGATGTTCAGAGAGAAAGTTTGTTGTGATGAAAAGTTTGCTTTTCCTCTCTTTTTTTCTCTTACCTCATTCTCTTTTTTTATTATCATATCCTCCTCTTGCATACAGTAACCGCTCCTAACTTTTCTTTACATGTCATCTATACATCTGTCACTCCTCTCATCCTCTTGTCTTTCTTCAACGGCTGCCTCGCTAACTTTTCCTAGCTTGTTGCCGTCACTCATTCTGCTTTCAGATCCTTTATTGTCTTATACAGAGAGGAAATTTACATTCACTGAGTGCACAAAAAATAATTTACACAACATAACAACAGAAGTATATCGCAGGTTAGTTAAAGCAGTCATAGCTGGGGGCGTCAAACTTCTCCCAAAGTGACTTCTTCCTCTGAAGATGAATGTTCGTATTTTCAGCTGGAGGGGAAGAGAGTGAAATATGGTTTTAAAGGTGTCAGGGGTCCTCTACTCCGATCAGTGCTCTGTAAGTGTTGGAAATGTCAGGACTGCTCAACAAGTCCTGTAATGAAACATGACAAATAGAGTTGTTCTTCTGTGCCTGACACATGAGACGTTTTTATAAAGATATCCTGCAATAACAGCGTAAAAACGACAGTCGGTATGCCTGCTTTGTTTATAATTTGACACAAAAAGTGCAGACACAGTGTTCTCTCAGTGTGGGATTTGACAAAGCACACTGCTATGAAGCAGCAACATTGCTTTCTAAACAATAATAATAGTCTGTTAATATCCGGATATGGAGGTTGATCTGCTCTGAGGCGCTCTCAGACGTCCTCAAAATTTAAGCCATATAAAAAGCTGGTCATTGATGATAGCAATAATGATCCTACTGTATTTACATATGGCTTTCCAAAATACTCAGCCACTACAAAAAATCATGTTATTGAAGACCATAAGATTTTCAAACAAGCAGATTTAAAGACTGCAGCATCAGTAATTACCAGCAGCCCTGAAGAGTTTAGTTGAAATCAGTGATTTCTAACGCGGCGACGTGTTAGGGGGAAGAGTTCAGAGAGAGGGGGCAGCTTTGGAAAAGGCTATGTCACCCCATCATGGGGGCTTGGTCCTGGGTGCTGGAGAGAGCAGGTTGGTATCAGAGACTGCAGACAAGGTCAAGCAAGTCAGTGAGGTCAGTACACGCCTGGTTGTTGTGATCTTTGTAGGAAAGGACAACTCATCAAACACCCAACATCATTTAGATGTCTTTTTTCAGGCTAAATTACAATGGCCTTTCATAGCCATAAAAGACGTTGAAAAATGGGCTTTATTTAGACGGTCTGAATCTAGACATTGTTTAGACGTATTGTAAAGATGTCTCTTCAATGTCTTTTCAACCACTTTTTGCTGGGTGGGAATGATCTTTCACTGGATGCATTGTTAAAGTGGGGGTCAGTGGAGGTTCTGGAGGACAGGGGTGAGAGTGTGTGAGCAGGTGAGCTGCAGGATTTGGATGCCCTAAGGTTTATTGAACGCTCTGGATGATGGATGACGTTGAAGGCTTTTAAAGCAGTTGATTCTGGATGTGATAAAAGCAGGAATCACAGTCTGGACAGCAGAGACAGAGAGTGATGAATCCAGACAAGCAGTATTTCTGAGATGGAAGAAGGCAGTTCTGATTATATGATTGACATTACATCTCTTGCTGTTAAAAATGATGTGGAGTTGATGGGAATATAGTGGAGTTGTTGACGGTGAGGCAGAAGTTTTATGTGGTGTTGATGAAAGGTTTTGGATGACATGATGGCTCCCCAAAAAGTGAAGCCAAATGTTAAGGAACATAAATCCTGCTTTCTGAAATCAAAAGCAAAACTGTTTTTGTCTAATGATTCAAAATGGATCTGAAACAAATGACCAACCAGAATGATCATGCACATAAGTTTGTAATTTTTTAAAAATAATGAAATTCTTCATGACTTTCTTTTATTGATTCTAGGCTACATATTTATCTTTATATTCATTTTATATTCAATAAATACAAATTGCTGAACAGAAATCACAGAGTCCTTTGCGGCAACATTTCACATGAGCCGAATGTTTTTCTGTCCACATTAAACACATAAAGTGAATACAGTTCAGTAATTTAGTGACTCATTAGTTCATGTTATGAGTCTGACGTGGTTTATTAAATGTATAAAAGGAAATATAATAATGTGATATGGTCATTATATGTTAATCAAGGGAGCTGCTCTCTCACTCTCAGCATCAACTATGAAAAACATGTTATTATTCAACCTTACACAATGGACCTGCTCTGTTTAACACCTTGTCACTTTGATTTTGATAAAATGAAATTTTCCAGTCAGACAAAGTATGAGCATAAGCTTCAGAGTGAAAATCTTTCCCACATCACATCTTTTGAGCTGAATGACTCATTGTACTCTTAATTGACCCTTAACTGAATCGTGTATATATATAAATGGTTTATGTAATCATAGCCAGCTCTTGGTGATGGAGTTGGTGATTTTTTTTGTTGTATTTCAACATTTTCTGTCTTCGTAATAATACAGAAAACAGAGAGGCTAAAATGTTCCGATTATAAAAGTCAGTTTGACTGAAGCTGTCAGAAGAAATAAACCTTCATTTGATTTTCTTCACCCACACGTGTCTGCTTTTCCCTCCACCACAGTGCACTTCTGTCTTTCTCATGCTTCTTCTCTTGCTTTATTTTAACCTCTGTCTTCATCTTTGCTCCTTCTTATTCTTTTCTTCATTTCCCTACTCACTTCCCTGTCTCTCCGCTCTTCATTACTTTCCTCCTTCTCAATATTTCAAATTTTTTTCTCCTTTATTCATCCAGACTTCCTTTTTTTCTTCAGTTTTTCTCTTTTTCACTTTTTTCATCTTCTCGACTCCTCAAGTTGACATTTGCAACTCCTATTCCATTACTTTAGTCGCCCCTCTCCTCCAGTTTACCTCTCCTCTCGTTTCTCCACTCACCTCCCACACAACAAAGAAAGAGATTTCACCTCGGCTCTTTCATACAACTTCTCCCTCCTCCCCCTTTTTTGTTTGATTTGTTACTTCTAGGCTTTTCTTCTTTCTCTTCTTCCAACAGTCTTAACAACGTGGAGTTACAGTATACTTCCACTTCTCTCTGTCATTCGTTCATTTGTCTCATCTTTACACGTCCATCCTCCCCTGCCTTTTCTTTTTCTTTTCCTTCTTACATGACATCTCTCCTCTCCTCCCTCTTTTCTGTCCTCTTCTTCTACTTTTCCGTTTCCTTAAACCTCTCAGTTTCCATGAGCTCCCCTCTTTCCTGCAGACAGAAGGTGCACCTGTTTGTTTTCCTTCTCAGTTTGTAAATGCAAAGTACAAAAGGAAAAGATAAAGAGTGAAAGAAAAACTAGAGATAAAAGAGAAGAGAAAACAGTTCCCTCTTTCACTGTGGCAGTTTTCCAGCCTCATTTGAATCTATTAGAGTTGGGTTTAGTGCGTATAAACTGCCTGCAGTTGTTGCTAATTTTCTGACGGATATGTCAGCTTAGATTTATAATCCTTGCCTCCCCTTACGCTAAAAAATGATTAAACCATGGGACAAAAACTACAGTGTGAAAATGACATCCTAAATGAAGCAATACATCCCTCTGGTTGCAAACACATAATGCACCCTGATGCATGTGAGCAAAGCAGAGCTCTGCAAGCAGGAAAAACCCGGCTTTCTTTATTAGTATTACACACACTGAAAATGTTAGCTTTTAGGAGAAGAGATTTACCAGCCACACGGACTGAACATCTCGATAAACTTTGGCAAATTTCCCTTTTATCTGAGGATGTAGTGGGTGAAAGCATGCATGAATTTGCATTTTTATGCAGTTTCACTAAAATTTGCACTAATTTCGGATGGAAACTAAACCATTGGCAAACTTGTAACTGTCTCATTTTGTACTGGTACCATCTCTTCTCATCCCTCCATCATTTAAAGCTCATTTTATCCATCCTCACTATTATCTTACAATCTATTTTCCCCCTTCTCTCTTTGTTTTAACTTGTTACCTTGTCTTTTTTTTGTTGAAGAGACAGATAACCTTGTGTTCTTGGCTCTTTTATTTCTCTCTTGGGGTCCATCCTTTCTTCTCTTTCTATGCCCTTCTCTCTTTTTTTGTCTTTTCAGTCATTTTTTATTTCTTTTGCTGATCTTACTTTTCATTGTCAGCCCTTTTTTAAACTTTCTCCTCTAATTGACTCTGCAAAAAACCTCTGCACCCTCGATTTCATCCATCATGTCCTTCTTCAATTAACTCTCTGTGATCCTCTCCTCCCTTTTTTTCCTCAATTGTTTCCTCTCTCACCTCCTCTTCCTCTTATTTTTCCAACTTGGTCCCTCCTCTGTTAGCCCACCTCCTCTCCACTCTTCATTCTCAGTTTAGTGAGCAGTAAAAACAACGATAAAATAATAATAAAAACAACAACTGTCCCGTGATTATAAACCCATCTCCATCTGGATCTCTCACACCCTCACACTGAGACACACACAGACACACACTGAGCTGAATAGGAAGTCAAACAGAAGGCCAATAAGACACGCTTGACTGGAGGCGACTCGGCGTATTTGTGCGAGAGTATGTGTGTGTGTGTGTTTGTGTGTGAGGGAGATAGATAGAGAGAGATAAAAAGAGACCGCGCGCGTGAACAGGGAGAGTATTCATTCCTGTCATTGTGTGAACCTTGTGTCCTCACAGCTAAAGGAAAGTGAGATAAATCCTTAAACATTTTTGTCGATACTCCAGGGAACGTTTTCCTCTAAAGGCACCTGGAGGTGTTGAAGCGGCGTCGCCTCCTGTTGTAGTAAAATAAAATGAGTAGAAAGCAGTAATCAAGCTGGAACGACAGCAGTAACTCCTGATGAGACCCCAGAAACTCCAAATGATGTTTAACTGATAGACGTTTTACTACATGTTGACTCATTAATATCGTGTTTGTGTCATAAGATTCCTGGCTGTCACCTGCTCGGGAAGTTTTTTAATTAAAGTTTTAATGACGGACCTTTTGTTCATTCCAACGTCAATGTGTGTGTGCATCCATCTGATGCATGCATGATGAAGTTTAGGAAGCAGTGGTGCAGAAATGATGGGCAGAAAGGGACACATCTGGTCATAACAGCCTGGGGGAGACGCACACACGTACACACAATCGTATGAACGCCAACTGACACACTGATGGTAAATGACTTTAGCTTGACCAAAATGTAGCATTAAATGTAAAACCCAGTCCAACATTCTACATGTTTATATGTCATTTTTTCTGATGCAACAGGACATAACATGAGAAAAGTAAGGGCAAAATTGCATTTCTGAGTATTTCTGCATATCAGTGAGGTTCTCTGGCAGACCCAATCGGCAGGTTCAGACACAGTGAGATTTCTTAGGAAGCAAATCCAAGCTCCGCCCCCGGAGCCCCGCTATGCAGGCCAGACTCGGAAAAGTAGAGAGGATGATCACTGAACAAGCGTGTGCACTAGCAGATTGAGATGCTCGTAAGAAAGCTAATTATGATATTAACTTTCATCATGTCCCCAAAGATATTTGTGTCCGAGAGCTAAGTAGCTCCTATGTTACCTGCGTCTTCTACCACATCGGCAATGTTAGACTGCAAGTTAACATGAGGAGGAGTGTGCAGAGCAGCGACTCAGAGGCAAACTCCATAATCACAATTAAAAGACCACTGATAACACTGATAACACACAAAAAATAATCGCAGTAGGAATTTCTCATATTAAGGTGTTTCTGTGACATACAAAAGCAATTACGATGCCTGACCATACTAATCAAGCAAGAAGGAAGGAATAAGCACAGACCAATTTTCCCACAGGTAGTCCATGGTTGACACTACCCAAAGTTCCTCACAGGGGCTTTAAATAATGAAAACTAGGCCTGCTTTGGGGTGCTACTGGCCTTGTGGTTGACGTGCCCCATATATTGAGGTTATGCCTCGAGCAATCAGCTCTGGTTCACTTCCAGCCTTTGGCACCTTTCCCACATGTCATTCTCTACTCTATCACTTCTTTCCTACTCTGTCCACTGTCTTATCCGTCCAAATAGAAGTGAAAAAAAAAAGCCTGAAAATAAATGAAATATCTCTAAAATAAGTTTATATGGCAATTTGCTGATGTAATGGCAGCCTGTGATATGATAAGTCAAGTGCAAAGGGCAGTCAAAACCGCCAAAGAGGAAATGAGGATGAGTCCCATAGTTAATTTTTGTATTTTCTATTTTTCTATTCTTCTTTCTATTCAACATCCAGACTACAGCTAATTTTGATTTGTTTTTAATATGAGCTCCTAAATCTGTTCTCTCCACTCAGTTGTTGTGAGCTAACCCCACTTCTATTTGCAGACATCAAAAATACAATTCCAACAACAAAATACTTTGTTTTTTTTTCTCTTTCATATTGAGCCATCAGTCAGACTACATGTAGTTTATATCAGTGATATGGTCGCAATTTACCACCTATGTTATAAGACAAACTCTGGCACAAGTCTTCTTTACATTTTGTCATTTTCTTAAAATTCCTCATCAAAGTTAAACTCCATTGTTAGCTGGTGTTCATTGAAAATGGGTCTTAGCAGACAAAAAACACAAGCTGCTGATACAATTATTCACTAACATTGATGATTAAAAATGTCCTTTTTTCTACTTTCACTTCAACAGCAGAACAAGTCAGACTACAGCATGTTCATTCCCTCAATCTGTCCTCCTTCTGATCTATTACCTCTGTTATCTCTGTTTAGCGGTTGTTAGCTAACAGTCTGTACAAGTCTTCCGAGCAAACCCTACAGCGTAAACAACAGATGACTTAGAGATGCCCTTGCTCCGGGGCACGTCGGCAGTGTCGGCCCTGCTGTTGATACCTGAGATCAAACCAGTAATTCCCTCTCCTGCTCGGTGGCCTTTCTAGGAGGAAAGAAAGATGGTGCGATATTTTGGCACTCAGGCTCTGCTCTAATGACACAGCAGAGGAGCTGATAGCATTGATCAGAGTGACCCCTCTTTCTAAATCAATAGAAATGATCCCATCTAGATAACGTTACACACGATCAATAACTCTCTGTCTGCGTGTGTGTATCTGTGTGTATGTCTGCTTGTGTTCCTCATGACCTGACCCATGTCTTAGTAAGGCTACCTGCATGTGTTTGTGTGCCTTAATATAGTTTTGGGGGCACATTTGTCTGTGTATACGTGCATGTGTAGATTGTGTGTTTGTGTGGGAGTGGGGGGTTGAGGTGGGGCAGCTTAAGGTCAGACAAGGTGAGGCGTAATGGGACTCTGACCAGATCCAATCTGGGACCACTTGTGGCAAAATGAATTGGCCTCAGACATAGGAAGTCTACCCTTGAGTGTGTGTGTGTGTGTGTCGTCTCTCCTCTAGTGGGTGTGTATATGCGTGTATATGTGTGCTCCCAGCAGTCTGTGTGTGTTACTTGCAGTGTATTTCTTTATGTATAAAGGCCATGCTTTCTGTGGAAAACTAATCTAATTTTGACAGGTTCGCACAAACAAAAGGCCACATTTATTAAAAAAAGATAATCATAAAATGACAAGGCAACATGTTGGCTTTGCACCACCAAGTGTGTACAAGAAATCACGGGCTGATCCGGTTGAATGTTTCACACACCAGCCGCCACTTTGTGACCGACTGTGCTGAGTGTAAAATGCCATGTGATTGGTTGTGTTGCGTTGTGGAAAAGCATCTCCATTTCCCCATTGTCTGGTCCAATGCCTCGCGGTTAACACTGCAGATCAGATGTCGTCTTCGGACGTCAGATTGTTTCGGCTGCTTTTGTCCCTACCTTCACCGCAGGCTGTCGACTGAATGGTTAGTGATATTTTTAGACTAGTATCAGGATCACCACATTTAAAACCTGCGCTAAATCTGGTGAAAACAGCAGAGCTTGTATTTTGACATCTATGTTATTACCACTCTTTAAACATTGTTTGACTCTTAAGACAAAAGACAAAAGGAGTGCTACCTGGATTTAACAAAGAGTTTGTCCGAGGTGCTCTTTGGAATGGGATTCACAAAGTCATTGAAGCAAAAAGAGAAAAAACTCCGAGGCGCTCTCTTAATAATATTAAAATGCCTTTATTTAAACGGCATGGTCATGTAGACATTAGTATCAAACTTTGATGCATTTCGGCATTAAGCCTCCATCAGTAAGTAAAGGAAACAGATGCTAGGTTGTGGTAGGGCCTTTTTCTCCAATAGGAGATTACCTTAAAAAATTGCTCTCTGCCGTTCTTTTATTCAAGATTGCTTTAAAAGGCCCTACCACAACCTAGCAGTTGTTTTCTTTACTTCCTGATGAAGGTTCGATGCCGAAAAATGTTGAAGTTTGCTTTTGAGGTCTGCATGACCCTTGTTTGACTCTTATTCAGTACTTTATTTGAAAGCTTTCAAGGGGCACAGCATAACAATTTCTCAAAATCAATCAAAGTGAAGAGTACAGAGGCTGGTTTAAAGATCTCAATAGAGAGAGGGGAGGCTAACTAAAAAATCAATTGTAACAAGAGGAACCACCTTTGGATATTTTTACAGGATGGATCATTCAGATGGTCTACAAAACTGAAAAAAGTGCCAACAGCCTGTGAGACTTGGCTGATGATTGGTGGACTCGAAAAGTGACACTTTTGGACAAATAGTTGTCATTACTTTCAGGCCCCATTAATGTATCTCCAAGCAGATGTAGCAGAGGTCCACTGTACATCAGGGGAAAGAAAGATAAGAGTGTTTATGGTTTCGCAGAAGAAGGGGTGTGAATGAGACAAATGGTGGAAGTTGAGTTGTTGTGTAGCATCCACCAGCTCTTGGTCTACGGCTAACTTATGTTTTGCTTTGCATCATACATAAATATATAGCCTTAACACCCTTGGAACAACACTTGAGTAATCTAAATAAAGAGGCAGGGACAGAGAGAGTCAGCTAAATTTATCCCAGTTGTAACCCAATTGTCCAGATGGCTGGAGAGAGAAAATAAGAATTGAGAATAATAATACATTTTTATGAAGTATGTCCTTCTTAGTCCACCTTCCTGAGGACCAACAGAGCATGGGGACAAACACATTCATGCATTTATTCACAGTTTTGAATCAATCTGTATGTATTTTGACTCTCTAAGCGCTCCAGTCTCCAAACAGTAAGGACTGCAGGTCTGAACCCAGCCCGGACCTTCTTGTCGAGAGGTGAAAATTGTCAAGCACTTCTCCCCTGAAATTCTCTCTCTCGAGTATCAATTTCTCTCCACATGTGGGCCAGAAAAGTGCCTCTAAAAATGTTGTAGTTCAGAGCAGTTAAGTGGATTTCAATGACAATTCAAGAGCCACAGTGAAAAAAAAAAAAAGAGAAATGTCTCACAACCACAGCTTCGATAAAATTGCCTCACAATCGTTACCTGTGTGTTTGCCAAACTCGAGGATTATTATATTCCGGGGTAAATTATCCAATACTATATGTCCATAAATGTTTAGACGGGTACTGTTAAGAAATTGGTAAAATCCATTTGATTTCAGACATGCCGTCTAACCCTATTACTAAATAGTTGTTACCAACTTCCACATTTTAATGATACACTACTTTCAGCACATGAGGTGTGTGTAAAATATACTTATTGATGATGATGATGATGATGTAGCATTTCAAAATGATCAAAAATAATCTAGTACTGAATGACAATGATAAGTTTTATAGACTTAAAACAGTGATAGAAGTATATTTACATTGAAAAAATGGGTTGATCCTCAATCATTGTAGAGTTTGGACATGAGCAAGTCTCTTTATGTTTGTGTGTGCCTTTCAGAGGTAAAGATGTGGAGAGAGACACTGCTCTGTGAGAGGCTGGGTGAGGAGGGGGGTTCAGCAACATCTGAAAAAATGTGTAAAATTGGCAAGGATTTGAGAATTTCTTCAACCCTGAAACAAAAAGAATCAGATAATCTCTAGAAAATCTCTGTACAAAAGATAGAAGGCCGATGACTGATCATGGAAAGCCATAACCGGTAGCACTGCATTAACTGCAGTGTAAATCATTATATGGGCTCAAAATCTCTTCCACAAACCCTTATCGGTGAACTCAGTTTGCTGCTGCATCCACACGTGCAGAGTAAAACTGAGCCATGCGTCCAGAAAACCATTTCAAAACATGATCCAGAAATACTGGACACTTCTCTAAACCTGAGCCCATCTAAATTAACTGAAGAAAAGTGGAAATTTACCTGTAGCCTGAAAATTTGACATTCTTTTTGATGCCTCATTCGCTGCTCTGAAGAAGAGAGGGACCGCCAGCTTGTAACCAGCACACAGTTCAAAAACCAGTATTTGTGATGGTATGAGGATTCATGAGTGGCCTGAGCAGGGCGTTGATAGCTTACCTTTCTGGAGCAACATATGCTGCTTTTCAGACAATGCTTTTTTTCTTCAGGAAGACCTTGTTCAATACAGAAGGAAGATGAATAGCGTGGCTTTGTAGTCATAGAGTCTGGATGATAAACTGGCCTGCCTGTTGTCCTGACTTTTCACCTACTGAAAACATTTGGGGCATCATGACTCAAAAAAACAAAAAAATCAAACATTAACTGAGTTTTGTCCCTGCTCTTTTGAAATGTCTTGCTGGCATCAAATTTAAATGAGCATATTTTTTCATGAAACAATCAACTACTTTGTTTTCAAGTTTTGATTTGTTGTCTTTGCTGTATTTTCGATTAGATATAGACCAAATGGAAACTATCAAATTATCAATTTCTTTTTTATATAAACGTTTTATTTGCCGTCTAAACTATCACATCATTGGTGTCGTACTTTAACTCTGTCTCTGTATAATATGATTCAAATGATCCAAGTTCTCTTTAAATGTTTCCTGATTGGAGAAAAAAATGACAGCTTTTTACGTTCAGACCAGAATTAGCTTAACAAACTTATACTGCAAGTTTTATTTATTCATTATTTTCATTTCACATTATTCAGTTTTATCCGCTTAAGTACAAAAGCTGTTGTTAACATAGTTTAATATTTGGGAGATAGGCCCGTAGTAGACTGCTTCTTTTGGGCACTGAACCTTCCTTTGTGAAATAGCTTGTGGTCAGCTCAGCCAATTGCATGCTTTTAAAGTATTTTCTTCAGCCACCTTTATCCCGGGCTCACCGCAGCAGCTAGAATATCACCTTTCTCAGATTTTCCGTCACCGCTATTTCCGGCTTCCCTCGGTTTACCTTATTCCTCACTACACGCCTCCATGCAGCGTAGAATGTAAATAAACCGACAACTGAGATGCCACAGTCAGTACACTGATACACACACACACACACACACACGGATTTGTATGCGGCGCCGAGTTCGAACGTGTTTCTATTTCTGGCCGGTTCGACTTCTTTGTAAGTCTGCTGCGCCGCCTTTTTGAGCGTTTCTTGGTTGTAAAATACAGAATACAGATACATGTACTTCTCCACAAAGATTTGTTCACTCTCTCCATTACAAGGTGTGTGTCTGTGTGTTTCTGTGTGCATTACACAGTGTGTGTATGTGTGTGTGTGGAAAAAGAGAGACAGAGATAACATTGTTCCCCTAGAAATCTATCAGCGCCAACAGGATTGCTTTTCCCCCCGCCTCGCTTTTTCTTGTGTTTCATTCCTGTTTCCATCTCCCCCGCCTCATCTCTCTCTCTCTCTCGCTCTCTATTCACTGTTTTCCCTTTTTCCTCCCCCCTGCTCTCTTTCCCTTTCTCTCCCTCCTCCTCCTCTCTTCCTATTACTCTTTTTCTCAAGCTCTACGCCTAAAAAACCGAGCACCAGTTGCACTTTATAACATCTAGTTTAGCAGTTGCCCACCAAAAGATGGAGACACACAGGGAGACAAAGGATAGCTGGGCCAATGCGTGCATGTGTGTGTGTGTTTGTGTGTGCATCGGCATGTCTGTGAAAGCTATCTTCTCTAAATGATACTCTGCCTCCTCTTACCCCTGACAGAGAAAGAGATAGATCTAAAGCTGGCAGAGAAATGAGAGTAGAGAGGGAGATGGAGAGGCAGGAGACAGATGAGAAGAAGGGGGAGTGAAAAAGGAAAGACGGGAACGAGGGGGAAAGCGAGACGACGTGGGAAGATGTAGCGTGGGGAAGAAATGAGTGATCACAGGCCAGAGAATAAAAAGAGATGTATAGGGATTAGGGTGAGAGGGGAAAAATTAGTTATGGCCGGTGCAGACGGTAGGGATCGAGGTAGGGCGCAGCAAGGTTGTACTTTGCATTTGTCAGATCTACTGTTACAATGTGTAATGTATAATTTCCTTATGTAGAGGGCAATTACTGTACATACAGAGTACTACATACTACAGAAGAAGCAGCCTGGGAGGTTTGATATATACGCAAATAAAGGGGATGATGGTGTGTTGGTGATAAAAACTGATCTGAAACCTGCAGCACAAAGCAGTTAGAGCAAGACTTGGGCAAATGGGCTGCATTTAAATAGCACTTTCATCCAAAGCACTTTATACTTTTGCCCATCATTCATGCAAACTTACACAGCAAGATACCATTCGAGGAGCCGAGTGAACGCCACTCTATTTGTTAAACTATAACCAACACTCTGCTGGTCTCTATATATATATATACTTTCCTACTTTTTTTCCCCAGGCTGCTGAGGATGCAAACCTTCAAATTCCCTCCTCCGTGGATAAAATGTGGTTTGCTAATTGTAACCTCTCGTGGTTGTTTGACCTTCACCGTGCAGAGTGATGTATGTGCAGATAAAAGAAGGCTGAAGGGTCCTAAATCTCACTTAGAGACTTGAGGTAGTGCACAAGTTTGGAAGACAATTAGAGTCCAATAAGCTGAGTTTTTCTCACCCTGACTTGGAAGTTTGGATAAATTCAGCCATAGCAGACATCATTTCAAGGTTAGGTCTCTGCAATTAAATCAGTATAAATCTGCTACTTGGAAAGAAAGCTTGATTATGCTCAACATAATGTTCAGTCATAACAATTACTCAGTGAAGCTTTTTATATTGCAAATGACACAAGCTCTCCATCTTTCTTTGACAAAGACTACAGTTGAAATGACTTACATGAGCTCAAATGTAGAGGGACCATTTTTGCTTGCAAGTCTGCAGAGTCATTTGGACTGCAATCTGTTCTGTTAGAATTTTCTCTATTCTGCACAATAGATCACATTTTTATCACATTTCACAGACACATGAAGAATTTTAAAACTCAGAAAAAAAATAATGTTATCCTCTCAGATGGAGGCCTGGAAACATGACTTATTTTTGTCTACATGATGAAAAGGACTCCGTTTGGTGTCATAGATTTGGTGTAACTCTGTTTTGGGCTCCACCATAAACTGTTTATTCAAATGGATGCCCAAAGTGTTTCCTTTAAATGTGAAGCCAAAGATTTAGAGTTCCCCTTACTGACTGGCTCCGGCTCCCTCATGATAAGAAGTGGGACTGGGGTCAAACATTAAATGAAAAAACATGTCAGATAATTTTTTCTCAAACATGTCATTACAGATAGGTCTTATCAAGGTGGTTTATGTCAAAGTGTTCATTTTTTCTGGTTGTCCAGTCTAAAATAAGTTTTATTTTTTTTTTTTATTCAGAAGATGAATTACTAGAGGAGAGGAAGAACAGAGTGAAAAAACAAAGCAAACACTAACACAAGAGTCACTGAATTTTACCATGCCATAGGTGTCTGCTTCAAACCAAAATAAGAATCTGTTCTATTGTGAGCTGTGCCACCTGAATGATGTCTGATGTTTTGTTCGTCAGATTATGAGTGTTATTGAACAACTTGGTGTGACATCAGCCTGGACTATTTTGAGTTGATAGTCACATTTTTAAAGATTGAAGTTCTTATTTTTCTTCATATAAAAAACCAAAACAAATAAACAAACAACAACAACAACAAAAAAAACCTTGACAACAGAACTCTATTGATTCTAGTCCTCTTCAGCCTTGTTTGTCTGCAATACTAACTATACACTTCCATTATCCAGTCACTCGAACACCAGGGCTCTAAATTTCACTATTCCAGTGATACAACAGATTGTGCCAGCGCACAATTTCAACCCCTTTGGTGCTGCCAATGCAGGACTTCATCTGTTGACAGAGTATTTGAAGCACTATTTCATCCACTTAACATTGTCAGAATTGAATAAAAAGATTCATGCCACTAGATATGGATGTCTAAGAGTGGGCTACATGTGTAAGGAAAAGTTTGTGTGTGCTGGGGTGCAAAGCTGCGTCTGTGTTTATAACTGGGCATGACGTGAGCAGAGTTTTTACAGTCCAAAATGTGATGTCAAAGTTATACAGTCTGGGACAAAGAGAGGAGGACATTTGGACAATTTCAACTTTGCAAGTGGATGGACATGCATGCACTTGCTATGAAAAAATTACCATAAAAAAACAAAACAAAACAGTGACATAGTGTAAAACAATTGGCATGAAAAGAGAAAAAGGGTGTTATATTTTATTTTTCATTAATTCTTTAGTGGTCAGATTTAAAGTTGTTGAGGAGATTTGAAGCAGTGACAGTAAAAATGAAATAATAAAAGAATATATTTTTTAACACTTTCGCTTTAAGGACAAGGACAGATGGAGCTTAAAATTACAAGGTGCCAAGGGATATATGACTAACTTTGTCCGATCACAGTTGTTGGGCAGTGGTGTGTATCACATCAGAGGGTGTCGGCTAAACTGCCTGCCATAGCCACAAACAAGGTTTATATGATACAGAAAAGTGTCACAATGCTAGAATAAACTTTCTGAAGAACCAAAACATCAGGTTAAAATGATCAAAAGACTTGGGGATGATTTTCTGTGGTTTCAGATTCACATTTAAAAAAGTCAACAACTTCTTCAAAAGTTTTTAATTAGTTTCTTTACTTCCAACAGGTGTATAATCCAAACTGCCATTTTACCTGAGCTTCACTTACGTATTATGTTGTAAATTTTTAACTGCATTAACTCAGCTCTGTAGTTCATTAGTCGAATATGTGATAAAAACCAGTCCAGGCTTTAAGTAATTATGTTGCAGGTACCTCCTGCTACAAGTTAGTAAACCTTTCTAATTGCGGTATTGGATTGCTCATGCCTTGCTGCAAACCATTAACTAAATGTCTGAGGGACCAGATATACGCTTTGAGGTAGTTAATTAGAATGGAGCAATGCCAGCGGTTAAGACATCCCATAATATAGCTATAATGCCTGAGAGATCTCGGCAGAGCAAACCCTCTCTGACTGGAGGAGAGAGCTCAGTCTAACAGCCATATTTTCTCACGTCCAAGAAGCTGGACGTTAGATACTGAAAGCAGCGTAGCGAGGCGAGTGCGACGATGAGCTTTTCACAGCTTCCTTCATCAATCCTTTCCAGTGGATTTCTGTCAGTGCTTCGCAATATTTCAAAATAATATCCCATCTTAGCCGAAACCTCCCCACTCCATCCTCCCTCCCTTCGGTCTGTTCATTATTTACCCACCTGCATTTTCTCTCTTTCATCCCCTTGTCTTCCTACATCCCTCCTCCTATCCGTTTCTCCTCTCTTCTCCTCCCTGGCCACTAAATCTATTCATCTAGATCTCCTTCTGTCTCTTTATGTCTATCTCCTCCTCCCATTCCCTTTAGTAACCTCTTAGAAATTCCTTAACGGCACTTCTCTTTTTTTTTTCAAGAGGAAAGGCAGAGATTGATGGAGTGAACAGCAATAAAGAGACAGTAGAAGACAGAGTAAAAGTGTGAGTGTGTGTATGTGTGTGTGTGTGTGTGTGTGTGTGTGTGTGTGGGGGGGGGGGGGGTAACAGAGGGAACGAGTGAAAAAGGAGAAGAAGTGAAAAATCTCTGAGCCATAATCTTCACTCAGCCTGGAGAAGCTCTGCCAAGCTGACCACACACACACACACACACACACACACACACACACACACACACACACACACACACATTGTGTGGGCTAAGTTTAAGACAGAGTGGAAATCAATGCAACCACTACCACTATGCATGATAATGAGAAACACTGTGCCTCCGTGTGTGTGTGTGTGTGTGTGTGTGTGTGTGTGTGTGTGTGTTTCAGGCAGTTTGACAGAAGATATGTGTATAAAACCAGCATCTGTTTGTGTGTGTGTGTGTGTGTGTGTGTGTGCGTGTGGATGCAAGTGGATATCTGCAGCGTGTGTGTTTGTGGTCTAATCCTAACTAAGCCTGTAGATGTGTGTCTGACGCTGATACAGTGTCATAGGCTGATTGGTGTATCTGCTCTGAGAATGTGTGTGTGTTTGTGTGTTTGTGTGTGTGTGTGTGTGTGTGTGTGTGTGTGTGTGTGTGTGTGTACTCTATGTGTACTTGTCTATAAAGTGTGTATTTGTGGAGGTAAACTCAACCCCCTGAATGCAATGAGGAAGAGTTCAGGTTCAACAAAAAGTCACTTGATTAAACGTGCAGGAAGGGGTTGAGGGTAGAGACTGAAACTAAGCTTCTTCCTAGTCACGCTTTTTTCGCTCAGTGCGGTCCAGGCGGACGCCAGCCCTGTCCACCCGGGGGGGAGGAGGGAGTGGGAGGCAGAGACGGAGAGGTGGGGAGGAGCAGCATGGAGGTTAAAGACGGGGCCGTGTAACTACAAGCAGCACTAACCCGTCCAGATCCGGCACTTGAAGCTACGATCCAAAATCGTTATTCCTGGTCATGCTGCAGGGTCCAAAGAAATCCATAACACTGTGGCTGAATACTGACGGGTAGGACACTCCATCAGCAGTCTCTCACTTACATTGAAGAGATATAAGATGGTACGGATAAGATGGCTTACTGACAAAGGATGGGAAATCTAAACTCTACTGGTTTGTGTGCCTGGAGAAAACTGCGTGTCTGCAAAACCTGCCCTACCAACCTTGACAATTACCAATCCAACCAACCTACCGCAATATCTATGCCCATTTAAGGCAGCGTGTTTTATTGAATGTTCACAAAATATTACATGAATTTCAAACAGAAGAGTCCTAGCAGTCAAAGAAATAACAGGTATAATTGAGTTATCAAACATATTAAAGGACCCGAGAGTGTTGAAGTGCAAATTATTTCAGTGACATGTCATCAGAGCAGCACCATACTGTGAGACAAATTAGGGTTTCTGACAGGAAGTAAGTCACTGAGGAAATGTCTTGATAAAACAAAGTGGTTCGTGACTCAGACAGTGGATATGTAGTCGTATAGGAAGACGCTATGCAGTATGTTCCCACCCACAGAAAGTGATGATTAACTGTTACATGAAAAAGAAGAAATGTTTATTCCTCAAAGTAAATTATGAATCAATGATGATCATGATGTGTTAAAAAAATATATTAAAACATCATGAGTTTTGTATTTCGCTCTTGTAACTGTTTTATACAGAAACTGGACATTATTATCAGATTAAAGGCGCATTCACACCAGGACTGTTTGGTTCATTTTAAAAGGACGGTATGAACATGCAAGCGCAAACTCGTCCAGATCAAACATACTGACTACGGTCCTCTTGAAAATACAGGACTCTGTCCTCTTCCAAACGAACCATGGTCCGGGCGGGGCGGTTGTGAACACAGCGCTGATGCAGACATCTTTTTATATGTCAATATAAACCAATAACACATTTACACCATATAAAAAGCCTGGAAATTATACCTGACCGGAAGTTCCATCAGACAGAGAACAGGCAGTTAAAACACCGGACTGTATGTAAAACTGGACGAATGTCAGATGGTTAGTGTTCTTATACAATTGTCAGGTGATAAATATCAAATAACCAGGGTGTTCTTTTGTTCAACAAACACATTGAAAAATGTTTAAAGGCATTCCTTTGCATTAATGACTGGAGTCTCCTTGCACAGCGTCTCCGCCACCTCTGATGAGTTGTGTAAAGCACGACACCCATTATTCTCTCAGGTCGGATACTTTCTGTGCGTTGTGGTACAATGAAGATTGTGCCCCAAATTAGCAGGTGACAGACATTGATTTTCCCTTGTAATTTTCCCTCTTTTTTTAACCATGCAAAATGCAACAATGTAAACATTTGGTCCCTGATCTGGACCTTCTAAGCAGACATTGGGTGGGAAAGGCCCCATAAGACACAAAACCTAAACCACAGTTTTGTTAATGTCATACATGTTTCCCAACCCAGCCAGTTAAAGAGACACAACTATGACCTTATCCACGTAACAGTTTTACACATCAGTGAAAGTAACATGTCCTCCCTCCTGATCTGACACTATTTTAAAATACCAGATGAGTATTAGACTACCCTGAGTTAGAGGTTACACAATGAACGCAGTCCATTGTCACATGGAAAAACTTGATTGGGAAGCGAGCTGGAAGCATGACAAATGCAGCCATGGCAACAAAAGTGAACGTAATTCATAAACTGAGAAAGCAGAATGACAAGTGGGGAGAAATGGTTCCTTCAGTGGAAGTATCAGAAAGCTACGCGTGTCATGTTCCTTGCACCAAAATCACGTTTGACTGCAAGAGATTTTATGAGATTTCCAGTTATGAGAGCCGGGACTCCAGCAGGTGAAGAGTCCTCCTGTGTGTGGTGTGCTGTGTTGAACATATTGTTGTACACAATAGGAACAAAACTATCAAACCTGACATTTTGTGGGCACGCATGCGGTCTCTTTCTCTTCTGGTTTGTGCCAGGCTTAACACAAGTCCTGCCAACCAAAAGCTCATGCGTGCCAATCAGATTTCAACGGGGGCCCATGCCACCTCTCACCACCCTTCTGGAAACACCCCTGGTGCTGAGGGGGGCTGTGTTATGATTTGTGCCTCAGGCATTAAGATATTTGAGTCAGTCTCATTCAGCTGTGCATATGTGTGTATCCCTTTGTCTGCACTGTACTCTACGTATGTGTGTGTGTAAGTGTGTGTGTATTGCTGATGTAGTTGTGTGAGTGTTTGCTTTGCATGAGTGTGTGGATGTGGGGTGTGTGAGTGTGATTTGTGAGAGTGTCTGTGTGTTAATTGGAGGGCTGTTGTCTTGAAAGATCATCCATTTGTCTCCATCTGGCCCTCTGGCTGCAGATACTTCCCTGCTACATCTCACACACTCACACACATTTACTCTCTAATTTACTAGAATGCACATCAATGCTACATACACTAGGCACCGGCGTTCCCGACGCTCGCCAAGGTCCTCACCCGCCACAGTTGAAACATTTTTGAAGTCAACAATACTGACAACATTTCATCAAAGCCGCCGCTCAAATGCATTTTAATCTGCATCTTCAATCAAAGTGGTCCTCTATGATTCCCAGGGTTGTTTAGTCTGCAGGATAAAAGCCTTTAATATCGACTGTAAAGTGGAGGTGGAGGGCGTGCAGCAGACCCACCGGCTCATTTCGAGGCTGCCTCGTCTCTCATTTATTCTAAAAAAAATGATGGTGGAGGTGATGCCTCGGCTCTGCCTCCATTAAAATCCATCCAAATCTTCATCCAGTGTGAGCAATAAACTCTCAGTCTAACATGAAATAACTGCCATAATAGTGAAGGATGAGCCCTGCATTGAAGCCTCAGTGATGAGGACTGCACTGCAGGCGGAGTGTGTGAGTGTGTGCCACTGAGGATGTGAGTGAGAACAATGTTTATTCATAGGATCAGACTGTTTGGCCAGGATGTTGGTCGTCTTCTCGAAACAACATGGCAAACACTCCTGAAATTGATGCAATATTAATGTCAATATGCCTGTCTGATTTTCATCTTCTTGTTTTAGACTTGGTGGGACTTCTTAAAGAGCCAGATTCATGGAAATATCTCTGTGCACTCCAAGTGAACTTGCGTGCAAGAGTGCATCTCAAAATGAATCTCAAACACCTCTTGTAAAGACTTAACTCTCTCTGAGATCACTTTTACAAGCCAGAGATTATGCTTTCCAGCCTGTGGAAACTGTTGAACGCGTCTAAAGCTGTAGTCTGAGAGCATAATGCCGGTAATGTCATCAGGATTATATCAGCTCGGATTCGGAAAGAAAACATTGTTAACAGTGAGGGGAGTGGAGTATGAAAGACAAAAAAGTGGGCAGTTCTCTGCAGGGAGGGTCTTACAAAAGACGCTATCAAGTTGCATCATGAGAAATGTTGAATACGGCAGATCATTCGGCAGCTTGACCCACAGTGCAGACTTAAGGGCCCCTCACACACACACTCGCACACACATATTCAACACAAACGCTCAGAAGCTAGGACAATCAGGATATACGGGTCTACAGAGATTTTGACACCACTTTCTTGCTGCTTACATACAGAGATTTAACAGGAGAACGTAGAAAGGACTCCTTTCACCCCTCTGCAGTACGACAAGGGGCACGAGGAAAGCCTTCCAGCTGCACCACAAAACTCATCAGTTCAGGAAGCTTTGGGTGCTTTTTCTGTAGCAGGGCATCAGCAGGTCAATTTTTAAAAGTGAACTTACTTTAGATCCCCTGGATCCATTTCGATATCACTTAAAGTAAACCGCACTCCTTCAATATGCAAATCTACAAAACTGTAGCATTGCTTATAACAGGGAGAGGGCATATAAACAGTTCTAAGGTAAGATTAACAGTTATAAGTTGAACACCAACAGTGCCGTCAAAAGGCAGGCATGGGGGAGTTAGGGCCGCATCGAACAAGAATGATAATGAGAAGAAATAGAGAAAGATGCGCTACACAGTTCAGTTGACACAGCTTATATTATTTGTTCTCAAAGAGGCACATCAGCAGCTCAATAAAGCTGTGCTGAAATTACTGAGAGGCCTCTGTGTGGTGTGTCGTACTTTAAGCAGCTCTTTCTCTCTAAAAATTGTGTTATATATATATATATCATTTTTTTGTGTGCAACCCCACTATCGCTCCTTCTGACCCATCTCCAGGAACGCCACTGTTGTCCACTTGAACTGGACTGAATGGAAATCAGGAGGAGGGAGGAAGCAGGCAGCAGGGAGTTTTTTTTGGGTGTGCTTACTCACCCACTTTTTAGTGAGTACAATCATAAAAGCTCCTTTAAGAACTTTCATAATAGGAAAAAAAAAGTCAGGATTCTAAAATACTTATACAATGGCTGATAGTGTGGTGCATTCAATTAAAAACATCATTTCATAATTTCATTAATCGTTCTAAATCAGGGTTGAGGTGTATGGGCTGGCTCATATACAGCTTCCAAGCATATTTTACTCAAATGGATACATAATTCATATTGTCAGAGATACCTATTGTCCCCCTGCTGTTTAATTCAAATACCTGCTATCAGCAAAAATAAAGCAGCGGCTTCCAACCAGGGTGTCGTCGTATAAATATCAAACTAATTACACCTGATCAAAAGAAGAGAAAACACAGTTTTATCTCCTTCAATCATTTTTCCCACAACTTTTCTCTCATATTTAATCTATTCTATTCCCCTCTTTATCCTATTATACACAAACATTTCAATAACAATTCAAAGACTATTGAACAACTTAGTGCTCAAAGACATAGTAGCAAAGAATTAGAGGTCTATTATACGTGAGAAGATTTTCCTATTTTTTATCTACTTGCAAAGGCGCACATGCACAAGACAAAGGAAAAGGTATGATATACAGCAAAGAAACTGTGCCTTTGCAAAAATGATGAATGAGAGGGTTGATAAGGGTGGGAAAAAAGGCCATAAAAATGAAGGATGTTAAATTCTTCATAGAAGTTTCTCTTGTTTTTGTTATTTCAGCAGGCTGAATGTACTACCACCCATGTCTTCTATAAAGTGTAATAATAGTTCACACTGTGGACTACAATTACTATTAAAAAATATCTGGCATTCAACACAACTTTGCAATCTGGCTGGTATCCGCCTCATGTGGGAGCAAGCTGAGGCACAGCAACAACACATACACAAAGGAGTCCAAACCATATGGTGTCACAAGGCTGATACAAATATTTTCAGACCAAAGTCAACAGTAGCAGATATTAACACCATTTTAAAACCATTGCTGTAATGATTATTTATTCATCTGAGATGACTTAAGCCACTTCAATGAATCATTTCCATGTCAACAAAGAGAGAAAAATGCCAAATTCAAAACTTGAAAACAAATCCTTTGACGCTTTAAAGCTCCTGGAAGGAGGTTTTTTTTGCTGTTTATAAAGTGCTAGTGATTCCTCTTTTTGACTGACAAAAAGAAACTACACCATAAGCAAAAGATAAACAATGTCTGTATCATAATTGTTGTGAGTGTAACTGCTGCGTTCATGAAGATGTCAGACATATTTGACAGAATAGCAGCAAAAACTCTTTTTTTACTTGTAATTGCTACAAAAACAGAGTGAAATTTTGAAGCTTTTTTTAAATTTATTTTAGCTTTATGCCTTTGTTTGATAGGGCAGGAAATGTGAGAAAAAATTGGGAGTGATGCTATAAAATCTGTTGAGACTGGGAGTTGATCCTGTGACCACCACATGGAGGGCTGTAGCCTCTGAACATGCTTGTTTTAACATCTGAACTAAACCAGCATCCTGAGATGATTTTTGGGGCAGAAAACACAACATGGACATGTAAAGAAAAAAAAAAAAGGTTTAACATTTTGTCCACAGGAGGCGCCAGAATTGTAACAAACAGGAAGTTCCCCACAGAGGCCTAAAGAAGCTCAAATGTCAAAGTCTGTATTTGCTTGACTGAATTGATTGTCTTAGCTTTCTGCAAAGAGCAAATGTGACCATACAAGGTGAAGAGGGGGAAAACAGGGTGGGAGGGCACATTGGTTGAGTTAAACAAATATGACTTCCAAACAAGAAAGCAGAGGTTCATGTCCCCTGTATGTACCAAAAGATATGATTTAATGTTGAATGTAAATCTAGATAAGAAGTTTAATTTATCTACGAACTCTGACAACATTAACCAAGTATTTCAGATTTTTACAATGTGGAAAATAATCACCTGACTCTTATAATCATGATTATGATGGTGACATGGTAAAGATGCTCTAAATTTCTCTTCTATTTCTGCTTTAGACCATAGGCTTTATCGAACATTGATGGAGTATTCTATTGATGCCATCCATTGAGCATAGCCTGTATATACTATGGACAACTTGGCTCCGCCATCCGTCATTATACGAATTTGAAGCCAAATTTCTCTCAGTATTTCTGGGATCTTTACCATTTCCTGAAACCACCATTTGGTAGGAGAATCAATGTGATGACACTCCACTCAAACAGCGTATCCCCAGGGTGAGCTACACAATCTGCATACACCCATAGGCTGTATCAAGTGTCAATCATAGAAAACATGAACCCCCTAATAACTTTTAAAAACAGAGCTGCACAGAAAAAAGAGGACTTGAGCACAAACTAGTCTTGCAGTAACTACATGTCAACATCCCAAGCAGGAAGGAGAAAATTTTATATTCTGTGTAATTAATTTCTAAAGTTTGTCCACAGCTCCATAGGGATTGATGAAGGAGGCAGGATATATGATCTATACTGCAGCTTGTCACCAGAGGGTGCTATTCTCGGGGTGGCTTCACATGGCAAGGAGGCAGACGGCGCCCATTCTATATACAGTCTATGGTTATGAGACAGAGTTTTGAAGCCAATTGCAGCAATCACTATGTTGGAAATACTGACTCCAGCAAAAGGCCCTAAAAACGCAAAACTTATGACCTTAATATCTTAGAAACTACTGACTGAAAACAAATTAGCAGCAGTACAGTGTGTGTGGATAGAGAATTGAGCTAATTAAACCAAAATCATTTTTTGAAGCAGCCATTAAACATGTTTTTTTTTTCTTTTTGCTTTTAAGTGGGGCTGTTTGAATGGGTTAAAAATGTGGCTTCAGCCTCAAAGAACTGCAGTTTCTAGCACTTCTGCACAGCATCATATCTTAAGACTGGAGGGTGGCGCTTGGTTAAAACTCAAAACATTTATTCTCACTGAACTTTTCATCCAGACATTCAGATGTAACCTAAAAGCGAACACTCGTGGTCTTTGAATCATCATAAGAATAAGAATAACTTCATTTTTAAAAATCTTTTATTATTATTTTTATCATCTCTAAATGTGAAGCTATCTAGTTGAGTTCTTTGTATGCATAAAGAATTTGAAATGTCAGTGAGTGTTCAGCTTTACCCCCCCCCAAAAAAAAAAAAATAAATGAATAAATGAATAAATAAAATAAATAAATAAAATAAAAAAGCCATGTATTTCTTTAACTTATTGATCAACTCATGAATTATCACTGTTTTAATAAAAGGGGTATAGTTTGTAATAGTTTCTTCAACTTTTAAACCTCTACAGAAAACCCTTTTCTTTTGATACTCTTACAGCTTAGGCTGATGTAAAAGTATGACAAGATATGATTGAGTTAAAAAAAAAGAAAAAAACAGCAAAATAACAGAAGAAAACCGTGTTTTGGTGGTTCAAAAATGAGTCACGTTTTAATCTATTCATCTAATTATCTTATACATTACATGAATATTTCATTCCAGCACCCTTCCATCCTCACATATTTATCTTCCACGGAGGAAAAAAGTGAAGGCGGAGGAGAAGTGGGAGGAAAAGCCTGCGTAATTAACCCACAAAGTACACTGTCGACTTCAAAAACCCTCTTTACTCCTTCCTTTATCTTTCTCCTTTTCCCTCCTCCATCCCTGTCTCCATCTCTCTATCTGCCTCTCTCGCCATCTCTCTGAAGTCCAGTCGCCATATCAGACGAGCTAATTAAAGCAGCACATAATGAGAGAGCAAGGGAGGAGGGGGAGGAGGAGGAGGAGGAGGAGGAAAGGGGAGGGTCAGAGAAGAAAGGAGTCAGGATTTGGGGATGTCACACTCCTATCAAAGGAACTTGTTCTTCAGACACGCAACTCGTTTCCTTTCCCGCTGAACTCTCAACGAGATTCCTCATTCTTCTGCTTATTTGCGATTACATTATTTAAACTAACAGAATTATAAGATGCAGTTTTCTGATGAAGAGAAGCAGCTGATGTCTGTGGGGTGTTAATTAAGGCCAGTTTCAAAAGTTAAAGAAATGTAACGTGCAGCCTAAGGACCTCCCTAGAGATGAGGGAGTCGATGTTTCAAACACACGAATCGGCTCATTTTCAATTAGCTGAGAGAGAGAAAGGTACCTGGAAGAGAGGAAAGAGCACCTTTGTGTATTTTTCTGCGGTATATTTGAGATTCATTAAGAATGGTTTGGTTTAATAGAGATGTGAGGGTGATTCCTGTCTGGGATCTACCTGGAAATGTGCTGAATGTTCGATGAAGATGTTAGCAGACCTCCTGCTGCTGAGAGTCAGACCCTGACTCTGTAGACAGATGAGAAGATAAGGTGTGAACATGGGCAAATCAGGGACCCAGACATGTTTGAGGCTCCCCAACCAGTCCTCTTCAAGGGGCAGACACTGTGGCAGAAACAAACACACCTGCTTTTGTTTGTATTTAGGCTGTTTGGAGTCTTTCCTTTATATTTTTAAGTAGTTTTGCATCAGTCTAAAGCCATCTAGCTTCTGTTTGTGGTTGCTTCCTGTTTGTTTGCACCTAGTTTGCATCTCTTTCAATCATTTTGTGATGATGTGTGTGATTTCAGTTTGCCTTGGTTTCAATTTAGCATCTTTTGGTGCTCATTTTGCATCCCTCGAGTGTTGTACTCCTTGTTTATTTTACTTTTTTGTCTTTTTGAATGTCTCTTAATCCATTTTGCATCTCAATGCAGTTTTATTGTATCTTCTTGTATTGGATTTGTACCGCTCTTAAGTATTTTAACGTCTCTGTGCTTGATTTACATCCCTTTGTGGTTCTGTTGTGTCTCTTTGCTTGCTTAGCTTTCTTGTCCCTCTCCGTTCGAGGAGTGTCTCCTTCGCTAACATGTTAGATACTGGCCTGTTCAGGAATCCCCCCCAATTGTAAGCTACACAACATTCTTTGTGGTCTCAGTTCTGGTGCAGTAAAAAAGCCTTGAAGAGATTTTTGGCTCAGTTGTGTCTCCACTGCGTGGCCGATGATGAAATGACTTGAAAGATGAGAGACGGACAAAGAAAGACAGAGATATGGGGAGGCCCAGAAGGAGACAGAAGGAGAAGGAGACAAAGATAGGGGACACAGAGGGAGCTGCAGAGACAATAAGGAGGATGTTATCCCTGCATCATTACTTCAACACCCATTCTCCCTCTACAGTCTCATTTTCTCTTTTTTATTATTCGCGCTCCCTCTCATCTTTTCTTTCTATTATTCATCCTCTCTCGTCCTGTCTCTGTCATTAGTTTTTATCTCTCTGTCTCTCTAGCTTTCTGTTGTTCAGACACTCAGACAAATGAGGCATGAAATATTCCCCATCAAGTCACAGGGAGACTTTCAGTGAGAGTGTGTGTCTGTGGGTGTGGGTGGCAGGCTGTGCACACGCATGTATGTATATGTGTATTTCTCTGTGTGCCTGTGTGTGTGTGTTGGTTTTGACTTTGAAGTCTGTCGGGTCTACCAGCCACTCTGGAAGGTAGCCCACCTGAGTTCGATCAGACGTTTGTGATCCAAAAAATAATTTGGCAGGAAAAAAAGTCAAATTGGCTGCAGGAAGTTGTGAATTCACTGGCTGCTGCACAGCTGACCAGCAAAGAAGAAAGAAAGAAAGGATGTTTCCTGAAGATCTCAGCCAGACATCTCGCAAAATCTCAAATTAATGCACAAAGCTGAAAGAGGCTCTAATATCTGTGACAATTTGACGGGAAATATGCGATAAGTACAATTTTAAACACGGTCGTCATGAGAGTTGCTTTATTGGATTCTTTGACTGGAGTTTTACAAAGACCTACACTTTTCTCTCTTTTCTTTTCTTTTCCCCACACACTGTATTTTTTTTTTGTTTTTTACAGATTGCTGAATAATTTCAATACCTGTTAATTTTTCCACTTATTTAATTGCACTGGTTTCAATTTGAAGTCAGGATTTCCATTTGATATTCAAATTTGCTCTCAGCTGTCACACAGTTTAGAGTTTGATGCTCGCTGACCTGCAAATCTCCCTGTTAATGTTGGCTGTAATAATAATTATGTCCATTTATACAGTTTCTGGTTTAACCAAGGACTTGTGGGTGCAGTGGCGATTTCCTAGTTCCTGTTAGAGGTCAATTAAAGCTCTAAATGACTCAAATCCCATCAAGACAATTCGGTTAGCTCACAGTTATTAGCTAAACACAAAGCTGAAACAGGAAAGCTGTCTATAAAATGTACAAACAGCTAAAGAAACGCATCCTAACTGTTTCTGTCATGGAGCAGAAAATACAAGACAAGGCAAATATAGATGTTCAAAAAGTATTAGCGTTTTTTTTAGTTAAAGTTTATCATGTAGGAAACATAAAATGTTCCGTGCTTTGGTTGAAATTAGGTAAGATTGAGTCTAAGTGTGTTTGCAGAAGAGCATCACTCCAAACGTTTGTCATCCTCGCCCTCTTTACACAACGCACATCTTGTAAAATATGCATAAAATCCTGCATTACTGATACCAAGCCAGAGGCACTGCCACATGTTTGATCTCTCACGTCTTTGGGCTCCAGCCCACATTCGCACACACAACTTCTTCCCTTGTGTTTGAGACTCTGCATTCAGAGTGGCTCTGAAGAAGTTGTCCTCCTTTAAAGTGTGCTGCTGGAAAGTCAAGAGCAAACCCCTCTTATAACAGACGGAGAGAGGGAGAAAGAGAGAGAGAGGGAGAGAGACAGAAAGAGAGAGAGAGAGAGAGAGAGAGAGAGAGAGAGAGAGAGAGAGAGAGATATTGATTCATTCTTTGTCCTCGACATGCTGCTTTTCACATACTACCATGTGACGCTGCATTAAACCAACCATCCAGTTGACATTACATTTATAAAAATGTACAAATGCAAATGTCTCTGCCACGACAAGTATCATCCTCGTCTTTTGAAACTGAAGGGATCTTTTTTCCCAAAGTGTGGGCATAAGATAAATGAAACCTCCCCTTGCAATGGTAAATATTTAACACACTGTATATTTACAGAGCTTTTACACTACATGTCACTATCACCTATTTATCCATTTCGCAAGGATGCTACACAAAAAGCCCATCAGTCTTCCAAAATCCTACTTATACACTGGAGGGTGGAATATTTTGGTGTTCAAATGGCCAATTTTAAGACTGAGTGAGAATTGACCAACTCTACTACTGAGCCAACACTGTAGCAAAACAATTCAAGTAAATAGTATCCAGACTTTTTAAAGATGGATATCTGTGAAGGCAAATCTGTTTTCTCACCATATTTAGAGAATTTAGAATAATAATAAGAATAATGCATCAGATTTTTTATAGCACTTTATCAGAGACCCTCAAAACGCTTTACATTGGATACATCATTCATTTGCTCACACAGTCACACCCTGATGGTCTGGTCATAAACTACCTTAGTAGTCACAGCTGCCCTGGGGCAGACTGATGGAAACATGGCTGCCAGTTTGCGCCTACTGCCCCTCCGACCACCCCCACAAACACTCACAATTGTACACCAGTGGAGGACACACACTGGGAGCAAGGTGGGTTAACTGTCTTACCCAAGGACACAATGGACAGACTCGGGATAGAGGGGAATCAAACCGTCAACCTTCTAGTTATTGGACGACCGCTCTACCTCCTGCTGCCCCAATTTAGCCTCATTGCTAAAACACTCTATGTTCCTTAGTACGAATTTAATCAGTATACAATCAAAAGAGAGCGAGGAATCGCTGTTAAAACTGCACAAAAAAAAAAGATCAATTAACCATATAATTGGGTTCCCATTATCACAAGGTCTACATTATTCAGTTAAATCTGCATCACAGTAAATCATAGGAAACTATTGAGTCAGTGTGGGTTTAAATAAACCTGAAAACTATCCTGTCTGCACTGCTCAAGAAAAAGCAGTCAAATTTTAACAATTCTCACCAAAAAAAGGTTAATTTTTTTTTGGACATGCCCTCTTTTTTATTGCTAAGTTTGATTCAAAGATCCAACTGTGTCTACTCTGTTATTGTCCATGTTTGGTGCTTTTATAAATGAGGGTTCTTCCTCAGTGCGCTTTCCCAGGTTCTGAATAAATAAATTATGAGTATGATTAGTGTTAACCTTATTGTCAAAAAGCATACTCAACCAAATGTGATCCAGTTTTCACCTTAATACTCAGATACCTCGCAAATCATCTTGTAACTGTTCACAGGGTTGTGACATCTTACATAAACACATATAAGTCTGTCATAACATGCCCGAAAAATAATCTTGCTGCTTTTAAAGGAAGTTGCTTTGGAGAAAACTCCCGCCACCAGCAGCCTCACACATTCTTAGAGTGCAAGTGTAAGCAACAAAAATCCTCCAAAAACACTCAGGGTCCGGAGAAACCTCAGTGCAGCAGGGTGGGCAGCTGGTGCTCAGACACATCCAGCCTCCTCAGCCTTTGTTGTCCGGGCTTGAGCTGCTGCAGCCAGAGCCTCAGCCTTGCTTTGTGTCAGTCCCTCGAGCGCACATCTCTGCCTCTACCAGCACGCTCCGACTCTGACAACATTTTATTAAATGTGAAGTGATGCAGGAGGTCCCCTGCGCACACACTGGAAAGTTGTTTTGGTGAGCTAAAATGATGCAACTCCTACAGCTGAGAGAGCAGGAGTGCGCTCCCCAGAGGCAGAGAGTTGAAAAGCAGCCAAACTTTCCCATGTAGCATTTTTATAATTAGCCAATGCGAGAACACATCAGTGGATGGAGAGTAATGGAAATAAATGAGCTTCTCTCTATTGATAAGCAGGGCATTGTTAACAAAGTAGATCTGTTGCTGTATTTTCAGATGAACAGCTTCATTTGATCTCAGTGAACAATTATATTTAGATAGCCATATGAAAACAGATAGCCTTATATGAAAATTTTCACGCTTTCAGCGAACCTTGGTGACATAACATGTGTTATACCTCAATTAACAAACTTGTGGATGAAAAGTCAAGACACGCTGGCAGTGCTGCTGAGTCTCTGATCATTGTAACCTTACAGGAGAAGCAAAGATCTTCAGCTCTGCAATGCAGACTCTGGGTTTTGGGTGAACTTTTATTTGTCTGTTGGAGAAACACTTTTGCAGTCAAGTTACTCAGTGTTAATTCGAAGTTTCAGCCCATTTCATTTTTAATGTTAATCTAGACAAACTGGTGCTGTCCTTCAGCTTTAAGTATCAGCAATTTTCCATTTTTAAAATCTATAAAAGTATGAGAAATATTATAAGAAAGTTGTCTGAATCCTTTTATAGCAGTTGGCAATTTTTCCTTTCCTTCTTGGCAAGGGTGGCAGCTCAGAGCCAATAAAGCTGCCTTTTTAAATAAGCATCTTTTCCAGTGTGAGTTCTCTAACGTTGCATCTCATTTCTTGCATTAAATTAATTAGGCAGATACTTTAAAAGCAACATCCAACTGAAAGGGATTGAGACACATTTAATGTCAAAAATATGATCTGCGTCGTTTTGAAACCATCAACCAGGATTTGACTGCTGCGGCATCCCGCTGTTACTGAACGCACAAATTACTAACAACCTACAATCGACTGGATCTTTGACGGGTCAGCTAAAACATTCAAATGTTTTTAAGATACATACTCAACTGCAGACAAACATTTTGGGCCATCTTCAAACATAACCCTTTTTGACACAATATGTCTAGGTTGTTAGATGGCTGTTTAATGTCTCTGCTGCTTTGATAACTGTTTTCATGGGGAAAAAAAGCATCAAAAGTTTGCCACAGTTGTTGGCTACCACGTCCCAAGTCTGTGCTTCTTTGTACCTAAACATCTTGGGCTCTATTTTCGTGTCCGCCAGGGATGCGGCAGAGGGTGGCAGACCCTGCAGTGGTATTTTCGTCTGGCGGAGCCTGGCGTACAGCCAGTTTGGTATTTTCAGGGACTGAGGCGCACAGAGGTCTGCCAAGCTGGGTGTGGATGCGCGGCAGGGGGAGGTGTTGACAGAATAAGCTGGCGCAGTGACATTTTCGTGCTCGCCGGTGGCGTATAAAGTGCACTGAAAGCTCGCCGATTCAAATCTGGTCAGCTTTCAGCGCAGGCAGAGCGCAGCTGGTCTAGTGGTATTTCGATAGACTGGCGGCGTATCCGCATACGTCACCGATGTCTCACCGGCAGGTTTCCACAGTGTCAGGCACATTTCAGTGCAATAAATAATCATCGACAACTAATAATCTGAGTCAGCACATACATTTAGATCTATATAGATATATTCTGATCTATATCTGATATGATGAGCGCATTTGGCATGCGTTTGGACACTCAACCTGATCGAATCAACACAGCTGAAATCACATAAAATTAAATATCTAGTAAGTAAACACACATGATGAAGTTAACAAGATATGTAATTTGTCTCCCTCCTTTTCTTTCTTCCTCTTCCTCTTATTTCTCGAGCAGCTCGACCTGGACATGTTGATGACATGATGATTTGTTTCAGTGATCAGATGAGTTATTTACTTTAAGCCTACATACGAATATTATAATATTCAGTTTTGTGGGCCAAATTTATTTTGTATGCCAACATCTATGAAAGAGGGGGCCACAGAGCGCGATGCGTCATTTACGCACAGATGGTTCCGATTTTAATGCCATTATTGGAATTTATGTTGTGATCTCTGCGCACAACACAACTTTGTCACGTGAGGTTTGAATATATGCAACTTTATGTGAGTGTCTTTATTTGTGGAAAAGGGTGTTTGTCTTACCAGTGGGTCCAACATTACACACACCAAATCCATCTGTGCTTATATGAGAGAGTGTGGAGGACGCCCTCTGCAGCGCTTACAGAGACACTTGTTGAGGGGCTGCCTTTTGTCGCCATCGTGTGACATTGCTGTCTTAAGACATCTCTTGATCTCTTTGACTACTTCACGAAAATAGTGATACGCCTCGCCGGTGGCGGATTTAAAGGCGAGGAGAGGAGCTGATGTTATTGGTCAATACAGGTCTTGGCTGTGTTAAACCCACTCCACGCCCTCTCTCCTCCCTCTCTATGACTTACGCCGCTGGGAGGAGCTGAGTTAGGGAGGGGGGATACTTACACCAGGCTGCGCCACTCACCAAAATACCAAATTGTGCTTGGGAACACCTTGTCGGCACGGCAGACCTGACTTACGCCGCGCATGCGCCGCGTCACCGATGAGGCATGAAAACAGAGCCCAATATCTTCCTGCAGTAGTGAGTGACAGCTGACTTCAGTCATGGAGGGTACGATCACTTTTGACAATAACTTACTCAAATATATTTTGGGGGAAAAACCTGATCTTTTGGGGGGAGGGTGTCGATAAGGTGTTTTCTTATTATCTTTTAACCCCCCCTTCAGTTTCTATGAGTGATCATTTCCAGTGTACAGTCAGCCTTTAGAGAAGCAACTGTCTCACTGTTTACAGCCAACATTCAATCACAGCACATTTACATAACTAACTAACAAACCAACAAAGAGAACATACACAGTCTTGATCATTGCCTTCGAAATATATCTGCTGATGGTACAACCAACTTAAAGTGGGAAGTTATGCCATCACCATCTTGGCTGGGAGTGGCTATACTTTCACAAGACAATGGTGCTGCCTGTCTATTTCTCTGGTCTGACTGCTAGGTCCCCTTGGTAACCAATTACTGCTTCGTCAGCTTTATCTTAGTGCATAGAACATTGTTGCTTAATGTATGCTGGACTGTTACAATGGAAAAGGCTTGAAATTTGTAATTGAGAAATGAAGAAAAGGTCTGCAGGTGCAATAAAATTTCTGTCAGTTATATAGTAACTTAAGGTTTAGGGTTTAGAACCTTAGTCAACCAACAGAATAGGTCCAGAATATTAAAGAGGCCTTCATTTAAGATTAATGAACTCTATACACTCTTTTACCCCTGATGTAGCCTGGGACAACCTGCCTATTCTATTCTGTTCTATTTTATATCGTACCACACTACACTACACTACACTACACTATACTATACAATTCTATACAACACTATTCTATACTATAGTATAATATACTATACTCTACTCTACTCTACTATACTATACTATACTATACAATATTATACTATACTATAGTATAGTATACTATGAAATTCTATTCCATACTATACTCTACTCTACTATACTATAATATACTCTACTCTACTCTACTATACTATACTATTCTATGCAATTCTATTCTATACAATGCAATTCTATTCTATACTATACAATTTATTCTGTTCTATAGTATACTATACTACTCTATAGTATACTGTTCTAGTATATTTATACTGTACTATTCTACACTATACTTATCTATTCTATAGTATACTATCTATTCTCTGCGATAGTATACTGTAATACAATATAGAATTTCCTTTTAGGGTTGAGTTACAGTTTGGCAGTGGCAGTAAGGTCAACTACATTTTTCCTTTCAATTAGAAAAGGCACTTATTTTGATTGTACTGTGGGTATTGGTCTCTTGACACACATATGTAATCACACACACACACACACACACACACACACACACACAGACACACACACACACACACACACACACACACACACACACACACACACACACACACACACACACACCAAAAAAACAAAAACAAAACATGCACACAGCTTATTCATGTGATCCTGCTGCACATACACATACTCGAACACATTTTCACAGACACACATACATTCACACAAACTCATTTCATTTAACTTCATTCCCCCTTTTAATTCTAAACCTTATTGTCCCAGAGGGATTAATTTTTTGTTTGTTTCCTGGCAGGATTTATGATGAAAAACATACTATAATAAAAACAATTAAATAAAACAATAAAACACACACTCAGAAAATTAAACAGCATGGAATATAAAAACAAAGCGCAAAAGCTGTAGAGCCAATAGCTCCGTATAGTCCAATAAAAAGTTGATTATCAGTGGAAAATATGACGTTCCTGGGTAGATAAAAAGCTCCATCATTTTGTCTGCAAATTAAACAGTTACAATGCAGAGGGGATAGAGTAGTCCCATATTATTTTAATCTTGGATTTTGGCACTGAGATGACACCCAGAGGGCTCACAGCAACCTCAGAGGGGTTGACCTGGGCAGTCAGCTTTCCTCGCCATATGCTTCCCAAAGGTTGAGTCAATTTTTTCCTCAGTAATCTTCCCGGCTACTTTCCCCTCCTCACTAATCTTATTTTATTGCTAAAGGCTGCTGAGCCATGCTGCAATTCAGAAATGCTCAAAAATATGCAATGAAACTCAAATCAAACAACATTCTCAGACTTTACCCAGCAGCGTCAAGGGAACAAACTATGCCGTGTCCTCCCATGGATCAAATCACTGACTGTGTTTTTTAAACACATGATTATCAGTCAATAACAGATATTTGTAGATGTCTACCAATCCAATCTTCTTGTCTTTTATCACAGCAGGTTTCAGAAAAGGTTGTGACATCGACTTTAGTTTTGAAAGCAACCCTGTCATCAATCTGCCACGCCATGCTGCATCAAAGTGATCAACAGACAGCCAATGTCTGTTTTCTCTCTTTTGCAAAACACAAAAAAATGACCTCATGTGACCCCTGCACTTGATAAAAAAAGCATCTCTCTGTGTACTGACTGTGGTGAGTCATTAGTGTTAAGAAAGTACAAGCTTGGAGAAAGAACATAACCCTAGGGGAGACAGAGGAAAGGAGATCTGTCAGTAAGAGAAGTCATTTACAGGAGCTGCTCGGTGAGCGTGAGAGGCCGGAAAAATAAGCTGCAGAGCAGCTTCACTTCACAAGTCCTCGCACTTCAGACTTATCAAGCCAGTTATACGACATTGAAAATCAAATTAGTTACAGCCGACAGCTTTGTTTCAGCCAAAGTAATACATTTCAAGATATTGAGTTGAGCCTGACGCTTTAAAAAGTAGATTATTTGATGCTTCCCCCTAAAGCTTTTATCATGTTTTTCTCCTTGTGTCTCAAGTAAAAATATAAAACACAAAGTTCAAAATGAGGTGCAGACTTGTGCTAATTGGGTGTTAACACCCGGCTCTGCAGCTCTAAGCACATTTTAGCCTCTTTTAGATCGCTGTCATGTTCTTTCAGCCAAACAAGGGCTGCAGTTTCCACCAACAAAATCAGACAAAGTGTGCACTGAGCTGCCTGCATCAAACCACCGGGATGTGAAGTAAACAAGAGGAGAGTGGTCTGAAAGCTTGAAAAGACTGAAGAGACAGACATTTTCTCAGGGGCTGGTGAAGACGAAGTGAATGTTGACATTTGATTAGATCAGTCAGAAACTTCAGCAATGTTGCTGTGCCCAATAGATGTGTAAACAGGTAACTTCTCTCTAGTGCCTCAAAGTCTAAAGCTGCTTGAGCCTGTGGTATGCAATGTTGAAAGTCCAACAGCTATTTTAATGCCAAGTCGATGTATTTCAGTGTAAAAATGTTCTCTTATTTAAGCACTACTGGGAGAGGCTATTGCAGTTTGGTTTCTGTTAGTAGGCCTTCAGAAAATTTGCAGAAATACTGATAAAATGAACACAGAGTACAGGCATTGCATTCAAATTCAAATTCAACTTTATTCATATGGCACTTTCCGTACAAGAATGTACTGTTCATGACAAGTGTAGCGCATAAATGAACGTTTTAGCACCAAAATAGCTTGAGTATGATTTATTTGAATCTATAAGGGTGGTGGGACGTGAAAGATCTGAAGGATATTCTTTCCATCTGATTTTTCAAGCTTTTCGTTTTTTGTTTTTTTCTTAATTTGCATGTGCGATTTAGCATCTGGAATGTACGTTTTAAACATATCTCATATGTGCGTTTTATTTGTATTTTGCGCATCAGTTTTGTAAATAATATTCTGCGCTCCTCATTTGTGCGAAAAGAAGGACAGTGTCATGGACAGAGAGCATATTATCAACATTTTCTTTTATTTAGGTGTGACTCATAAAGAGATACTTTATAGCTTAGCCACATTTGGTATTGTTTTGAGTAGAAGACACCTCATCACGAGCCTTGGAGTTGACGATATTCAGACTTGCAGAAAGTGATTTTGTTTATTAACAAACAGTTAAATTGCGAATTGAAAAAAAAAGTTCCTGTCACCTTCTGGGCTCTGTAGATAACAGCTATAGAGCTGATTACCTGAAACATGTTAGCATGTAAAAACAGCTAGGGATGTTTCAAATATAACGAGTATATCATCAAGTAGGAGTGACTGTAAAAGTCAGTAAACTTACTGAGCAGACAGCACACAGTCATTAACAACTGAAACATATTTCAAGTTCCACTAACTATAGCTGATAAAATGCAGCAATTGCACAAATGATGCTATATTCAACTTGCTGTTAGATCCAAATTATTTGACAGAAAAACATCTATAATCCTGAAGATACACCTGCAGCAAAAGTAAGCACTAAAAGTGTGTAACGTGAACATCAAAGTAGAAGTGACTGAGATGCCGTTGGATACAAACTCAAAAACTAACGTCCCTCTGGGATCTCAGTTTTCTTTAGCAGGTGAGCTTAACTTTGGGTGCCATGAAGGGAAATCAGTCTTTTGATCAGTTTGAAGTTTGTCTGAAAGGATTTCCTTTGCTTTATGTCATCTGATGTCATGGAGTTGTCTGTTTGGTCAGTCTAATTAATGGGACGTTTCACTCTTACACTCTGGAGATGCCTTCTAAAGCTGTATGAACTCCGCCACTAACATCACTTGTTTGACTGCAGCGAAACATGGCATCACATTAAAACAACTATTCTCTTGAATCTATGCTCCTTTTATCCTCTTTACCTTCACTGCTTTAAAAAACATCTGTCTACTGATTTTGCAGGTTCAGGTTCAAGCTGAGGTTACTTTGTATGTATCCCTGGGTAGATTTGTTTTACAGGCTTTGACATAACACAAAGTATGTAACATATCATTTTATGCAAAATGGTTTTTAAACTATTCTTGTTTTGTTCCCCAAGATATTTTTGAACACTATGTGCAAATGGTTGTATTGTTCCCCAGCAGCTCATCTGCTTCCTTTGTGCTGTGCAATCAAGGGAAATATTGTGTATCAACAGCAACAGCTTTCCTAAATCAACAATGTTTTCCTGTTTTATTCTTATAATCTTTTCAGCTAAAAGGACCCAAATGCTCTTCATTGACTTTTCCAAATAATTTACAAATTCCTTTCAACACTGAAATCACTTGAGGGCAAAAGGCTCATGATCCTGCTTCCAATCATCTATAAGAACCATACTGGTTATAAACTTGGAATATTATAATCTCAAACCTATAAATAGTTGGTTAAGTTTATGCAGCTCATATCTGGAGTACTTTGGGAGGCTTCTAAGAGTTTGTCCTGTGGGTTTTGAAAAATTAATTCTCACTGTGGGGTCAGGCTGTTTCCTCAACTCTTCCAGGAAAACTCTCCCTCTGCTTACACTTAAAAAACAGGAAAGAGAATCTCCCATGGCAACAAGAAATCCTCTAGTTTGTTTTGATGCAGTGTACCAAAAGCTCCTAAAGTGCAATGTGTTTTAATTTGTGAGTTTACTGAGCAGCAATTTCCGAGCTATCCAGTACACTATGTTTAATGGACACCAAAACCCATCTTCAACGAGCTAATGCAGCCCAATGACATCTTTAATGACATAATGCAAACCAATGCTGTCTTTGATTAAATAATGCAAATGTAATGTTTTGTTCTGTAATAGAATAATGTCACATAGATTTGTAACTTAATGGAATTACGGGAGCTGCAGTAATCACTTGTGTGCTGAGCTAATGCTGACTGAGGCAGGAGCTCCCGGCGGTAATGGCCGAGGATGGCGGCTGTTCTGGGACCCTGAGGGATTAAACAAGGTTGTGTGCGTTTCCCCTCCGCTTATGTCACCGTCAGTCTGTTTGTCTCCATCTGTTCTCCGTCACATTGTAAGCCTGATTCAGTCGCTGCTGTCTTTTCTGTCTCCCTCCTCTCATTCAAACTGTCTCCTTGTGGCTGCAGAGTTCAGGATCCTTCTATGCAGCCATCTTTAAACGACTAAAAGTTACAATTTCCAACTTATGCAAACCGTGACTTGCACACACACACACACACACACACACACACACACACACACACACACACACACACACACACACACACACACACACACACACACACACACACATAAACACACTTAGACACACACAGATACAGAGTTTGAAGACCTCCACTGAAGGTCATGTCAGAGATTGAATGTTCCCTACTTTTAAAGATAAATCAATCTTCCATTAATGGAGTGTGTGTGTGTGTGTGTGTGTGTGTGTGTGTGTGTGTGTGTGTGTGTGTGTCTGAGAGTAAAATCCTGCACTGCTATGTCTTTAAATGTCCATCATGCTGCTTTATGAAAAACCATAGATGTATAAGGGCTCACAGAGATTTGTGTATTTGTTTGTCAGTGTGTCAGTGTGTATCAGTGTATGCCACAGTTTGTTGACTCAGACACTCAGATTGCTGATCAATAGTTGTGATTGAAAGGCCCATTAGCCATCGGAAGCAATGGAGACAGCATCACTCCACATGACAACCTCTGTGGGAACACACACACACATGCACACAGAGAGAGAATAGGACAGGTAACAAATTAAGAGCTTGAGTATGATGAATACACAATTCCCTTCAGAGCATTTTATAATCTATACTGCCTCTGACTGCAATCAGCCGCTCTTACCTACACACAAGCAGCTTGGACACACAGGAACACACACGATTTATTTTCAGCTTGTCTTTACGTCAGACCCATAGAGTCTAAAGTCAGGATGCAGATTAAAACAAAAGCCAGGGGACTGGATTAAAACTGTATATTATTTATCTACTTAAGTGTTAACCGCAACCTATAAGTGTCACGCTTGCTAGCTTGCAAGCTTGCAATCAACAGTACAGTCAATAATGCTTGTTAGCAAAAGGCGACACATCTTGACAAAAGAAGACACAATGAAACTGTCGACCAATTCTTTTAATCTGGTGCAAGCTTTTGTCCAAAGTGACATCTATCGAACAGAGACAACACAAGCAAAGATCTAAACAACAATGATAACAGGAGTGAGTGCCACGAACTGCTTCAAGTCCAATTGTGTAAGGCTAGAGGCATCACGCAAGGTGTAGAAGCGGTTTTGTGCTTTATATTTACCTATTTAAAACTGTTTTTGACTGTTTAAGCTGTTTTTCGTTTACACTATCATAACCATCGTAACGAAACAAAACAAGAAAAATTGTGAAAACTAAACAACATCATTATCGCCGTCACTGTAATCAAAATTATCTTTAAAACCAAGCTACTACGGGCTGAGTTCATAAAAAGCTGGGTCTAATGGTTTCTGAGGCACTGCATGGCATGGTATAGTTTGGTATGGTTTGGTCTACTGTGGTGATGGTATTGGATAGTAAAGTATGGTACGGAACAGTAATGGTAATAGTATTATATGGGATGATGTGGTATTGCATGGTATTGTATGGTGTGGTAATTGTATGGTGATGGTATTATATGGTTCGGTATGATATATAAATATCATATTTGATTCAACATCAACACCTACTTTCTCTTCAGTTTCTTAGCAGGGTCTTTCCTTTCTAACAAAGTCATAAAAGCCTTGTGATGATAGAAATCTCAAGTTTTGTTTCAACACTAGTTTGAATTCAAGACGCAAGTCTCTTAAACTAGCTCTAAGCATACTAGCATAACATGTAGTAAAGCATCAACAGAGAAAGAAGATATCTCAACTCTGTATCTGTGATACAATCGAGTTTTTCCAGGTCATGTAGGAGATTAGATGACTGATTAAAGATCTTGTAAAACAAAGATATGTGTGTTGATATAATGCAGATTTTTAATAGCAATTTCAGTACAATATGATACAATGCAATACCATACCATACAGTATGATATATGATATATTATAATATGATAGGATATGGTCCTTTTTATTGTGATAGTAGGAGTATCTTTGTCGCCGGATCTTGTAAGACAAATTTGTAACGTGTCTTGTTGTGACAGGACCGTATCTACAAAAAACTGTGAGCTTCCTCCTTATTTGTCTGTCTGAGAAAAAAGGCCATTTTGGTGTCTGGATGTCTCAAAGACACACTGCCTTAGGGGAAACATTGACTTTGGTGACTGTGGTGAAACAATCACTCATAATAGGTGCTGAGAATCAACTCCTCTATTTGAATGGATTCACTGAGGACCTGTTTCTGCTCAGCTGAAGGGGCTGGGATGTGGCAAACAGAATATGACCCTCAGGCTGTTGTCACACGTTCACTCAGGGAAACTACGAGAAAATTTCAGCCCTCAAATTTTACCTGACTTCTCTGTTCACAAGAGTCCCCCTCACAGTGGGGGGATTTCAGGAGGCTGATCATGATGCCAAATAGTCACTGTGTGACCTTTACTTTCTGCTTGGTGGCCTTTACTAAGATTAAAACTACGGATTCTTTAATTTTCACATTTAATATTAATTTCTAAAAATGTTGGCAGAGGGAGGAAGGGCTGTAAATTTTGCGATGGTTTTTGCCTTTATATCGAATTTATAAGTAATTGAGGATATCCACAGAGCCAACTACAGTAGAAAAGAACCGACTGGAGAAGAGAAGGGAGTCTAAGGCTGTCTCACTACCTTTTTGGGATATTTTCGCTTTACGCATCAATCTCGCTTTCTATCAAATGTTGTTTCCTATTGAGATGAATACTAAGCGGCTCTGTCCATGTGTTGAGCCAGAGTTCTTCAATAAAGGGCACGTGACACCTTTGGGAGTATTGTTTTAGATAGGGGAGGTCAATCTATCCAGGTACACTTCTCCTGAAATCTTAATGAAGGATTTTAAAATAGAATTATCAAAACATGATCCCACAACTCTGACAATGTAAAGAGAGAGTAGTGATGTGATACAAGGAGAGTTTGTATCAGGGGCATTATTCGATAGGGGTTATTAGAGTACTGAGATATTTCATCCTGAAATCTCACATAAAAGTTTCATATAAGATAACTAACCCAGCACCAAACCTATTCCTCTTTCTGACATGCATTTAGAGCTGTGAATTTCAATGAGTGTATAAAGCTGACTGGTAACTTTAACTAAACCATGTTGATGTCTACGGGGAAGTTTTGGTTTATCAACATTTTAAATATCAAGCAAATACCAATGAAACAGCCGGCAACTTAGATCCTTAGAGTATCATGTTCTGAGTTTCATAATAATTTTAAGAAAACTTAATCAGGGAGATTTCCATCACCAATTTCAGTTCATTGTTTTTCCACAGCTCTCTTTTGCAGCTCATAACAACAGCTTTGCTTCAGGACATAGAAATGAGTAAAAATTGAACCTATTGTTAAAATAAATCCAGAGTGAAAACCAGGAGCCATTTATCTTGTTAATGGTACAATCATTCTCAAGATCACCACAAAGGCGCTCAATAGGCAGTCAGATTTTCTATTCAAAGCCGAACTAATTTCTCTCTCTTTTGTCCACCCTTTCTATCTCCATATCTCTCCATCTACCTATCTCCAGGAGGAAGGGGACTCCAGTTTGTACTGCGAGCTGTGCGATAAGCAGTACCTGAGACACCAACAGTACGATAACCACATCAACTCCTACGACCACCACCACAAGCAGGTGAGTCACACCACCCTAACAAGGCACCCAGGGGTCTGCTTTATCCCGCCAACCAACACCTTAAACCCTCCTGACCAAGGTCATGGATTTATTACATCCCAAAGACACAGCCAGCGCTCTGCTTTGGTTTCTATTACACAGACTGGTCGACAAAAATCACACAAACACACATCAATATCTGCTTGTACGGCCACTCCAACTTCAAACCTCTACTGATTGATTTTTTGCCGAATGAACACTACAGACACAACCACGAGCTACACCAAAAACATTTACTTTGATATTGTTACAAATATATTCAGCCAGAAGCAGTATTTAAGAAAGAAAAAGCTGACCTGAAGGGAAAACTATCATACCTTTAATGTCATACAGAGAAAATTCACACCCAAGGCACAATAGTGTATGGATTCCGACTATTAATAATTTAGAAAAATAATCCCTTATCATGTTTTACCTTGGAGCAGACATAGTACTTAATAAATAGCAGCGTTTCATGTTCGGTGTCTGGGCGTGTTATTAGAGGCTATGATTGTGGGAAGTACTGAAAATCAATGAGCAGAGCTGCCTCATGGTTTTATTGAATTTTTACAAATGATTTTTGCATCAATATGATGACAAATTGTGATCCATCAGCTTTTTAGTCAGAGTGCTTGGCAGGAAACATCATCTTATTAAACATCCTCAAATTTTCGCTTAAACGTCTTTTTATATTAGATTTAGATCAGTTTTTTTATTTTCTGTCGCTGACACATGAGAGTTTTCTCTCTGACGCCTGTCGATGTAATTGGTGCTTAAAATAAGTCAATCTATACTTCTTTCCTCAATCCCTTTATAAAAAATGCCATTTCCCGACTCTCAGTACAAACAAGTAGTTATCTAGGGCACCGTTCTAGGCTGCGATCAATAGCACATATTAGATAATAACACAGAGATTATCAATAATGTACTCTACTTACCTAAAAAAGGAATTTGTCACATCTTTGTTAGATTATTCTTTTGCTTTCCTTTCATCAATCTCTTTTGCAGCCTAATTTAAAAACAGTTTGTTGATCCGTAATAAGATGAGGAAGTGACTCTGAGAACTTGCAGCTGTTTACAAATTATAGGTGCTGGAAGGAAAGCATTTGCTGCAATTATCATTTGTTCACTCGCAAGCGATGGAAGAGGCATAATATTTTTCACAGTTAGCTGTGAGCCTGAGTTATTAGGTTTACTTGAGGATGCAGAGCGTTTAAGGCATATTGTTTGAGACTGCAACACTTGCAGGAAACAGATTTCCTCGCAGTAATATTTTTCAGCCTGCATACACAGCAAGCTAAGCCCGTCTTTTGGTTCATGGTCAGTCACGGTCTCATTGCTTTAGAAAAATGAAGGGGTTTGCTGTGAGGCTACCTCATCGGCACTTGATATGGTGCTGCCTGCGAAGGATGTAACAAATCACACTGTAAAGAAACGTACAGTTTATCTGACTTTAAGCTGCTGCAAAGGATGTATGTGTCACTGATTAACAATTGACAATTTATACAGAGTGATCTATCAGAAGCAAGAAGGTGACACCTTATTGTTGTGTCAATTTCCATTGATTTGATTTGGCTCTTCGTATCTGCCAAAAAATGGCTGCAATTGACATTAACAATGAGGTTTCACACTCAGTTTTCAGCTTCAATTAACTCAGTCTCTGCTCAGTTTTTTACTCTAAGTTGTTTCAAATAAAGGAAGTGGGGTATTTGTTTTGGAGTCTTTGGATAGTCACCTTTGACAGCAAATAGGAGGAAGATTCTCCCAAAAGGCAAAGAGCTTAGGGCGCACACCAGGGCTGCACGATATTGGAAAAAACTAACATTGCAATTTTTTTCAACCTTAAGATATATATATTGCAACATTACATCAATAATCTCACCACTGACTTATGATCATGTTTGCCTATTTGAGCAGACACATATTCAAATCCACTCCCTCTACAGGATTGAATTGTGATCAGTATGAAACTTCTTCTTGACTTGAATGAAAGTTCAGCAACAAAACCACTATTACTCTGTGAGATTTGTAAGTTAACAATAAACTACCTCAGCCTAGATGTCATGAACCCTTCAGAGAAAAGTCAACAGTATTTTCAGTTTCACATCCAGACTTCAGTCCACTGGGTGAATGAATTTTGTTGTTTAACCTATCGACTCTCTTTGACCTTGTCTCCTTGACTTTGAATGTCTTTTGACAACATCTCCTGACATCTCATGCATCAGGGAGGTTATTCTGAGTCTTAACATCCTCCCTGATGGGTTTACATTGGAGTTAGTTAAAAGCCTTGTGGTGACATTTAAGGGGACCCTGTGCAAGGGGCATGACAGAGCAGTGAAATGGCTGATTTTGGGAATGAGAATCATAATGGGATTGATTTGGCCTTAATGTCAGAGTCAAGAGATCAATCAGTTATATTCCCAGTGGCGGTGTAACATCAAACGAGCACAGAAAATGACATTTAAAGACATCGCTCAAAGGTCAAACCTTTACTGCTCCATTATGTACTGATTAAGGAAACATGCTTTGATTTGTCTTTGCCAAATACACAAAAAAGCTAATGCAACCTTAAATTACACACATTGTCCTTTAATCACGTTTATTTTCACATGATCGCCAGCGCCATTGGAAATGTTTTTTCATGAGGTTTAACAATCAACTTGTAATTACAGTTAGAAAATTGCCATTTAAAGACTAAAGGGAGCTCAGATTGTCCATTTCAATTTTTTAATAGTTTTTTAAACTCTGGTTCTTTGAAGGATTTTGTCTGTGATGTTTCAGTTTAACATTGAAGAATATTTTAAGAATTTTCTTGTCGTGTTCCCTGTACACCTTGCTAATCCAGTACACACCTGAGGCTACATTTCAGGCTCTGAAAAATACACTCCATTTGTCCCTGTATGTGTCTCTGTCTGTCTGCCTTTGTGTTTTATCTGTCTGTCTATTTTTGTCTGTTTATCTGTTTGTCAGTCTCTCTACCTGCTTCTCTCTCTCTCTCTCTCTGTCTGTCTGTTGTCATCCGTCCGTCTGTGATTTGAGCCAACTGGCATGTTATTAATATTATTTTTGACTCACACACACACACACACACACACACACACACACACACACACACACACACACACACACACACACACACACACACACACACACACACACACACAGTATCAGTATCTCAGGCTTGCAGACAGAGCTCAGTAAGTGAATTAAGCTGGTCTTGACTGTACTAAAGCTGACACTGGCTGACTTAGTAAACACACATAAATACAGGACATAGAGAAGACATGCACACGCGGGCACGCACATACACACACACACACACACACTCACAATATTATACTTACTCAGAGGGTAGATAAATAATTGCTGACGGACAGATAAATTTTTCTACACTTACACAGACACTCAATTCTGCCTGATCAAATTATTTAGACAAACTTTTTCTCGCACTTTCGCCTTTTTGACCTCTTAAAACTCCCTGTCAAAATAAAATACAATTTCTACCATGACGCCTACTGCTCCTTTAACCAATAATAATCATAAATTCATGTGCTTGTTCTCCAGCGCCTCAAGGAGCTAAAACAGCGGGAGTTTTACAGAGCGCTGGCCTGCAGGAGGCAAAGGAGGCGCAGAGAAGAGAAGAGGGAAGAGAGAGCTCTGAGGAGGCTTCACAAGGATGAGGATGGGAGGTCAGGAGAGTGGTGAGTGAAATATGGCTTTACATTAAAGCTGAAAAGATCTCACTATCTGTTTAAACCTCTAATACCTGTGGGTGAACAGGTGAGAAGTAATGCCAATGGGTGAATGGGTGGTTATGAAAGTGAAAATACAGACAGGGAGACTAAGACCACAGAACAAAGCCTGTTCATAATTTATTTTGCTTCTTACCAACTTGAGACATAAAAATGTTTCAAACCAAATGTTATTTCAGGGTATTTTCAATGATTTAACCTCATTCTTTTAGTCAATTTCAGATTTGGTAACACTCCCATGGCAACAGATTCTTATCAGCCTCCTCGCAGGACAACATAATTTTAAACTTAAGGTTTCAATTTACAATCAAGTTTAAAAAAAATTAGCCTACTTATTTTCTATAATAGAAATTATACAGAACATTTATTGAAGATAACAAAAACAAGGTGAACAGGACTTCTTTGGGATTAGTTATGTTGACATTTCTCCCCTTACTCATCTCCCCTTCCTATCAGAGCTTTGTAGTTGACACACCTTTAAACATGAATGAGGCAAATGTCGCAGCTTGCTGCTGTTGCTGCTATCGCTACTCCTTGTACTCAAGTTACTTTGGAGCAATCAGCAGCTTAGAGATGCTCTCCCCTGCTCTGCTGACTGGATTGCAGAAAAAAAGATATTGCTCCACTTTTCCCTATCAGATAAAGTTCAAGCTCATCAGGCTGCTCTAAAATTTGTACTCCAAAAATGTAACTATTTCACAACTTAAGACAATCCTGAGACAGAACGTCAGTTTTGCCACAAAGTTTACCAATTTAGAGTAGAATAGAATAGAATTTTACCCGGCTTCCTATCAACGCGTTTAACTTCTGGCGCAAAGTCTAGCATGCCAACACTGGAGCGTGGGCAGAACACTTAGGTCAGCGTTAAGGTCCTTACACACCAGCGAATTTGCGGAGCGAAGCGAAAAAGCGAGATGAAAAAGCTGAAAAATCGCTTTCGCTTATACACACTGGGCGACCACTCTGTGGTACACACTCTCTCCCATCGTTGCTCTTGGTGCCAGTGGTGGTGTGTGTCGTGTGAACTGCAGCCGCATGGGTCTGTGACGTCATCAACAACATGGCTTTTGATTGGCCAGAGGCCAGAGGTCTAGCAGGTCCAAATATTCACCTGCAAATCTCCAAAAAATTTGACACAAGAGCGAAAAAATAAAAGTCGCTTTTCGCCCCGCAGAAAAACTGCTGCCAGTGTGGAAGCTTGCATTGACTTTATGCTGTTTTAAAAAAAGGCGAATAAAGGCGAATAATTCGCCTGGCGAATTCGCGCCTGGTGTGTAAGGACCTTTAGTCTGACTGAGCTGTACACATAAAGGAGATAACTGATGTCCGAACATTTTACCAAAGTATTTTTCTTTGAATATGAGAATTTGTTCTAATGCAATTGTAGTGAGACCTGCTTTTTTACATATTCTTTAAAAGTCCAGTTTCTGTAAGATTAAAGAAATCTTACAGAAATCACTAGCATGTTTCTTTTCGTTTGTTGTTGTCAGAAACTTTTAACTCCGGCCTGCCCCCTGGTGGATATAATGTTTCACATCCATGCCAACATAAAGGATGCATGTGGGCAGTGACAGAACCATCGTTTGAAACGGACCTGTACATTTTCATACATATGGCGAGCATAAATGAGCCTTAAAAGTCTTTTCTTTTACATAAAACAGCACAGTACAGAGGAGCTTATTGTCCTCATTATTATATTGACAAGTATACGGTAGTAATAAAAAAACATGTATAAACAACTTTTCACCTTCATTAAGAGGGCTGTTCAGTATTCCAGTCAACATAATTTATATTATGTATGGATGATGATGGGTTATCAATTTTGCTTCTCCTTAATGTAAGGAGTCTTTAAATCACAACATTTGCTTACTCACTATACTCTTCACACAGCCATACAAGGTGTTATCAACCAGTTAAACAGCCATTATTGGTGCCTAGCGGGAATCAGAGGACCCCACTGATTCCCCTGTAGGTGCTAAGTAGTCCTTTGTCATCTAATGGTGTAATGACCTGGATTACCTTTTTGGGCAGCTGCAAGTATTGGCTCTATAAGATCAGTACAAGAGCAAGGCAATTAGGGGTGGACAAGAAAGAGCTAAAGTCTTTGTTAATCCATTTTTATTTAGAGTTTATCATCATAAGCGCACACACCTTATCATGATACAAACACAAAGGTCATCTTCTTTGGAGTCACTTTATAGAAATAGGATTTTATGTTTTGTTTTCTTTTTTTTTATTGTTTTATTTTATTTATTTATTTTGGTCTAATTGCTTCTTAGTTACAGCATTAAGTTGCACAAATTTTAAACTAATCTTCCACAGTAAACAGAAAGACAAGCTGCTGTCTATGTTTGTCCGAATCACTCTATAGATGAGTGTTAATGTTGTTGAAGAATCTCTACACAGTATTTTCCTGTGCATTCATATTCTGGTTGGGAGCATCTGGGACTGCGCACTGTTTGTTTTGAAACAATGTTGAACAGGGATGGGAAAAATGACAAAGGGAGAGAAAAACCCTGAAAGACAAGTGATAAACCAACAGTGAGATCTGGAAAAACATGATGATGGATTTTGGCTTCTCCCTTCATGGAATTCATTTTTATGATGAGAGTTCATCTGGCGACCTACCAAACAGAATTCAGTTTCCCAAAATATATACGATAGCACATGAATGCAAAATTTGAGCTCAGGGCTGCGAGTCAAAACCTGAAGACGCCCACTCAAAAAAAAGAGCGCAAGCCTCCGCCAAGAAAATAGTCCCTAAAGACTTGATCAAACATCCATGACTTTTAAATTTGTGCATGAAAGTTGAAGTCTAAAAATGGGTCTGCTTGCACACTTTGGTCCAACTTATATTTAAAGACAGTTAAAATGTCTACTGGCATGTCTGTTTCACAGAACAGTGGGAGATAAAAATGGAGATCACTAACTAGCTCCCTGGTTACAATGAGCGTTGGCACAGCAACCAATAAAAAGCATCTTGCTGTGCTTAATGGAGAAAATCAGCATGGCCATATCAAGTGTCTCTGACCAATCACATTGAGCCGCTGCACCGCCTGCTGCATACTGAGAATCAGTGTCGGCTGTCACTGCCATTTTCAGATTCCCAACAATGCCGTTTGGCTCCCAGCACACAAAAAGGAGGGGGGGTAGCATGAACAAATTGATTTTCAGCTGGATTTCACTTTCCTCTCATTGCTAGTCTCCTTGTTTCCTACACACCCCTCCTCATATGTTTCCTCTCACCCTTTCCCTTTTTATACATGTTCCCTCCTCTCATCCTTTTGTTTCCTCTGCCCTTATTTTTCATTTTGCCATCTCTTTTTTTCTCATCTCACTCTAATTTTTCCTTTAATTTTCCTTTAACACTTTAATTTTATTTCTTTCATACTTTCCTCTGCTTGTTTTTCCTCTGCTTTTCTTTCATTGCCCCCTTCCTCTATCCAGCTCCTTTACACTCTTCCTTACAACCTTCTTGACCCCCTCCTCTCCATATCATTCTTTAAGTCCTGTATTTGATTCCTCTTTGTCTTTTTTACTTCTTCCAGACCTTGTTATTCTTTCATTCTGTCATCCTTTTCCCATTGACTGTATTCCTTTCTCATCATATTTACTCAGTTATCACTTTCTCCTTTTTTTCTTTGTCTCCTAATCGATGTGTTTCCTTGTGTTTTAAAAGTGTTTCCTTTCATCCCCTATTGTTATTGTCCATGTTTCCTTCTTCCTTTTGTCTCTCCTTGTATTTCTTTCTCTCCCTTTTAATGTATTTCCCCTCATGACCCTTTTCTTTGCCTTCATCCTCCAACAATGGTTGCTTGTTTCCTCCTCTCTTCGTCATACTTTTATCACTCAATCTTCATCTCACTATCCTTTTCCCTTCAGTCCTTCCTTGCTCAACTTCTTTCCCATCATCTGCCCTCCCCAGCTCTCAACTTTTTTCATCCACTATTTTTCAAACTGTCCTTTGTCTTTTCTCTATTTTCTACTGTTTCCAATTTCTTTTTTGTCTTCTTTCTTCTTTATATTTTCTCTCTCCACCTTCCTCACTAATTTCGTCCCCCTTCATCCTCAACCATTTAACCTTCCCTTATTTTTCCTCCTCTCATATTCCAAAACCCTTTGTCTCCTTGTTCCCTCCTCTCCTCATTATCCCTTTCCTCCTACTCCTTCTTTTACTCTCGCTTCCTTTTATCCCCACTTCCCTATTGTTCTGTTCTCCTCCTCACTTTCATCCTTCTTTAAAATATTTCTTCCTTTCTTTTCCTTGTTTCATTCATTATTCCTTTTCTCCTTCCCTTTTGATTTTATCTTGCCTCTCCACCTCTCTCTGTTTTTTTATTCATCCTCTCCTTTTTAAGTCTTTCCTTCATTGGTTACCCATCATCTCTTCACTCATTGTGCTTTACGTTTTTTTTTTAACTCATCATTGTCTTTTCCTCATTTTCCTGATGGTTCTCTTAACTACTTGACTATTTGTTCCCTAATCCTCATTATATTCCTCCTCTTTTCACTTTTCTGCTTTCTCTTCTTCCTGTTTTCCATTCTTCTGTTTTTATTTATTTATCATTTTTTTTCAAAATCTCTTCTCTTTGCCCTTCAGCGCTCCAGGTTCTGGTCCAATGTTCCGGTCCACCACTGTGGCAGTCGAACCAGGAAACCAGACCAGACCAGATTTGGTGCAGAACTGGGCTGACATGCATCCAAGTGGCTCTTCACTGGGAACAAGTAAGGTTTTCTCAGCTTTTAAGGCGAGCACTGTGCCGCTTAAATAGTTAATGAGCGTGTGTTTGGTTTTGCTGATGGAGATATCAGTCTTGATATTGAGGGATTAACCAGAGTGTGGTCTGCTGCAGCAGCGCTGAAATATCTTTTTCAACAGCAGACTTTAGAGACGAAATGAACAGCTCTGAAATCTTTGCATAAGATTAGATTAAATGAGATAAAATCCACAGGGATGAGAGGTTATGGTTTGGGAAAGAAGTGGTACACAATTTAACAACAGGAACATGTACAAGGCAATTATACGCTAAATGAAAAATGGCTCTGGGGCCTTAGTCACACTGGCAGAGTTTCAGACCAACCAACTGATTTCAATAGAAAAGCAAAAAGAAGTGGATTTCAAATAAATTACAACACTTTTCAACTTGGGTGAACTTTCTCATACAAATCCCAGCTGCTGCTGTTGACCAATTGGAAACAATCTTGACAGTACTGACCTTTGAGGTAATATAGTGTAGAACCAGAAAAGAGAGGGAGGCAATCAGTGTAACTTGAAGTGCACCACCCTAAATTATAAAACCCTGCTATGCTCCTGTGAGTAATGAGCTCCAGATTAAAAAGGCACAGTAAGGAAGTGAACGGTACTGGGGATAATCCAAAGTGACTGATGTCCTAGTTGTTTGAAGGGAAGTTCCTTTTTCTAACTGGCAGACCAGTTTACTGAGGGTGTGCTGGTGATATATTGATCAAGTTCAGAGGTCTACCATACAAGAAGTTGTCTGTCACCTGGGCCTGTTTAAATCCAGATGGTGGAGCACTGCAGCATTATGGCAATAACAGTTAACCAGAGCTAAAGCTTCAGATTGTGGCAGGTGGCTGCGCTACAGCTTCAACACAACATGTGGTGGCATTACAGGCCCATTATATTAAACTTGTTGAATTTAAGTCCCACTCAGATCTTTTTTTTACTACTTAAAGTGTTATCTGTGGTCTTTAAATTGTGATTATTAAGTTTTTAGCCAAAATCATGTTACCTGTGCCATTTTCTAGGGCTTTTCTTCTGCAGAGCTCCAGTAGCTCATTAGCAATTCGCCTTTAAGTCGTGGTCGGAGACAGCGCCGCTCTGCACACTCATCTCCATGCTAGCTTACAGCCTAACATTGCCGGTGTAGTAGAAGTAGCAGGTAACATAGGAGCTATTCAACTCTTGGACACTAATGTCTTTGGAGGCATGATAAAAGCTAATATCCTAAATAGCTTTCTTAGGAGCACTGCAATCCACAAACGCACACGCTCGTTCCGCAATCGTCCTCTCTATTTCTCTGAGTCTGGCCTGCATAGAGGGGCTCTGGGGGCGGAGCCTGGATTTGCCACATAGGAAATCTCACTGTGTCTGAACCTGCTGTTTGGGTCTGACAGAGATTCACATTGATTTGAAAGTAGAAATAATTAGAAATGCAATTTCGCACTAAGTTTTCTGTCTGTTTCTATGTCTGTAGCATCAGACAAATGCCATGTGAACATGTAGACAACAAGAAAAACTGGATTTTCATCAGAGTGGGTCTTTAAAGGGGTACAGTGTTTAATTATGTACATCCTGATCAACAGAAACCTTTAAGCAGTGGCTCTTAAATGTAATTTTGTGTGACTGAGTGAACTTAACAGATTTTATTTTAGAAAGTTTAGGAGGAATTCAACATCAACAAAAGATATGTTTCTGAGCTGTTCAATGTTCAGCAACAAACTGAGAGTTTAAAAACCTCAGTTCATGAATTAACAGTCAGATATGGAGTTAGATTTTCTGTTCAACTTTTAGTCTGGATTTGTTTTTGACTTAAGAGTGATAAGAGCTCTCTTCAGTTCATCTCAAGGGGATTTAAAAGTGAAAGCTGGACTTGTTAATGAAAAGAAAATAATTCTTTACATGAAATTTGGTTGCAGCATTTCTGTGTTTTCAAAGAAACGATCAATTGTCATGCCGTCTTTCTTGAGAATTTATCACTCACATATTCAGGGACGGCTTTTGTCCTCATTTTAAAGTTTAAACATAAGAAAAAGTTTGACAGCTGCATTTAAGTCGACCCTCCTGAAGTACTAAATGTATTTTCACATCTAGTTCCACAAGTGTAATAATTAATTTGAAAGCTTCTCTTTAAACCTGTGATATTAAACAAAAGGGTTTCTGGTGTGACACATTATGGAAAAGTTTTAAAGCCATGAGTCATCTTAAAACCTTCACTCGAGAATAATTGTATGAGTCAGTTGCTTCTCTGATGTATAGACGAAAGGGTGTCTGGCAGAATGTTTGGCTCTAAGATAGATGTAGAAAGATAGATATTACATGATATAAATCAAAGCTCTTCATCTTCATTTCTTTTTCTATAAGTCACCCACACATTCTTCTCAGTGCTACTAACATGCATCCTACCACCATAAATCTCATTCAGACTTGTTTGAAAGCAACAAAAGATTTATGGTAAAAAGCAGAAAGGTTGATTGAACCCATAAAAAGCAGCTTACTGTATGGAGAATCTTAAAGATGAGAGCTGTTTTTTCAACGCCTGACTTCAAATTCCTTTCTTTACTGTCTCCACACACCAAGTGACAGTGAAATCATTTGCATGAATGAATTACATGTCAAGTCAATGCAAAGACGCAATTAGACGCTCCTTCTACTCTGGCGGCGCAAATGACGCAGATTAAGCAGGAGCTGGAAATGTCTCAACTTGAACAGTTATTTGCATTGCAATAACTAATAAGCATGTAGGTTGCCGGGTGACGTATGAAAACCAACGGTTGTTCACTGGTATCTAAAATGGAGGACAAACTGATCATGTCGGTGCCCTGAATTATATGATACCTTTTTCTTTCAATTACTGAAACCTGAATAAAAAGGAGCTGGGCTGGAGGCAAGTCAGTGAGGAGGTTGGATTACCTGGTAAATTGTAAAAAACCTTTGTCTATCACTTGATCCCGCTGGTTGAACTGGCAGGGATCACCTTTGAAATTACTGTTGACATTTATGAAGCGAGTAAATAGTATTCATTCACAAGTCTAGATACACACAAGTTAAGCGAGTCGATGATTTTACTCGTGCTTGGTGTGAGCGCCCCATTAGAGTCAGTTTTTGCACATAATGCTGTTAATTTCTACATGTTCATGTAACTAGAGTCACACGGTGTAATCCGTCTTTGCTCTCTCTTCTATTTAGATCAGCTGATCCAGCCTTTACTTCCTCTGGACCCTGCACTGGAAACCAGACTCCTGAGCAGCACGCAATGGGGGTATGGCCAAATGGATGCCAACAATACTACAACTGTTGACCAGTCCTGCATCCTAAAAAATTCCCAGATGGACTACAATGGCCCGACAGCAGCTGTGATTACCTCCAATACCACCACTGACAACATCATGAACACTGGTACAACAACAAACTTTTACTCCTCCAACAAGACTCGTCCCTTTAACAAGATCCCCTGGGCTCATAATTATTTAAGTAACCCCATTACTCCCAATGACATATCAACAACTGCCACAGAGGCACGAAGTAAGACAGTCCAAACCACCACAGCTGCCATAACAAACACACCTGATATCAGCATCAGTGGTAACAGAGCAGTTAGCAAACTAGGTATTATGTCAGTCCCCAGTAGAGTCCGTCCTGTGTCCTTCTCACTGCCCAAAAGGAGCTGTGTTCTCCTTCACCAATCTGCTGCTGTATTCATCCAAGCGGGGCAAGGCGCTGGCATGTCTGGGAAGCAGGAATTAGTGACAGCACAAGAACGAGCCAAAGATTTGGGGGAGAAAGTTGCTCATCAGCGTCTCAAATCTCCAGTATCTGCAGACGTGGATAATAGTGTAGGTGTGGATCAGTGGGACACTGGAAACCAGTGCAGTGGGGACACTAAAGTGGCAATCCAACACTCTGAGACTGCAGCCAACATGTCTGCTGAGAGGGGAAGTGAAGAAGTGTCTCGGACTGGAGCCCAGGTTTCTTTATGTAATCGCAGTGTGATCAGAGTTGAAGACTCTGTTATGATTGGGAACGGAGCCCAGCTCTCCTTATGTAATGACAATGGGACTCAAGTCCAAGTCGGCCTTGAAAGTAGGACTGAAGCTCATCTTTATTTGAACAGAGGGATGCCGGGGCAGGTTTCTGATATTGTAAGCACAGTTGTGACTGAAGACACAGGCAACAAGACAGAAAATCATGACAATGTGGGTCATGGGACAGAGCTGAACCCTGGCCAAGAACTGAGAGATTTACTTTGTTCTGCTACAAATCAGCCTCAGAAATCGGCCTCCCTTCTGAATGAAACCAAAGATTCTCAAATCCAAGCACAGCCCAAGGAATCCAACTCCTCTTCACCAAACTGGACTAAAGAATCAACCTCTTTGACTCCAAGTCGTCCCAAAGAGCCATTCTGTCCTGTCCTAAGCCGAGATGGTACCAGGGTTCTCCTCTGGCCTTCAGAGATGGTCAGTTATACCAAGACCTCGCCCTCTATCTCTTACAGTATTAACCCTCTGCTGTATGACTTCAGAGCACATAGCAGGACCAAAGAAGGGGGAGAGGTAAAGAAAGAAGGTCTGGAGGAGGGTAGGGAGAGAATAAAGCCATCTGTGATCAAACAAGCCAACTGCCAACTGAGGCAGGAAGTGAAGGAGGGAGATAGGGAGATAGATAAAAGGGAAGGAGAGGATGAAGGAGGACAGGCAGGAAATCCTGTGGAACCTGTTGCCGGTTGTAGCAGCCCCGGCACAGCTTCAGACCCCTATGACTACCGTGATGAAAGTGCTTTAAAACCTGCTCCCATTTCCGCAGAATGCCAACTTGCGCCAACTCTAGGCCTTCAAAAAATGGTGAGAAAGAGGAGGAGGGGAAAAAGAGGAGGGGTGAGGAGAGGATTGAGGAAGAGGGGTAGAAGGAAAAGAAGAGGAGAGACTGATAGAAAAGATTCAGAGAGAGTAAGAAGGGCAATAAGCAGTCTTATTGAGAATCAGGTGTTTGAGGGGAGAGCAGAAGAGAGGCTGAAAAGAGAGGGCACAGAAAAACAGGAGAAAAGAGAAAAAGGGCTATTAAGTAATCTTGCAGCGCATCGGCTGGTAGGAGGGAGAGAAAAGAAGATGAGGGCAGACGAGAGAAGGATAAGAGGAGATCAGACAGAGCGAGAGAGGGCAGGTAGAAATGACGAAAAGAGAGGAGAGCTATTAAGTAATCTTCCTGTGAATCGGTGTAATCGGTGTAACCAGCTGTGTCTGCAGGTGAAAAGGGAGGCCAGCCAGCATCAATCCCAGCAATCAACCTTCGGGTGGGGCCAGGGGCTCAGAAAGCTCCTCAGCAGGGGTGCAGCATGTAACTCAGTGATTAGCCCCGTCCCCGGGTCTGTTATAGAGATGCCACGCTGTCCTGCAATTACACCCGACCCTGCTCAGAATGACAGAGAGACGGGGGAGACGAACAAAAATACACAAGAGAGGAAAGAGGAAGGGCGGACAGATGAGGAGCAAAGGAATCCAAGGAAGACGGAGATAAGAGCTGTTCAGGATGCTAAAGAGAATGTGTGTAACCTAGTGATTAGGCCTGTTTCTTTTCCCTGTCGAGAAGCAGCACGCAAGCCTGAAATCTGTCTTGTTCATACACCTCACAGGGAAACAGCATGCGATCCAGCGATTAGCCTTGTCCCCGCTCCCTTTCGGAAAACAGCATGTAGTCAAAGACAAACAATACCTGTAGGACACGGCAATCTGGTGCAAGGCCCAGCCCCAAGCTGCTTCACACAACAGACAGAAACAGGAGTGAGTATTAGATCAGCCTGCTCAGACACAACCCTCCCAGGTGATGCGAATTCAAAGGAAGTCATGTCGAGAAGTGGGATAGCAGTCGGCAAGAGGAAGATGGAAGAGCTGGAGGCGGGGGAAGTGCCAAAGAAGAAACGGAAAAGGGGAAGGAGACAGACAAAGAAACTTGTTTCTGCTCTGAGGACTTGTACCCAGAGAGTGGAAAGAGCTTGTGATGCGGTGACCCCTGATCCTTGCACCGATGAGGTCTCTCGTATGCAATTTGAGACACTTTCAGACAACTACATCAGTTTCAACACTGCTGAGTGCGGTCAAGAGGGCAAAGGGACTGAGAAAAACACTGACTGCCATTTTCTTTACATGACGAAACACTTTGAGTGTCAAAAAACAAATAATGGGGAGGGAACACTTAGTTGTGACCCCACTGATACACCGAGTACCTACTGCCACTGTGATGACAGTGAGGATGGTGACCGCGACGTCGGTGAGCAGAGCCAATTTAGCTCTGTTTGCTCTGGAGGTGAGAAACCTTTCAATGACTGTCACACCTGTAACACATCAGATGACCAGGTTGATGAAAAGCGTGACGGGTCAGGCATCAGCAGTGCTACTTATGACAATCCTTGCAACCAGAACGATGGACTTACTCTGAGCTGTGATTCAAAGGACCAGTCGCCTTATCTTGCAGATGAGCTTCACTCACCTAATGAGAGGGATGAACTCACATGTGACAACATGGACACACCTGCAGATTTACCACTGGAGGACTCCATTACCTGTAGCACAAATGATACACACACTGACCATTGCCAATATAAAAACACACCTCTTGACCCCAATTCAAGCGACCATCATGACCAAACAACCTCCAAAAGTGTCTCCACTGAGGAGGATGAAACCAAACCACAGGGTCACAACCATTCAAGCCCAGCATCTGATAACAAAAGGAGTATTGATCAAAGCAATGTAAACCACTGTGAAGATATTGACAGTGGTCGGTGTGATCATTTAGACCATAAACATGTCATTGATTGTAATCACTGTGGGTTTGATGGTGTTGTGAGTATTCCTACAAGTGTAACCAATGCTCCCGCACTCATGAGCACACTTCAGGAGCAGAGAGAGGACGAAAAAGATCTTGAGAGAGCGAGAAAAGAGGAGATGAAACAGATGGAGAGGAGAAAGGTGAAGGAGAAGCAAGAAGAGTGGGAGAAAGAGTGGGTGAGGAGAAAAGAGAAAGAAAAGGAGGACAGGGAGAGAAGGAAGGAGATGGATTTTGAGCATTTCTTTCCAGAGAAGAGGCCCTGTTTTCCTCATGCCCTCCCTTCACACTGTGTCCCCTTCCATGGTCCTCTCCTCCTCCCACATTCCCTTTCGTCCTCCTCTTCTTTCTCTCTCCATCACACCATCATTCAGCATCACCTATCTCTCCTCCCCCCTCCGTCACACTTGCCTCTCCCCTCATACCCTCATATTCTCCCCTCTTTCTCCCCTCATCTCTCGCCTCTAGCTCTTAATCCAACGCCAGCCCCTCCACCACCTCCTCCTCCCCCTCTTCCCCCCTCTTTCTACACCTCACCCCCCATTCCTCTGTTGGATGCTCCTGGTCCGTATCCATTAGCAACAGCGTTTCACCCCTTGCAAAGTCACCATCCGTCCTTGTATCCACCGCCCCATCCTGCAGTCGTGCCCTTACAGATGTTGTTCTAAAGAAATTAGATAAATAAACACTCCTGGAAGACTTAAACACCTTATAAAGAAAAAGTTGGCACCTGAAACCCTTCTTCACATGTGCACTTGAAGCTTGTCTGAAGTGAAAGGCAGAACAATTTCCACAAGACTTGAATAGAGAAACAAAATCCAATCTTTCTTAAAACTAAACCTCTGGCAACCTCATCACCCTGTCAAAACTCTCCAAGCACTGATTCACTCATGGTGTAAAAATGATGGCTAATTATCTTCATCAGCGGCAATCCTGCTCAAAATGAGCCTCAGGTGTGCAGCTAGAGGAATCGGGTTGGGGACACACAGCTGGGCTCGCTTCCCTTGGCACAAATCAGTCGACTCTTCTGTTTTGCATTTTCAACGAACGCTTTGCTTGGTTTGAACCTTTTTGGAGATTCAAACTGTGGTCTGTGACTTTGAAGGAAAAATCCATCATTGTACACTCACACATGTCTTTAGTGGATGATAATTAATGCAGGACTTTTTTTTGTCTTGTTTAAATTTACATGTTTTCCCTTAAGAGCTTCCACTTCAGTTTCCTTCTTTTCCCCTGAATGACTTTTGCTCTCAGCAGAAGGTTGTTAAGAGCTATTGACCTGCATTACTATTTCAACTAGCTTCTGTTTTGCAAGCATCGTTTGGAATGGAGAGACCTGGGCTCCCTGAAAGGCTGGAAAATGTTTCCTAGGTTTCTTGTCCAATATTAATATCAATTACTGAATTAATAATGTAGCACATTGAGGAGTCGTTGCATTTTGATAACTAATTATTTAAACAAAGACAGATCTTGATTCATATCATTTGTATTCACTAATGTCACATGTTCATGGGGAGCTGAAAGCTGCAACACTGTTGCATTTATCACTTGTTTCGGTTCTGCTTTCACACTGTGATTTCTAAAGCGCACCGAACTTTCCGAGCAGCATCACGTGGTTGAAAGGGGCGCTCGTCGATTGGACAAAGTAGGAGGGGTATGTAACCTCATGGATTACAAACAGGGGTGGACTAGCCGTCTTGAATCGCGCTTCGTCACATTATTTTATGGAATGCTATGTCCTTAGTGAGCGCAACTGTTCCTATAATGCTATCGTAGCTTGTCAGGGATGGAGCCTGTTAGTTTTTCTAACTTTGACGATCTAACATGTGACAACATATGAGCTCAGAGTTATTGTGAGGACTGTGACTGTTGGTAGTTGTGATTGGATTTTGTTTAAATATGCCAGATTGTGAATTTATGGGTTATTGTTATTCAGACAATTGAGCTAAGCTAGCTAGCAACTGCTAATGTCAGCGGTCACTTGTTTCTATAGCAACAAGGTATGCCGTGCTTCCTCTATCCAAGATGCACTGCGTATAGCTTCATTACTTACATTTGATCCTGTGTTTGGTCCGGTGAGCTTTCACACTGCATTCGAACCGAACCAGGGTTCACTTGCAAGCGAACTGAGACCCGTGTTTTCAGGCGGACCAGAGTTCGCTTGTTTGGTCCGCACTTTAGTCGGATGAGCTTTCACACCTGCCCAAACAAAGCAGACTATCCAAGGAAACGAACTCTGGTACATTTTCAAGCGGACCAAACAGCTCTGGTGTGAAAGCGACCTAAGTCACCGGACATGGACAGCAGTCCAGGGGCATAGCCTTCAGCAGATCTCCTGATGCTTATAGAAACTGTCTCTCTCCCTCTGCAGAGGTCTGCTTCTCCCTGTGTGACTGTTGAACGACAGGGCAAAATGTTAAGTTTAGAAATACGCTTTTACTCTTTGATTTGGAGGGACTGACTCAAGCGTCTGACCTTTACTCTTGACGTTTCAGGCTGTTGATTTTCTGCCAATCTCACTCAATTGTAGCTGCACTAAAAATATCCCAATGAGGTGGATAACTTTACATTTGTGACTCATCCATGGAAACAAAGGCCAGAGCACACAGTGAAAGTGATTCAGTGTGCCGTGTGGTGCATATTGCTTCAATAAGGCTGTGGAGAGTCAGGCAAAGAGAGGTGCTGTGAGAATTTGATTATTAGAAAATCACAAAACAACTGCCTTGAGATAAAAGTCCCTATGGTCATCCATTTGTTGCAATTGAACAGGTATCTTTGCAAATTGTGTTTGAAGACATAACATCACAAGGAAAGCTACACATTAAATCTTGTGTAGGAATATAAAATGTTCCCTCCTAACAGCTCTTTGATATCTGAGAATTCCCGCTGGGCGGATTTTTCCTTTAAAGCTCAGTTAGGACAAAAGCACATGGGAATAAGTGATGATCAGACCCTCTGAATCGTTTAAAGTGTTCCTCTGTTGGGTCTTAACACTACCACTTTGTGTCATTAAATGCAGCAGAAATACCTCACCAAACCATGATAGCACTCTGAATCCTCTCTAGTTTGGAGAGCTTTCAAGGTGTGACTGGCAGGAGAAGCGACAAGGGAAGAGCAGAGTGACTCCCACACTTACTGGCACATTTGTTTTTCTCAGTTGTTTCCTCTTCTTCCTCTGAAGTCGAACATCTGGCTGCGATGGCTGGCAGCACTGATCCATCTCAGCGACTATAGATTATTCTGGTGCAGACGGGGGATGACAAAAAACCAAAACAAATAAAGATATGCATGAAAAATGGTCAACAGGAAGCAGGTTTTGTGGGTGGGTTACCATCCTTATTTCACTTAGATTCCAGGCAAGCACTGTAAATTATTTCAGTTTTGTTGATCCCATGAGCTTATGAAGACAGACCATCTGCTTGCAGGTTGGCACTGAGACACGGTGACACCCAGGGTGACATACTTCAACTTTTGCTTCCTGAGGGGTTTATGAGTGCAGTGTTAGCAACATGAAACATGATACTTCTTCTTCTTTTAGATCTTGAGTGTAGGAAAACGCCTGAATCAGTGGGCACGCTCATGATCTCACCTGTAGCTCTGTATAACAAGGGATTTGAAACCACAAGTTCCCTGAGAAAAAAAGGTTTTATTTATCATTGTGATAAATCTGTACATTAGAGATGAAAAAATGCTGTTATTAGATGTATTTTTGTAGCGAAGCCTCAGTTGAATGAGGCTCAAGTTTTTGTATCATGTACTCTGATGCTATTTAGCAAGTATGTAATTCACTTTCTTTGTCCTCTTGTAAAGCTGTTGTACATATTTCGTTAAAGTCCTTGTTATTCATGGGTTAAAATGCCTTGTCTGCGTTCCTCTTAGTGACAGTTTTGTCCAAGAAATGTGTCAAGATCCTATAAACCCCTAAATTGGCATTTTCCTGTGTGTAATCTAATTTCAGCAGGCTCCTATCCTCTGGTATTATCCCTGCTAATATAACAATAGCAAAGCAAATTACTCTGAAAACTGAAAATAAATCAGTAGATATTACAACCTTGGGTCTCCTTGTTATTGAGTTTCACTTAAAGGGAATAAAGTATCACCCCAAATGGCTTGCTTCATGCAAATCAATACTTTCACTGCAAAAAGTCAATGTGAAATTTAATAAAAAAAAAATCTGAATGGAAAAGTTCATCCAGTGAATGTTTGAGTCTCCACAAAAGAAGCTTGTATAAATAGAAATATGTGAACTCACACACACTCCCTGTGTTGATCAGATGCTTTGGGACTGAGACCTTGTATATGTGTGTTAGTGTGTGAGTGTGTGAGAGCCTCGAGAAGCCCTTCAGACAGCTGGGACCATCATGCTCAATGACTAAAATAGCGTCAAAACTCAACATGTTCGACACCTGGGGCTGTGTGAGTTTGTGTGTGTGTTACATGTACGTACAATATTTCCATCTGTCAATGTGTGTGTTTGTGTTGAAGTCTATATGTGTGTCTTAGGGGCATAAAAGCATCAAACACAGTGAGTGTGACAAGCCAAGTTCACTTTATAACCGAATCAATGGTTCTCAGTAATTTGCTTCGGTGACCTTTAAAAACCAACGAGAAACCTTTTGACATTAAAACTTGACTGTGTGAGATTAGTTTCAAAATGTGTGAGTGTGACTCCTGGCCCTGAACGCAGCCTTCTACCATCATTGTGAATCTTTTTTTTTTCCTCACAGCCTGCTTCTGCAGAAAGGTTGACGGATGCTTCGACTCGGGCAGCACTTTACGGCGAATGAGTTAATAGACTTGGTGGTGCGGCAGTGACCGCGTGTTACGGTTTGCTTCCTGCTCATCAACCACAGAAAGTACTCAGAAACATGTTAAGAAAACCTCAGCGGTGGCTTGTTGTGTACTTCATCAGCAGCAGAGAGACAAGTCTGTCCATTACGGTGCCTTTATGACTGCTGTCTCTCTCTTTGGGCTTAACGAGGAACTAAATCTGATCAAAGATTTATGATATTTTCTGACAAAAATAACCGTGAAATGATTTATGTATCAAAGAGCCTCAAGGTAGACAAAGACAAACTTCTCGTGTGACAATGCAAGTGGCCTGAAAGAATACTTCACTAGAGTATGACTGCAAAATCAGCAAAAAGTATTCAAATATAGACAAACTTTAAATAAATAAAAACAGACATAGAGTAAACCGAGTGTGAATGCTTCATTATAAAAGTTGTGTTTATTTTTGCGCCTTGCTCAGTCCAATTCCTCTTGTCTGGAAAAGAAAAATGTGTTAAACGTATTAAAACATATGACTGAGCTAAGCCCTCATTTGTTTTACTCGAAAACCTTGTTTGTTTTCTGTCTGTGCAGAGTCGACACCAACCAAAAACAGCTGCCTTCATAATTTGCTCACATAAGCTCTTAGCTTTGCTTTTCTCTTTATTTGAACTTAATGCTCAGAAACACTGAAGGGAAAAAAGAAACAGTCCAGTCATCCTATTCACCACCGCACTGACATGGTCTGAGTATCACTGGAGAGGCTACTGCATGAAGGAAAAAGTTCACCTGATTAGGAAGTTGATCAGACTCAACCATGACCCCACTGTTCAGAAGCCAGCTGTAAAAAGAGCCAAATTCACTGTGTTAAACAAAACATGAGTTAAGCTGCAGTTTGGCTTAAACCTAGCCCACATTGTTATCTGATCAGAGATATTGAACTTGTATAATATTATCCGTCTCAAACCTTGCGGGCTTGAGCAGATCAAGGTAAGTAAAATCACCCTTTTGACATTGCCCAGCACAGTAAAATCTGGCAAAATAGTCTTTATCACCATCAAAAAAAACAAAACAAAAAAAGCATCTAGATTTATCTGAGTTTGTTGGATGGGGACACCAAGCCCCAAACTGACCAGATTATCTTGCAGCAAACACTCTGCTTTTCTGGTTAAACTGTCCAATACACAGAGGCTATAGTTCTTGGGTAGCCCGAGTTTGATCCTCATTTTTGCCTCATGACCTCCTCCACTGTCTCAGTCCACTGTCCTGTTCTCCCCATAGAGGCATAGAAAACTCCAAAATTAGCTTCAAATTCTTCTGAAAGTTTTCACCTCTTTAGCACAATGACAACTAGCTGTTACTTTTGGAACAACTTGTTTAACTACGGTGAACTGTCCCTTTAAGTGATATCTGGACTTCAAACAATGAGAGACCAGTCACTGTTTTAAGAAATAACGATTCTTCAATGTTCTCATATGTCTTTTATCATTTTTATTCCATTCATTCTTGAAAGCCTAGTACCACTGCTGCTCTTTTGGGATATAGAACTCAAGTTAGTCTCAAGTCAAACGCAAGACAATAAACCAGCTTCAACTTTTACAAACCAGTTTATAATATTAAGTGAAATAAACCTGTGAGATCCACTATGAATCAAACTGATAATTACTGTACTTGACCTCTTCAACGAGGACTTCTCTTGAGCCAATCATGGTAATTCAGAGGACCAAACCAACTCTCTCTGAGCTTACTCTGACATAAGGGTGACATAAATGTCCTTATTTTTTGGTGGTTATAATCCCATTACAGCATTTCAGTGACAATAGATTTCCATTTGTACCCACAAACCCCTTGTACTTTACACACAGTTATTTTTAAGCTATCAGAAACAAACTGCGACAGAGTCTATCTGGCTAGTCATAAAAAACTACATTTTATACTTCTTAGTCCATAATTCATGGGCTAAAAATGTAAATTGTCAGGCTTTGCCTGTTTCAAATGATCATTTTAAGATTTTTGCCATCTTGTTTGAAATGAATATGAAAAACCTGTTTTTGTGAAAGCAGCTGGAAAAACAACCTTTACTGAACTTCTTAAAGCTATTCTGAGGAATTTTCATATCTATGAAATAGACTGAAATTCATATTGATGCCTTTTTTTATGATATCAAGAAGGAAACAGGACAACCGGCAACAAGACTGACAGTTTTTACATCATAACTTTTGATGCCTGAAACTGAGGTGATGGGGAGGGAGTCAACAGGGCAGCTGACAAAATAAATACATACAAAAAGTGATGCATTTGACTGTCAAACACAAAAGGGTTAGGTTTTTAGCGGGTCAAAGGTCACCTCTAAAGCATACAGGAGATGAAATACACAAATAATGCTTTGTCCAAACAGTGCACCAAAACTGACACAAACCAGAAGTTCCTTCACAGAGCTTTAAAAGTTTGTTAATTGGTCAGTTCAAGTATGTAATGACGCTCACTGTTTGATAAGTAATGCTATGAGACATCATATACTTCTCATACTTACAAAGTCACAACTTTTAACTGAGATTAATTTTTCCTCCCCGGGTTTGTGTTCATTTCAGAAAAAGGTCAGTGGGAGACGATTAATGAAGGATGCTACTAAGGGTATAAATGTCAGGATAAAACTGAGGATAGAAATGCTAGTCAGGTTTTTTGGTGACTTATCTGTCACTTTGCTTTAAGGGACTGAAAAAAAAAAAAAATCTTTTTCTCATGAGATAAAAGCTTTTGGTCTCTTCAGATGGATATCGTACCGTCTGTGAAGGCTTAAAAACCCGTAAAGAAGGTCTAGTAGTAAAAACTTTTAAACCAAATGCGAGGGATCTGCAGGTTTTGTTGACTTAACAGTTATTACCCTCCCCAGTCAGCATACAACAAACTATTAATAATATTATCAGTGTGGGCCTGAAAAGCTGGTTGATGTTGTGTAAAGTTTTCAGCTCCTCTGTCTTCCTTTAACTAACAGATCCTGAACCTTTAGTCTTGTCAGTTAGTCTAGATTTTAAATTGAGTCTAAAGTAGGAAATGACTGTAGAACAATACTGTGGAAAATTTTAAGGTATATTTTATGAGCATTTTCAGAGCGGTTGGCAGGTCTTTGCAGATTCTGATTCAGTCTATAGTTCATAAAATGGGAGGACATCACTGAAGAAAATCTGTTTTTTAATATCTGGTGTTAAATGTCAGTGACTTTCCCAGTTATCCACCAAGTCTCTCCGCTAGTAATAGCATATATTTCCTGTTTTGAACATTAGAAGTCCAGCTTTAAGATTTCATTTTCTCCAATTTTAGGGATTAAAAACTGTGACATGGACTGATTTTACGTCTAGAAGTTTTAAATTTGATACTAAGTCAATTTTTACAGCTATTAGTGAGATAATCTCTCCAAGTACAAACGTCAGGGCAGGACATTAAATTGTAATGCAGTATTATTCCCCGGTGTCATTACTACATTAACTTCAGGGATGTGGTGGAGCTGTGGGATCCTCAAGGCATCACTCTGCCGGCATGTGGTGCACCGACACACTCTGCATGGTTTGTAATGGCTTTGCAGGATGGGCGAACATTTCCTCTCGCAGGAAGTCAAGACTCAGAAAGACCCAAACCACAGGGAGGCAACAGAAAGCAATAACATTTGTTCTAAGTTTTTTGATCACTCCTGCTGCTGTGTAGAAATGGGTCACAGCTGCCAGAGATGCTTCAAACATCATGCAGTCGTCTGACTCAGAGGAATCTCTGATGGGCCTTTTTCTCCACGCTGTCAACACCGCTGCTCTCCGCTTTCAAAGCTGACAATGTTTTAGTGCTGAGGAACTGAAAAGTACTTTCTGCCTTTCCACTTTTCTGCTCATTTATGATGACTGATTGTGTCTCACTTCTTGCCTGGAGTTTCTTTTCCTTGTTGCTCCTGTTTAGGTGAAACAAAAGGTTATTTCGCATTGAATTCTCCACCGCTGCACTTTCTAAAGCTTGTTCAAAGTGATTCATCATCCTTAATCAGCAAAACTATTGTGGCATCTTCCATGAGCTTTAACAACTGCTCACTCGCATTCAGAGATGAACTCTGAGAGGAAATACAAGAGGAAAATAAATACAGAGCCCCTTGGACCACAAGTTTCCTTCTCCACCAGAAGTCTAAAACCAAAAATTTGCCAGCTCTGATTCAAATTCAGGCTGTCAGGAGTTGTGATTCATTTGACATTGATTAGCAGCCAAAAAAGAAAAAAAAAGGAAAGGAAAAACACTCAACCAATCTTGATTCGGATGGGATCGACAAACACCATTTGGTTAAGTGGATTTATGGGAGAAACGGTGGGAATCAGGCTGTTTG